ATCATGGGCAAGATGAGGTGTTTGCACGCCCTGGGCGAGTGGAAAATGCTGTCTGAGATTGCACAAGAACATTGGAACAGCGCATCAACGGAGAACCGCAAGAACATGTCTGCTCTGGCTGCCGCAGCGGCTTGGGGCAGAGGCGAGTGGGACTTGATGGACAACTACATCAGCGTCATGAAAGAGAGCTCACCCGACCGAGCATTCTTTGGTGCTATCCTTGCCATCCAACGAAACAATTTTGCAGAAGCCCGCAGTTTCATCGTCCGGGCACAGGATGGTGTCAACTCAGAGATTGCAGCAACCATTGGTGAATCTTACAACCGTGCCTACAGTGTTGTGGTCAGGGCACAGATGCTTGCAGAGCTTGAGGAAATCATTCTCTTCAAGCAAAGCGAAGGCAACCTCGAAAAGCAAAACGCCATGAAAGTACTCTGGAATAAGAGACTTCTCGGGTGTCAGTCCAATGTTGAGGTGTGGCAACGAATGCTCAAGGTTAGGGCCCTTGTTCTCACCCCTTCAGAAAATCCAGATATATGGATCAAGTTCGCAAATCTCTGTCGAAAATCGGAGCGTATCGGCCTGGCCGAAAGATCCCTGGCCTCTCTAGGAGGTAGTGGCAACCTTGCTGCTACTGGTCCGGGCGCGGCGCCGCCGCCAGTTGCATATGCTCGTCTCAAATTCACTTGGGCCACAGGAAACCAACAACAGGCTCTGACATACTTGCGAGACTTCACCACCCGACTAGCTGACGAATATCAACAAGCCAACACTGCTCTGGCCAGTGGCATACACAACGACAGGATGAACAATATGAACGGTCTTGATATGAACGGACATGATGCGATAGCTCAGAGGAGAAGACACGAGGACTTGGAGAAGTATGCGAAACTCCTTGCCAAGTGCTACCTCCGACAGGGAGAATGGCAGTCCTACCTTTTGAGGGGCGACTGGACGAGTCCGCGAGCTCAAGACCCAGTACGCGACATCCTCAACTCGTACCAATTGGCGACGCAATACAATGAGACATGGTACAAAGCATGGCATGCCTACGCGTTGGCGAATTTCGAAGTCGTCACATCGATGGCATCCCATACCGATCAAGACAAAGTCCGCAACCTTCCTGAGCACGTGATTCAGAACCACGTTGTTCCTGCCATCGGAGGCTTCTTCCGCTCGATTGCGCTCTCCAAGACAAGCTCGCTGCAAGACACACTTCGGCTGCTGACGCTGTGGTTTGCTCATGGCGGTCATAGTGAAGTCAACCAGGTGGTGATTGAAGGATTTGCTTCCGTCAGCATTGATACCTGGTTGGAGGTTATTCCCCAGTTGATCGCTAGAATCAATCAGCCAAACGCCCGGGTGCGAGCGGCTGTGCACAGGCTGCTCGCAGAAGTTGGTAAAGCGCATCCTCAAGCACTAGTCTATCCGTTGACGGTTGCAATGAAGTCGTCAGTCGCGCGACGAGCCAACTCAGCAACTCAAATCATGGATAGCATGAGAACACACAGTGCTCGACTGGTTGAGCAAGCAGATCTGGTTAGCCATGAACTCATCAGAGTCGCGGTGCTGTGGCATGAGCTTTGGCATGAAGGCCTGGAGGAAGCCTCTCGCCTGTACTTTGGTGATCATGACGTGGAGGGAATGCTTGCCACTCTGGCTCCACTCCACGAGCTCCTTGATCGCGGTGCCGAAACTCTCAGAGAGGTGTCATTTGCTCAGGCGTTTGGCCACGACCTTGCGGAGGCGCGTGCTTTCTGTAACGCTTTCCGACGCTCGAAGGAAATTGGCGACCTCAATCAAGCTTGGGACTTGTACTATGCAGTCTTCAGAAAGATCGCGAGGCAACTTCCCCAGCTGATGAGTTTGGATCTCAAATACGTGTCCCCTCGACTAAAGGATGCTCATGATCTCGACCTTGCAGTTCCTGGAACTTACCAGTCGGGCAAACCCATCATTCGGATCGTTAGCTTCGACCATGTTCTGACAGTGATACCCTCCAAGCAACGACCGAGAAAGACAACACTCAAAGGGTCAGATGGTGTGTCATATGCGTTCCTCCTCAAGGGTCACGAAGATATCAGACAAGATGAGCGTGTGATGCAGCTATTTGGCCTCGTCAACACCCTTCTGAACAACGACACCGAATCATTTAAGAGACATCTCAACATTCAACGATTCCCAGCTATACCGCTGTCGCAGAACTCTGGTTTGTTGGGCTGGGTGCCAAATTCTGATACTCTTCATAACTTGGTTAAGGAGTACCGCGAGTCAAGGCGGATCTTGCTGAACATTGAGCACAGAATTATGCTGCAAATGGCTCCTGACTACGACAACCTCACACTCATGCAGAAGGTGGAAGTTTTCGGGTACGCAATGGACAATACGACCGGGAAGGATTTGTACCGTGTGCTTTGGCTGAAGTCCAAGAGCTCCGAAGCCTGGCTTGATCGGCGAACAAACTACACCCGCTCACTCGCTGTCATGTCAATGGTTGGATATATCCTCGGGTTGGGGGATCGCCATCCATCAAATCTCATGCTTGACCGCATCACTGGCAAGATCATCCACATCGACTTTGGTGATTGTTTTGAAGTAGCCATGCATCGCGAAAAATATCCGGAAAGAGTCCCCTTCCGGCTGACGCGGATGCTCACCTTCGCCATGGAAGTCAGCAATATCGAAGGGTCGTTCCGCATAACATGCGAGAACGTCATGCGCGTCATCCGCGAAAACAAGGAGTCGATTCTGGCAGTGCTTGAAGCCTTCATCCACGACCCCTTGCTTAATTGGCGTCTCAACACCCGCGAGTCTCCGCCCAGACCACACTTCCGCTCCGAACGGAGGCAAAGCATCATCGAAGCCCCCGGTGCACAGGGAGGAGACTATGATCGCAGTCCAATGGAGAGTGCGAACAACCCGGCATCTATGATGAACAACCAGGGACAGAGCCATGTTGGTGCACCGCCAGGACGTCGACACCGTCGCAGCAGTGTTCTTGATCCAGCGATGGTAGGCGGAAGTGTGCTTGACAAAACCACGGACAACAATGCCGCAGCTCAGGAAGCGAAGGAGGTACAAAATGCCCGAGCCTTGCAAGTGCTAGCCCGCGTCAAGGAGAAATTGACAGGACGTGACTTCAAGCCTGCGGCACCAGGTACACCCTCATACGCTATTGCAACAGCCCTTCGCGCGGATGTCAACGGTCTTGGCCTCGAATCTCTGATGAACGTAAACGGCGGGGCGATGAACAACTTGACCAATGGCGCGATTGGGGCCGTGGATATGCAGCCACACGGCAAACAGGTCTCGATTGCAGGCAGCGCACCCGAGACGACCATGGCGGGGATCGGTGGATTGGGAGTTGCGGAGCAGGTGGATCGCTTGATTCTGCAAGCGACGAATGTGGAGAATCTATGTCAGCATTATATTGGGTGGTGTTCGTTCTGGTGATTGGGGGTGGTTGGAAATGGAGGACTATTTTAATTCCTGTTGTGCGGGAGATATTGCCTCTCCTGAGACGGGGGCATGCCTTTGAACCACGGGCTTTGGTCTGCGTCTGCGTTTGTGTCACATCCATATCGGTCAGAGAGGTCATGCTGGCTTCCTGCATGTCTCGGCCTTGTCTATAACGAGGACGGCGCTGGACTGGCCAGGAATTAGCAGACGGAAGAAAATGAATGGCAAAGGCAATGGCAAAAGTCGATCTGTGGCGGTCGGAAGCGCAGGGAGGCTGATCGTCCATCAACTTTCCTCGTATTTACGCTTTCCTCACCCAAGTTACAACGGTAGTACCATGGGCCGGATGGCAGAGGACACTGATTGATTGTAACGCATAGGAAGGGGGGCCATAGAGCAGCATGGGCATCTCATAGCTTTGCGTAGCATAGCATAGCATAGTATAGTATGGCAACACGTGCACGCATGCATGGCGTGGCGTAGTATCGTATGGGATGGTACGACATTACACGGGTATAACGTTAAAGGTATCATAGCATACCATCGTATACCACACCACAACTCAGCACAGTATAGTACAGTATATTATAATACCTACGCAGAGGCCTTGCACTTTGGGAATATACCAGCCAGAGGAGTTGCTGCTCGATTACTCATTACTCGGTTCCTCAGTTACGTAGGGACATATGTACTCGGTACATACCTAGGTAGTACTGGTAGGTACCTACCTGAGGAGATATGTATGTACCACCGAGTGAAGTCGAAAACGCCCCTCCTGAAAAATTTCTGAATCCGTATACGCTGTACCGGGTACAAAAACGACATGGAATACGAGGGTGAATGTGCGTGCATCACGGTCAGTCGTACCTCACGAGTACACTGTACACGAGGTATAAGGTATACGAGGTATACGAGGATACTAACGCTAACGCTAAATGGAAATACCCTGTACAGGTGCAGAAGTCTACATCGGAATGGAGCAGAGTGTTATTATGTGCGAGGTACAGAGTATGTGTGTAGAATCAATAGGATTGAATAAGTCAATTCAATCAATGGCAGTGTCATTACTGAAGCCTAGGAAAAAGCTTTTTATTTCGGCGTCAGGTACGAGGTACTCTGGCCGGTATTGCATCCATACCAAACAGGACCAAAAAAAAAACTCCATGCCTCGATTTTACCTGCTCGCACGTCACCTTGAAATATCAGCAACAAGTCAAGTTGTTTCTCACATGCATTTTTCTTTTCCGCTTTTGTCTTTTTTGATTTCTGGTCCTGGCTTGCCTTTTTTGGACCTTTTGCAATCCACTTTGCGTGATGGTCTATTTGGTAATGTCGAGTTCGGCTCATGCTTTTCCAGATGACATGCACCCAATCGTGACAACCTTGAACAACGCCCGTAAATGAAAGAGCCGGATGCATATTTTGAGACAAAAAAAGCTCGGTGTCCACATGTTGGATTGTTTTTGGTATCTGCCTGGTCGGAAAGACATGCTCGTGCGCTGCTGGCAGAAAGGGCACATCGCTTGCTCCGTCCGCAAGATCTAGTGGTATCCATTTGTGACACCATTCGTCCCATTCTGTTGGGTGTGTCTAACTTGTCTCCTTGCTCGCACCGCCTCGGCCAATTGCTCCAAAACCTCCACTGTTGTTTCCCAGTTGATACAAGCGTCCGTGATACTGACCCCCTTTTGCAGGCTATCGAGACCACCCTCTGGAGGTACCTTCTGGTTGCCCTCGTTGATGTTGGACTCAATCATGACCGCCACGATTGCATCTTCGCCCTGTCTCAGCTGGTCACCTATGGCTTGAGCGACCAAAGGTTGGTTCTTATGGTTCTTCTTGGAGTTGCCGTGCGAGCAGTCAATCATCATGACTTCTCGCTGGCCCTTGGACTTCAAAGCTGCGCGAGCTGCCTTCACCGACTCCGCATCGTAGTTTGTGCCCTTTGAGCCGCCACGGAGAATCACAAAGCCGTCTTCATTGCCGGCTGTTTTGGTGATGGCAGCCAAGCCTTGCTTGGTGACACCCATGAAGTGGTGTTTCGCGGCGGCAGCTCCTACGGCATCGATGGCCACAGAAAGTGACCCGTCTGTTCCATTCTTGAACCCCATTGGGAAGGACAAACCCGAGGCAAGTTCTCTGTGAAGTTGGGACTCGGTTGTTCGGGCGCCGATAGCACCCAGGGAAATCAGGTCAGCCAGAAATTGCGGCGAGATTGTGTCGAGCATTTCGCTCGCAATAGGCATGCCCATTGAGGTAAGGTCGGCGTAGAGCTGTCTCGAGACGCGAAGGCCTTTGTTTATTTTGTACGACTCATCAATGTCAGGATCGTTGATGAGACCTTTCCAGCCCACTGTGGTCCGGGGTTTTTCTAGGTAGGCACGCATAATGATACATAGATCCGACGACAGCTTTTCCGCAAGCTCTTTCAACCGACCGGCGTATTCAAGAGCTGTTGCAGGGTCATGGATGGAACAGGGTCCAACCATGACAAGAAGTCTGTCATCCCGCTGGTGTATGATTTCTTTGCATTCTCGGCGACCTTTGGCAACAGTCTCGACTGATGCTTGTGATGCAGGAACCTCGGCTTGCAGGAGGGCAGGGGGAATAAGAGGGTCATAGCCAAGGACTCGAACGTCCTCGCCGGCGGCAGAAGCTGCAGTATCGGCGGAGGGCATTGTGAGGAAGGCTGTGTGGAAGTGGTTATTAGACGAGATGAGCAGGCGAGATGTCACAGGACGAAGGGACAGAAAATAGGTGAAGTCGTAGGGGTGGGAGACGAGTGTAGGAAAGAAAGAAAAAAGAAGAGGGTAAGGTATAGCTATTGTGTGAGCGGAAGCATAGTCATCCCAGTCAATGGTATGATTCACAAGGGCGACGTGCGGCGAGGACTGGCCTCGACTCAGAAAAAAATCGGGCGCAGTTAAGTGGAGGGGCAGCCAAAGTGAAAAAAAGAACTGGAGGCGGTGTGACTCGCTGGAGCTCCCATCGGATAAATGATTTTTCCATTATTCCGCACATTGCAGGCACTAGTCTAGATTAAGTAAACGCGGAATGGCTTGAATCGCCGCCACGAGGGAGGCGCCACACAAACGGTGGTGATGGTACTAAAATAATCAGATGGATGATGACGTAGTGCCAGGGAGGCTCTGGGTGGCTTGTTCGTGGCTTCCCCTTTCACTCATTCTCCCGGCGGCCAACAACCAACTTCCCCCCACAAACGCGACACACAGACCGACAAACTCCCCTTCTTCCCCCCAGCATGAGTATCTCTTCCACATTACTCTGTACAAGTCATTATATTCGACCAGCTTCCCATCTCCCTTCTTAACACTCAGCCGCCCCCTTATACAAAAATCCCACAGATCTCACTTGTACGGAACGCTGACTTCCCGAACACCCTTCCATCTGAACCCCGGCCATTCGCCTCCAAGTCCAGGCGCGCGCTCTGGTTGGCCCTCGTTCAAATTGTCTTTGTTTCACCTACTCAAAGACGTCCACCACACGACACTGCCACGGTTTGATCGACTCTCCTTGCACACGGGGCTATGACTTCGATCTCTACGCTGGAAACATAAAAACACCCCTCTAATCACACCACAATCGCTCCTCGCTCTGTCAAAGCTCCATGTCCGGTTTGAGTCCCAATCACCCGACCACCGCTGATCCCTCTGCCATGGCCGATGTCCACACTTCTACGTTCCATTTCAACAATCCAACACCCTCCTGCAAGCGGAAACGACCATCAAATAATCTAGAGGACGATGGTGGCTTCATGGTTCGCAACCCCAAAAGGCGGCCCACCCCGACACAATGTCTACCCTTCCGCTTGTCGCCTTCTTCGCGGCCACATGTTTCAGTTGCTGGCGGTTCTTACCCTCTCTTCACTTCCATCTACCAGCAACCTCCGACTCCGGTAGACACCTCGGATGAAGATGAAAGTTCCAGCCAGTCTTTCAACGGAGCAGAAGACCAGTGGCCGGTCGCCAAGAATGACTCGAACAAGGCAATCCAAAATAGCACGTTGTCAGCCAAGGCTCAATTCAGCGATCCGATTGATGTCGAGATGGATCTGCAAATGGCTCCTCCGGCCTCCCAGCCGAAGATACGACGCGCTCGATCAAACGATATCGTGGCTCCTGAGCGCGGATCCGATTTCCTTACTGCCATGGATACCTTTGCTCGAGAAAGAGTGCCAACACCCATCAGCGGTCATTTCGACAACCGCGTCAGTGATCTCCCCAACGTTCCACGCCATCACTTCCCACCGCTGCGCACCAATCTCAGCCCGATGATTGAGCAGGAGTCGTGGATCACTCGAGACGGTCTGCCTAGTCCTGTCGAAGACCACGATATGGACGCCGCGATGGTGATGGAAGACGAACCCATCACTGAGGTGCATTTTCCTACCGGAAAATACGGAATGGACGACAATTCGAGCCCTACAGGACGAACGAGGTCGGCACGGCTTCATATGGGTTATCTCAATGATTGCGAAAAGTGCATTCAGAAAGTACCTGGCCATTACAGTCACATTATATGGACTTGAAACCAGGGGGCAGTTTGCGTAACAGCTTTTGGCCTGCTCGTGGTGGCATGACGATTTTGATGAGCAATGAGAACAAAGATTAAATGAGAAGCATGACTATCACATCTTGGAGGGTGCTAGGTTACAGGGCGTTCGCTAGTTGGCATGGCCGACAGCGGTGGGAGATTGTATAACCCCACGTGTGGTTTACAGGCAGCATGTTTTGGCGAATTGCTTGTTTGAGACTGGGAATTTTCGATTTGAGAGTTTTGCACGGCTCTTTCTACGCAAGGGTGCGCGCCGTTTTCAAATAGCTGTACAAATGACATGTCTGGGATGCCCTCCGATACCAGAGATCAATTCCTTTGAAACCCAAACCCCCGTTTTCATGTGCCTTACGATTCGCTGTTGCTGCCTCTAATCCAACTTAACCAGCTTCTTCCTCCCCCTGTCGAAGGCCCTCCAACAGCACCAGCCACGTTACTGGCCATCACATCCAATGGGCCTCCCACAGTTGTTGGTCTCGCGGCAAGGGTCCTGTCGTCCCTTGCAGGCTCGTCTTCTGCTTTCCTGGTGATGTATTCGACTCTGTCCGCGGGTACAGGGCGACCCTTTGAGTCGATACCCACGCCCTGGACGCCACTTGGGGCAACTTGAACAGCGTCCCTCACAGGGAGGCCTCTAGAAGGAGGGGGTACTTGGCCTCCAACCAAGTCTTCCTCTCTGTGTTTCCATTCCGCACTGGTTTCTCGTCGACTCTTCTCCTCGGCCGTTTCCTCTCCCATTGTCCCCTTGGCCATCTGACCACCCACAAACCCCTTCAACTTGTTCCAGTAGCCTTCTTGCTTCTTCCTCTCCGCCTCTTTCATCCTCGCTGCCTCCATCTCCTGCCCTGCACGTTCCTGCTCGAGCAGATGCAGCTGTTCCGCGCTCGCCTCGCCCTTGAGAAACGCCCGTCTTGCGTCATCCAGCCTGTTCAATTCCCTCTCAACCCACGCGCGCTTTTGTCTTCGTGAATGGGCAATGAGCGATATCGTGCCGTATGCGGTGACGCAGACTGCGAGGCCGGAGAAGATTATCAGTCCGTATGCGGTGAGCCGGTGGGCGCGGTCGGCGATGACCCGACCACTGGAAATTATGCGGTCGATGGGTGAGGAGCCGGCCGAGCTCTTTGCAGCCTCGTGCGCGGCCCGGAGGCGGGCGACTCTTTCCATTGGCGTCTCTTTCGAGGACGAGCCATGTTGGGGGGACGAGGGAGGCTGTGAAGACGAGGCAGAGGGGGATGGTGAGGAGGGTGTGTTTCTGGCTCCGGGCCGGGAGGCAGGTTGATAGGTGAAGGTCGTGGCATGGGGAGTTGTCGAGGTGAAGCGAGTAAAGGTGTCAGATGCCGGTCGTCGCGACATTTTGGGTATGAATGCTTTCATTATTTTTTTCTTGGTGTGGTTCAGGGAGAGAAAAACCGCAGACGAGGAAGAATCCTCGACGTGGGAGAGGGATACAAAGTTCACTGATGGTGTTACAAAGCTGGCATCTCAAAATTTCGTGCACATTAGGCTGCTAGTGTACAGAGAAAGTAGAAGGTCGTCCCAGTCAAAGATGGAGAAAATAGCCAATGGTGGGCAGTGGTGGGCAAACGTTGGTTGAAGACTGCGAGAAATAAACTGAAAATGAAGCTCCCGAGCGAGACGAACACGAAAGCATCGCATGACGGGCGACAAGGATCGCGCGACCCGCTTTTTTTTTCTCATTGGATCTCCAAAGCTTCTTTCCCTCTTGTCCAACTGGTCCGAGTCAGATAGAGAGAGAACTTGTTGCTCTGTTTTTCTTTTCGTTGTGTATTATCTCAAAGGCAACACCTGTTTAGCATCTCAACCAACCACTTGTAGGAAGAGGACTCGCCATAAGTTCGTCCTGGGCATGGCAAAGTCTAGTCAACTTGGTGCACCGACTCCGTATTGTCTCCACGGTCATCTCTTAGACATTACTATAGATACTCTTGCCTTGCTAGCCATTCCCCTTGGTGATGATTTTGCTAGTTCTCTTTTTCTCAGTCAAGGAAGCTTCATATCATGTCCACAACACAGATGTAAACATACGAGATGTGCCATCTGCATACTGGCTCGACTCAAAGGGACGCAGCCTTGCCAAGACGCGAGGCTGTCGTTTGCCGAGCTGATCTGACTGACTTCTGGATCGTCACTTCTGAACCTTCAACCTTTCCCTCCTTTCTACATCCCTTGAGATTATCACAAGACCACAGCTCCTCTATGAGGGCATTAAGAGGATCTTCACACTGTCCATGGACTTAGCCTCGTTGCTGCTCTGGTGCTCTCCTTTTTTGACTTGGTCGTGACCTGAAATGGACGGGCAGCGGAATCCAGAGCTCCAGCGGGTCCTAGCAGCGCTGAATAGCTTTTCCCAGCAGCAACAACCGCCGGCTCAGCCCTCATTTGTTGGATTCGGTCCCTACAGTAGTCAAGGTCTTAATGGGGTAGACACTAGTTCCGCCAATACGCTGATCCCGGGCCTGGGCTTACTCCCGTCCACCCTTCATGAGCGTGTTGTCTCTCCGCCACCTATCCACCGCCACCAAGACCCAGTTCCCACTGCGCCCCAGGCACAGAGTAGGACGTCGACACCAGGTCTGCCGGAGACTCTTCGCAGCAAGACTTCGACTCCTAATTTCAATGTCCCTGATGCATCGACCATAGTTACTTGGCCAGCAGCACTGAAACACGTCTCGCGCCATCTTGTTCACAATGAACAAGTGGCCAACAGGATCAAGCATTTGATCAACGAACAACACAAGCATGAGCGCCAGTGGTGGGCCGGCCGTGAAGCTATTGTTGCCAGACAGCAGGGCAGATCTGGGACGTCGCAGCAGGTCTCGGCGATATTGAAGTCGCTAGGCGCGAAGGATGTGGCGGCTACTTCGTCACGCGGGGCTGCACCATCAGAGGCACAGAAAAAGGCGGACCAGGCAGAACTAGACGCCTATGATAGAAAGGTGTATGCTGGTCTGCTGGCCATGACCGCAGATTTTGACAGGCAACTGCGGTCACTGGGTGTACCGTTTTATGCTATCAAGCACGACTTGGTGATATTGGAGGATGGTCCTGAGAAACAGGCTGGAGCTAACAAGGGCAAAATTGACAGAGGAGAATTAAGGGAGTTGCAGAAGCGGATGTGTCAAACTTTGGAGGATCTATTCGGAGACTGAGATTCGGCCCGGAAGGGTGATTCGACCAATACAAGGACTTATAAAGAAATCAAACCATGCCTCTGGACAGCAGCATTTGCAGTCAGGATGAAGTCTGGGAGCATTGCATCTCTCGGCAAGTGTTTGTCGTTGGCTAAATAGACATGTCAGCGCAGAGGAAGCAGAACAGTATCAAGTGCAGGGGTGGCGAGAAGATAGACTCTTCCGGGATGGACTGGTCGGCGAAGAGATGTTGGCTGCAGATGAATGCTACTGCCTGGCCTGCACTCATGCCATGAACAAGTGAAGATGCACAAAGATCCCAATGAGGGAAGAATGGCGGTGGGGAGCAAGTCCTGCCACCACGTCTTGCGCTTTGTTGCGCCTCGTTAGCAATCAGCGTCTCTGCTTCACTTCAACCTCACCTCACCTCACGCGCAAACCTTTCAGGAAAGAGTCCTCAATCTCCGGCACATCACCCCCGATAGCCATGGGCACCTTACTGCACTACCTCACCACCGGCGCGGGCTGCGATTTGATCATAATCTGTCGCGGAGAATTCTTCTTGGTTCACAAATCAGTCATTGCCGCTCACTCACCGGTACTGGAAAGAGATGCGTGCAAGTCAACGGTAATTGCTTCCTTCACTTCGCCCTCCTCGCCATCATTATACATCTCTCCCCAGCCTCTGACTCAGAAGTTTCCAGTTTCTCGGTGGCGAGGCGTACATCCTGGACGCAGTCTCTCCTGATGTCTTCCGCAAAGTCCTCACTTTCATGTACCGGGGCGACATTCCGGAATCTTTCCAGAGCACACTAGCTGCCTCGACTCAACTTCCCCTCGACAAAAAGTTCCCTCTGACCGACGCCTTCCTGGTCACCATTCGGGGCAAGCCTGCGACTGTCAACCTCTTGGATGGCTCGACCAAGACTACGGACACCATCACTAATGCAGACAAATGGGCCATCTTGATGGCAAAGCAAGCCTTGATCAAGGATCCATATGATGTCCGTCCATGCGTTAACTCGGACGAAATCTTTCCAGAACTCAATGTCTACCTCGTGGCGAAGCAACTGGAGATTGGCCCTCTAAAGGACGTCTCCGTGCAAAAGATTATCACGTGGTTTGAAAAGGAACTGCGTACGGGTTGCCCATTGTCTGAAGACTTCCATGTCTGGGCTGGCTACATTCTCAGAGCCTACGACGACTTTATACAACCCTTCTTCAGGATCTGTGCAATAGATATTCCTGTCGTGGAGAAAGACAGGTCTCTGGTATCTTTGCTTGGGAAATGCAATTCTAACCTCTGGGAGGGCATGCTGTCCGTCCGTGCACAGTGGCAAAAGGACCTTGTGAACAAACGAGATGAATTACAAAAGACCAAGGACCAGTGTTTGGTCCTGAAGGCAGACGCAGAAAAGCAGAAAGCTGCGTCCAGAGATCAAGAGAAGGTGTATAAATCGAAAATGGAAGAGCTGCAGAAGTCACTGGATCTGGCTGATGGGAGGACTCGAGCTGCACAAGCGCTGGCTCAACGGCTCGACAAGCTCACACGTTCTTTACAACAGGACCTGTTGAAAGAGAAGGCTAGTGCGGTCCAGTTGAAGGAGACCAACACCAAGAAAGAGAAGCAGCCCGCCAAAAGCGACCCCGCTACTTCGAAACTTCAGAAGCAAATTGGAGACTTGAATGAAATGGTCAAGAGCAAGGAACAGGCCCACAAAGGGTCCAAAGCTGCCAATAACAAGGTCAAGGCGGCCCTGCGTAGCGAGAAGGAGGCCCTGCGTATTGAGTTCGCCAAAGTCAAAGATGCGTTCACGGGGTTTAAGAGATGGATCAATGACACGCCAAAGTGTCCAGGCTGCCAGAGCGAGCACAACATCCGGATCGAGCACCAGCGCTATACTTCGATTGGCGTTGCATGCGCGCATTGCCCATTTCGTACGATGTGGTACGGAGCGGACACCGATGATGGGAAGGCGTGACAGGGCACAATATGAAAACATTCATAAGGCCAGATGTGGTCATTGAAAAGATGTCAGCTGTTTGATCACAGAGGGTTGTGCAAATGAGAGGATGTGCTGGGACAGCGTATTGACTCCACAAGGGAGGTGTTGAGATATCTCCTGTAGTCGATGAAACCGATGCCTGCCTGAGTTGAAGACGTCCGATGGCACTGTCACTATTACATGCGACCTGTGTGCTTGGGGTGGAAGCCTGCCTTCCATGACCATGATGCGGATAGACCAAGTCGCAGTTGCCAAACCCTGCGTGCAATCGCTCTGTCAATAACTCGAGTGCAGACTTCAGTGTAGTTTTCTCGGACACTGCGTTCTGTCGGTTCACATTCAAACCAACAAAACTCACAAGTGGTTTTGAGCAGATATTTAGCCTCTCCCTCCTGGCACTGCCTTCAGTCTCTCTACTCTTGCACAAACATGGACGAAACACGAGGTAGTGCTGGTGTCGTTGACAATTTGGCTCGCTCGTCTGACCATTCTACTCCTGCATCCTCCTCTGCTGAAGAAACAACCGATTTGCGAAGTCTTGCACTTCGAGCACAAACACTGTCGAGCACTCTTGAGACGCTCCGCAAACACTGTGGACATGAGAGCACCTCGTCGGATATTGCTACTGCCATTGAGGAGTTGAAGCTGCTTGCCTCGGAGCTCCACAGCCTCGATTCTGCGGTCCAGGCCAACAAAGAACTCTATACCGAGGCTTTTGGTGAAGATCTGAGCGAGATTCGTGCACATCTCGGGGGCATCTTTGAAGACATTGCAGATTGCTGCAAAGAGATGCAAAAGGCCGATTGCCCAAACACCAGCGCGGTGGGCTGGCTGACCAAGAAGAGATACGTACGCAAGTTGCAGAAACACCTGGAAGTCAACAAGACCACCCTGATTGTGATGCGCACTGTCCTACATCATGGCAAGGAATATGGAACTTACAAGTCGGTTCTCCCCTTCTGCACTTGAGGCGAACTATAGAACTGACCTTCTCCAGCTCTCCCGGTCGTCTAGCCGAGTCCTCACCACACACCTTGCAAGAAGACCTTGCTATCCTTGAGACTGTCTTTGCAAGCAGGACCGCCATCAAGGACCTCCAAACCCTTGCCAAAAAGCCCCATGGACATTCGCCTTCAACTTCCTCGATAGGAATTAACGATCCCTCTCCGACCCTCCAACCAGGCGCACACGGCCGAAACTTGTCGTCTGCTACGGGTGTCGACATTCCAGTGATGGGAGACGTACTTCCAGCCAGCACTGCAGATGGAAAGGGGAAGAAACAAGATGCATTAGCACGGAGGTTCTCCCGCCGCGGAGTGCGGCTGGCCGTCCACAGCTCAATCATGGACACTAACGCACACGACGTCCCCATCTCACTCCGGAGGAAATGGATTCACGACGCTCAACTTCGACATGGCCCTGACTATAGGGAATCAGACGGCCAATCTGCTGCTCAGCTAAGCAATATTTCTGAAGTCAACTCAAATTCTGGGCAGGACGATGAGCCGGCAAAGCAAGGTCGTCAATCAAGCCTCACCACACCGGAGGGTCAAACTGCTAGCGCCGCTTCATCAACGTCGGGCCCGCTCTCAACAAATTCGAAGAAAAGCTCGTCGCTGGCAAACTCTCCATTGGGTAGGAAATTCGGGAGTGTCATTGCTCGACTTTCTCGCCCTGCCAGTGAGCAACACGAAAGTGCTGGTGAACATAGTGCCGAGACAAAGGTGCAGGGGGCCCAGATCCAGGCCGAGAAGAGATTCGGTAAGGAGCAGGAAGGGAAATCGACAGAGATCAAGAAAGAAATGTCGGCAAAGGAGAAGCCAGGATGGTCCTACCGTTTAACCAGGCCCTTTGTGAAGTCGGAGCTGACCACCCCTGATTTCGAAAGAGGTTTTTGAGCGGGACAGTACAATCATCGGATGGCTATGCAGGGACAGAGACTGTCCATGGCCAAGAGCACAGCGCACTTTGCTTGGAATGATGTGTGGTATACAATTATAGAGTATGTTGCAGGCGTTTGAGGTAACGCCGTTGAGTCCACCATCAGTACTGAAAGAGAACCTGCATAACATATGATGTACCGAGTACTGTCATAACGAATATGTTAGGTCTAATCTGCCTGTGTGAAGACCTTTGCTCAATGAGGCTTAATTTGGTAAACAGTTGCTGGTATATCAAGTACTTTGTACTTTTTCTTTTGGTGACATTTTGTCTGGACGAGGCTGAGAAGAAATGCCAAGAATCCAGGGGTCGGCAAGGCTGCAACCATGACTTTGTCTCGTCCCACGTTTCCGCTTTCTCTGTCCGTCTGCATGTCATTCTGTTGATCTGAAACTTGTCAACAGATAACGAACAGAAATCGAGACTCCAAAGAACAATACCGGACAAGAGAACAGAATATCATTCAACCAAACAAGCGTGCTTCGAACGCAGGTCTTTTCAAACGAAATCGGCAATGGACATGCGTGTCATGTCATGAAAGATGCAGAGAGCGAGTGCGTGGGGATGCCGGATGGCGTTCTGTTCGCCCTGTGTATGGGCAGATGGATGAACGGAACGCCGTTTGAAAGGCCTAGCTAGGAGGGGAGGGGGTGGGTTTGAAGAAGGTGAGAAAGGACAGGGAATGTATGCGTACAAACGAAGAACGAAGAACGGATGGTGGTTTGTTTCGCTGTTCTCTTTTTTTCCCTTCGCTTCAAAACTGAGATCTTGTTCTCCTTCTTTTTTGTCTGCTCTTGTCTCTTTCCTCCCTTGATCTGTTCATATTGCGAATCTCTGTTTCTCCGGTCGGATATGTCTAGCAATATCTAGCAATAACAACACAGAGAAGACAAAACACCCGGCAATAAAACAAGACTACAGGATACCTCACAACCACAAGAGGCGCAGACACCAACAACCCTGGATACCCGCGTCTTCTCCTCGTCAAGCACCCACCGCCACGGCCGCTTCGAGCTCAAGCACACCGACACCGTCTTCCTCCCGGACTGGATCACCCGCCCGATCATGGACTTGGCCAATAAACTGTCCGGGCTGGACATGTATCTGTACAATGCCGAGGACGGCCCATGTTTACCACAGTCTGGTTCGGACGACGAGGATAGTGTCTGTGGACATCAGGTTTCGGTGTCGTCAAATGCTCGCGCTCAGGGTCCGAAACAGCCGGGTGAAGATACGTTTGACGAAAAGAGATGTCCGCATGTGTCGGCGGGGGGTGTGGCGATTGGTGACATCGACGTCAATGGCGCAGATGACCGCGACGGCGACGGTGAGGGAGACTGGGAAGTCGTGCCTCAGCATCCAGATTGGGACGTGGTCGCTCGTGGCGGCGAGGGCCGTGAGCGAAAGCCATTGTTGAAAGCAGATTGGGTCGTGTGTGAAAAGGGTCGAGACGGCAAGGTGCAAATGTTTGAGGGTCCTCGAGCCGAAGACGGCGTTGCTGCACTGTCCGTGTCGTCGGAAGAGAGAGCTCAGATGACCGACACGTCTCTCCTTGAATCCACCACGCGACCTGGCATTCGAGTTTCCGCAAAACCCAGCCCGGCACACGCGTCATATATACTCGACGACGATTCGGGTTCGCACCACTCGCACTTCGAAGGAGGAGACGCCAATCATCCAGCGTCGTCAGATCATGGAACAGCAAACGTGTCCACAATTGATCTAGTACCCTCGAGAAAGTCATACGAGCGAATTCGGCCAGGACACAAGATACGACCACGGGCATCACCGTCGACGACTCTGGGTGACGAGGCTCGGAAACATGAACAGGAGCTACAACCAGCACACTCGAGCCCCCTCCGCGTCTCGACCACCCGCAGGGTCAAACACCCCGCCGCCAACCCGACCAAGAACCGACCACTCCCACCTGACGAACAGGACCTGCCTTTTTTGAGTCCTCCTCCTCCTCCTCCAAAGACCGTCACCACTAACAAAGACATCATCGGAGACCCCCGCGACCACGAGCAAGTCCCCGCCGTGTCGCGAGTGCTGGCAAAGGGCGACCAGGACTGTGCGGCGCTGATTGCCGCGCAGGAACGGCTGAACGAGAAGCTGCAGCAGCGGGACCAGCGGGGGATTTATAGGCGCCACGAGAAGTGGCGCGATACGGTGCCTTCGTGGCCGTCGCGGTTCTACTACTAGGCTGCTGGTATACTTGTCTACTAGGCTGCTGGGCTTCTAGGCTGCTAGGTGCTTTGTGCAGTGGTTGGAAGTTGGGAATTGGAACTGGGAAGAGAGATATGAAGGGTGGTGGAAGAATGGTGCTGACGATATGATCCGTGGGAGTCCTTGTGACATGTCGACGGCTTGCCTTGCGCCATTCAACGCACGGCGGGTCAAGAACGCGCAGACAACAACATACATCGAACAAACATTGTTTTGAATGCTTTGCATATATGCCTATGGGCCTACATACCGTGGAAGGACAGAGATCAGTGAGCATCCTGACGCCTGGTTTGAGCGAATTGGGCTTGCCGTGGATGACGACCCTCGTGAAAATAGCCAGGTAAATCTGTTGGGAAACAACCTCTTTACATTCTTAGGCGTCGGACAAAATCTAGCACAATCATCGTCATCATCATCATAAATCATCATATCCTTCCCGTCTGCCTGTCTGGGTCTTTTCTCCTCCCCTACCTGCTTGCTTGCCTGCCTGCTTGCCTGCCTGCCCGACTGGATTGACACCCGTGTGGCACTGGCCCATAGGTTGGGGTGGCCTGGAGAGTGAAAGCGCGCTGGGCCAGTATGTGCCACCTTTCGTTTCGGTGGGCTCACCCTTGCGTGATCCTGTTGTTCGTCCTTGTGGGAGACGGGACAAGCAAGGTTTGCTCGAGACTGGCGAACCCATAGCTCGGATTCTATGACGATGTGTGGGCTGGAGGAAGATCGAAGGGCTCTACCCTAGAGACTTAACCATTCTCCCACCAAAAAAGGAACACCTTCCTGCTTGCCGAAACGCGCTTCATTCTGGAAGGTCAATGTGGTGACACTTTTGATCGTCGATGACCAAGAAACCCCTTCCAGAATGCAGCACTCTTTGTCTCTCGGTGCAGAGGTGTTCATCTGCCACCATCAACCAATAGAAGGGCTATACTGTGAGGCAGCAGAGCACGATATGGACCAAACAGACCGAGCAAATTGCTCAGAACCTGAGTCAGGAACCACTGTCGCCTCCAGACCAACTCACGGTCGGTCTACCAGCTGTCCAATCTTGCTCCCGTGGTCAATCGGAATTGTCCAAGTCATCCCTCACAGCTGCAGCCATTGAGATAGCTCATCGAATCGGTCAGAGCATACCAGAATTCCTGTTCTTCCGCATCAGGTGGACAGCATCAATCCCTTTTGCCGATATTGCTGGTGTAGCCACCATAGCCACCGTAGCCGGAGCTCCTCGCCATGCCATTTCCGACGTTGCCGCCGAGGATGCCGTTGGAATATATCCCACTTCGCCCGCTTTTCCTCCTCTCGTAGACGAGCATCGCCATAGCTCCCACGCCAGCACTCGCAGCCACAGCGAAGAAGCTCAGCAACGAAAAACCTATGCTGTGATCCGTCACCTTGAGGACAGGCCGGCCAACCATGCCAGGTAAGACTGCTCCGTCGATCCACCCAACATTGAACGTAAGGACCAATGGCTCATTGCGAACGATTTTGGCGCCCTCGCTGGGCGCGGAGGACGAGGTGTTTGGGAGAGAATAGGCAGTCGAGGCAATCAGGTACGACTGGTGCGAGGAGGCTCGTGGCGAGTCCGGGTCCTGGGACATGTGGAAGAGAGCATTGATGTTTGTGTGCAGATGCAGATGGCTGAGTTGAAGAACTCCCTGCAGCGCAATTGTAAAGGGTGTCCAGAGGCCCTTTCCCGCGGCGCCCAGCCCGCTCGCGTCGGGGAGGGAAGATGTGATTCCAAGCTCTTCCTGCGTCAATGGAAAGGAAGGGACTCGACAAGTCAGGGGCACATCGCTGTGGACGAAGAATTCGAGGAGGTGGTAGAGTTCGTCGGGCAGGGCATCGATCGTGCAGATCTGCGTTTGCGGCTCGTTGTACTTGAACGATAGCGGCTGGCCCGTCTCATTGCACGTCGGAAACGGTATATATTGTAGATTACCATGGTCGTCGGTTATCTATCAGCAGTCTCCGCGTCAGTATGCATCTTACACCTCGACAGACGCCACCGTTGCCCGCTGAAAAGCCCATCGTTGCCAATGTTCCTTGCGGTAGACGGCACGACTTACGTGCTCTCCAGTGTCACTGTGTCCTGTTAGTGGTAGCCTGGAGTATCCCGTGGAGTCAACACTCACATGGTCCTATTCAAGCAGCTGACGGGCATCAGCTCCCCTTTCGAGTAGCCCCTGCGTGGGGAAGCCCCGTTGAGCCCCGTCGTCTCATCGGCGACGGCGACATTGACCGAAGCTGATAGATATAGGTAGAAGATGGAGAGTGCGTTCAAGTAAACAGATCCATGACGGAGCATGGTTGCGGTCCACCAAATGGGTTTCAATGGGCATCAAGATCTCGCTGCGCACTTTTTCGCGCGCATTTGTGGACGATCTTGGTTCGTTGGAAACTTGCCGTTTTCGTAAACCCGAGGCGCTAAAGACGGGCCGTCCCGTTGCTACTCAGGCACTACAGGCTTGGAGCTGCTTGACGTCACAAATTCACAATCCCAAAACCCCTTGTGACATCGAGGAGAGAGAGAGTACATGGAGAATACACGCTACAACAGTTGGACGCTTTAGCAGTGCTTTTTGTACCGCTATCCTTCGCTGCATGAAGCTCCAAGATAGGCCGTGGTGTCACGGTCTCTTAGAGGCTGAGGTGGTGCGATGTTGGGTTGTCCTATCTATTTCTGCAATATCTGGCGTCATGGAACCTGTTACTCTCTCTACGCTACTGTCTTCCTCTGGCATTTCTAATCTCAGCAGCATCCTCGAGAGACGTTTTGGAAAACTAAGGTCACATGGTAGTGACGGACAAGACCTGCTGAAGAGTTCAACTTGTAAATAGCTCGGTCGTGGTTGAACGAAAGCATCAGCGAATAATAACAACGGCTCCTGTCTCTCCTGAGCAGACCTGAACAAGATAGACCGAGTTTGTGATTTGGCTTGAGGGTACAAAATCTATGTCTTGTCTGTGTGCTCAAGCCAACCTCATGAAAGTAGTTCTTACTACCAGCCGATTAGAGACTTGAAGGCAGGTTGTATCAACTTTTGGGATTCGCTCTCTAAATATTGTCACAGGCCATTCACATTATTTTGGCCCTTACTCTTAAGACTCAGCATGCTCTTCCATGTCACCCTGCACATGTCTAGCTCGATGCCCCTGTACCCTTGGCTGTCTTTGTCTCGGCATGGTCTTGCAGGATATGCTTCGGGTTGCTTGTGAGGTTGGCGGTTTGGTCATCTTTACCTTCATTCTTGCTTTGCGAATTGTCGAGCTATACCCTATAGTTAGCAAATGTGATCAAGGCAGCTTTGATGTTGCTTTGGCAAGAGTCGACAGGAATGGTTTGGATCTGGTTGCACAGTCGCAGGATAGGAGAAGTATACCTTTCCACTGCCCGGCTGGGAGGGATGATCTTGCTGCTGAGCGCCGGTCTGTCGCTCGGGGTCTGGTGACTGACGTCCTTGGTTCGGTGCAGACATTGTGTGATAAGAGGATAAGGTGTTGTAGACGATCTATGTGCCGTGTGAGCAATGGCTTTGCTCAAGCAGGTGTTGAGACTGAGGGCTTGTATATCGACTTACTGGAATTTGGGTAGATGGATATGCGTGAGTTGGCTTGATAGACGAGAGAAAGAGAGTTCTGGAGAATATGTGAATGTGAGAAAGAGGACTCAGTATAAATGAGAAGAGGCCGCGTACTTCGTCACCCCGCTGAGCACGATGATGATCCCACTATAAACTATGACGTTTGATGGTTACGAAATACTGGGTCGCCACGAACCATGTCACGCCTGCTGTGAGCCTTTCTAGACAAGGGAAGTAAAGATCCTCGATACCCTGCAAGGAATTTCCCATGCATATCGGCATCTGAGACTTTGCCATAGAATCTCGCATTGCCTCGTTTGCTTGGTCGAGTGGTGATAATTTCTAGAATGAGTGGATCAGATGAAACCACCATATATTCCAGCGCGCAATCGCTTGATCTGGGTCTCTCCAAAGGTCAAAGCGACGTTTCCACCATGGCCTGGATTTATGTTTCACAGATATCAGACAAACTCAACTGAATCCAGCAAACCAACAAATCTAGACCGCCATTTAATCAGCCACACAAACAGCCACCCGCCTTTTATCAGCCTTCTGCCTTCTACCTTTCAATCGACCAGACATTCACTCTTATGACTCAAAGCACACCTGCAAATCTATTTTCCCCATCGCAAGCTTGGACTGGCGATGCCGAATGTGGCCAGGAGGCTGGCTTTGCAGTTGGGACAGCTCCGGCTCTTGTCCTGGCGAATTTTGAGCTGCACGTAGTTCGGGCACCGGCGTCCAGCCTGATACTTGCAACCTGTCTTGTCCAGCTGGTATGATTCGTAGTGACCGCACCTCAGGTTGATCAGGCGCTCGAAGCACATGGTGGCGGGATATTGTCTCGTCCAAAACCGACTGCGCCGAAGCCGTTAATGAATGACCTGCCGTGAAACAGTGTCGCGCACTCACGTACCCTTGATCTTCTAAATATTGACTTATCCAATTGATTGTGCGTTGTTTATTTCTGCCACTGTGGGCGGTGCAGGCGATCGGCCCAGTTATCCAGGCTCTCCGCAGGCCTCACAGAAGCGATCAGTTGGAATGGTGGAAGGCTTGTTCATACTCTGGGGAATGATGGAAACAGACAACAGATGACAGTGGATGAAGCTATCGTCCGGGACGATGGCGATGTGGTGTACTTGTAGGAAAAATGTGGCAGTGAGGACAGGAGTCATTCCAGGTGGGCAGAATGAGAATTAAGCTGCTCAGGTGTTTTGGGGGGGGAGGCGCAGGCAAAGATTTGTTGCGTTCGGAAGTCTTGGGTCTGGCACTTTGGTCACTCCCAGAGTCCCAGCAAGCGGTTGGCCCACCTATGCGAATCACACTGCGCCCGATGCGGCAACTCGCCCCCCCCCCCCCCCCCAGCCATGATGGTCTCGCTTTGTTTGCTTGAACCATCCACCATTTACCTTTGTCTGGTAGCAACATCTTAGGTGATGTTTCCCTGACAACTGGAATTCACTGTCTACATATTAAAGAGGCAGACGAGTTCAAAAATCGCCCTGTTGAAATGGCCAACTTTTCCACCCGCAGTGGATTCGTCGTGAATTGGATGATCGTAACCATGAGATACTATTTCAAGGACACTACAGACCTCCATCATATGCAACGTTCACACCACTGAGACTCCACCGTCAAAGAATAAAGCATTGAGTGATAAAGCCATGTCTCCCTCCCTTAGACAGCACCGGTTGGCAATTGTTGCCCGCTGGCTTGAGCAGCCTCCTTCGCTTCAGTGGTTGCTTCTGAGCTGCCCTTTGCACAGTTTGCACAGGCACAATGGCCAGGAGGACAGGGACATTTGCCCTCGGTACCTCCACAAGTGCACACTGTCTTGTCTGTGCCTTTGACGGGCTCTGGCTGAATGGCTCCGACATCGCTCTTTGCGCACCTAGCACAGTTGCAATGACCTGGGGCGCATCCACATATTCCTTCCTCGCCACCACATTTGCAAACTGTCTTGTCCGTTCCTGGGACAGGCTCTGGCTCATAATGCTTGCCTGCCTTCAGGTCTGCCAATCTGCGGGCTTCGGTGTGCACATCTCTGACTTGCTTGTCCCCTTGTATATAGAACTGTCTGATCTTTTGCCCAGTGGGAGTCCCCAGTGCCTTTTCAAAATACGTGTGGACTCCACCCCAGGCACTCATCGCCTTGTCGCTCACCCCATATTTAGTATCCACAGACTTGGCTGTGTCGGTAGCCTTGTACTTCTGGTCGAAGTTGGTCAGGGCACTGGTGAAACGATTGCTGAAACCATGCTTTTGATCCAAAGCAATGGCTCTTGAGATGACTTGGTCTGAGAGAGAGTAGCCATGAGCAAGGTATTCGGCCACAATCCTTGAACGTGGTTTGTCTTCTTGCTCAATGTGGTCGTCGCCAGGGGCGGACGAAACTGCGGCACCTGCCTTGGAAGCAACGTCATCGATGGTACTGGCCGCAGTTACGTGGACTTGAGATTTGCCCAGCTGGGTGCTGTCGAGGAGGAGGGCTGTCTTTGCGGCACTAGGAGAACAGTGTTAGCATCATAGTGGAAGTATCGGAGGCTCCAAGACTTACGTTTCCTTCTCGAAAGTCACGGTGGCAGATTTTGCGGCGTCTGGGGCACCGGACTCGGGTGTGACAGAGATTGAGGTTATCTTGCCACTATATCAGAGGTTAGTGTCATACAACTTTCTCTGGAAAACATGAAACTCACCAGAAGCTGAAGAAGTCCTTGACCTCCTTCTCACTGGTATCATGGGAGATACCCTTGACGTGGACGGTGGTCGACATGACGGTGGAGTTGGTTTTGGGCGCGAAGATGGCACGTTGTTGTGGATAAGGTGTATATTTTTGGAAAGAAATTGGTTTTGGAGGGTAAGAAATATGTTTTCTTTTTGAAGAAACCAGAAGGCTTTACAATATTTCTTTTATGGCGTAGAGGAGATCAAATTGCAGGATGCACATGATGATCCCAGCAACAGTTGAAAAAGGTCTACATACGTCACTTCCGTCTCAACGCCCCCTCCTGCATGCGCCACATCGAACCACATCAGCCACAACGCCACTCTCCCAGGCAGCCAGGTAATCTCAGAGCGGAACCTGTCGTCCCTCGTCCCGTTCAGATTAGCCACTCTCCGCTTTGCTGCTCACCTTCTGCTCCCTGGGCGATTCGTGAGCGCTCTCTGAAGGCCGCCTGCGCACTTGGTCCTTCGTCCTTTTCATTCACAAGACCAACTTTGTACACGATGGGACCCGTTCGGGATGCTGGGGAACACCAACCCGGCCCTCTTTCTATTGCGCTCGAACTGCTCAGTTGAGCAGTTTTAAGATGGGCTCTGCCCTGGCTTAGGACGCCGCGGCGGCGTGTTTTGAGGACTCCTTTGTGATAACACACAAGCTGGAGAGTACTAGTTTCATCGACTGTTCGAATGCATCTTGAAAATCGTGCAACGTTGGTGATTTCCTTATGTTCGCTGATGGTCGCGTCGCACCACGTCCCCTCACAGCATATAAACAATCGCTTCTTCGGCGTATTCCGAGACTGTGGCGGCATTTTGTTGATAGTCGAGAGCCAGATATACACGTGATCTGCACTATGCGTAAGTGATATCTCCAGAGATTTAACTCTCTACTTCACCATATGGAGATAGAAATAAACATTGAAGCTTTGCTGCTATTATATCCCATAGACTTCAGCGCTCCATGCCACAAAGGTTGGTCTGAATAAGCTTCATGTAATCGACGCACGTTAGTCTCATAGTTTCGCATGCAGCTTGAGAGCGTTTCGAGTCTTTGCGCCCAATTAGTTGCCCAGAATAGTTTCCGGCGAGGAAGATACTCACCGGTTTTATTATCAGCCACTCAAAGTAACAAAGCAAAAGCTAGCAGCTTGCCGTCTCCCAATTGGGACTACGACGCCCTACCCAAGATTCCGAGCAGGTTTGGGCAGTGATTCAAGGGTACGCGATTTGCTAGGTCCCCTGGCGCCCGTTTGAAACAGATGCACAGTCGAGAGGCAGTTTTAGCCGCCTATCAGGGGCCTGATGAGGCATTCAGTTTGGTACTCAGTGAGTGCTCACGCACTACTCAAAGGCGCTCAGCTAAAGGCCTAGTCAAAGCTCAGGCAAAAGGAGCGTTCGTTCACACACTAGGATCAAACGTATATGGCAATTAGGTATTTCCCTCTCGAGTAATAGAGGTGCACAATCAGAAAACCCTCAAGCCGAAAAGGCCACCAAGGATTTTGTATCGGTCTATCTCGTACGTATGGCAGAGTCGATTGAACATCCTTTCTGTGATCTGGCTTCATGCTCCTCTATGGAATCCCAGCCAATGTCAAGTAATCTTACATGCCCATCAATGACCTGTCATTGGCCACCAACACCTCAAATGTCGACAACCAGCTCCTCTCCAGATGATTCATCACATGTCGAGGATCGATATAGCATCAAACGACTTGGTCGCCTTTGTTCATTTGGGCTTCGACGAAGTCTTGGTTTGTTTCCTGGTGGTAGTTTTTGTTGACTTTGTGTTCCTGGTCGTCGTCTCGGCAGGGACAGTGCTCGCTTTGCCAATAACAGCAATTTGGGCGCATTGTTGCATTGTTATTCCCTGGTCCCTTCGTCAGGCCTTATTGCTTGGTATAGGGGAGATACTCACAGAAGGACAGCAGCGATTGGCGGCAACTCCAATGCCGCAATTATAACCGCCTGGACAAATCCCTGTATCGCCACCCGATCAGCCTTCGCCTCCTCAGATATATGGTGGAAAAATGAGTCCTACCACTTCCATCTGGACAGCAGGTATCCTTTTTGGCATAGCAAAACGCCCCAAAAAATGCATCGCACAGGTTGGAATTGTTTGGGCAAATTGACCAATTTTGGACGTCTCCGGCGGAAACGGCGCCGAACAGGCACAGTGTGCTGAGGGGTATGATGAACTTCATGTTTGGCCAAGTGCTATTTGAATCTGTCTTCTCAAACAAGGGCTCAGCGAAGTATGTCGTCCAATCCTGGCCTCATGGGGGCAGAGCGGTGCATATTAGTACCCATCACGGTTGGCAGACCAGGACAATGAATTCACCCCGAAGAAAGACAGAGAGAAGCGGGAAGTTGGAATGGTTGCAGGCATTCGATAACTCGGTAAGTGGGAGAGTTCCCCGGATTAGAGGTTGAATAGCGATGTAGACAAAGGAACCCTGGCTCTGTTGCAGCACGAGAACAGCTCCATCGTTGTCAGGGCCGATCTATGCCACGAGGAACAAAGAGAATTGGTCGTCTCGAAGGTCAGGATAAGCGCCATTGTTCAGATACCTGACTCGGCGACCCATTAAAGACAGACTACAAGAAAGTGTCCACGAAGCTTGACTGTACACACCTGCTCCATGATGGTCAAGAGAAATGTCTCGGTGTGGCTGGAAAGATGGTCTGTGCTCAGAACAAGGCTACACTCCATGGAATGGTGAGTTATTCGTGGAAACAACTCATGGAGGTGGTGCAAGAAATGCCAATCCTAGCAGGTAAATAAATATGACGAGCGAGTAGACGGTGGGTACAGAACAGTGCGTTGACTCAGCCAGATGAAGAGGGAGTATTGTGAGTGGCCAAAGTCAATGGCCAGAACAGGGCATCAGTTTACCTAATTAGGAAACCACCATACGGCACCAGACGGGTGTCCACCCCCCCACAACTGCCAGCTCTATCTAGACCTCACCGAGTACTCAACTTCCTCTCTTTGTGCCAGCAATGCGACCTGAACCGCCCTCTCGGCCGTGGTACACTTGCGCGTCAAGATCGAGATGCGAAAAATCCTTCGGCTTCAATGCGAATTGTGCTTCGCGAGGAATTGCCGTCTGATTCTATATTTGCATGTTGAGGAACTCTTATCACATTAGCTCTGGCGATTGCATCCAGGCTCCTACGGCTGCAATGGGGCTTTGCTAGCTCAACAACCCCCAGAATGCTCGTGATGGCCACCATCATCATGCGTTTGACCGCTATGGTGCTGACTGTTGTCGCCATCACCTCCATGCTGCCAGCCTCCATCGTGGTCGTGGCTATTGTCACCATGGCTTCCTTCTTGCCATCCTCCACCGTGATCGTGGCCGTGGTGCCATTCGCCCTCGTGCTGATCTCCATTCCAACCTTCACCTCCACCTTCACCCTGCCAGCCGTAGTCATCCTGTTCATCACCACCGAGGCCGTTACCATCATGCCAGTGCCCAGCGTGGTTCTCATCATTGCCGTCTTGCCACTGCTGATGCGGATCTTTATGGTGATCATAGTGCTCGTCGTTGCCATCTTGTTCGTGGTACGGCTGATACTCCTGATCTTCCCCGGTGGGGTAATAGTCGCCTTCTTGGTGACCTTCTTCCTCCCCGTAATATTCAGGGTCGTCCTCATTCTCGAAGGCGTCTTCGTCATAGTCCTCATCAGGGTCGTTCTCCTCGTCCGAGTCGCTGTCCGTGTCTTGAGGACGCGGGACTCCCAAGATGTGCTGGTGCATTCGAGGTTTGAGCTCGCTAGGATCGACATCTCCGTGGCCGTAAAACTGGCCGAAAATAGAGGCGGAGTGGTCACCGTGAAGGGCGGCTGCGCGTTCATTTTGGGGGTCAATCCTTAGGATTTGAAAACAAATGTTGGCCATGTTCAACGAATGGTGGTGAAGTCTCGGTTGTAGCGTTTCATCCGGCTCTAGAGGGCGTATGAGTGAGTGACGGGAGGGGTAGCGCTCGATGGGTTCAACAGACTTACCTTCAGACCAGTACGATTTCTCGTATTTGCGCTCGAGCCTGTCCAGCTGGGCCTCGAGCTCCTGCAGTTTCGCCCAGGTGTCTTCCCCTGCATCATCACCCTCGTGTTCCATCTCCCCTTCCTCAAGATGACCGGTCTGTCCTATGTCTTCCTCTCCAAGATCGCCATCTTGTATTATCTCGCCCGCATTAAGGGAAAATTGCCCTAGATGGCCATCGGGGTCGAATCCCTGTCCCCCCTGGTCATATCCATGTTCCCCTTGGGCAAGACCATCTTGCGCCGGGTCAAAATGGCCTTGCGCGTGGTCTTCAGAGGAATAAAAGTCACCGTGCCCTTGGTCCTCTCCAAGGTGCTGTGCTTGGTGATGGTTCTCCTCCATTTTTCCAAAAAGCCGCAGAGTAGGAAGATGATGGGCGTGAGTATCTAACACCGGGCGCGAGAGATGCTTGGGGAAGAATGTGACGGACCAAGACCCTAGGCAAGGAACGGGTTGTACATGAGCGACGAAGAAATACCCGTGTGAAGACTGCGCTATAAGCCATGCTTACCCCCTCCCCCCTTGTACTCGTAGAACAGTGCCACAAGGATTCACTGGAGAAGCTGAAGCTAGACCAGATCGGCGCGTCCTGCCCCCTTACGTCTGTACTGGGGCCGCCCCCATTCGCAAGTGTAGTAATGCTTCAGATACCTGGTTTGAAAAACATGTCAGCATCGGTTGGGTCCAGCGTCTTGGCCTGAAGGGCTTAGTTGGACTTCAGCTATAATACCCACACTCAGTTAAAGGTGTCCCCAAGGCTGTGTGATGAGTTTATACATGTGCCTTTCTGGGACCTTGGGGAAATGATTCCCTTTGCCCCCTTTGGTTCCATGTGGAATCCTTCCAGAGAACAGATCCTGACAGAAACTACGTAATTACAATGTCACGTCGTCTCCGTCGTCTTGGTATTCGGCAGAGTCTCTGTTCCAAAAATGAATAGAGACATCTTCCCTGCTCGTGGGGCGGAGGTAGACTGCCATTCCAAATATCATTAGAGTCAGTCCACCTCCACTACAATAAGTTGCACAGCGAAGATACCAAAGGAACTCCTCCACTGTAATCAGATCTTGGCAATCCTCTGCCGTGGCCGGCATGAGATTAGGATATATATTCTAGCCACTCAAGAATACCAGAGATTCGAGGATTCAGGGCCCCCCCCCCCCCCCCCCCCTAGTTCTCGGATTTACAGAAATCGAACATGGCCTCCACATTCTTTATCCTGGGACAAGACTACCTTCTATTTTTCCGGCCCGCGGCACTTAAGGCATATGTCAGCCAGGCTACCATTAGACATGAGTCGGGGCTGCCGTAAGCATCCTACCCCGTTCCGTTGCCTACAGGATTTGCACGTCGCGCGCTGCTCTGCCTTGCCTTTTCCTCTAATATTGCATCAGAAGCAAAGGGCAATGACCAAAGACCATCCCTGGGAAAACCAGGCCTCCCTTCTCTCTTTCTCTCTCTCTCTTCCCCTCCCCGCCGCTGCCGGGAGAACTGCGCATCTGTGCCTAACGAGTGGTGGCTGACAATGTTACCATGAGACCTTTCCAATATTGACTAGCAGGCAGGCTTGCCCCCACGACTCTTTTAATAGCCTGACCGGGCAGAAAGCTATCTCGAAGCATAGCTGTCTTTGGTAGATAATATGTGCTGCAGGTCACGACCATAAGTTGACAAATGCAACTGTGCGACCTGACAGCAGAGTCGAGAGCTCAATATTTCCCAATCCCAAAGCAAACACCACCATGTCTACATCTACCGGAGCTCCGCGTAGAGGAGCCGCGCCGACTGGGAGAGGCGGGTTTCCAGCTGGCAGAGGGAGAGGCGGTGCTCCCGCTGGAAGCTCTTCGTCTACCAAGGGAAAAGAGCGAGCCCCCGCGCCGACAGGTCGAAGATTTCTCATCTTCTGTGACGGAACCGGCGAAGTTGCACCAGAGAAGAGCTCGGGCAGCGAAAGTAACCTGGCGAAACTCGCCCTCTCCATGGCAGAGCGCGGCTCCGAGGGCCAAGAGCAAATTTGTTTCTACCAGCAAGGATTAGGCACCGTTCCGTTTACCCATCCCATACAGAAAATCAATGAAATGGCCATGGGCAAAGGTGCGTACTCGAGCCCCATGAGACGGTTACAGGCAGGTTGATACATCATAGGCATCGTGGACCACATCAAGATCATATACAACTACATTGCTCCTGTCTCAAGCCAAACAGGGCCCTCAAGCCGGACAGCGCCCTCAACTGATGATGATCATCCGAGGATTCAAGAAGGAGACACTTTGTGTTTCTTTGGCTTCTCCAGAGGAGCAGCAACAGCACGCTTTGCGGCCGATTTCATTGCAACTGCTGGTTTCCCAGCTGGCGGTCAGACTAAGCTGGCGAATGTCGACGTCTTCTTCCAAGCCTGGATGGATGCATCAGATAGTAGCCGATACCGAGTTCCACAGAGCGTGAGGCTCATCATGCCCAAAGTCGAATGTGTTGGAGTTTTTGACACAGTCGAAGCCATTGGACCCCCGAGATCCACACAGCAGAGGGCGCGCAGCGGAGTGCCCCCTACAATTCCAAAGTTGTCGACAAAGGCAAAGCTCCTCCATGGAGATATCCAGTACGGATTTCAAGCCCTTGCTTTGCATGAAATGCGCCAGGCGTTTTTACCCGAGGTTTGGGGCCCACCGCGGGCATTGGGACAAGTCATCAAACAGACCTGGTTTCTTGGGAAACATTCAGATGTCGGCGGTGGCCCTTCCTCAGACAGGCCAGACTCCGGTCTAGCAAGTACGGCGTTCCGATGGATGATAGCGCAGCTCAACAGCATTGGCATCATAATCGCTGCGACTGGAGGCCTTGGTGAAAACCTAGCAATTCCAGAAGAAGAAGCTGGACAGGGCCAAGTTCGAACCCAAGGCACATTGAGTGGCGGCATACAGGGAGGCCAGGCACGGAGAACACCGGGACGATACTCAGTTGGAATGGAGAAGGTCCACGAATCTGTCCGATTACAAGGGCTGGCGAACCTCAGTCAGCTACCCGAGACGCCTTCCCTTGCCGATCTCATAGGGCAGCTACGACAACAAGGAGAGAGCTATGTCTGGGTGAACGGAAACATCGTGATGAAAGAAGACACAGATATTGCGCCTCCAGAAGGGAGCACGACAGCTCAGGCCACAAACGCACCACTACATCCGCTGCCTAGCACCGCGAGACCTGGTGGCGGTGTGGTCCCTCAACGGCCTCAAGGGAGAGGTGGTGGAGTGAGAGGAGGAGTGAGAGGAGGTGCAAGAGGGGGTGCAAGAGGAGCAGGACCATCTGGGCAAACTGGTGCTTGATATAGTCTGATTGATTATGCCCCGTTCCTATGAGTATCTTGAGTGGACTTTCAGGTTACTTCGCGAAGGCAATTGGCTAGTCGATTTGCTGAGATGGTGATCTGCTGAGCTTGGACAGGCTGATCGAGGAGTTCATAGCGTAGCCACAAGGTACGAAGAGGGAGCATTCGGTGGCCGTAGGAGGAGAGGAGGTTCAACGATAGGAAAGGAAGGGTTGGTAAACGGTAGAGGGGCGCGTAGCAAGTATTTGAGCCTATTATTTAGTAGACTTGAAACTGGAAGCAAACATGAAACACACTTACAGATGGGGGTGGGACGAACCAGGCTGCCAGGCTATTCCATACATGCAGCCAACCAAAGTATGAGTGCCTGCCCACCCAGCTGCCTATGGGTGGCCTAGTTAATACCGAATATTTGGTAATACCGTATAAAAGGCACATCAAAGAGAGGGCTAATTACCGCGGCTGGTGGGCTTCATCTTTAACTGGAATTTTTAATCAAGCTTTGGTTAGAAACCCAGGCACGACAGGTAAGCCGAAGAACTGCCAAGAGCTGCCAAGAGCTGCCAGCCTGCGCACCAAGGCCAAAGCATGTGTCTCTCCACACTCCCTCGTACCGCCTCGCCGCATACGTCAATTCCAACGCTGACCTCCCGTGCCACCTACGTAACAGTGACTGATTCTCTGTGTCTGTACCTCGCAACGTGATTTTGTTCTAGTGTACCGAGTGTATCCTCTGGCTCACGAGGGAAGGCGACACCATTTAACCTGGGCAGACTCTGAATCTTCACCCATAGGCGAGGCTCACCATGCCAGACACCACGGATGCAAGCCCGTCTCTCCTCTCCAGCCTATTGTCCTTACCTCCCCAGCTTACTCTCACGGCTTATCAATATTCCAACACCCTCCCACACTCATTTCCTTCATGTCGCAGTACGAAGCATGTCGTGTAGAAAAAGTCAAGGGAAAACGCACCCTGTTTGGGATAAGCTCCAGGCAAGCTTTGGAGAGGCTGGTGTGGCGGCGCCTCCCACCGTATCTGCCCGGAAACAAGAAATAGAAGCGTCACCGGCCGCCGCCTCGGCAAAAGCTTTTTCTGGGGCAACCTCGACTTGGTAGATGGGGACCACAGGTGGGCGGATAGAGAGGCTATAAGCGCAAAAGATCTGCTGGATCCCCTTTGGCCCGTCCTTCACCCGCTGCCCCCATTTCAAACGACAGCACTGAACACCTCGGGCTTGGGAGGAGTGGGTTTTCATGGCAACATGACCCCCTCTTCTGACTGGCCTCTTGGGGCCTCCAGCGTTTTGCTAGACCTTCATGGCCAAGGCTAAACATGCCTGTTGCAGGAAACATGCAGTAAAAAGCCGCCGATTGTCCTTAGGTTCCCGACCCCGTTGTGGGATTTTGGGCCTTCTCCAACTACTCGCCTCGGTCGCCTCTCATCTTTCCTATCTATCCTAGCTGTCAGCTTTTGATATGCCTCGTACCTGAACCCTGCCCTTCAGACAGGAAATTGTTTCTGCTTCGGACAAGCGCAGGTCTAGGAGATCAGTAAGCGTTTTTGAGGTCTAGTCTGGACGATCCCGCGTCCAGCTATAACCGAGACCACGCGCCAACTAATTACGCAGCCCAAGGTTTCCTTCCAGCTTCGAGAAAGTTTTGGTCTCCGTTGCGCTTTGCTCGTGCCCTGTCCTCGACGCCTGTTTCCCCTTGTATGAAACTTGATCAGAAATCATGGCGCGCACCAAGGAAGACATCGCCGACACCACCACCCTCGCGCTCTTAGGAAAGAAACAAGTCCTCAAACGGCGGTTCGGCTTCTGGTCACTATTTGGCTTCGCCGTGTGCGAGCTGATCACCTGGGAAACTGTCCTCGCGCTCTTCAGCCAGGGGTTTGACAATGGCGGCCCCGCGGGGTTGGTCTACGGCTTCATTATTGCGTGGTCCAGCACGCTGTCCATCTACACCGTCATCTCCGAGCTCGCATCAATGGCCCCGATCGCCGGAGGTCAATACTACTGGGTCTACATGCTCGCGCCACCGCGATGGAAGGTGTTCAGCAGCTACATCATTGGGTGGCTAACCTCGTTGGCGTGGATCGCCACCGTGGCGACCGAGACAATCTTCGCGGGGACTATAATCCAGGGCCTGATCATCCTTGACTACAAGGACTACGACGCTAAACGGTGGCATGGTACGTTGCTGGCCTGGCTGGTCATGGCCGTCGCCGTCTTCATCAACGTGGTGATTCCCGGGGCGCTGCCCAAGTTCGAGATCTTCATCATCGTGTTCCACATCGCGGGCTTCATCACCATCATCGGCGTACTCTGGGCCTACGCTCCACACAACTCGGCCCATTTCGTCTTCGCGACGTCGCTCAACGAGGGTGGCTGGCCCACCCAGGGTTTGTCGTATTGCGTCGGCTTTTTGGGTAATGTTGCGACCTTTGTTGGCGCCGACGCGTCCGTCCACATGGCCGAGGAAGTAGAGCACGCGGGACGAAACATCCCCCGAGCAATCATTGCAAGCATGTGCATCAATGGGCTTGTCGGCTTCGTCATGATGCTGACAGTGCTCTTCTGTCTGGGTGATGTGGATTCCGTCTTGGAGACGGCGACAGGTTATCCATTTATCCAGATCTTTTACAGTAAGTCCCACAAATCAAAGCCACCCAACAGCAGGAAAGAACCCCAGAATACATCAATGACTTTCTTCCACGTGTCCCCCCTCTCCTCTCTATCCATTTCCAGAAGGATAAAAGAATTGAAAAATCTCATATTGACCCGATCTTTTGGTTTTTCCGCTTCAAAATAGACAGCGTGAACTCGATATCCGGAGCAACAGTCATGGGTGCCATCGTGCTGGCGCTGACGTGGGCATGCGCGACGGGCATCACCACCACGGCGTCACGAATGACCTGGTCGTTTGCGCGTGACCGAGGCACCCCGTTCAGCAAGCCGCTGAGTTACGTGTCGCGGGTCCGCAGGATCCCTGTTGTGGGCGTCCTTGTCGTGGTCGGGCTTGCAGCCCTGCTGACGCTGATCAACATCGGGTCGTACACGGCGTTCAACGATGTTATTTCCCTCACTATCACAGGCTTCTACTGCTCGTACCTCCTGCCAGCCGCATTCCTGCTGTGGCACCGCTTCAAAGGCCATATCGCCCCGCACAAACAGGATACTCCGGGCCTGGCGATCGGTGAGGACGGGGCCGTGATCGAAGAAGACGGTGTGGCAACCACCACTTCGAAGCAGCATGAGGGAGAGAAGACCGTCACACCGCCTGATGTGATCGGAGAGGATCCTAAGGTGCTCGAGTCCAACAATGGCGTTGGCCCCATCTACGCGGCGCCGAGCGCAGATCACACGCACGACGGTCCGCCACGACGACCCTCGCTGGTCGCGCTGCCGCAGCTGCAATGGGGGCCCTTCCACCTGCCAGAGCCGCTGGGTACCATCAATAACCTGTACGCGTGCGTGTACATGATCTTTGTCATCTTCTGGAGCGTGTGGCCGCCCGTGACCCCCGTGGACGCTTCGACCATGAACTACAGCGTGGTCGTGACGAGCGGCGTCGTCATCTTCAGCATCGTCTGGTACTGGCTCCGAGGCCGCAACGAGTACCACGGCCCGACAATCGACGATGAGGTCGCGAGCGTCATGAGACTGGGAAGCTTCGTCGCCGTTTGATTTCCACCACCCCTCTCAAACCAAATCCCCGGAATTTCTTCGGTACCAATTCTCTCTCGTCCACGATTGACAAATCACCGTGCCGCGGGACAGGTCGATGCTATTTTCCAAATCAATCGTGGGAAATGAGGAAAATGGTGATATTGGCATGCAACATCATCTTGTTTGGGCATTTACAAGAGCGGCTTGGTCGGGTGTGGGGAGAGTGGATGGAATCTGTCAAAATGGGGAGCGAGCGAGCGAGTGCGCGTGCGAGAGAGAAGAGGCACGTAGAAGAGGAAAACAAAAACAAAATACCATGTACCCACCAAAAAAACCAACTACCCCCCCGGATGACTTGGACATCACATGTACCGTAGCACTCTAGCCAGAAGGGGAAAAACTCACATAGGTCATGGTTATGGTCATGGTCATGGAAAAAGCCGAGGAAACCCAAAACCATTCCCTCATCCTTAGTCGTCAGATAAAAATGAACCAGCGTAACATGAAATTTGAAGAGGAATTCGTCAGTAGAGGGAGAAGAAGAATGAGAAGTAAAAGACACTGGGGTGAAGAAACAGATCTTGCGGAATCTCTATTTATTTTTACCCCTCAGCATATTGTTTCTTTTTTTCTTTTCCATTGCCGTGCGTGTTCCGATAGGGGATAAAATGCCTGTGTCCGTGTCCGTGTCCATGTCCGTGTCTATCTCTTCTTCCCGTAGGATTTGGTGGCTCTAATTTGTTCCCCTTGGTAGAGGTTGCCACTACCAGCACCACTACCACATGAACCTCTGGACGTTGCCCGGCTCCTGGGACCATTCGAACCCTCTGTACAGGAACATGTAGCACGTGACGGCGTTGACGGCGAGATACCACGCCAGTTCCAGCCAGGCCGACTGCGCGGCCGCCGTCCTCAGCAGCGCCTGCAGTGCCGACACTGGGAGGCGCGCCTTGTCCTTCGGCGTAGAAACCTGTGTCTCCAGCTCCGACCTCGTGCACTTCTCGGCCGACGGCGCAATGTATTCCGGCACGGCCAGGCGCCACGTCAACCACGGGACCAGAAAGTATCGAGGTTCGACGAGCGGGGCGGCGATGAGCGACAAGGACGTCGCGACGAGCCAGACGAGGATGAAGCTGACGCGCACGACGTCGTCGCCGTACAGGATCCGCGAGGGCTTTGTAGACGACGACGACGATACCGCGTCCGTCACACCGCCGAGCCTCCCCAGAACCATGCAAGCGCAGAGATAGTAGACCGGGACGGCCGCGTATCTGACGAGCCAGTGTTTCCTGAGGATGGCGAAGACGTAGAATGTATAGTGTCGGTTGTCGGCGAGGGTGAAGGGGTGTACGATGGTATTGAAATTGACGATAACGAGCATGAGAGCGAGGAAGCTCACTGTCGTGGTCACTCTAGGGAGTCGTTGACGGAGACCGCAGAGGTCGGAGAAAAGCGGGAGCAGGACGGGCCACGAGAAGAAGACGATGGCCGGCCAAATATAGAGCATCTGGGCAAGGTGGATGGTTGCGATGTGGTTGTCTCGGTCTCCGAGGACTACACCACCGTTCCAGACGACGAATGCGGCGAACGCGCCGAGGAGCGACAACTGTGGCCACAAGTCGACAAGAAGCTGGGGTATCATGGGGACGGTAGATTGGGCGAGAGAAATGCTTGTGATGGGAAAATCTAAAAAGTTGGCCCGTCAGAGACTGATCATGGGGAAAAGCTTCAATCCGCAAGGACTTTTTGAGAACAAACTGGCCGGTCGAACCTTCAAAGTATGATTCAGACACGGGAGGATCATGGACCTCACGCGCGCCCACTCTCTGTTTAACGCTTTCGATGGCCTGAAGCCCCCCCAGATACACCGCGACCCAAAAGATGTTCGTCTGCCGGGCGGCCAAGGACACCAACCCAGCCAGGAGATGCAACGTCTGGTAGAGGACCTTGAGAGACCCCTGCGCATTGGACCCTGCAGCCCAGAATACCTCACAGAGGACCACGGTGAACACGCTGAACAGATCGGTGTAATAGATGCCAGAGAAGAAGAAAATCAATGGGAAGCAGATGATGCTGAACTCCCGCTGAAGAACGCTTTCATGATGCACGGCCCTCCTCCCGACGGCCGCCAGAACGTATAATGCGACAAGGAACAGATACAGTAACAGCACGTTTGTCAATCTCCACTCGTTGACCGAAGCGCTCACGCCTTTTTGGGAGAAGGCATTCCGCACGGCATTGATGGCGTAGGAAAAGACGTAGACGCCCGGCGGAGTGGTGATTTTGGGATCCCACTGTGACCACTTCCCTAGCCAGTACGCCTGAGCCTGAGGAATATGGAAGTATTCGTCGAGGTAGGGTTCCGGGACGATCTGATTGATCAGCCTTCGCCATGTCATGTGCACCGAGGTGATGAGGCCGAGGAGCAGGACTCGCAGGAACTCCGGGCTCACAAAGTATGACATGGCGAGGTTTTCGGAGAAGAGGACGCAGGGGAGCTTCAGCAGGTAATGGGAGGAGATGAGGAATGAAGTCCAGCGCTGAGGTTGAAGCTCGCCAGAGTCGAAAGGTGATTTAACGTGAGCGCCAAGACGCGTAACGGGAGATGTTGATGGATGGTTTAGCGCTACCTTTGCCGTTCTTGGCAAGCCAAGACAAAGCTAGTAGCATTAATGTATGCTCACTTGACTCGTTCTGGCACATGTTCGACCTACTCTATTGACAAGTCTGTAACACTAGCAGCGACATCTACTTGTAGGTGACTATTCTTGGAGCATACGTAGACAGCTTGACAAAATGCGCCCCAAAGTACCCGATACTTGTGGCCTACAGCATGCTAGAGAATGAGAACGAGAGTGAAGGTGAAACGTGTTTAGGTTGGTTAGGTGTCTTTATTGGCGCCTAGCTATCAACGAGTTGTCTATTCTATCGACTACTGAATACACTGGTAGTACCAATGCTTAGAGAATAGATGACAATGAGGCACCACTATTCTCAAGCGTTCCCGATATCCCTGGTATTAACAAATGGCAATCTTACAAGCGGATGACTGGGTTTTGTTAGGCGGATGCCACTTAAAGTGTAAAGTATTTCTGGCGGGTAGGATTCTTCTGCGGGCCATCGAATCAATTCGGCGCGCACCGCGACCAGACCGTGTCCAACTACATACTACAACCCCTCCCTCAACCTTTTCCAACAGTACAACTGAATATGCAAGATACGTGTCACTGACACCACCTCCTCGCCTTCTCTCCCCACCACGTCCTGAATGTCTGCCTTCCCTCACCCGCCCGGCCTGCTCCCCGCCGAGGTTGCATTCCTCTGCGAGATGGAGCAGGTGACGATATTACCGCGACAGCGCCTCGAACGTCTCGACTTACTGGGCGTAAGTCCCTCCCACAGCCTCTATATCAGATGAGGTGCGACGCATGATTTCTCGTTTCTCGTCCTCATACTTACTCGTCCACCGACGACAATATTGACACCTTTATTTACTCCGCCGCGTCTCTAGGGTCCAACCCGAGCGCTTATCCCCCCGCAGCGCACGACCCTCCCCATCTGGCTCGCAGTCCTGTTAAAGCGCCAAAGACGCGCCAACATCATGCCTCCGCCCTGGATCCTCGCCGAAAATCTGCAAGATATCCTCGACACCGAGACACACAAAAACTTTCAAGAGACCTTCTCTCCCCCGCCCTCGATCCCATCTTTGCGCCAGACAGACTACAACGGAAAGTCGTTTTATGCGTCTACACCTTTTGTGGAGGCGTGCACTCTGAATGCAAATCCCACAACGCTCCCGTATCATTGGTTCGAACTCTCAGAGATACTACTGGAGGCGGCGAGCGACGATATTCCCGAACCTGACAAAGTGAGGCAGTTGCTGAGAGACATACGAGAAGTGCGGCTAGCCAAGATGCGGAAACGTGTAAAGCAATTGTCCGGTGACGGCGAAGGCACACGGCTCGACGGCATAGGCGCTATGGAGCTTTCTGAATCCAGAGGATTTCTGACAGGTGTGGTCGACGGCCTGAGGAAGATTGATGCAAGTAGGGAGCAGGAGAGGAGAGAAAGAGAGGAAGAAGAGAGAGAGGATAGGAGATATAATGACGATGGTGACGACGAAGACGACGAAGACGACGAAGACGACGAAATGACATGAAGTGTTTTTTCCAACAAGCCCGAGGAATTATGACCGTTGATCTTGGTATAAAACATCGGGAACATTCATTCGAGCTCGTAGACCAAAGTGCATCAGTCGTTAATCCTGGAGCGCCTGCACGAGAGTTGGAGTCGCAGCTAAGAAGGACTTGGGTCTTCTGCATCTTTCTCTTGCATCTTCCTTCGAGCGGCGAGAATCATTTCTTCTCGCCGTCTCTGAAGCATCCTCTGCCGTTCCTCTTTATTGCTGGTCCATCCTGGTGGCGGTGACTCTTCCTCTCTTTCCTTCCCCTTTGAGTTTACTTTGGCCTGTAAATTGTACCGCGTGATCAAATCTGGTGGTGGAGGTTTCTTGAACGGCGTTAATACAGTAGGCGTGGTAGTCGATTCAGCGGTAGTGGCCATGAACGATGGGGGCGGTTGGAATGAAGGCGGAGCCTGAGAGATAAACCCAGAGTCAGTCATTATATACTGTTGCCGCGAATTTTGGCTCCAGCAATCCCCGGAGTCGTGCCTTACCGGATCTAGACCTCTCCCAGTCAACACCCTCTCTGTTGTAGCCTGTACGCTGCCTCTGTTACGATGTAAATCCCACATTATATCCCTGCGGTTTAGTTGCGGGAACACTTGGGCTATCTGATCAACCTGTGCAGGCGTAAAACGGATCCCAGGAGTGGCGCCTCTGGAAGCGGTGGAGGATGTCTGAGAGCCGCCCTCCGCGGCGCCTGGACGCGATGAGAAGAAGTAGCGATAGATGAAATATCCGAGCACAGCGACAAAGGCAAGACTCGGGATTGAGATGGTCGCTTCCTCGTCGACGGCCGATGACATTTTTTGTAACGCACGGTTGCGACACAGGGCGCTTGCTGACGGAGAGGGGATATTATGTCCTGTGTCTACGGCGAGACGATAGAGATACCTGGGGAGCAGGCAATTTCAAGGTGGTTAAGACGGTAATGGCAAATATTAGGAGAATGCGGCGAGGTTGTGCTCAACAGGTCACCCCATGTGAGAGTCAGCTACAGTGACAAGTCGGGAGGCAATGATATCAACCGCCAAGCCCGGAAGGAACAAATATCGGCCGAGGTTAATATACCTTGATATGCTTCTTCCGCCCCCTGTAGAACAACGATTCAACGGATGTAAGAGATGAAGGACTCTGAAGGGGCTGAATATGGCTGTGTTAGAGATGATGTTTGATTCAGAGGGGAAGAGATGTATTGATTTTTTTTTGGTATCTTTACCGTGACCAAGTTCCTTTCCGTATGACAAGCTTACAGGATCATTGTCCACACGACATGGACTACCAGGTATCATCATCATTGTTGTTCAAGGTCTTCCTCTCGATAACAACCCGCCTCGTCTATCAAAATCCCAGATCACGACTTGGTAGTATCCCAATTCACCCACGTCCTGGGCATGATCCTCCAGACCATCACCTCTCCGCTTTTCAGATCTCCGACCTTAAAGCTCTCCTCTCTCACCTTTGGCTTTTTGCCCTTTTCCAGGTCTCTTCCCTGCTCCCACGCCCGGATCTTCTTCTTGGTACCATCCCAATCGATGACCACAGCTACATGCTCAGGTTTCCCAACATCGACACTATATTTTTGATGCAGCCCACCTTTGTGGCCGGAGAACTTCGCATTACGGAACGTGACAATGTCACCTGGTCGTATTTCATCAAATTGCTGTGTTGATGCGTTGCCCAGGTTGGAGTAGACCAGAGCACCATATGCTCTTGTGCCAACCGGCAGGAGTGCTGTCGGGTGGGGTTTCAGGAGTTCGAGGACAAATCCTCGCGCCGAACCGTCGCCAACAGTCGTGCCAGAAAGACCACTAGCCACTTTTGCGATCTGATTCCCGTACTGAACAGATGCATTTTCCAGTTGATCACGCCGAGGTGCAGGGGGCGGTCGCCCGTGGCTCTGTTCCAATGTCACATGGGTTGGGTCTGCCGCATCGAAGCTAACATTGATGGTAGTCTGGGAATAATCCATGTAAAGCACGTAAATATCCTTTGAGATGGTAGTCCTGCCACCACGTTTAGTAGAGGAACCGGTCTCCATTTCGTACAGAACATCAGGTCTTCCTTGCAGTGAAGGAGGCGGTAAATTGGATTGCGTCCACCACATTGAGCCCTTGGCGAGGTCAATGTCTTGAGCAATATAACCCTGTTCACTGCTTCCCCGAGCATGGTCCATTGAACGGCGAGAGAGAGTACCAGACCTTCGAAGGTCGGTGCTCTGTTCAGGGATTTCTGTTGGGGGAGGAGGTGCGAGGGTCGGCGGCGCAGTATACTCCGGCTCTGGTGGTGGAGGTGGAGGTGCTGGCCTTTCTGCTGGTGGTGGCGGTGGTATAGCAGTTGTTTTCGGCATTGCACTGTACATGTCATCTTCCTCAAGCTCCTCTCTGGGTGATTGCAGTGATGTAGAATATGGCATTTTGGTATGAAGAGAGGGCGGGGGATGCTGAGGTGCAGTATATCGATACGGATCATAGTCGTCGTCTTCGCCCACCTTGGGAGGTGGAACTGGCGGAGGAGCCGCCCGCGGGGCATCCATAGACCTTCTACTCTTCGGCGTTGGCAAAGACGGTGGCGGTGGTGGCATGTCTCGCGGAACACTAACCGGAGGCAACGGAGGAGCAGCTCGTGTGGGAGGGTGCTTCGGAGACTTCGTATCGTCCGTGAGCGCGCCTTCATCAAGGCTTGAGTCACGATTGTGAGCCTTCAGCGCATCTTTGTGCTTTGCACTTGAAGCAATATCTGTATCGTAGTCTCCGTCATATTCCGTAACTTCCTCCTCGTCATCCGAATCAGGCTTAGGAGAATGCATGGTGCCAAAGCCGCGGGAATCTGTTGTTGAGCGGCGACTTGGTGGAGCGCCTGGTGGCGGAGGAGGAGGAGCTCTGGTCTGGGGAGAGGTCGGGCTCATAGGGATAGGGGGCGGCAGTCGTGAAGCGCGTTTATCAGCGACTGGAGAAGTGGAGCTCTCAGCAGCCTCGAAGACCGAATGCTCAGGTGGCCTGGCTGGGGGCATTGGAGGCAGCGGAGGCGCGCTAGCTGGAGTCTCTAGCGCTTCCTGGCTGTCCTCTTCCGGAGGATCGTGGTCTTCGTCCTCTTCATGACCAGGTGCTTCTGCCGACGCTTGCGGTAATGATGGGGGAGGGGGAGGTACGGATCGAGCTAAGAGATTCAGTAGGTTTCCGGGATGCAGGTACTTCTTACATACCGGTGGGTGACTGCGGAACTGGAGGAGCTGCTCTTGGGGCCGATGGGGGAGGGGGAGGAGCACCTCTGGTGTCACGTAGTGGTGGTGGAGGAGCAACGCGGTCTACAGAATGTGAGTGGGCAACTCGCTTTAGCATCCAAAAGACGTACCTTGTGGAACCGGCGGAGCGGCACGGTCTGTCGAGCGACGTTGTAAGGGCTTCGAAACATAGTCTTCGCTTTCTCCCTGAACACCAGGTTCTTGCGGGGTGGGGCGTGCAGTCTCGTCGTCGTCGTCGCTCTCTGGCGATGCTAGAGGCTCGTCTTGCCGCTTCGGTATTGGAGACATCCCAGGCAATGCCATGATCCGTACTGGAGCAACTCGTTCTTGTGGCTCTTCCTGCGGGTGGCTCTCAGAGGACTGCCGAGAAGGCTCTGATTTTGGCTTCCTCGCAGCACCAGGTAGTCCAATGCCGCCAGGAGGGCCGAACATGCCCATCATGCCCATACCTCCGCTCATCTTGGCCATTCTATCTCTGAGCTCTCTTCTGCGGCGGATTTCCGGATCTTCCTCCTCTTCCTCCTCTTCCTCTTCTTCTCCACCTCCTTCTTCCTCTTCGGCTTCAACCTGTTGGCCTCGGTCGTCATCTATTGATTTTCTAGGAGCAGCAGCTGGGACGGGTATTTCCGTGCCTTTGGATTTTGGGCGCTCTTCCTCGGTGGATGTTTCTTGAATGTCATCGTCATCTGCAGCTCCTGAATCGTCGGCATCATTCGTATCACTGACGAGCTCGCGAGAAGCTGGTTGTGGCGTGCTGAGGCCTGTGGTGCGGCGAGGGAGACCCACAGGTTCATGTTCTCCTTCAGCCACCTCGGCGGATGGGCGGCCTACAGTCTCATTGGAATCTAGTCTCGTCAAAGTCGGCTCAGGCGGCTGGCTCTGTTCACTGGCCTCTGTGGACTCGACTCTCTTTTTGGGGGGTTTCTTGGGTTTCTCCTTCTTCTCAGCATTCCGAGCCGCTTGTTCCAGCTGCTGTCTTTGCAAAAGTGCTATTCTTTCTTTGAGGGACTGGGGCTTCGGTTGCTCTTCCGCTCCAGGCTCCGGTTGTGTCACAGTAGATTCCGCCAGATCCCTGGATTCCGATCCGTTCACACTCGCATCATCCTCTCGCCGGTATGGTTTTTGGATGGGAGGTTCTCGGTGAGGTGGAGGGACGAAAGCATTCCTGCTAGGAGGAGGCGCTACAAACGGCTTTCTGATGAAACCACTGCTTGGCCCACCACCGCCGGGCTTGAAAGGGGCAATTGGTGCGGCAGCGGGTTTGTTAAAGGCAGCGATCCTGTCTCTGAAAGAACTAGATGATGGTTTTTCTGCAACAGGTGGAGGGGCACGGGCGGTCGCGGCAGAAGTTGGGATGGTGGTCGGGGCGGTGGGAGCAGCAGGTTGAGGCTTCGGCACCGGCGGAGGTGCTTCAGGCTCTGTTCTTGCCGGTTCCGCTGGCTCTCTTAGTGATTCTTTCTCGCTGTCATGCACAGGTTCGGATGTCTCTGTTGGCGGAGGGTGTGGCTCTGGTGCGGGAGGCTCTGGGATACACTCGGACGGCTCTGGAACCGGTGCACGCTTCGAAGCACGCACAGGGCGCGAAGGGACTGTCGGTTCGTACTTCTCGACAAAGTTCCTTGGGAACAGGCCTTGGAGCTTTTCCCCCGAGGCATCCACGTATTCCCCAGTATACCAGTCCGCGTCCTCCTCTTCTGTAACCGTGATTATCTGGCCATTATCAAAGTTCAGATCATCAGGCTCGTCTGATCTGTATTCGAAGATCGCCTTGACCTTAAACGGTACCGCAGGCATCTTGTCTAGAGGAAATGCTCCTCAAAGATCAGGAAGGAGGTGGGCTCGGGCGGAAGGTCGAACTTTCAATGATCTTACTCGACCAGCACGGTGACGCAGCGCCTGCGCCACCTCGCTTTAAGATCGGTGCCAAGGTCAGATTGAGACTTCCTGGTGAGTGATTATTAGATCACATGGGCTTGCAAAAGAAGAATGCACGCGTGAAAAGACGATATGAGCTGGAACAGGTGTGGTGGACAGGAGACGTTATTAAGATTGTAAGAGAATGTAGACGACTTGTACGTGGGGCTCCTAGTTTCTCGCAGGCTTATTACTTGTACCTCGTAGGCTTCACTATTTACTTTTAGCCTCGTTACTTAATCAAGCCGCTTTGCCTTCGCTCTGAGTATTTGCCGAGTCATCTCTGTTTACCGTGTCACAGGCTCATGTTTCGTCCTTTGTATCAAAGCAAGGCTGTCAGGACAAACTAAGAGCCCACGCTCTCAAAAGGCAACCACACCCATTATCTGCGCCTTGCATTGTCAACATACTTGGAGCATGGCCTGCGATGGCAACTGAGCAACCTGAAAGCAACAGAGAAGATCGCATTCGCTCGACTGCATTACGCCATGCCAGAGATATTGAGGAGAGGAAGAAGCTACAGGCACGCATAGCAGACCTAGTAGTCGAAGCTTTTGACTTGCCGTCTAGACCTGACGCTGACCCCGCAAAACCTCAACCTTCCGATGCTGCTCTCTTTCGACACTGTCTGGGCCTATTTCAGACCTCGGATTTCGATGATCTCGTCTACGAGCGAAATGTAGATAATCGATGTGGCTACGCTCTGTGTCCAAGACCAAATCTGAAGCTCACACATGGTGGCCAAAAAGTCTGGAATCAGAAGGGTGGCAAAGACTTCAAACTTGTCGATAAGAGCGAACTGGAAAGGTGGTGTTCCAAAGCCTGTCAAGAAAGGGCAGCCTTTGTGCGTGCGCAGCTTGGGACGGAGCCCGCGTGGCTTCGAACTGGCCAGAACATCGATATCAGGCTGCTCGATGAAGTTGATTCCGAGAGCCTTGCCGACCCATTCAAGGTAACCGCAACTGAGATTCTGCAAACATCAAGTTCTGGAGTTATGTTTGCTAAGTTCTTGCAGGGGCTCTCGCTCGCCGAAGCGCCTGATGCAGAAATTGCCGAAAGGATGCAAGCCCTTGCGCTTGAACGTGGCGAGTTGAAGGTCAATGCCGGCGACAGCGTCGTTGATCTTATTGAGAGAAATAGCGACGTGATACCGAGTGCCCCAGCACTTAAAGGGCACCAACCGCAAAATACCATCGAAGGACACCAAGCACGAAAGGTACGGTTCTCCGAGAGATGACTTTGGTCGCCTTGAACAAGACCTCACCACTAAGGTTCGCTTTGAGAGTGCCACGAAGATCAACCCTCATCAAGTAGTTGACAATGGAGAAGACATTTCCACAGAGTCCCAGACCACGAAGCTCCGGATCCACCAGAGGGTGACGCGTGTAAACCACAAGGCCGACATAGCTTGGAGCAATCTTGTGGCGTCTGAAAGACGTAAATGATCAGACGAGAAAGGAGTATATCGACGACAGTCATTGCTGGGCCTTCCGCCATACGGCAAGTGGCCTTGCCATACGGCAAGTGGCCTTTGGTATGTTGTACCAGAGATATCTCATCTGTTTTTCTCGAGGTTACCGGCCAAATGCAAAATATGCTCTTTCAAGTGGCTGTCTCTCATATTCCCATGCCAACCAATCGCTTCTCGTCGTAGGTAGCAGTCCCATACTGTTGACTTTATAGATGCCCAAACCGAGCAGGAGACACTGCATTAGGACATATACCGCCTTGACGCCCAACATCTGTGTACGATTACCAGCGCTCTCGAATTTGGCGAACTGTGTGTTGGTCTGCGAGATAGCCTGGATAGGGTTCTTGAAACTGAAAGGAATTATCAGCATCGACGACCGCAAAGTAAGAATGGCATACTGACAGCATAAACACCATCATAATAGAAAATATCTGGAGCGAATTGCCCGACATGTAGCCCATAATAGCTTGCATGGGAAGCTGCTTCGCAGGCCCAAGTGCAACCTCCCACGCTTTCTTGAGTTTGAGTGTTTCTGTTTCTTCGGGGGTCGGGGGTTTTCGTCCAGGAGGTTGCGACTTCTATTGGAGTTGTCAGCGAGTGTAGATTGTGAGTGGTATATGGGCCTGCGGACCTGTTTCCCAACCGCGGACCTGGAGCCTGAAAAGCCGGGAGGGTCTGGGATGCTGGATACATTCTTGGGTCTAGAAGGGACGCCGTTGTTGAGGTCAACAACCCATTTCGGCATTGGAGGAGCCATGCTGTCTGAGGTCGCCATCACAGGAGGAGGTGTGGTTAGCAACGATGCAGCGATGGCGTCCCTCGTCTAAAGTTGTTGGACGCTGACGGGACTCGGAAAATGGAAACTCCGCACCCTTGGCGTGAGCGGCGGCTCCAGGGGGGACACACCGCGCAACGCCTCCTCAACGTCCTCCCTCCTCATCGACCTCCAGTAAATCTTACATTGATTACCTACCACTTGGACATTGTCATTGCTTTGAATCTCTCTGGTCAGATGTTGTTTTTCTGAAGATCATGCCGTAATTTGAGCGTCGAGCCGCTGAATCCAGCAGCAATACCGTCAACTGGAGTGACAACAGAAGCCTCCAACTATTGGGTTGAGTCGAGATTGAAAAGGTCAGGATGTCGTCCGGACATGGAGACTCAAAGCTCTTTGCCAGGGTATGCCAATCTCTTTAGCAGGATGGCCTTCCCTTCTAGCCTGTGTTTGCCACTGCCTCCTTCGCTTGTTCCCATGTTGCCGCGATGTTCAGCATCTCCCATCTCACTCTCATTCATCACGGTATTTGGAGTACGTCTGCCGGGATTACAAAGGTACCACGCTTCATGTATCATATGTGTGATATCGTGAACTGAACATCCGGCATCTATGAGATCCACAGTACATCATGCCTTTTGCCGCAATGCCTTTGCCTCTATATCTCTGTCCCGTCGCTCACACTCATGAACAGGGCAAAGTGGCCGAGCTACGAGCGGAACTCACAAATCCTGGCAAGAAAGACAAGAACCACACTACTAAGAAAAATGCGCTGAAGAAAATCGTCGCCAATATGACCATGAGCAACAACGACATGATCGCACTCTTTCCGGATATCGTGGCTTGCATGGATATCCCTGTCCTTGAGATCAAGAAAATGTTTGTCAAAGTGCGCCTGTCGCAGATATCCTGCTAACCTACGTACAGGTGTTTTTTGTACCTTCAGCACTATGCTCGCATGAAACCCGACATTGCTTTGCGAGCGTTGCCGGTGCTGGAAGAGGTGGGCAGGCCGACTTGCAGTGACGAACTTCCTGATACTAACGTATTCAGGATCTTCTGGACCCGAACCCTTTAATCCGAGCACTTGCACTGCGGACTATTTCGTATGTCCATGTTCGCGAATTCGTCGAGGGTACGATTGCCCCACTGAAGAAATTAATGTCAGACCAAGATCCCTATGTCCGGAAAACAGCTGCCATTACCGTGGCCAAAATCTACGACCACGACAAACGACTGGTCGAGGGGTCAGACCTGATTGACAGACTCAATAGAATGCTCAAGGACGACAACCCCACTGTTGTCGCAAGTGCGCTTTCTTCGTTGCAGGACATCTGGGAGAGGAGTGATAACATTAAGCTGACAATCGACTACGCAAGCGCCTCCAAAATCATTTCTATCTTGCCGGACTGCAATGAATGGTCCCAAACCTACATCTTGGAAGCACTAGTGTCCTACGTTCCACACGAATCTGGCGAGGCCCTCTTACTGGCAGAACGAATATCATCTCGGCTCTCGCACTCGAACTCTGCCGTGGTTCTTACCTGCATTCGGGTCATTATGTACCTAATGAACTACATCTCCGACAAGAAGAAAGTCGACGAACTTGCCCGCAAACTATCCCCGCCACTCATCACTCTCCTCTCTAAACCACCAGAGATTCAATATCTCGCCCTGAGAAATGCTATACTCATCCTCCAACAGCGGCCCGAAGTCCTACAAAACGACATCCGCGTGTTTTTCTGCAAGTACAACGATCCGATATACGTCAAAGTGACAAAACTCGAGTTGATATTCATGCTAGCTAATAAGAGCAACATTTCAGTGGTTCTTAACGAGCTGAGAGAGTACGCAACCGAGATCGATGTCCAATTTGTGCGCAAGGCCGTTCGAGCAATTGGAAAGCTTGCAATCAAGATTGAGCCGGCGGCGCGGCAATGTATCGACGCACTCCTGGAACTTGTTAATGCCAAAATCCCATACATCGTGCAAGAGGCAACAGTGGTCATCAAGAACATTTTCCGCAAATACCCAAACCAGTATGAATCTGTCATCTCAACCGTGATCGGTCAGATTGATGAATTGGATGAGCCAGAGGCAAAGGCTGCTATCATCTGGATCATTGGAGAGTACGCCGATCGAATCGATAACGCCGATTCACTCCTACAAGATTACCTGTCGACATTCCACGAAGAGCCTATCGAGGTTCAATTGGCGCTCCTGACCGCGACTGTGAAACTCTTCCTACACCGACCCACAAAGGGCTCTTCCATAGTTCCGCAAGTGCTGAAATGGTGCACGGAAGAGTCAGACGATCCGGATCTTCGCGACCGGGGATATATGTACTGGCGCCTGCTATCGACCGACCCAGTGACGGCGAAGAAAGTCGTCATGGGAACGAAACCACCCATCACAGCTGAGAGCGAGAAGCTGGACCCAACAACCCTGGAAGAGCTATGTCTGGGCATCGGCACCCTTGCCACTATCTATCTGAAGCCAGTACAACAGGTCTTCCGGTCTGCACGGACACGCCGACTTCAGGATTCACCAGCCTTACAGAGAAAGAGAGAAGATCTGAACCGCGCCCTGACCGGTCTGGATCTCGCGAACCCTCTATCACTGAACACAACCGTCACAACACCAGGCGGTACGCCCGTGCCCAATCACCAAGCTGCAATCGAAGCCGCCGACGACTATTTCAAGAACTTGAGCCTGAGTGACAACAGTGGGGGGGATATCCTGACTAGCCCGACTGTCGGAGGCGTGGGAAATCCATATATCGTCAGCCAGAGCGCACCACAGCACAGCTTCCATCCGCAAACGAGTGTCGCCAACGACCGGGATCTCCTGTACTAGCATTACAGGGAGGAAGAGACTGAAGACGGTTTGTATAGCGCATGAGCGACGGTGGTTTATGTGTTTGGGGCCACAACCGGGAAGAGCTGTAAACACATGCAGTAGAACTGTAATGCGTGGGGATTTAAATTGATTCTTCGATCCAAACACCATAAATCTGCCTTGTCTAGAGAGCTGCGATAACACCGCAGGTGTCTGAACTGTCACCCAATCGATAGTAGTCTGTGTGCATCTATCCTTTGCTGCGCACAACCTACAGTAGCTGTGCCATATCGGGCTCCGCAGCCGACGTCATGACCGATTCGCTGTTCTCCAAAAGACGTTTTTGGAATTCCGGCCACTCACTCCACATCGAAATTCAAAAGCACAGGTGTGGTCTCCGCGAAAACGGGTCTACTGGACAGCACACTCGCTTGCAGTGTACCGAGTACAGCACACAGGACAAGCAACACGACCACGACATCCTGTCAGGAAAGGAACCCGCTCCGTTTTCATTCCCCTTTTTTTCCGCTCTCCCCTCATGATCGCGAAGTGACAGCAAGACCAAAAACCGAAGCAGCAGCGTGCGTGGCACTGGCGCAATCATGGTCTCCCTCCTCGTCACGGTCTTCATAATCCAACTGGTCTGCCACCTCGTCCTCACCATCGGGTCCAAACCCATCAACGACCTAGTACGTCGAGCCTGCTCTTTCTTCTCCTCAACCCCTTGTTTCTCCCTCCACCGCTTCCTCTTCGGCTTGACGGGGACATACATATCAGGTTCCAGGCGACAGAGAAGCGCTTGGGAGTAGGAAAAGACACGATACAAGCCCACAGCCCAAGAAGGAAGGGAAAACATATATTGGGACAAGTTTTGCTGACATTCCCAACCCCGCGCGCACTATGATAGCTATGGCAAATCTACTGCCGCCTCCCGCTACAGTCATCCACGGACATACAAGAACAGACGCGCCTGCGCCGCGAGGTCCTGCGGCTGAAACGAGAGATGAACGCGGTCAGCGCGCAGGACGAGTTTTCCAAGTGGGCCAAGCTGAGGCGGCAGCATGACAAGGCCATGGAGCAGCATGACAAGAAAGGTGAGTTTTGTTGGTGATACACATTTTCCCCGTTTGCTGGAGGAGTTTTGCGAGATGCTGGCGAGCAAGAGTGAGAGGAAGAGAGGGAGAGGTGGGTAGGGCGTATGTGTGTTGTCTACAATCGGGACTTGGATTCAATTTCATTCCCATTATTACTGCGTTCGGCCAAAGGACGAGGGCCGAGAGACACAAAATCGCCCTGCGTCCTCGCTCTCTCTACCTATATTTCTATCTATCCATCGTGACTAACAGAAAAATTTTCCCGTGGTCCCCAGCCGCCGCAGTTTCTTCCTCCCGCTCCTCCTTCGACACCAAAGCCACGGCGATCCGATGGACGTGCACCAGCGGCCTGCGCCTGGCGCTGCAGTTCTGGCACGCAAAGACGCCCGTCTTCACCTACCCGCGCGGCTGGTTCCCGTGGTATATCGAGTGGCTGCTCGGGTTCCCGAGGTGCCCCTACGGAGGCGTGAGCATCAACGTGTGGAGCACGGCCTGCGCGACCATCATCGCGCTGGTCTGGGACGTCCTGGTCTACCTGATACAGAGCACGCAGCGAGGGCAAACGGGCACGGAAAAAGTAAACGGCAGCAGAAGGAAGGAAGAGGTGCACATTTGATGACCAAACATAAACAAAACTGTTTACAGGGGACAGGGCACTGCCCAGGTCCGAATAGATATGATATGATACGAGTGAGATACATTAGCAAGCCATCATAAAAACATGAAATGCCCATTCTCCATACCCTGCACACAACTATACAAACACGTCAAGGCTCAAGGGTTCATCCATCATCTTCTAGGCTTGGGGAGCGTGGTTCCATCAGAAAAGTATTCAACCATGTTCGCGTCACTGACCGAAGCCATGCTCGCGTGGAGTCATGGAGGCCTAAGTGCTTGACTCTATTGTGATTGAGAGTTCATCATTGGAAACCAACCCGCTCACCGCAGCCAAAGCTGCTTATCATCGCCATTCGCGAGGAAACCCAACCTCCGGTGTTGTTGTTCTCGAAGCGTAGGGGTGCTTATTCATGAGAGCCTGCGAAACACAGCACACCAAATCAAAGAGTCCGGTCCGTTCGACAGGACATCTGCACCATCGTGGAAGATGGTCGCTGCTTTCCATAAGCTACAGACCCAAAAGACAGTGTTGCTCCGCGTCTCGAGAATAAGCCCCATCGAGTTACCCTCCATGACCCAACTGCTGCAAGCACAGCAATTGAGGGAGAGGGCAATCGCATAACTTTCGACATATGACGAATTGCGCAACCTCCAAAAATCACTCTTTTGAACTCCCCAAGTACCCAAACTGACCATCAAGCTCCCAATGTTATAGACCCTCGCCATCTCTTCCCTTCGCAAGCTCGAAAAGTCCGAGTCCTCTCCGTTTCACGAAATGAAAAGAAGGGGGAAACCTGTCTTCACGGCGACGGACTCATATCTTCATCCAACACCCAGACAAATATCTTCCCTCAATTCATTTCCACATCGAGACCCCAAGACGAAACGGCTCAGAAGAGAATGCAGACGACAGCGAGGTCGGAGATTGAGGGACAACAGGTGACTCGGAGAAGAGAGGGAGGCGAAAAAAAGGATGTTCAAGAAACAAAGAAACCGCAGTGAAAGGTTGCTTTTATGGCGGTTGCCTTTCGGCAGGTCCTAACGTTCTCTGACTCCCCGAAGAGAGCAGAGGTAGGGCGGTCCGGGGACTTTCTCCCAAAGCTGGGCCTTTTTCCCTTTGTGGGGGAATGGCAGCTGGTTGGTCTGCAGATATCTCAGAGGAGACTTCTGCTGTGCGTGAGCTTTGAATGCGATTCTTCGAACGCGGAGACTGATGAAACACAAGGGAAACGAGAACGAGAGATGCAGCAGTTCACGAAATTTGGGGCGGAAGGAAAAATATTGCCAAGACCACACTAGTCCTGAAACGGGTGAGGTTGCGCAGTTGAAGCCCTTCGACACCTCCGCTGCGCGCAAGTTGCCGAACGTCCGCCCTTCCTGCCACTTTAACAACCTTATCTCTTTTTTTTTCGTGAGAAGAACCTTAGCATTATTAAAGAAGTCTTCCAGGTGAAAAGACACATCTCAACGTGGTTTGAGGTCTTGGGAGTCTGGTTGTATATCATGAATTGAACGAGGGGAACAGCACCACTGAGATCACCCGAGCTTTTTCCTGCATATCAATACAGTGAACAAATCACTCCCAAGCTGGATTGAGACCAGAAAGTTTCTCCGGCCCGCAGGTTAGCTCAACAGCAGCAGAAGAAGAAACTCGTGCTGAGCGTGACAGTAATGATGAAGATGCCTACTCCTCGTCAAGGGCTAAAGCCAGTATTGGCGACGGCCCTCGCGCAAACAAACAAAGGCCCATCTCTCCGACCAAGGCGCGAACTGAGCTTTCTGGTCACATCATCTTCACCATCTTCACCATCTTCGCCACGGCATCCCGTTCGCCGCCATCTGCCTGAGTTGATACCCATACCAATTCCCATTCCACAGCCCACACCAACGTTCCCATCGTCGGGCCTGTCTCATGCACAGCGGCGCCATGCCTCGACCAAACCGGATCCCGAAGCAGAACTCAAACGTACGCCTCTGTACGACCTGCACGTTTCGCTCGGGGCCAAAATGGTACCCTACGCTGCCTATGCCATGCCAGTCACATACCCGGACCTCTCGCACAAGGACTCCCATCTCTGGACACGCCAACACGCCAGTGTCTTTGACGTCTCCCACATGGTGCAGCACAAGCTGTCCGGAGAACTCGCAGAGGAGTTTCTCATGACAATCACTCCATCAGCCATCAATGAGATAGAAAAGCACCGCTCGACTCTATCTTGCCTTTTGAACGAGGAAGGAGGCATCGTCGACGATACTGTCATCTCGAGGATTGGTAAAGATAGCTTTTACTTTGTGACCAACGCGGGCTGTCGAGAGAAAGACATTGCCTATCTCGATCAGCATATAACAAAGTTTCTCAAGGCAAAGGGTGCATCAGGAGATAAGATCAATTGGCACGTCCTTGACCACCATGCCCTTCTGGCACTTCAAGGCCCCGAGTCTGCAAGCTTGCTCCAGTCGCTTATATTTAATGACACGGACGACGACAGTCTCGACACGTCACTGGATACACTATACTTCGGGTCAAGTCGATGGTTGCAACTGACCCTACCTGACTCCGGGATGAACACTCCCTCTCTCCTCATTAGCCGCACTGGATATACAGGAGAGGATGGCTTTGAAATTTCGATCCCGCCCGAAAACGGAGACGCAACCGAACTGGCAACGAACATAGCCAAAGCTCTCACCGCCGACAGCTCCAAAGTCCGCTGGGCGGGGCTGGGTGCGCGCGACTCGCTCCGCCTAGAGGCAGGGATGTGTCTCTACGGGCATGACCTAGATGAGAAGATCACGCCGCCAATGGCGGCTTTGGGTTGGTTGGTCGGCAAATCTCGCCGGGTCGACAACCCTACACCAGCCTTTAATGGTCATCAAATTATCAACAAGCAGCTCGCGTCGCCAAAGACCATGCCTGAGCGACGAGTTGGCCTCCTCATAGAAAAGGGTCCCGCTGCCCGCGAAGGGGCAGAAATCGTCGATCCGGAAAACAACAACCAGGTCATTGGTCACATCACCTCTGGTTCTCCCAGCCCCACCCTCGACGGACAAAACATTGCCATGGGGTATATTAAGAATGGATTCCACAAAAAGGGGACTCCGGTCGGTGTCAGAGTTCGAAAGAATGTGAGGAAAGCGGAGGTCGCTAAAATGCCATTTGTGCCAAACAAGTTTTACTCTCGACCCTCGTGAAAGATTGTCCAGGAGGCTCTCTACTCGGGAAGGTCGTGGTGGGCCAATCTCTGCGGCTCCACAGCAACAGCGGTCAAGGGGAGTAGGTTGGTGACTGTTTGCACCTGTTTTCACGGAAAGGACATGGGGATGGGGATGGGCAATGTGACAGGACGGTGTTCCGGCTCCTCTCTAGGTACGAGTAGATCTTGTCACACCCTGATCGTCGGCTGTTGTCGATCCTTTTGGGTAACAACAGCAGCGAGCGGTGTTCTGGCACGGAACCCTGGCCTCACCAGCCCCCCCTGTTGGGCTTTTTAGTGTTCATTTTAGTGTGTCTTCTCCGCGACGGGGTGCTTCTTTTCGTTTGCCTCACTGCACCAGTGTATTTGAGTCGCCGTCATCGTATATGCATGCAGCTGTTTGCTAGTCGTTTGACTAGCCCTAGCCCGACAAGGCCCCGTGATTTAGCGTATCCGAGGTGATTGGGGCCGAGACCTGCGTGCGAACATTATTGATCACTGCATATCTTCGCAGGGTTTTCTCCCGCCATTTCCCTGTTTCGAGCGCCAGAGGCATTCCTGGGCTTTGAGTGGTCGCCTGAGCGTTCGCGACCAGGTGCAAGTGTAGCGCCGCGCCGGATGGTGACTCGTCCCTAGGGGCAAGACTGTCAACTCCAGAGCATGCAAAGTACGAGTCCCCGGAGTGCAGGTACAGGTGTGGCATGCTATCCCAGAAGACGCTAATCATGGATCCGAAAACCCGGAGCAAGCAAGGTTCGAGGCTAATCTTGAACTTTGGCACCTCGTTCATCGTCGCCCACATGGACTAGCAGAGGGTCGGTCAGCGGCGGTAAAGTGCGGTTCCCGGCTTCCCACGCGTGTGATGGCCCCCTCGATGCTGAGCAGCTTTTGGATAGTTTCCACGGATGGCTTTGGTGGAGCTGTAGTGGGCCCACGACTAGCAAAAGGAGCTGGCGTTTTTGCCTATTTTGACGACATTTCGGTACTCCGGGTCCCATCCAATCCGCATTCAGTAGAGGTAGAGTAGTCTAATCGTCGATTGACTGGAGGATGGGCGGAATTTAAAAACCGCTTGCTGGGAACCATGGTGAATTCGTGACTATAGCCAAAGGGGCGTGGCCCAGACCTTGCACAGCCCATGGCGGACCTCACCGACGGACTCATGAGGTCATGTACTTCGTGTTTCGGGTCAATGGGCTGGTCCTTTGTGACTGTCTCGATGGATCCGGTAAGCCACCCAGGTAGCTATTGACCAGCTAACCGCGCACCTCTGTTGCGATTCCCCATGCTTTCTCACTGTTGCCCTGTACGTCACCTTCCGCAAGCAAGAAATACATACTCGGTACTCTGCAAGCACTAGTGTCCATCTCCAGCTGGTCCACCGGAGTTGTGGCATGATTTTGTGTCGTTCAGATATTTCCCACACGGATTTGGAAGAGCTGGAGAGGTATCGGTCGGTGGCTATCCCGGGTTTTCCTCGCGTTGCTTTGCCGGTGGCTTATCCTGCACTCCCTGGCTTTTGAGAGTTCCTCCCAGGCGACAATGCACCATCAAATGAGCGTTAGGGGACTTGTCTCTAGGGTGCTTGCAAATTTCCTTATCTGGTTATTTTCCAGGGCGCAGAGAATGACCAATTGCTGAAGCCACTTTCCCGGAAGGAAACGACTGTGGAATGCTCTGAACCACTGAACCAGCTTCCTGGTGGGTTTCTATGCGAAGATGTTTGATGACTATGCTGATCGTCCGAGGGCCCGGACTGCTCGTAGCAACGCAGAGGTGTCCACCTCCCACAACAAGGGCCTAGTCACCAAGCAGCCCAGCTGGGGGGGAATACGAGAGCTCAAAGTCTGGCTTGCTGCGCTCTGCACTTTCTATTTGCCCTGCTTGGCATCACTTTCAGCTGGATCCTTTGGCATTACCCCTTTAGCTTGGTTGAATTGTACCAAGGGCCAGATGACCTAGCTCCTTTTGTAATTTTCTTTGGGCCTTCTTCCAGGATGGTAGACAAGAAGCGCAGGTCCAAAGACGTCTCCTGAGATGTGCAGCGTGTCTTTATTTGCTCTCTTCTCGCCGTTAACACCCGACCAGGCGGGGTTCGATCCGCTTGGATTATCATGAATGTTTTTTCTTCCCTCTCGCTCTGGTGTCCGCTCGATGATGGATGTGGCTGTTGGGCTGAAAGAAGGCGTGCAATCATTTCGTAGGGCCTGCCCGAGTGACAGGCGCCACCCCTGGTCAAGCATGCATCGGCTAGGATTCGAATGGCGGCTCGTTCGCGAAGTAAGCAGGGGACACATTGGGAGCGGAGCCAGAGTCTTCGGGATCAATCGAGTCTAAGAGCCCTGCTGGGGGGGGTCATGCCACCTCGAACACGCAGCTTGAAATCCGACAGATTTCACTGCCGCGTCCCAAATGGCGGGGAAAGGGGGTCAGGTGGTACGCTGGCTGCGAGGTAGCTCTGGAGGGTAAGACTGCAGGACAGGGAACAAAGAAACTTTGATGGCGATTGCGCTTGAAGTGGCTGGGAGAGGGAAAGTGAGAGGGTGATGGAGCTTGACAGGTGGAAAAGAATGGATTCCTCCATACCCATGACCCTGGCAGGTTTCCAAGTTCACTTTCCCATCCCTTGGTACCATCCTTGAGTGAGTCAATGCAAGACCAAAAAGCCTTTGTTCTGCCACTACGACCTATTTATCTCGCCAATGTAACGCCATGCTGCCTGAAAAATCGATCGCGGTCCAGCATTTGTGCATGGGAGAAACAGTACCGAAAACCTGGAAAATCATAATAATGTAACTGTATGCTGTTTCGTATCATCACGTCGTTCTGAAGGCATAAATCTCAGTCCGCATGTGTCGTATCTTCCGGTGGGATCGCCTCATGGTAACCTGTCCCTTCCAGTGACCTCTGGAATATCCAGTTATGCAGCCCCTTCTTTGTATCCCTGAGCCCTACCCCAAGTCTGCCCCCCGATTGCCATGCACCATGCTGTCTGAGTGGTGGCCAAGGAAGGGGATCCCCGTCATGCCATGTCCTTGATCCTGCGCTTTGTGACCCATCCATGCGCCATGCTCTGTCTGAATCGAACCCGGGGTATCTCTAGATCCTGTGCAAGTCCTGCCCTGTTCCACTTAGTCCATAGTCCTTTCACACCGTACAAACATGGTTTCAGAAGACATTTGATAAGAAATAACTGAAGGTGGACAACTGCCAGCGCTCAAAGAAGGCGGCCAGGGCGGCTTAGCAGAACCTTCGAAGAATGCTAGATCCAACTGTAGCGTACTTGATCCACTCTCCAGAAGTGGATCACGATGTTGCGCACAAAAGCTTCGAGTACGGTGTGGCCGAGAAGTCAATAATCGTTGCCATGCTGTCGGTGAATGGCCCTGGTAGTTGGAAGCGCATATGCTCCCCCTCTCCGTCGTCCTCGAACGGCCTCTTGCGACTCGTCCCCTCGCGGTCAAGGCTGCTGAACATAATATCGTCACTGCCCTCCGATAGTGGTGTCAGAGCAGATCGGTCCGACGACAGGGTACAGGATGACTTTGCTGTACGGGAATCACAGAGGCTCACCTCAATGTCGGTTGGCGTTCCTGCTAGGGCGCTAGAGGAGACCAGACTCGCAGGAGAAAAGCGAGAGGCGGAGGCATGACGGTAGCTAGACCCTCCGAAATGACCCCCCTGTCGATGGCTACCCATCCAATCCATCGAAGTATGGCTGTGCCCGTAGCTCCCTGATGAAAGTGGACCGGCATGGCCGTCGGTCCCATGCCCAGTTCCACGATCGGGGTCCATGCTGGCCTGGCTGTCTCGCCGCCCATTGTCCTTGTAATGGCCAGGGGATCGGCCACGCACAACCATAGGGTCGGATTCCTTGGTCGCTATCAAGACCCAGTTCTCGTCGTTCTGCCTCCCGATATTTGCAGAAAGCTCAACCACCACCAAAAAGTATTGCTGCTGTGCGCGCCGTTTGCCATTGTTGGCGGTGGCTTTCTGGAACTGAATTCTCTCAAATGTATGGGAAGTTGGGATTGAATTCGTGCCGGGGGTTTCGAACCCTGAAAAGCCACCGATGATACTTGAGTGAAGATGGTTGGGCCCCCCATACACATGTCCAGAGCTTGAGTACGTACCATTTGTGCCAATGGTATGGTTGGGCGACGGTGCAATTGGGTGACGGCCAGGAACTGATTCTGTTGCCTTGTCCCGTTTGGGAGTATGCTGAACAAGACCTCGAGCCTCGCTTTCACCGTTGCTAGTCATGGCGGTTTTTGCAGTAATTGACACGGCAAATTGTTGGATCAATTCTTCGGAACCATTCCTATTCAGATAGAACGGTCCATCCATGATGCTATTTCGGAAGCCGAAGGAGCATTGTACTGCAAAGTAATTTCGGCGGTAGCAAGTCCATTTTCTATCGACCTGGAAAAACCCTTTTTGTATTGAGGCTATGATCTCTGGCATCAAACGTTGGTTGCGCAGTGTCAGCACAGGATGAAGAACGGTGGTTTCGTGAAAGGGAGGGCCATCTTGCCGCGTAGTGTTCTGGCTGTCATGGCAATGCGTTGACATGTTTTGTCCTGGGTATGAACCCTCTTGGAGTGGGAAAGCAAACGCTGGACTATTGCGAGCGGGAAAGGGATTTGATTGATACCGCATCCCTCCTGGAAATTGGCCTGGACTTATTTGGGTGTGGAGAGCTGTCGAATATTGTGGTATTCTCTCTCCCATACTCCTGAAAGTTGACCCGATGCCGTTTGCCGAATTGTACGAATGGGGAGGTGACAAAGGAGGACTGTACAACAGAAATCAGCACCTGTCACAAGGCTGACGATGGACTTTTGGGGGAGACAAGAACTTACACTCTCTGTTGACGTTCCATGAGCGTCATCGAGGACCCCGGCCAGTTTGACGAGAGAACTGAAGAAGGTGCGCTCGAGAAATGGTCCGGCGCGCATGCATTGCTGGGAAACGGCTTGGGGAGGGTCGTATAGGTGTTTCCAGAGGCTGTAGGGTTGCCCCCCGCGCTCGCTGATCCAGTGGTGGAATCAGGCGGGCTCAGCAGCAATTGCGAGCTTTGGTGATACCTGCGAAGACCATCATGGATGGGTCAGTGAGACAGAACTGGTAGAGCAGCCAGATCACATTTATATGTCACACCTTGGAAGTGCGACCGTTGAGTCATGGGACGAGCACATTCTGAAAATAACCAAGAGGTAATCGGCAGCCTCTTACGGTCCTTCAATCACACCGGAGAGTGGATGAAAGCTCGCGCCGGGTGCCCAACCTTCAAGGCTCTAGACTTGCATGTCGACCAAATAGTCGGTCTGAGGCGCCATCGGGTATTTCAAAGACAGATGAACTGGTGGGGAAGAACTGGAGATCGGATACTCACGGTGTTTCGTTCAGAAGCGAACTGCCAGTGAAGTCAAGACTAGCATTTGCTGGCAGTGCCACTCCTGACGCACTACTCGTCAGGCTGCTCTGAGGCCTTCGACTCGGAAACGTGAAGTCATTGGTAGAATAGGACGAATTTGAAAAGGTGCGCTCCTGCCCGAGATATTTGGATTCTGCAAAGTCGAATGGCGAAGACTGTTGAAGCAATGCTGCAAGCAAGCAAAGTCAGTAACGGCCAGCAGTCAAGAGAGTGCAGCTCAAAGGTTAGGATTTGATAAAGCAAAAGGAAGCCTGGCACAGCCCTCATGCAACTAGGCTTGAGAGAGCCCCTCCTTCGTGGACAATTACCCATTCAGTACAAACTGGCAGGCAGAGTAGCACGGAGCGGGGCATCCTGGCCAGGTGAGCGTAGGTGGCAATTGTGCGAAACGAGGGTAGAGCAGCCACAGCAGTGGCAGCTCCGTGTGCACACAGCATATCAATGCCAGATTGCCGAGCCGCAGCAGGATTTTTGTTGACGTTGGCCTCACAACAAAGCAGATAAGATATACAAAGCTTGTCGTAAATACGTACTGGGATCCATAGCTGTCCTGCTAAACCCAGCACTGATTCAAACAAGGCTGAATCAGCACAGGGGGAGCTTTAGAGTTTGTTCAATCGCGGAGTCTCGAGGTGGGTAATGGGCTTGTCCTTTTCGGCAGTCTTTGGGTCGGTACTTGCTCAGCCGTTCGCTAGCTCTGCTCCCTGAACGGTGATTGATAGCCCCGGGGCGGTGTGGACTTGCTCAGCTAGACCCTAGTGATCCAAGGCGCATGCAGGACAGAGTTGCCTGCCAATAGCGGGAAGACTGCCAATATATGTATGGAGTCCACAGTGCTTCCCCCAAAACGGGTACAAACTGCTGAAAGGTCAGCAACATGGTGTGCTCTCATTCCTCATGGTTGCGGCCTTCTTTTGCTCCTGTCGGTGCCTTGTACTGGCAGCAACAGAGGAGCCTCAGTTCTTGCAATCGTACCTAGTTGAAGCGAAACAAATCGCTGCGAATTTTGTCTGTCGCAGTTGTGCTGTTATTGGTCGGTGACAATGGTGAGTGCCTTGGTCTGAACTTGTTCAACTTACTTTCCAACTATTTAGCCGTCGCGTACTGCCGTTCGAGGCCTCTTCTTCTTCCTGTTGTTCGAAAGGGGTTTCTGTGTCTGTACTAACGACTTCTCCAGAACGTCCTGCTCAAGCAGCAGTGAACAGAGAACTGTTCCGATCGCCCGTTGTGGCGAGCAAGTTGTAACGAACCCACGGCAGTCGACGAGAACTCGTAGACAATCCTATTCAGTGCCTGGACGTCCACAGTGTGCAAAAGCACAGGTTCTGAATCGATAAGCGATGGAAGGGAATTCTGGTGGGAGGAAAAGGCGGAAAATATGTGACTGAAATGATGGTGGCTTAGAGAAAGAGATATCAGAGCCTTGCTGATAGAAGGAGAGGCTTGGACCAGTTCAGCGGATTGAAAAGACTTCAAATGAATGCGCAATCATGCAGTCAACACCAAGGTCAGGGGGTTCCACACAAGCCCTGGATCAAGTCCTGGTCTGGTCGGGCAGGCTGGGATTGCGTTGGAGTGTCTTCATCGGATGTAGAAATGACTAGCTCAGCCATCGGCGCAGCGAAGGGCTCTGACACTTTGACCACCAGTATTCGGTGAGGATACGGGATCGACCAGACGTTGTTGGCAAGGACCATTCGAAGGAAGACTGCATATTCGACAGGCCAATGACCCTTCAGGGCATGACCTTTGACCCTTGAGACCGCCCGACTGTGCTGCAGGCGGCCTTCTTCAGCAGCCCCAGCTTGAGCCTAAAAATCGCCACAACATTGGCTTGGCCACCGAATCTTTACCTTGAAGGGCGAAATAAAGGAATATTTGGAAGAATCGAATCGGGTCCAAACGAGATGCAGAATACAGAATGCATTCAAGCGCAGGCCTTGCAGAGAGGGTTTCAGCTGAGGCCCTCCTTCGATAAGATGCTGTCGGCACAGGGCCCATGACTGCCGCGGTTTCTCTGGCACGTGGCTGGGGAACGGGGGCGTCTGCTAAGTATCGAGCAGGCCATGACGGCCTTGCCTTTTGACCCACCGTGTACATTCTTTGTTTTGCCTTTACAGGATGGGAGGAAAGCAAGTCATGCGGCGGCTGGGCGTACTCGATGTGTTCAGATGAAGCGAAGATGAGCCGGGCAAGCTCCAGAAGGGGATTCATTGCTCAAACGGACCGAGCGGTGCTGATTTGGACATCAAGGGTTTGATGTCTGAGGCATTCAGAAAATCGACCGTGCAAAGCCGACTGTTGATGGACTGATCGTCGGCCGACTTGACAACAAACCAATGGCAACATGAAACGAGGCAGGGGCAAGGCTGACCAGTATCCCTGCACTCCACGACACCACTCAGGCAAAAAGGAAATGTTCCGACTGGACAGGTATTGGTTAGAGAGGTGCGGGCAACTGCGAATCTGCGTGGCCCGAGGGCTCTTTAGCTCGAGGGCGGTTATGGTAAACGACCAAAATCAGGGCTCGGTGACTTGATCGACACGGTCCAGGGATAGCGACTACGGGTGACGGCAACGGTGGTTGGCCTCACCGGTAGGCTGAGGTCCCGGAAATCTCCAAGCATTCTGGCACCAGTCAGTATGAATGAGTCGGCAGTACTGGACTTTCCGACCAGAATCAAGATGGTCTTGAATTGGACGCCCTCAAAGGGGACAAAAATTGGGCATGGTGGAGCCAAGGGCTGGTGAATCATTGGTTACGCATGGTAGGCAATTGTTCCCACAGTCCACCTCGCTGCGGCGGCCCGTAGCCTGTTGTCATCTGCAAGTATGTCGTGCGCACTTCCGGAATATGCAGCATGGGGCTCGTTTGGAAGTCGAGCAAGGGGCGGAGCCGCGTGGAGTGGGTGATCTAGCCCTGGCCAAAACATCTGCACTTGATTGCAGCGAGAAAAGGCTGCCAGCCTGAAGTTGGGGCTATGACGAAGGCGCTGAAGATGCTGGCACCGCAAGAGGAGAGGGGGTCGAGGAGAAGCTGCTCCAAAGGTGGTAATGGTGGTGTGGTGGTGTCAAAGAGGTACCAAAAGGAGAAGTAAGACTGATGAGGTGGCTCGAGTCCAGGATCTGATGGTGGTGGTTGAAGTGATTGGAAGTGGTGGAAGTGTTGAATGGTGATGGTGGTGGTGAGGGTGGCGGTGATGATGAGTGAGTGCTAAGCTGAGTGAGTAAGTGAGTTTCCCTGCGCCGTCTGCGCTCTCCTTACTCCCTCTCCACGCTGTACCTGGACTTCGAGCCACCCTCACCACCAACACTTTTCGCGCCATCCTGTATTTTCACAACTCATATTGCGACCTTGACCATGTGTCCAGACTCCTGATTTGAGGCAGAAAGACGGGACAAGCTAAGTGTCTACGTGACAATGCGTCAATGACTGCTAATCGCATAGGTACAGCTGTTAATGCTCAACTCCTGATGAAATGCCTTGCGCAGTGCGCATTGTACCTCTACTGCTAACGTTCTCTCGATTTTGCTCGTTCTGTGGGATGTCTGGATACAAAACAATTGGTACCTGACCGCACATTCGGTGGTTCAGAGGTGTATCGTCCTCTTGCACTGGGCATATCTGATCTGGCTAAGCATTGGTTGACCACACATCACACTTCTCCAACTGGCGGCAACAGGCTGCAAGGAGTCCTGACTAGGCCAAGGAATGTAGGTGGCAAGACATATCTCACTCCTGTACGCTTGACCACGGCGGTGAAGGAAGACTCCTGCTCTTCGCGCCTCCAGCTAAAGGCCGTCTCTGTGGCCCGCTCGGGAGGAGCCAGGGCAGGCTTGACCGTCTCCCAACCGCTCCCTCTCCGAAACCTGGAATCGCCTCACAGGCCAGCTTTGACGATGGTGGCTTGGTTGGCTCTGACAAATCCCGCGACTTTGACGGGTTGCACCAAATCTGCCTTCTTTGCAGCTTGGACCACCCGTTCGTCTTTCATGCTGGCAGTGGTATCACTGACATGGAGGCTGTCTTGGAGCCCCCCAAACAGTGTCGACAACACAAAGGCGAGCGGACCTTTCTCCTTTCTTTCTCACCCAGGACGCCCGTCTGATCCTGATTTGGAATAGCTCCAGATGTTTCATTTGATCCTGCTACCCACCGTGGCTCAGATGATAATGATTCTGATGATGGTCGCTCTGGAAGGATGCTAGGAAAATTCGGATGCTGCCACGTCGTGCCTATCTGATCGTTCCATGTGGTGCCGGGGCTATAGAGCTGTGGCCGCCGGCTTGTACTTCCCCGATGCAGGTCCAACAAACATACGTTCTTCGAGGGAAATGCTTGGTTCATGGGAGTAACAGAGAATGGCCTTTTCCAGACCCATCTCGCGATGACAGCTCTGGAATCGTTTCCCTTTTCGGGCTATTTTGATCTCAACCGGCCGCTCGCCACAGCAACAATCGACATTGATACCTGAAGCTCATATGCCAGGCATCTTGCTCATGGTTCCGCTGGACCCTGGAGATGTCAGCCTTCGGCACCGCTCATACATCTATTTCTGCAAGGGCCAGATCAGGCAGAATGCTCGAGCTGACGAGTTTGTGTGAGGGTATGGTGGAGGTTGGAAGGGCCGCCTACGTCGGGGCGGCGGATGAGACGAAATGCAGCCGATCAACCCAGTTGAACTCAGCCATGTTTGATCACTTTGGACCCAATTCGTTATGTCTATTGGCATCACCACCATCACCGCTACCGCTGTTTGGAGCGGGTGGCTCCCATATCTCTTGCTCCCTGTCTCGGGCGCTATCTGAGCGAGCACAAACAACTATTCAGGTGAACACATTGAACGATCTGTCCTACTGCTTCCATAGCAAACCCACGTGAGTCACCATGCCTCTTCCAGCCCTCTGTACACTGCCTCCTTCAGGATCCAGAGCATGGCTTCAAATCCAGCCGGGTGTGCAGGTAGGTTTCCACTTGATAGACTTCCTTGCACCTTAAGTACCGAATGTCACCGACCTCAGACTAGGTGGCAGGCATTAGGTTCCTACTCCGTTGCCCTTTCTTTAGGAGGCTCCCTCCTCGTGGACACTAAAAGCGCTGCTCCGGCTGAAAGCGGAACCCAGTAAGAATCATCTACAGGAGGGCTAGAATATGCTGTTATTTCAGGAGGTAATCTGGCCATGGGCAGGGCTGAAGGGTGTTTTTTGCCACTGCGTTGATCTTGCTTCTGAGAGAACAGGTCACTCATTCAATGTAAGCTGGACGCCCCAGGAACGATCCGTCCTATCAAATGTCTATTCTGGCTCAGGTTCATGGTGTGTAGATGGAATTGTTTTGCTTCTGTTGAACCGGGTCAGGGGGTTGGCGATCATCTTGGAAATTCTATGCAACAAGGTTGTTTCTTCTGCTATTTATCACAAATCCCGTTCGTACTGCGAATTGCGTAATATTGAATCAAGGCCACCGTGGACCTCCCACTCCAAGGCCATGCGCTGGCCTTTTCTTTTGCGAGGCATATTCTCATCATTTCGTGGAGCTGTTTGCCGTACAGTCCCGCAATGTCTCTAGCTCTGCACAGAATCAAGGTCTACTAGGTCGTTCTCTTCGCAAACTCCACTCTCAGAATCAAGTGCCTGTAGCCGAAGCCATCCATCTTCTCACATGCTCTGGCGGCATCAGACCTGTCCACAAAGGAAATGAATGCAAAACCCTTTGCTCGGCCGGTATCTCTGTCTTTGGCCAGGAAGACTCTGGTGACGCGACCAAACCGCTCGAAGAGATCGCGAAGCTCTTGCTCTTCGGCCATCTCGGATACCTATTCAGTTGAGAATTAGCGAGGGTCCGGCTGATGAGAACACATCTGGAGGGTCAAAAGGAAACTCACGTTCGTGACTCGCAGTGTAGCCAAATCGTCCCTTTCGTACTTGCCGCCCATCCTCTCTCCGGCGCCTTGAGCACCTTTTCTGAGATGTGGCGGTACATAGCTGCTGCCGCCGGCGCCGAGCCCACCTTGAGGCTTCTGCCCAGATTCGTCATCTTCGGCCATAGGGTCGGCGACGGGTGTTGTCCCATCGTCCGCCGGCGCCATCGTATCCTTGAAGGGACATCTAGCTGTGAAATGTTCGCCTTGACAGATACGACACTTGACCTTCTTATCTCTCAATTGCTCCTTCAGAGATTTCTCCTCCGCCTTGCCGCCGCCTGCCTTGGCTTCTTCGGCCTGCGCATTCTTCCAATCTCGACTCGGTCTGAAGAGTATGTTTTCGCCGACGGAAGTAGTATCAGGCTGTGGGCCCTTGGGTTTGCCCTTCTCAAGGCCGAATTTCTCCCAGGTGCGTCGTTCAGCGACGACTGGGTTGACTTTTTCTTTGTGGGTTGTGATGCGGGTTTTGCGTGTGACTTTCACTTTCTGACCCTGGTCGTTGAAGCGGTAGAACACCGTGGTCCGAGTTCCATCTTTGTTCACAGTGGTCACAGGAGCGGGCAGCGCCGTGGGGTCATTGATCTGTTCCGAGTCGGAGACATCGTCTGCCCAGTCTGGGCGGCTGCGGATTTCCAAATCGCATGTTAGGGAAACTTTTCTTCAATTCATCATCACGATGGATGAGGGTACTTACGTTGCGGTCTTTGACATTTTGTTGTATTTTGCTATTCCCTCACAAACAGAAACTTCGGTATGAATGTCGTCAAAAGTACGATGAGTCTGAGGAGGATGTGAAGGCATGAATTGCCATCCCACATATTTTCGTATGTCACTGCGCCTGCACCACGACCCAAAAAGGTTTAGTTATGCCAAGGCCGGCGAGGCTGCATTAGTAATGCTGAGGAGCGAAGGCGAGGCTGACAAAATCGATGCGCCCCTGATCTTAGCATGTTACATTCAAAGAAACTAGCTGCTGTGTAGTTCGTCGCTGCTAGGCACGATCTCCCTTCTACCCTTCTGTTGACCACAGTACATACGCCCTATTGCCTTCCGAGCTCTGTCAATCCGATCAAATCAGCACCGCCAATCCTTCCTCCCAGGTGTTCAACCACCAGCCACCCCCCAACTTCCCCTTCATGTCAATCCCGAGGTTTTGCACAAGCAGCAAAGCTCGCTCAGTTTGTATTATGCACGCCAGCTGCACTACTCTGGGCTTCTCACTTGCCGTCACCTCCGGAGAACATGGATCTTTTTATCCCTTCAACGAGACGACTTATTCTTTTTCCCACGCCGAACTGGGTAGTCGAACTGCACCACAATTGTCGGTTTGACGAGCACAATCTTCTTTCTGGACTCCATCGATCTGCGCACAAATGCGGGATACACGAGGAATTGAACCTCGCCAACTCTGCCGGCGGAACCCACCACTGGAATGGCCGAGGAACTCAAGATAGAGCCAGTCCTGCTGTCGATGATCGTGAAATCTTTGACTTGCTCGGCCTTGATCACGGGATGGTCCAATTCGAACTCAAAAACAAACTGCGACATGGAATGCCGGATGTTCTGTGCCAGATCTCCCGCTTCTTGGACGATTTGCCGGCATAATGACGGTTCGCTTGAACAACCATGATACCCCATTTCCTTCAACACCGCTGCGCCTTGTGTAAGGTGCTCCTCAATTTGGTTCAATCTCGCTTCGCGTAGCTGTTTGAGTTGTTTGTCGGTGTTGAGGGAACGCTGAAGATCAATTCTCCACATGCCAATAGCCTCCTTATCTTTCCGGGATCAGTCATATACAGCGCAGGTGGGAGCCTTTTACCTTTTGCTGGCTTCAGAGCACTCAATCCGTCAATGATCCTTCCCAGACAGGTCTCAGTGTCGGGGTCAAGACCTGGCAATATCCTTTCCGCTCCAAGCAAAGTCTCATACAGACAATCGAAGATCTGTCTTTGCATCATTGGAATTTCGATGTTTGGATTCTGTTCGGCAAGGACTAGATTCCGTTTCGATAGATAATCCATCCCCAACTGTGTCCCGATGGTTCGACCTGATGATCCATCATCGCAGGAAAGAGCAGCGATAAAACCTTCTGCATCGCCAAAGTGGACATCACAGCAAGACTCGATGCCCTTGCACAGGGTTATGTATTGCTGTTGCAACTGAGTATCCGCCATGCCTTCCACGGGTAACATACGGAAGATGCGGTCTTTGCAGCTTTCGAGATTTCGCAACAAAGACTCTCTGTCGACTCTTGACTGTTGCAGCTGACTTTTCAATGTTGCAATTATGGCCCCGTCACGTTCGGACCTCGTTTCAGCCTGGCGTGCTTGAATATCCTGTTTCTCTAGTTCGTTTCTCAATTGGGACGCCACGCAATATTGAACTTCAAGATCCTCCTTAAGCTGACCCTTCTCTAAGCTGAGCGCACATACTTTCTGCTGAAGGGCCTTTGCGTGTGCGATCTTCGCGGCTCTGCTTCGCTGCCTGGCTTTTTGCCGCCGATCTGTCATGGTATGAGAGTTTTCAGACACATTCGCGTCCTGTCCACCCATTCCGGGTGCGCCGCAGGACTGTTCGAACCGTTCTCGCCCAGCTGGATGATGCTGGCTGCTTGCACCGCTGCTCCAGCGCTTCAGAGCAGCCAATGTGCCCAGGATCGAGCTCCTTGCGGCTATCTTTCCTTCATCATCGTTCGACAAATCCGTCGCTGCTTTCTTCGATGGCTCCGTGTTATTGATCTGGTCCCCCTCTGCTTGCTTTCTGAAGATTTGGCTGGATGCAGGGAACAGGAATGAGCGTTTCCTTTTCATGTCTGATTGTCCGCTTGGGACGGCCATTGTTTTATTACCCGTCGGACTTGATCAAGCAGGCAGCTCTTTCGCCCAGACTATCTCATCATCTCTCAAAGAAAAGAAAATGGTGGTGCGAAGGAGATTTGGAAAAGACTAAAGAATTCGAGAGCAGAAGAGGAAGTGTGCCTCTTACAATGTGAAAAGATCTATCCTTTAAAGGAAGACTATCTTCACCAACATCTCAGAACTGCCTCACCTCGACTCCTCTGAGCAGTGCCTACGTCTCCTTTCACTTTAGGTCCGCACTCACGATCAGCCACCGTCTTTCATACCTACCTTGATCTGTGCATTTGACGACACAGTTCACATCAAACTGAAGAGATTCTGCACATTAACTCTCTACAATCTGCAGGACTTGTTTGATTCTCTCCTCTATCCTAAAGCTTTTGTCATCAGTGGCCGAAGGTTATGGCACCAAAACGCAAACGGACAGCTAGCGTTGTTGCTGCCCCAACTCGTCGCCAGATCCTCGTAGGTGTGGACTTTGGCACCACCTTTTCTGGAGTTGCATGGGCTCAGACTTCTTGTGTACGTTGCACACGGATATCTTCGGCGTCCCGTACTGATCCAGGAACAGCCAGAGTTACAAACCACAATCATTCAATGGCCTGACAGAGACGGCTCACTTGAAGGCCAAACCAGCGAAAAGGTTCCAACTGAGTTGTCATACACCGACACTGACTGTCTCTGGGGTTTCGGGATCCCTGATGAGCAGCCACGTCATCAATGGTTCAAACTTTCTCTGGATCCCAACCAGAAATCGAATGAATTGTCTCTCCTGGCGGTTGACTATCCCGATCCGAAAGCTCTGCCTCCAGGATACAACGACGAGCCGAGCAGGACGAAGCTGGTAACAGACTACCTTACGAAGCTTCAGCAGCACACGGAAAAGATTCTCAGACGGAAACTCGGCGATAGCATCTTCGACACAACTCCCCTTTGCTACACAATCACCGTGCCGGCCGTCTGGAGTGACCCTGCCAAAGCTAGAACACACCGATGTGCTTGTCGAGCAGGCATGGGTCACGACCTAAAAATTGTCTCGGAACCAGAAGCTGCAATCATGTACGCTTTAAACACCATGGACTCACAGAACCTTCGCGTCAAAGACAACTTTGTTCTCTGCGATGCTGGAGGAGGCACTGTTGACCTGATCACATACACGATCCGATCGCTCAAGCCTACACTTAAGGTGCGGGAGGCAGTACCCGGCGGTGGAGGTGCGTGCGGGAGCACATTCTTAAACCGCATCTTCCGCAGATATCTTGAAGAAAGTCTTAGTGACCTGGATGGCTTTGACGACGACACTTTGGAAGATGCCCTGAATGAGTTCGAGAACATCACAAAGCGCAGATTCACTGGCCAAGAGCAAAGCATTGTCATTCGTGTCCCTGGGCTGACGGACAACATCGCGAAGGGCATCAAGCGTCAGAAGCTCACCATTAAGGCAGCCGTCCTCAAAGATCTCTTTAACCCTGTCATGACTGCCATCACAACTCTTGTCAAACACCAGCTACAACAATCCAAGGGGGCAAGGGCAGTTATTCTCGTCGGAGGCTTTGGCCAGTCACCCTATCTTCGCAGTTGTATCCAGCAGGTCATCGGGAAGGACATTGAGATCATGCAGCCCGCGTACGGTTGGACAGCTGTTGTACGGGGGGCGCTCCTACATGCGCTGCATGATATCACGCCCGACGAATTAAGAGTCACTGTCGATTCCAGGCGCGTCCGCAGAGCATATGGCAGCCGGTGCTTGAAGCCGTATGATATAAGCTATCACATGGGTCTTGCAAAGTAAGTGACTCGTCCAGTTTTTTCTAAACGATTGCTGACTGATATAGAGACTGGAACGATTTCCAAGGACGATATGACGTTACGGCGATGAGATGGTTTGTGCAGAAAGTAAATTCTTTTCCCGTTCAAGGAGCGCAGGGCCGGAAAGCTGATATAGGTTCAGGGTCACGAGGTTGATCAGGAGACTCCAGTGACTACTGAATGGTTCTTGCCCAGGCTGGTCTCTGAAGGTCCATACCAAGTCAGAAGTTTCACGCTGTATACCTTTACCCCTAAGCACGAAGAACCCGCACCGAGATTCCCATGTGAAGGTAAGATGGTCTTTTGAACGGTGTTATGCGTTTCTAGAAAGCCATCACACTGACATCGGACCAGAAATCAAGGAGTTTGTGACCCTTACCGCTGACCTGGCTTCCATTGACCACAGCGAAATTCCGATCAAAGTCGGCAAGGATGGGAAGGACTACTATGTGCTAGAGTACCAAATCAAGGTCGCCTTTTTCTCAGCACACATGGAGTTCTCTCTGTGGCGTCTTGGCAAACAGTATGGCAAGGTGGAGGCGGAGTTTCTTTGAAACACAGAATTCCCACAACAAGGCTTTCGACAGCGGAAGAATCAGCTTCTTTTGGTCAAGTTGACAAGTGGGCCTCTGGGAGGAGATACTTGACCCACAGGGACGACCACGCCTCGAACAAGCCACGCGTGGAAGCTGAAAGCAAAAGAGATGTGACAGCGAGGGGTAGTTTACAGTGCTAGGACAGTTACGACAACGCCCAGAAGCGAAAGAGCACAGAAGCAGAAGCCAAATGTCCGGAGAGGAGAGCAGACAACGACAGGAGCACGAGTCTCGGGGCTGATCAGATTATGTGACATTGTCGAAAGCTGTGTGTGAGAGAGAGAGCTGCCTTTGTACCCGAGAGCCCAGGTTAGTTACATTACTCCTGTTGATTGGATTGAATTGGATTGGTTGAGCTAGCGAGCGAGTGAGCGCTATGTACCACGTACAGGACCCTACCTGTCTGTGGCTGTTCCGGATGGAAATGAGTGAATGAAATGACTGAGATAGCCCCAGATGAAATGGAGAAGGAAAAGGGATGAAGTCAGGAGTCTGGTGTAGATGGCCTCCTGGCCTACATACAACAAGAGGCCTCGGGTATCGACTGTCGGGTACCGAGTATCGAGTACGATCGAATCGAGCTGCGTCTACTAGGTTAATATGTACTAGCTCCGACGTACAGAGAACTAGGTACTAAGCACCAGGAACTTGGCAATGGGGACGCCTGATGAAAAGGGAGTTCTTGCAACATTCTAGAAAGGGAGGGGGAGTGGCAGAACCAGAAGATGAATCAAGAACCAAGAATCAAGAAATCGAGATCGGACGCCCCAAGGGGAAGAGACAAGGAGGCAAATTTGATCTGCAAAGCCTTCCACGTTACGGCCTCAAAAACGATTTTTGCTATGCGCCAAAGAAACAAGCATACATGAAATCGGCGACTACGAGGTACGAAACGCAAGGTCAGACGCACTGGGTGTATGCATGAGCGCGCATGCCTGTCCCTTTCGCACTGACATGATTGTGCGATGCTGGCCCATCTTCTGACCTCGAGCTACCTACCGGCCAGTCCGACTGCTTGGGATTGATCACAGCTTGCTCTTGGAGACGATCAACGCGTTGCCGGTCTGCAGGCACTTGACGGCGTCGTTGACGAGCTCATCAACAATCTCGCGGGCACTCTTCTTCTCATTGACCACGGCGGCAGCTTTGCCCATCAGGAAGGGGCGAGCGTTCTCCATGTCCTCGTCCGTAAGGTCGTCACCTTTGGTCTCGAAGTCGTGTTCAACCTTGAAACACACAAAAGTCAGTATTCGTAGTATTGGAAAGTTCAGGTGGATCTCTATAAAATGGGGGGTCGGGAACGAAGAACAGCTGTGAAAGCATACCGGGATGACGCCCTTCTCCGTCAACTCCTTGATCTCGGCTTGCCGATTCTCCTCCCAGTTCTTAATGTACTCGTTGGTCCTCACCCGCAGAGGCCGACCGGTAAAAATGATGGTTCGAATGTTGTCGTCGAAGCCTGCAGTTCGGACGGCTTCCTGGTGTGCCTTGGGCGCACCAGCTTCCTCAGAAAGCACGAAGCGTGTTCCGACCCAGACTGCAGATGCACCGAGCATCAGGGCCGATGCCAGGGATGCGCCGGAGAAGATACCACCCGCCGCGATGCACTGGACAGGCTGGCCGGTGAACTTGGAGGGAGGAGCTTCGGCGCAGAGTTTGGCGACGGCGGGGATGAGTATTGAGGTGGGAATATCACCCTGTTGTGCCAGTCAGTTGCCCTGTTCGACAGGTGTCAGAGAAAGCAGAATCCCTACGGTATGGCCACCGCCTTCACCACCCTGAGCACATATCAAGTCGACACCGAGATCAAGGCATTTCTTCACGTGCTTGACGTGACCAATCATGTTCTGGAAGACACAATTAGACCGATCATTAAGTGGACGGATTTGGGGTCGGCTCACCATGTATAGAATGCCATGTCTGTGCAGCTTGTCCACCACTTCCTTTGGCGGTACACCCACGGCCGAGACTATCCAAACCGTCAGCTTCAATTACCAGACACAGGAGTTGCGTGATGAGGGGTCATACCGAAAAGCTTCGCGCCAGAGTCAATGATGATGTCAATCAACTCGTTGAGCTTGCCCTTGGTATAGTCGTAGCTGCAAAGCCGTCAGCGAGAGTCCAATCCATGCGGGTTTTGCCTGCTCTTACTTTGTCTTTCTTGCACTCCCTCCAACCTGCGGAAGGAGAAGATCCACGCCAAAGGGAGCATTCTTATCGTTCAGATAGCTTTTGAGCTCTGCAACCTGTTCCCGGAGCATGTCTGGGGTGTAGCCAACCTGTGCACATCAGCCGTGTCCACTATAGTCTTCAGGTTCTTATAGTCTTCCTTACACCACCAATAACACCAAGTCCTCCAGCGTTGGTAACTGCGGCTGCCAATCTAGGGCCAGCTGCCACGTTCATACCAGCCAGCAGGACTGGATGCTTGATCTTCAGGAGATCCGTGGCAGTGGTTCGGAGTTGCTGAGGGGATGCCATTTTGATGTAGGTGTGCGCAAAGAGCCAAGGAGGGATGTAGCTGATTCAGGGATGTTGTTTTCGAAGAGGAGTGACGGGAGGACTTTGGAGGTGGTATCTAGGAGGACAGACGATTTGACGGTGCTGCGGAGACTCGGACCAGAGATATATCTGCACACAGCGAGGATCCAGGAATTTAAGCAGAGAAGAAAAAGCCGAAAGGCGCAAAGTAATCAACAAATCTGCGGGAAACGGAGAAGAATTAGGACGAATGTAGCATTGGGTATGCGCATGGTGGAAGCGGTGGAAGCGCAGCATGTCATGACATGGTCAAAGTACCGAGGCATCTCCCCGATTTAAGGCATTTCAGTCCCACAATCCCACAAACTTCTCCACACTCTTACGCGGAATACGCCCCTGATACGACATGGCTTCTTGGTGGTTGTGAGACACCTGACGGTCTCGGCTTAACTGTCATGTTCTTTTCCGCACATGGCGAGATGGTGAGCAGATGCGAATCAGGCTGGCACCTTATCCTGATATCACGTGACGGTCTGTCCCTTATCCGGTGCCAAGCTCTGAAATGCGGAGATGGTTTAGAGTCGGCTAAGATGCCACTTTTGGCTCCCAGCGACTGGGTGCCACTGGTGACGAGGCTTTGGATTTTTTGTTTTCATGCTGTAGCAAGCCGAAATCATCCTCAGTCCGCCTTGTCCAGAGCACTTGTTTAGTTGTGGTTGCTGCTACCAATAGTTCATCTCTTCGATAACTAACCACCAAGCTCGTATGTCCACTACTCTAGCGACAGCTGTTGGCCGGATTCCCTGCATCCAGAGTTTGCCTACTGTCTTCAATCCCACATGCTCATCACAGGTACAACACGGTCTCTATACAAGTAATATCCAGTGCTGTCTGCGGTCGACTGTGCACAAACGCATACTTCTGACTCTATCCGCCTCCCCGAGAATCCGCGCTAGAAAGTCCACTTTGCAGCAGCGTGTTCTGCGCCCCTGTCCGTTTTCCTTAACCATGTCTCGGCCTTTGAGCCAGATCAATGCAAAGATGAAGTCTTCAAAGTCGGCTTCAGATGCCCAAAATAAAGCCGTGGTAGCCTTCGGTAGCAACCTTGGAGACCGACTTGCCAACATCGAGGCTGCGCTCTCCAGAATGAGAGAAAACGACCTCCGAGTTCTTAAGCTGAGCTCCCTATATGAAACCAAACCAATGTACTACGATGATCAGGATCCTTTTCTGAACGGCGTTTGTCAGATTGAGACCAGTCTTGCACCACTACAATTACTGGATGTCTTGCAGGCCATTGAGAATGAATTGGGCAGAAAACGCTTGATTGACAAGGGACCCAGGACGGTTGATCTTGATGTCATCCTCTACAACCAAGACTACTTCAAGCACCCTCGGCTCAACATCCCGCATATTCTGATGCTGGAGAGAGAGTTCGTGCTCAGACCTCTTGCAGAGTAAGTCTGGGCTGCATCGTTCCCACAAAGGCTGACGTTTTCAAGCATATTGCCTGACGAGCACCTTCCGGCAGACTTCTCACCAAGTACTCGTCACCGCCGAATAAGTCAACTATTAGAGGCGCTTCCAGAAAAAGATGCCACCATGTCTCCGGTCACCGTCTTAAGGCCACAGATGCCCATGGTCCGTACTCATGATGCCACCCGCAAGACCCATATTATGGCCATTTTAAACCTTACACCCGACTCTTTTTCCGACGGAGGCGTTCACACAGCCAAAGGTGCTGAGGCTATAAAGACAACTGTCGCGAATTTCATTGCGGCAGGCGCCAGCATCATCGACATTGGTGGACAAAGCACTCGCCCAAAGGCCGATTATCTTGGACCTAAGGAGGAGCTCGAACGCATCCTTCCAGTGATCCGCGTAATCAGAGAGATGAAAGAAGCGGACAATATCGCCCTCAGCATCGACACCTTTCACTCTGATGTAGCTCGGCAGACCATTCTTGCTGGTGCGGACATCATCAATGACGTCTCAGCTGGTCTCCTAGACCCTCAAATGCTACCAACGGTGGCTGAGTTGGGGAAGACTATTGTCCTTATGCATATGAGAGGAGATCCGCACACAATGACAAAACTCACTAACTATCCCGACGGCGTCACCCATGGAGTAGCTCGAGAACTTTACGAGCGAGTTCAGGCTGCCCTCGACGCCGGGATTGCCCCATGGCGAATCATCCTCGATCCCGGCTTGGGCTTTGCGAAGGACCAGGAACAGAACCTCGAACTCCTGAGGAGTCTTCAGCAACTACGGGAACAAACACAATACTCTTCTGTGCTAAGAAATTTCCCCTGGCTTATGGGCCCGAGCCGCAAGGGGTTCATTGGGAATGTTACCGGCGTGTCGGAGGCTTCCAAGCGGAGCTATGGGACGGCCGCCGCAGTTACGGCCAGCATTGAAGGCGGCGCTGATATTGTGCGGATACACGATGTTGGCGAAATGGTTCAGGTTACAAAGATGGCAGATGCTATCTATCGACGGCCCTGAAGGAGACCAATGGCACATCTATGGCAACTCGCAGCAGATTTCAACATCCTGAGCAGGAGGAATTAATCATGTCAGATGTATGAATTGGAATTCGCGGCTGTCAGGAATATAATCCACATGTCGAACGAGGCTGCCCTGGTGTCCACAGTCTTCTGTGGCAAGGCTGCCACAGCCTCGGAGGTTCTTGGCCACCCATTGGCCAAGTCAACAAATGATGAGGTCATGACCAATCGATCTTCATGCAGGTACGAACCACCGTCAACCATCAATGGGTTTTCGATTCCCCATGTTCAATGTCAGTCTATCATATTTTCTCCTCCTCCTTTTGCATTGGGATACATTCTCACTCATCGCAAATTAGCCAGTAGTCCATACACAGACACATTCGCTTCAGCATAGATCCACAACATGCCTCCCAGCGGCCATCCCTTTGGCCTCCGCTGGCGAGCCAACACTCTTTTCATCATCTCTACAGTTGCCATCGGCCTGTTCACCGACCTCTTCCTCTACGGACTTGTCGTCCCCGTATTACCATTTATGCTCCAAGAGCGTATACATCTCCCCGAGGACAAAATTCAATCCTGGGTGTCTGGACTTCTAGCTGCCTATGCTGGCGCTAGTGTCGTCTTCTCCATCCCTGTCGGGATCGTCGCTGACCGCACCAATGCTCGGCGGACACCTTTCCTTTGCGGCCTTACCGCCCTGCTTGCCGCTACCATCATGCTGGCTCTGGGTCAGAATATTGTGGCGCTTGTTGTAGCCAGGATCCTACAAGGGACAAGTGCCGCTGTTGTCTGGACTGTGGGTTTGGCCATGGTGCTAGATACTGTGGGACCCCAGAACCTTGGTAAAGTAATTGGAACGGTAAGTTTTTCTGATGGAACTATTCATGGGAGACAAAATCTCATTCGGGCAACAGATTTTCTCCATCATATCAGTCGGCGAACTGGCGGCCCCTGTTCTAGGAGGAGTCCTGTACCGCAAGACTGGCTATGTAGGAGTGTTTGGATTAGGTGCCGCCTTTCTTGGAGTCGACTTTATCATGCGTATCTTGGTGATTGAAAAGAAAGTCGCAGTGAAATATGACAAAACTCTTGCAGAGATTCAGAATCCCCGCGACGCCGAAGCGCGCCCTGGAGGAACGGATAGCGAGGACGATCGGAGCGAAGACGAACCCCTGTTGCCAAAAAAGGAGGAAGATAACTATCGCATTCCAGAAGGTCAAAACAGGCTGGTCCGAACGCTTCCTATCCTCTACTGTCTATCCAACCCCCGGCTTCTTGTCGCTTTGCTGCTTGCATTCGTTCAAGCTGCGTTACTCGCCACCTTTGACGCCACCATTCCCACCGAAGCACAGACGTTGTTCGAGTTCGATTCTTTACAGTCCGGCCTCCTCTTCATTGGCCTTGACATTCCATATCTCCTCCTCGGTCCTATAGCTGGCTGGGCCGTTGACAAATATGGTACAAAACCAGCCGCGGTCCTGGGTTTCGGCTACCTCGTTCCAACCTTGATACTACTCCGCCTACCCTCGTCACAAGTCGCACCCAGCCGTACTGCTAATGTCGTCTTATACTCCGCTCTCCTGGCCCTCAATGGAATTGGCTTGGCAATCATCGGCTCACCATCCATCGTTGAGGCCTCGGATGTGGTGCAAAAATACGACAAAGCCAATCCGGGACTCTTTGGAGAAAATGGGCCCTATGCTCAACTTTACGGCTTCAATTCCCTGGTGTTTTCCGCCGGGTTGACGGTCGGACCCGTCTTGAGCGGATCCTTGAGGGACAGTATAGGCTATGGCAACATGAACGTCGTGGTGGCATGCATTGCAGGGGTCACGGCTATATTGAGTTTCTTCTTTGTCGGCGGTCGACCGAGGATACTAAAGAAGAACAAGAGACAGCTAGATGAGAGGTAGAGTCTTTCCAATGGCTCGGGCAAAGTCGAGCAACCGGCACAGACCATGGATTGAAATTTTGGGACTTTTTACCTTGTACTCTACAATACTTGAAGAGGATAGCGTTCTTTGGGATTCTCAATAAATATTATTTTTTGTTTTTTGGATTCTGCCTCTCTTCCATCTCCAAGGTATTCATCGGTATACACCGGGCGGCAAATCTCAATGCGCGTGGGGGACACTGTCTGAAGGTCCCCAGGTGCCCACGTTTCAGGCCGCCGCTCATATCAAGGGCCCGAAGGAGGACCCATCTCAGACTAGCCCTCCAGGAAAATCATCTCCCAGAAAGGGCAAGAGTACAGTCCAGCCCTGTCGAAGCGGGTACCAGGTAGAATGTACCCCACAGAAGTTCTCTGGAAATGAAGGGTGAAGGGGTCTTGGAACATACATGTTCCAGGCGACGAACAGCAGACAACTCTGTCAAGAATGAAGATAAGTCCACAGTCTAGTCATCAACGTCCAGCGTCGTAAGACCCCCAGGGATGGGCGCCCCATGAAGGAGTTCCTGGAAGTGTCCCTGCTGCCGTCAGACAGACATCTGCACCGCCGCTCACAAAGGGGTGGTGAGCAGCTAGGCGCATATCCTCAGGAGGCATTATTCCCATGGCAGCTGTGTTGTAGATCTGGGAAGGGTAAAGACCCTTGATGAGCTCGGGAGAACGACCTTCCTCCTTTGGGGTTCTGTTGGGCCCGAACCGTAGCCATTGAAACAGCGGCCGGGGTGGTGGCCGCTCTCCTCTCTGAGTATACCATTCAGCTTCCTGTTCCCAGTTATGCCATCGGACCAACTCGTCCATGAGGGATTCAGAATCTGCGACGTGACCCGTTTCCCGCAAGATAGAAACAAGAGGCCAGGCAGCCCACCAAATAATGAGGCTGTGGACACCGTGAATCAGTACACGGAGGTCAAGAACCTGCCGGAGTTGTTTCTCTGCGTTTAGAGGGTCTTGTAGACGGAGAAGCAGCATTGCATGTCGAGATAGCAGAGTCGAACGAAATAGCTGGAGAACAGGCCCATGCGCCTCGATATGGGTTTGGTCTTCTTCCAAGAGTTGTGTCGCGCTCATTGCTCGGCGGTAGCATTGTACAGCCGCTTCAGTGCGGCCTACCTGTGCATAAGCCCTCGCAGCGATCGCCAAACAATTAATGGTCAGGAGATCGTGACGTCCCATTTTCCGCTCGCACACCGGGAGGCTGCTTGTTAAGAGCTTTAATGCCTCGTGGTATTCACCTTTCCGCATTGCATGCCATGCATAGAGGTAGCCACTAACGAAGAAATTTGGATGCTCCCTGCCCCAAATTTGCCCGATCTGTGCGTGCGACCGTCCCAGCGACTCGCCGTAAAATTCCATCTCTTCAGGATCGTTGTTGGCCCAAGCCAGAGCGTACCGGAACGGAACCTCGTATGTGTAGCTTTTGCGCATGGCAGGCTGAGAGCTGATGATGGAACAACTTGCAGAGAGAAAATTCGCTAATTGCTCCATCCGCTGAGTCTGTCCTAGCACCAGCATTGTCCAGCTAAGACAGGGGAGGATGAACTCGTTGTTGTGCTCCAACGCATACTGCAGGATATCCATGGACTGAGACTTGCGGAACTCGAGCATGTCTTCCTGCAAATCATCGGAAAAACATTGCAGGTAATATGGCGCTGCCCATTGGCTGGCGCTTAGTTTGTGGTCCTCCTCGCTGGTGACCTGAAATGAGTGCACAGGTTGAAAGTAGGAAGCATATTCAGGTGGCTCATACTTGATGCCCTTACACAGCGTTCCGATTGATTCGCTAAAGTCGTAACTTTGGTGAGAGTGTGGCGGTTGGCATGAACGGCATGAGTTGGGGTTAAAGATTGTCTCAGAGGGCGTTGCAAGCACGAGCAGCGTTGTCGCCGAAGACACGGAGCAGTTCGAATATGGGCTGGGATAAGCCTCGTCTTCGATTTGGAATGGCTCGGGGGGTAAGCTCAGCAGCGTATGAACTGGACTCAGCTGAAAAGATGCGTTACCGCCACCGACCACGTTTCCAGCGCCGACCGGCCAGGGCAGTTCGTTACAAGGAATCGGCTCAGGCGGTAATACTTGACAGTCAGTTGTTGCCAGCGTAACAGTCGGAGGGGAGAGTCTTTCGGGACTGCTAGTAGTGGGCGGTGTGTAAATCTCCGGAGGCGAAGGAATTAGAGGCATCGAATCGTCTGAAGTAACGTTACAGGCTTGGACAGGCTCAAATTGTGATGGTGGAGAGTCCTCAGATTGCCGGTTTAGAAATAATGTGAGAGCACTCTCGCCAGTGGTGAGTGTGTCTCTATTTCGCACACCGCAGTTCCTGAATGGTAGACCATGCAGATTTGCATGCCATTGAAGAGGAGCGCCATACAGCTGAATTTCCCGGGCTCGATTGTGATGAATCAGCAGATCCTTTTCTTTCCAGGAGATGCCAGCAACCCTCAAGGTGTATTCTGCTTCGCAAAGGGACGGGAGTTTGAAAGATTCTCGGTGTAATAGGTATCTTTTTCTGACTCTTTCGCATTCTTTCTTGATTTTTTGAGCATTGAAAGTAACTCGTTCGTCCCTCTTTGGCACCTCGAAAACAGCCTCACTGCCATGAGCCTTCCACGAATCTGCCACCACCAGCATGGCGAGATAATGCTGGTGGGGGGTTTTCTTGCGTTCATATTTCCACTCGCTCAACCTGTTCTTGATCTGCCTCTCGCTCACAAAGACACTGCGAAGACGGAGTTGCTTTTGGATGTATTCGCAAGTTCGATTCTCCCGGAGATACCACCTGCGGATGTCGGCTTTGAGTGCCTCCCATGTCTCCTTAGGAGGCTGCGGCGAGCGATCGCCTACCATTGGATATTACAACACCTTCAGAGGCCCAGCTAGGAGTTATCATTCGAGTCTGATAAAGGATACCACTGGAACGTTGAGAAATTGTGCGACGACACACCTCCCTCTGACGGCGGCGTAGGGCAGATCGGGAGTACTCGCAGTAGCGGCAGCGATTACAGGTGACCGAAAGGCGGACAGCTGTGTAGGTCAGGATCTAGAGGGTTCGAGTCCTGCTATTCGTCAGTAAAACAGGCTCCTTTGGGCAAATGTCATGGTTGAAAAGGCAGGGGACTGAGAAAGATGATTGGTTGGTACTCACTTCAACGAACAAAAATGGCCCAGGTTCGCGATGGGCCTAGTTCGTGGTGTTTGGTACCATGAGTGGCGTCTGAAAGTCTCCTTCACTTCTTCCTTCATGGCTCTTCTCTGTTGCTCTCTCCCCCTCTCTTTTCCCACCTCCTCGCCTGGTTGGATATGGGGGCAGACTGCGTGGGTCAGTCGAGTCCGCAATCTGCAAGAGAAATCTAATCTGTCAGAAAATGCTGCAGAAAATGGACCAGGAAACGAGGTTGGAACAACGACCAGTGGGATGGAAAGAGAGTAGGGAGACGAGGGGGCTGAGACCAGCGAGCTTTGGTGGTGATGGGCACAAGGCCAGCTTGCGAGCTTCGGGTTAGATCACTTTGCAGACTGCAATGCTGTGTAACTTGCCCTTACCACTGCGGCATCGTGCTCCGGAGCCAGATGCTGGCAGGTCAGGGCGTGGAACTGTTCAAGATTGGACCATTTCCAGCCGTAGCAGCTTGGAGGTGACACCTGTCTACAGCGAACAGAACAAGAGCAGAGAGAGCATGTCGAGATTGGAGGTTGGAGGAGGTGGAAAAGTGACAGGTCACCTCTCTACCCACTTGGTTGCCGAATGCTCGCCCCCCCCCTTCTCCCCCACCAGCCTCGAGCTGCATGATGCACAGACCCATCCATGCTGCATCAAGTTGGGTAGGTGGTAGTCGAGTCACAGAATTCGTTTCCACGTCTGCATCGATTGTGCATTGTTCTCCGTCAGCTGGTGGAAGGAATGGCTTGTTCGGGGTCGTGACCAATGACGAATAGCCCGATGCTTAACACCCACAGGTGCGGCTAGCGGGCAACCAGTGCAAAGCTAATCAGTCGCACCCACTATCAAACCAGTTTCTTGAACCTGGCGTGGCCCAGAGGTCAGTGACAAGCAGAGTATCGAGTAGGGCACGACCATCTTTTCCTTCTTGTCACAATCCTCTGGCTGGCCTCTTCCCTCCTGAAGTTACCGCTTCTCCCCTTTCAAGTTGGGCACAACTTCTCCTGCGCCGTTGGTTGGCTGCCTGAAGAATGAGGCCACTAGTCTCGCCAACGCACCCATGCCTGCGGTCTCCGTTTTCGTTCTTGCACCAAACCCCCCCACGAATCAACCTGACTCGCCTCGTTTTGACCTCTATCGTGGCTCGTTTCACAATCATCGTCTCGGAGTACTCCCACGCATGACCTCCCCTCGCTTCCATGAATTGGACCTGCCCATGAGTGGCCCTTTGTTGTTGAATGCTAGGCGACCTTCACCATGGCCCTCTCAGCCGAAATCTGTATCAGCGCGAGGTGATTGACATGCTATGCAGAAGCACCACCACAACACCCAAACATCTACTTGGTATTCGGGCTCTACTGCTTTCAGACAATACCCGGCTTTGCAGTTCCAGCTTGACCCACGCCTCTCCTAACTTTCTACCGAATCCCAAGGACTTGAATCCTGTTCCCTTGAACCATTGTCCCTTTCTGGGCATCGAAGACATCGAGGGAGTCGTCTTTCTACAACGCACCTTAGATGCTGCTACTTTTGGCCACTCCTTCCGACACGGTGCCACTTTGCCGTCGATGCGTCCCTTGATTTGGCCAAGTTTTGGGAAGGTTCCAAAAAGCTGTCATATTCCGCAAGTGGTACGCGAAGATGCGGTTACGTGCCATACAGCAGAAACATTCTTTCACGACCTTCTCAATCACTTTGGGCGCCATGTACCGCTGCACCAATCTGTTCTACCCGCGATCTGTAGTTTGCATTATAAATTCGTTGGTCGAGCATCTCTAACATCCACGGTAAGCTGCTTGCCTGGGTTACCGACCCCTTGGGCTAGTTCGAGAGTCTATTAGCGAGAGATGAGAGATGACTTTGTAGAAAGTATTTCATGCCTCACTGCCCATAGTTTCGTGTCGATGCCCAACAAGAAGCGTGCAATCACAAAACTCGTGTCTGGGGTAAGCAGGCTTAGATTTGGGTCTCAATAGCATATGTGCATTCATTCGTAGTTCCTTGTCATTAAGAGCTTGTTCCCACCGTCAGGGGAAAGTGCATGTCCTTTGTTCCAGCCGAGCATCCCCTGACTCGTCCGTTGTTGCGGCCTGCTCTTCCCACCATAGGGCGCTTTGATTTCCTCCAGGCACCATTTCTATCAAGATTCTTGCCGGATATTCTTGTGCCTTCTTTTCTCGGGCCAGGTGATCGACAACGAACGTGCGGAAACCCGCGGCTTCACGAAACTCCAGGTATTGGTGGCTCTCCTGAAGGCTTCGGGGGAGGGTTGGGTTTGGGAGGCTTATCGCCTCTTGCGAAGTCTCCAGGGTATGGTCCGCTTAGATCGCCAGATCGTTCCCTTTGATTTTCTGCTTCTATAGATTAGGTCATAATTCCAACAGTAATAATGGTGTCACTGCTCTTACCATATGGAGGTTTATATTTGCCGCTGCCCGCCAATGAGGCTGGCTGTCCGACAGCTGTCGAGGGTGGTCAGCAGGCTCAGGTAGTACCACCATATAGTTCAAAAGCCAAATTCTGTCGTGCATACCTGGGTTGCACAAACCTCGGGCCAATGACCGATCTCTGCGGTACATGATGGATGATTGAGTTTGGTCCTAGCCTTGCAAGACCCGTAATCCTAGAGATAGGTCGTCAAGATGGTGAAGTTTGGAAGAGTTTGAACCAGGTGTTCCGGTTGATAGAGGAGCCAAAGCCTGGAAGGAGCTGAAAATGCTGGGGGAGGGGATGTCAGCTTTAAAACGGGGTCTGTGACATTCCCGCTGCCGCTGAGTGGTCTTGACTCCCGGGTCCGCCAGCGCTTGCCTCTCATCCTAGGGCATGGCTTTAGCGTAGGAGACCGCCAACCCAGAGTGTCTTGCGGGGGCCGTGTCCATTGTGCATTCATGCCTCGTTGGTCTTGATCAATGACATCCCTAGGACACAGAGTATCTGTCGGTAGTGGTACTGAATGTGAGGACTAACGAGTTAGAGGTTGTCCGAGACCCATTCCAGCACCAGTCCGCTCACTCTTCTGTCCAAACCTGTCTCTCAATGGCTGCGGATAGCGGAAGCATGACAGCTGTAGGGGTGATGTCCTCACATCGGAGCCATTCAGCTCCCGTGACCACCTCCAATGCATGTGCCCAGTGCTTTAGAGCAATGACGGTCGTGCCATCTCGGCAAACGAACGGCAACAATGGTCCAAGACGCGTGTTCGAACCCAGAAGTCCTCATTCATACGCAATTGTTCGCGACCAGAGACTCAGTGACCTTTCATGAAGTTCGGTGGATAAGGCAGGGCGCCAACCCTAGGCCGCAGAGCCGCAAAAATCCCTGTGGTTCGACGTCGCGTCGATCCTGTTGCACGACACCCATGGTGCATCACGCAGGACACAGAAAACATGTCGGTCCTGGACATCATCGACGTTCTTGAATATGGTTATCGTCACACAAAAAGCCTCTTGTTTCACAGACCATTCTCAAGTTGGAATATCTCGCTGTCCGTCCATGTCCAATTGATAAAGGCCGTGCCGCCGGGAGAGTCAGGAAATGTCGCATACGACGCGGTGAGAGGCATTTTCTGCGCCTGATAAGAAGATCTGGATAGCAAGAGGCCATTCATGCGAAGACTGTCTTGTTGAGAGTTTGGTACTGACTGGACATCATACCCAAGCCTGCTCGTCTCGACTGCTAGGGCTCGTTACTGGCCCGAGTTGCGGCGTCAGCTGAGGCGTACAGAGTCAATACTATACTGTGCCAGAAAAGGCATTCTGGTATGATTGCACAGGCAGTGTCACCGTTATCGATGCCACGAATCCGTCCATGGTCGTTGGGCAGTGTGATCATCATCATGCGGAGCTACCTGCCCGCTGGAGTATGACTTAATGAGGATAGACACGCTTCTGTGTCCTCCGCACCAGCAATGGGGAAGGAGAAAAGAACAGAATGAAGGAAGAGCGAGTGATGAAGATAAAATAGAGTTGGCCGGGACGCGGATCTGGTGCACGGGGACGGAAGTGACCGAGGACGGGAATGGCAGGCGCAGGCACAGGCTGTTGAACTGAGACGCACAGAATTAGAGGCAAGAGCTTAAACGTGCCTTCTGCGGGCCTCAGTCGAGTCTCTGTGTCCTGCGCCCTCCTCAAGAGTCACTTGCAGCTCCCTGCGAGCCCCAGTCGGCGATACCAATCCTCTCCCGTCGAATCTGAGCTGCCACGGAGACCACGCTTACCCCGTCGAAGCCGGCATCCTCAACAATCCCCGTTTCTCCCCCACGTCCCGACCGTGTTGCAGAGCCAACCTGAAGCCTGATGGCCCCGGCAGTGGCTTGCTAGTTACTGCAGGGCGAACGACACATGTCATAGCTCGACGGGGGCGACCGCTCCTGCGTCTAGTGCCCAACAGAGGCTCCGGGGGAAACGCAAGAGTTACACCAAGTGCATGAACGAGGCCAAAATGGGGTAAACGTCGGCATCAGATTCGATTACCCACAGCCGGTTTGCAGCCACGCCATATCATGTGAAACGAGGCAGATCTACTGGTCACTTCCTGATCCTCCTCGCCGACCTGAGAACCCTGCCACCACCGGGTAACCAACAAGCTTGCCCCTGGATCTTGGTTAGGTTTGGTGAAGATGGGTGCGAGTTACGCCAGCTGACTGGGAAGCTTCATCTGCACCCTGGCGGGAGCTGCAACGAACCTGTGCCCGGCTCTTTTGGTCTGCATCTCTTGCAGACGGCCGATGCGGCATACCTTGAGTCGAAAGAGGCGGTCACAAGCCCTCGCCTATGAAATACGACCGCGTCACGATTCTTCATGCCCCAGAAACCACCCGTGAACCACTAATGAGGCGATGAGGCGTAAGAGCAGATGCCGGATGGAGTTTTCGCCTACAAGAAGCACATGCATCCTAGTCTTGAGGCATGGATTGGCTCTGCACCCGTCAATGCCTCCATCGGCTGTTGGCGCTTAACACGGCCTGACCTCAATTTCTTCACACCGGTCTCACCAGAAGGATGCTAATGCAGCGATCCTCTCCCCCATCAACAATATCATCAAATCCAAGCTTCTAGATCTTCTGCAATACACTGCCGACGAGGCCACGTCACAACAGAAGTCCCCGTTTTAGAGACAGTGATGGCGCTTGAACCGGGGAACAAATTTAGGTGTTGGCTCGAAAGTGCTTTTGCCTCCCGGTGTTCAGCGACTGGTCGTTATAGGGATGACCTGGTTTGTTGGGAGTGGACCAGACCTGTCTTCTCAGTCACTGAGAGGGCAGTCATTGTTTCCGCGACGAGGGCTCTACTAGCTTGGCCATCCGCAGAAGCAACACTGAATGACTTCTCGTTGCCTTTTCTGGAAATATTCGGCGGAAATTAGCAGGCCATAGACATGCACGATGTGCACCCTCTGATGAGCGCTGGACCCTAATCTACACAAGGTCAGAGAATGTGGGCGAGCTTTCTACCCGGTCAAGAATTGCCACTTTGTCGCCCCATCTTTCCATACGTGAGATTCAGCCATCATTCGCATTCCCATCAGGACATTGACTCAGAGAGTTGTCCCAGCACTAGAGGATCTATGTACGTGACGTCTACTTCGGGTTGTGCGTATTTCACCATGGAATAGCAGCATCAAACCTCTTTACACCATTTCATCAAGGTTTCACCTGCAGAGGTCGCCCCAAACTTCTTCTTGATGGCCCAGGCAAGTTCATCAAGAGTCACGTCCAGCCTGAACATTTTACTTGATATGCCATCACCTCCTAGGCCTTCGTCCCCATGCCTTCCTGCCACGCTGGCGGCGCCCACCCCCGAATGCGGCACAATGTACTGCCACTGCGCGAGATCCTCCCACGCGGCTCTGGCCGTGTCCCTGCTCCACGATCTCAGGCCTGTGCCCGTGATGGCGCCGGCTTTCGTGAACGAAAACGACGACGAGCGCTGGAGCTTGGAGCGGGCGAGCAGCTCGGTATATTGCTTGTGGACGAGCGTGAAGTTCGCCATTGTGACGTCGTAGATTGTCTCGAGACGTGCGCCAGAGACGAGGAGGGATAAATGAAGGATGGGTAGCTGCGGGAGCAGGTCCAGCAGCGGTGGCGGCGAGCTCGTTGTGCTGGCGACCACCGGTGTGCGGGACTTGGAGAGTTCGGTGACACCGAGATCGTCCGCCGCAGGCACGGAGAGGGTGGCAACCGGCATATAGAGCGCCGCCAGCATGTCCGGGATGGATTTCGTGGCGTAGAAGATTCTCTTCATGACTGTTTGTGTCGATGACGCGGGGAGGAGCTGAGTCTGTGAGAGGATTTGGCAACGTCAGTGAGATTGCACTCATGTTTAGTACGTCCACGGGTTTCTGGAGGGGTTGCAGCACCAGGGACTGACCTTGATGTAGCCGTTCCATTTCTGTCTCCAATCCAAGTCCTCCTTCGTGACTCCCAATGCGTCCTTCCCGTCGACCGGCAAGCAGAGAACAGCTCTGACAACTTCCTCAAAGGCAACGAGGCTCTTCACGGCGGGGACATGCAGCCAGCGATGGCTGAAACGACTCTTGACTCTCTTCTCCAAACAGTCGACGATGTCCATGCGCGTCGAGCATCCAATCACCGCGATGGGGGCTTTCCTTGCCTGAGCGATGTCGAAGAGGTTGTAGAGCAATGTCTGTCGCGGATGAGTGGTGAAGAGGTCGAACTCATCGAGGACGAAGATGACGCTTTTCGACGCACGGTTCACTCCTCCAGAGTCCATTGTAGCCGTGGTATTGTCAATAGCCATGGCGTCTGGATCAGCGGTCAGCTCCTCCGGGTGACTCAACAGACTCAAAAGACTGGCCATCGTATCGGCATAACTGCTCACTTCTCCCGTCTCGTCCTCAGGCACAGCCATCTCCCGCCCTAGTTGACGCCATATTTCCCTGAGAGCCAATTTGTCATCGGTCTGGATGAACCCGTTTAGCTTGACGACGTGGAAATCGTCGCCGTAGGCTTTTCGTAGGTCACTCAAGGTGTGTCGGATGAGGAGAGATTTTCCGCTCCCTCGGGAACCAAGGAGGAGTAGAGAGTTGGACTCGCCAGACGTGACCGTTGCAGTGAGGAGGGCATGCAGGGTATCATACTGGGTTTGCAGATGGGAGGGGACAGGCGAAGGTGTGAGGGAGAGGTCATCGCTGTGTGCATCTGTGATTCGAGACAGAATCTGCAGTTTGATATTTGTGAGATGAGGATCCTCGTCCACGATAACGCCGGCAGCGACATTTCCTGGTGGAGGAAAGTCTGAGACCTGAGAGACGGAGATGATGTCGTTGATGTCAAATAGCTCTTCCTCCAAAAGTGATGCCTGATCTTCAGGGTCCCCATTTTCCGATGGCGACTCAGTGTTCTCGAGAGCATCCTCGGGATCTTGCTGGTCTTCTGTGCGGTTTACCGCTTTGCTGGAGTCGACATGCTCCGATCGGTTCTTTGCGGTCTTCTTGGTCGATTGAGCTATATCCTTGAAGCCGAGTTGCTCCTCAATCTGTCTCTGATCGTCATCGACAGAACCCTCAAAAGCCACCGATTTACGCGCCTTGCCACGGCGACCATGTCGTGAGGGCGTCAAGATCCCTTTCGGCTGTGGTGACAGGACACTGTTTGTTGCGGGCGCAGAAACAGGCTGTGATGACACGGACTCGACAGGGTGTTTCCCGTTGGATTTCTTCGGTCGTTTGGAAGCTCGCAATGGTGATTCTTCAGTAGCTAGTTGGAGTCGTCGAGATGGCCGTCTTATGCGTGTACTTGATCGCGGTCTTGCCGAGGCTGTGCTCTCCTCTTCCTCGTGTTCAGAGTCTTCCATGGTAGGGCGAAGGCCATCCTGCAAGTGTTCTCTGCCTTCCTTCAGATTCTGGTCGATTATTTCCCCCTTTTTGTGCGTATTTGTGGGAACATCCGAAACTGGCTCTGAAACACCCTCTATTGCCTTTGTTCTGCGGCCACTACTCCTTCGCGGTGTGCTCTCGGCAGCATTTTCCTCGCCTGATGGCGCAATGGTGCTCTTTCCATCGATAGCCTTGGAGGATTCGTCCTCTGACAATTGTCCCCTTTGTTCCAATACTCTTCTCCGCCTGTTGTTAGACGTTGCCTCCTTTGTCTCTCTTTCCGTCTCGTGCACAGATTCGGGAGGTGATGAGGCTACAGTCCGCCTGCTTGTAGCATATGTTGCTGTTCGACGTCGCTTCGAAGCACGGGGGGAGGCGTCCAAATGTTCCATGGCTCGTCAATGGGTATCTTTGACTCGACGTCGCAACCGATCAGGAATAATTCCGCAACTCGACGCGCTACGCGTCGGTATAGTTGCCATTGTGAGAGCGCAGCCTGGAGCGTGACAGGTTGATGTAGGAAGAGCCGTTGATGCTGTCAGACAGTATCTTTTTTAGAGAGTTCCTGGCGAAATCTGGGACATCTTGTCAAAACTCGGCTGTCACGCATGTCAGTATTTTCAACCACTCGCATCCAAGCCACCATCTAGCACTTTGGTGATAAGTGGAACCTGGGTTTCACCGAGGCTTGCCTGTTGAAGGCCTCTAAACCCGAGAATCTGGGAGATCCGGGGTAGAGGGGGCGTCATTGACCTCACGCCAGGTTGCAAGAACTGCAAAGTCCCTCTTTGATCTGTCTACAATGCTGGAAGAACTTTGACGTGCTTCGCCTTCGTCATTTCTGCATAGTCCATGTAGTACAAGGTGCTGGAATCAATATATTTGATCTCTCTTCTCCTATTTTCTTTTGCGGCAGGCCCAGCTGGAGGACATGGGCGACAAGGGTGTTTAGATAATTACGCCGAAGGCAACCCACCAGCAAGGCACTACAGACACCCACAGGCACCCACCCGCCTAAAGATGACCCAATGGGCTGCATCTCGCTTCGCCTAAACCACCCCTGGTGCCCCCAGAAATTCATCTTCCCTCCCCAACCGTCCGGGACAGTCGCCTTTGCGGGGGCTGCTGCTCCTCACCCACTCTCTCTTTCTTCATTCATCCACTCGTGCCATCAATCCACATCACCAAACCTCAATTGGTTCTCGCCCATGTCCATGTTGGGCATGACCTCTACCACAGAACACATTTTCCTCGCTTAAGCTTCAGCACAATGACACCATCTACTCTGGAGGCCCTGGTGGCCCCGGCCAGCATGCTGCAGAGCCCCGATCCAAAACCCACTACCTCCCCTGCTCGATTGCCAATACTGGGTTGCTCTCTTTTTTCTAATATTGTTCTCCTCCGCTGGTCTTTCCGTCAACGGCGCCTCATCCTCGTGTGATGCCTTCTGCCCCTGCGTTGCGACTCTCAGCATGCGAATCCAATAACCGGTCCAACATGATCTGGAACAACTTCTTTCCTACGTGGCAATGAGCGATGCAAGCGACGCCGTAGGCCGTGACGGTGATCCCGAGGCCGAAATCTACAGAGCTGCTAGCGACAAGCCTCATCCCTCCGAGTTTCTCGAGTTCGTCACGGTTCCTGGACAACCAGGGTCATGCCGCCTAGAACCTTTGAAGACACAGAATGAGCGGGAGACTGATCGAATACACGCAACACGGTCCAACGATGATCTGTTCCATGGGCTCTCAGCAGCCATTCCTGGCCTGCGCAATTTGTCGGTTGACGCTCGCGCCGCGACAAAGGCTGAACATGCCATGACATTTTTGAGGGGGTGTCGGTTGTATCCAAAGGCCATCGCATGGTCGTTGCTCCTAAGTATGACCATCGTGATGGAGGGCTATGACTTGACCCTGGTCAACTCTTTCTTTGCATTTCCAGTATTCAGACGCTCCTACGGCGAACCTCTGAACCCGCACGCTCCACCAGACCAACGAGATTACCAGATTTCACCGGCATGGCAATCCGGTCTCACCAATGCGGCTGTCGCTGGTGAAATTCTAGGGTTGATGTTTAATGGCTTTCTCACTGATCGCTTTGGCTATCACAAGACCATGGTCGGCACTCTGATTTGGATGTCCCTGTTCGTGTTTCTTGCCTTTTTTGCTGTCGATATCAAGATGCTCCTTGCAGCGCAGGTACTTTGCGGTCTGCCCTGGTAGGAACCTGTGACTATCAGCACATTCAAGCTCGTGTTGACCGAACAATAGGGGTGTCTTCCAGACTCTTTCGACGACATACGCGGCAGAGGTGATGCCGGTGGCTTTGCGTGCCTACCTGACTTCAAATGTCAATATGTGCTGGCTCATCGGCCAGCTGTGCGGCGTCGGTGTCATCCGGGGTCTTGTTCACAATGACTCTGAATGGTCGTATCGAATTCCCTTCGGTTTGCAATGGGCATTTGCGGTTCCAATCCTGGCCGGCGTGCTACTGGCACCCGAGAGCCCTTGGTGGCTAGTGCGACATGAGAAAATCGGCGAGGCAAAGAAAGCTCTGTTGCGTCTGACGACCAAGGATTCTGACCCCGATTTCAATGCCGATAAAACTGTGGCCATGATGCAACACACGAACGAAGTGGAAAAGTTTCTGAATGGCGGCGGTGTGTCATACCTTGACTGCTTCAAGGGGACTGACCTCCGACGAACCGAGATATGCTGCATGGTGTGGTGCACTCAAGCCCTGTGTGGCAGCTCGATGACTGGCTATGCTGCATATTTCTACGAGCAAGCAGGCTTCGACACTGCCGACAGCTTCAATCTGGCTGTTGGCATGTATGCGGGTGCGATCTGTGCGGGAATTCTAGCCTGGATTGGGATGCGCAAGATCGGCCGACGCACGCTGTACCTAGGGGGTCTGGCCGGGTCGTTGGTCATCCTGATCGTGACAGGCATCGTCGGCACATTCAAGGAGAGCGACAGCACTTCGTGGGCGCTGGGATCTCTGATCATCGTGTTGACATTTGTGTACGACTTCACGGTGGGCCCCGTCTGCTACGTCCTCGTGGCTGAGATCCCCTCGAGTCGCCTGCGTGTCAAGACGGTGGTCATCGCCCGCGTTGCATACAACGTCGTCAGCATCGTCACCAACGTCATCACGCCTCGGATGCTGAACCCCTCGGCCTGGGACTGGAAGGGCAAGTCTTGTTTTTTCTTCGCCGGCACGACGCTGCTGTGTTTGGTGTGGTGCTGGTTCCGTCTCCCAGAGCCGATGGGGCTAACGTACATGGAGTTGGACATTTTGTTTGAGAAGAAGGCCAAGGCCAGCAAGTTCAAGGAGTTCCAGGTCAATCTGGCCAGCACAGGATACTTTTCGCTCACGCAGACGCGGTCGGACAGCGTGTGGAGGGGTTAGCAGTGAGGATCTTGTGGAGTTGGTGCGTCCTCTCTCTCCAGATCTGTGTCCTACTTGCCACCTAGCTATCTACCTAGCCAAACTCGATACTCGATCCTGAAAATACCTCCCTATCTACCTACCTACCTACCTATGAATAGACGAGTGAGTAAGCGAGTATCGAGCACTAGTACCGAGTCTGCGAGTACAGTACTCCGTATCCACTCCATAACCATACAGTATGTTGAGCAGGCAAACAAATACCCCACTCGGACTGCATACATACATCGCTAAGCGAGAAGGTTGAGTGTGGAGAGTACCTATGTATGTACCCAAGGTATCTGCACATACATATATATATATATACATACCGACCCAAGGTAGATACCTACACACCGACCTACCTACCTAGTCAGCTAGGTTAGCAAGTTATTTAGAGTACCTCGTACTGGAGTTCCGTGTGTCACCGGATTCTCGTATTTGTACTCGGGACGTGCATAATACCTAGTACGAAGTACCTCGTAGTGGTTCCAGATCTGGCGCGGATGCCTGGGGCCTTGCTTGGGGTTGTCAAGGGTGTCTGGGGGTGTCCTCGGTAGGGTAGGTAGGTACCCACGGCATCCACTACTCCTCCACTCACTCATCCACTCATCAAAACCTCCACTTCTCAAAACCCTCCACCCTTTGAGCCTCCACATTGCCGCCGAATCTTCGTATCTTAGCACATACTCGGTGCATTGGTACTCGTCAAGGGACAAAAGTGGGCCGCCAGTCTCACGATCGAGTTTGGGATCTCAGAACTGATCCACTGTCGAAAGTTGACTGTCGACAAGTACCGCGTAGTCGAACCCACTTACAGCATAAGAGCAAGAACGCTAAATAGGACCTACATCGATGCATCCCGGCGTCATATCAGCCGGATAGACGCTGAATCCGTATACGAGTATGAGCACAACAAGGGCTGGTCGAAAGGTCAGAAATGCCATTGGATTCATTTGCGTTACGGATCTTTGGTCCTCTCTATCTATGTGTCGCGCGAATACTAAACAATCCCCTTTTGCAACCTGGTCAATCACAGTGTCGGCTGTCGTCACCTTTGTCAATCGACGCAGCCCATCTCTCGCCCATGGCCCTCGCGAGCACAACCCCAACTATCCCCATGTCGTCCCTCAGCCAGATCCCTCGATCGCAACAGGCAGAACCGTGCCTCAGACCGTAGAATGCTAGAACCCTTGGTACCAGTTCCATGCAACCCATATCACCCACCATTCCCAAGGGTTGGACCCCCTTGACTTTGATTTTGTCCTTTAGAAATATGTTCCCCGTTTCGCAGGATGCTGAAACGACCGTACGATGCAAGTTCCCCGAAAAACGCCATAAAACACCCAGACCCAGAACCACCCATTGAAATGTTTGTTGGAGGCCCAGCTGGCGTCGACGCAGCATAATCACAACAATCCATCACGATCTTTCTCAAACCTTCCAGGTCTTTCTCATAAACAAGCATTCACCGACCTTCTTGTTGTTCAGCGCTACCGTCAAAAGCCTCCCTATCGTTATCATTGAACGTGGTCAAATAGAAATGTTCCGCAGTGCTAATTGCCTTCAATTTCGCCGACCGTCTATTGAATGTTTCCCCACCGTGTTGACTGGACACTCCGAGGTGTAGACACTGAAACTCGCGCCATCGGGTTTCGTAGTCTGAAGATGCAGTCCATTCGCGCCGTTTCCATGCAGGTAAATTTATGGCCAGCCGTGGATGGTGCCGCGAAGCTGCAACAGTCGCCCCGAGCAATAATCCCAGGTACAGGCACACTGATCTATATGCATTAAAGTTTCGATAGAAAAGACATTAAAAAAAAAGCAACCGTCCAAGAGGCCGAGCTGAATTCTGGCTGTGTGCTCGAGAGACAAAAAACCGTCTGCGCTTAGCAACAGTTTGGAAAACAGGGTAACATGGCCAGTCGTCGAAACGGTATTGTGCTGAAGAAATGCTGACTGCATCATCGATATTCAGCAGGATATGGCTGTCCGGCGGGCACTGGGCTGTCGCTCAGGGTGTGAAGCGGTCGGAAGAGCTGCTTCATGTCCAGCTCCAGGGTCTCGTGTGCATAGTTTTCATCAATATAGGCCACACTGCCAGGTTCTTCGCCTCGTTGGGCCCCATCGGTTCGACTCCATTCTCTGGCTTTCTTCAATCCATGGAGCACTTGTCGAAGTCGATCATCTGCAGCAAGTTGCCAGTCGCGAGTTCGGGTTGGCTGCATGAATGCGCGCGCTAGCCAGTAGAAGTGGACACCATCCCGACAGAAGCCAATACGCTTCGGAACGTGGTTACCATTTCCGGCAGGGTATTGCAGTGCAAGATCCTGGTCCCAGGCTTGCTTCCACCGGGCAAGAGCAGAATTGATCGATTTGTACATGATGTTTGCGTCCTCTGGTGATACTTTTGGCTTTTTGAGGCGTGTCATGGGGGAATCCGAGGAACCGAAGAAAAATCTTGAGCGCTGGACCTGCCAGATTTCCACATGAATCGCGTGGATAAGAATGAACTTGGAATAAACATTGGTGGTTCGCGGCTGCATGATTACAGTCGTGCTGTGCAAAGCACTCATTGCATGATGCATTTCCAATTGTTTCAATCTGAGCGAACCATTGACGTTGATCCTGGCTTGAGCTTCAGCGCCACGGAGACCGAGGGCTTGGGCACAGGTTTCGGCGTCTGGAGCTTCCCAGGCAGCGTCGTCACAAGGAAGAGGGAGTTTGATCTCAGCCGCCGAGAATTGAGGAGCCACATTGAAGTAGATACACATGGCGGCGTCCCACAAGAAAGCCATGAACATCAGTCGGGACCGCTTCTCCTGTTCCACCCAGGAGCGCCAATCCCAACGCCACGGCTGCGCGGTTTGTCCTGGTTGAAGGTTGTGAAGATAACTGTAGCTAAGACGATCCTCTGGGCCAGCCAAAGTTAACATGCCGAGCTGTCGAACAAGATACAGCACTCGTTTACTTTCAGCGCGGGCAAGAGCTCTCTCCTCAGGACCCCCGTGCCAAACGAACAAGCTCTGTAGAATTTGTAGCGCCAGGAGTTCTTCAAACTCGGTCTCGCCGGTCATCGACAGTCGGTTCCTGGCGACTCCCGGCTCCAGATTATGCAAAAGTTGAGATGTACGGTCGATGCCTGATTTGACAAGTTGCATCAAAGCCCGTACTTGAAGTTGGGTAACACGGTCAGAGTATACAGCCCCACTGCAGATGATGACAAGAATGAGGCCGTCATAGGCGGTGAGAAAGTTAAAGGTCGGTAAATGAAGCCATGGGAAATGACCTTGAAAATTCGGGAAGAGATCGAGAAAATGTTGGATGGCTTCGACGGTCAGGCAGGACCTGAAAAACTCATTTTGTGGGTCTCGGTGCGATTCCTGTAACCCCCCAGGGAAGACAAACGTTAATAGCGAGTTCACCTTGGCTTGGAACAAATCTTGCCGAGATGCATGCAGATTCCAGAGAGGGGGTCCAAGCGTACCGTCAGCTCCAAGGCTCGTAGAGGGAATGTAGTAACCATTCGATCCACCTTCATGGGTTTCATAGTCCTTTTTGACATCATTCTGGGATTGATCATAACCTCCAAACATGGGGTTCATGTATCCCTCGTTGCCACCTGATGGAAACATGTGGTTCCAGTCATCCCCAATGTGATGAGGGCCAGGCATGACATTGCGCTTATCCTCCCCTCCACCGGGCTGCATGCCATAATGATCGGGAGGTGTAGAGTTGGAGTGATACATCATTTGGTTGCGTTGAGCATTGTGCATCGACCACGAGTTGTTAGCATTGGGGTCCATGCCAGCGGGTCCAGAACCGGGTTGCATGGGCTGCCCTGGACGCTGCATGTCGCCCGGCCCATTGGGTTGCATCGGGTAAGCCATTCCAGGGGCAGGGGCACTGGTGGTCGGCGCAGATGTGTTGGGCATGGCAGCAGTGGTGTATGGAGGGTTAGGCATCACCGCATTTGGGGTGGTGGCACTGGCTGGCGAGGCAGTGGCTGCCTTCTGCTGGTTCTTTTTGATATGAGCAGCAGGGTTGGACAAGTGGCTTGCACCTGTTGGGTTGCCGCGACGCACAGAGCATTTCTGGAAATGCCGCTTCAAGATGTCACTCCTGGAGAACGTGTCGTTGCAGAGGACACACATGTACGGTCGATCACCCGTGTCTGTAAATGAGTCGTTAGCACACCAAAAGTACGGAGTATGAAGATCCATGAAGCTTACGTCTCAACATGTGGCGCTTCAGGTGCTTCGCATGAAGATAAGTCTTTGTACAGTTTGGGCAAGGGAACTTTCCATCAGCATCCTTCTGAGGGACTGCGCTGCTCTTCTGAGATCCATTGACACCGTTGGGCATCACTGGAGGACGCCCTGGGGCGCTGGGCAGAATGCCTCTTCGTCCTTGAGAACCCACCACATGTGTTCGTGTCGGATCGCGCCCGACATCGGTAGTCATAGTGGGCATAGGTTCCGATTGGGACCACGCTGCCTGGCGGTTGTCCGGCTGGCCATAACCAGGTGCTAGGGCGTCTGGACGCGGGGGTGCAGGAGCGAGAGGCTGCGGGTATGCTTGACGCGGCTGCGGTGGTCCTTGATAAGCTTGTGGGGGTGGTTGTTGCTGTGGCTGCTGTTGCGCCGGATTATGGGGCTGTGGAAGCGCAGATGATGGCGGCAAGCCAGCCATGGAAGTTTGAGGAGCCATGTATCTGTTCTCAGGAGCCGGGGATGGGACAGGTGCAGTGGAGGGAGCAGAGCTGTACCGCGGCAGGTCATTTCGGTATTGCTGGGGGATGTAGTTCTGGTTGGCAGGCGGGAGTTGGGAGTAGTTGATGGGAGGGAGATGCGTGTTACTCTGGTACGGAGGCATGGCGTATGCGGAGGCCATGTTATTTGGATTGTATGCGGTTTGTGGTGTTGCAACGTTGGACGATGTTGTCCTTGACAGTGACTGCCTAGGGTCCATTACCCGAATTCAATACACCTGCGGAGTCGACGAGCTCAATCGACCATTGGACGACAAAGCGTAGCGACGAGGGTGTAGGGAGAAGAGGATGGTCGTGTCTCTTGTTCGAAGGTCGAATCGATGAAGCTCTTTTTGATTCGAGGCTGAAGGACTTCAGTAAGGACAGGACGTGTGTTGGAGATTTTTTTCGATGGTGCTTTTCGGGTCAAGGGTGTTTGGGAGTTTGGCTTGAGGAGAAACGAAGCCTGCAAGGTACCAGGAAAGCCACACAAGGTCAGTAAATGGATTAGTGGAAAGGTGGATGTCTGTTGTGAGCAGTCCAGACACGCGACAGGACGACTGGGCTGCGGCTGATCGAGGTTGAGAATTGCAGGGGAGTGGTTTGGTAAAGTGGAGGAAGTAGGGTGGGTGGGTTTTTTTTGGGGTGGAATAGAGGGAAGGGGGGAGGGAAAGAGTCACGTACAGGATAGAAAGAAATTTTTGTTTTGAGGAACGCGCGAAAAAAAGTACGAGGGAAGTGTTAAGATGAGGGTCGCCTGCTGGATCCCTTGTGGTCTTTTTCGCCCCAGTGGCCGGTCGGTGACTTGCAGGATATTTTGCTGCTGGGTCTCTGGCGCGGCAGGGCAGACGGTAGATAGGCGTGCGTGGGTAGGGGGGGAGTGGGAGAAAGTGGGAAGTGGGAAGGTTTTGGTGTCTTGGGGGGGGGGGAGCTTTTTCGTAGGATGATTTTTTTGGGTTGGGGCGGCAGATGATGGGGTGGGCGTACGTGATGATGATGATGTGGTGGTGTCCAGGAGGTCCAGGCAGCAAAGGACGATGGTTGGTTCGCCGAAAGGGAGGGTTTGAGAGGCGAAGAAAAGAGGTCAGAGAAATTTTTGTTTCGGGGAGGTGATGCCGGGCAAGAGGCGGGTTGGAGCCCTTTTTTTTCCCTCGCTCTTCTTTTGCTTGGCTTGGCTTTTTCCGGCTCACAAGGAAGGAGATTGTTGTTTCGGAGGACAGGGCCAATCGCTAATGGTCAATTGCCAGGTGAGATGGCAAAGACCAAGGTAGGCCAAGGTAGACTCGGGACTATGCTCAGAAGAGTAGGTGAGAGGTAGGAGGAGGGTTTCGGTCTGGGTTATGGTGCGATGAGGACGACTAGTAGGCAAAGAAGAAAAGAAAAGGATTTGAGCAAGTAGTAGGAGGTTGTCGCAGTTCAGTTAGCAGAAGCAGAAGCAGAAGCAGTAGCAGTAGCAGCAACACCAGTCGCAGTTGGATGAGCTGAGTGGTGAATGGAAATGAATGATTCAGTCAGAGCGCAGCCGCTGTGACGGTGGGGATCCACCTCTACTTAGGCTACGGACCAACCATTGACCATCCGATGACCCACCATCGAATGTCGATCGGGGAGGGCGCTGGTGGCGGCGGTAACATGCAAGCCCAGGACAAGTACGGAGGGAGGGACTACTAGGGGCCCCGACAGGGATGACCCTTCGCCCTTCAGAACACGTACCCAGGCGTGCCAGGCTATTACTACCACTACATACTTACCACTGACTTGGCTACCACCACCAACACCACCTAGCACCGAACAAGTACCAAGTACGCAAACGCGGCCCCCCCTGCTCCACCCCCTGTTGCTTGCTTTGAGGTTGCGATTTTCTTACGCCATCAAATAATAACAATTGCCAGGTGACAAGAGCTTTTTGTCCGTAACTCATACAATAATGAGGCATGATGAACAGGAGAGTATCCAGTACAAAAACCATGTCCCATGTCCGTAGCGGACATGGAGTGCGAGTAATCTCCTGAAAAGACAAATTTTAATGCCACCACTATCGGATCAACCATGGGAGGTTTAGGAGACAATGTGCATTTACTTTTTGGCTTGAAACAAACTTTAGATCGAGGTTTACGAGTACTCGAAGGTCGTAATCGTCTTGTACACTCCTAGTACATGGATTTTGTACAGAGTACGAAATATATACAGCTCCGAGTACATAAGCAGCAAACCCAGCGCGCGTGTGTATGTACACGCGTAGCATATTTGAAAGGGCGGCAAGAGCTTGGACGCACCTCGTAACTGCCTACCTAGGTAGTTAAAACACGCCATTATTTAACCGAGAATAACTGCCCAAACTGTGCTTTCATGTCTTGCGCCTCGAAATGAAATGAAAGTCGCGGTTCAATTCGCTTTATCCTTGCTTGATATTCTCATATGTACAAGTAGCACATTATTGCAGCGGCGTGAGGAGATTGCAAACTTGGGATACGATCCGAGACCGCACATCATTATTATCTGCACAAATAAGAATGGCTCTTACAAGTAGGTACGAGGCAATACAGGGGGAGCGTTGCTCTTGTTTGCTTAACATTTTGGCGGAGATGAACGGAAAACACAGACAGGATGAACAGGTGCCAAGCGGCCGAGGGAAACAGCCACGGACGAGGTTGAGAAGGCGCTAGGCAGGGATGACAGGGGGCAGGAGCGACCAGGGGGTCAGTCTTGCCTGACCTTCAGCCGGAATCTACCATTTGTTCGCTGCTACCGAGTCAGGCGATGACGCTCGTCGTTTTGTACAAGTACTTTGAGTACGAGGGTACCTAGGTTAAGTAAGGTAGGCTGACTTTCTGGAACAGGTAACAAAGACTCTTTGGTCTTTCAACAGGACAATGCTCACCACGGGGTGATCGAGGTAGGTACACCCATGTATCCCTACATACGAGTACAACATCACTATCATCCAGACCACCATCTCAAAGTGAGAACCACCAGCAGATCAGACATCTGTCAGCCAGGAGAACCCCGCCAAATCTACCAGTATTCATCGTCCAAGTCACTCGTACTTTACGGAGACACCTCGGAGCGTACCTCGCGCCCTCATCTACTCCCAAAAGTAAGCTGTCTCTTTTGGGCTTGGTCAGGCGCTGGGCCACGCCTCACCAGCTCACCAAGGGCCCTTCGCTTCAGGCGCCACTCGGCGCTCTTGTCCGGCACTGGGCCACTATTAGGCGTCAAGGTTCGTGTAGCGAACCCTGAACTGGTCGCGTTCTGAGATTGTGCGTGCCAAATCCGGTCCATCGGGGCTTGCATTTACTGCCTTGGAGGTCAACCTTATATCAAGCCCTGGGACATGATGGGTGGAAGCCGCTGCAAGACAAGAATCGGGTGCGGTTCGGCGGGATCTGGATCATCTGGGTGAAAGTGGGTTCAGGAATCAAATGTCATAATATTGTTTCTCTCACCAATCACTCTTCTCGATCCTCGACGGCAACTCGGAGCCTTTTTCGCCCCCCTTTTAGGGTGGGATCATCAGAGCATGTCACGGTGTTTGATGCTCAACGTATCATTGCCAGACCAGTGGCCAGGTCAGAGTATCCCCGAACCAGTTAATTACTGAATCTGCCAACCTGACCAAAAGCAGAAAAAGCGCCGGTTCGTCCTTGGGATCTGAAAATTTCCGCCGAGCCCATGGTTGGCGGAAACAAAGCACAAGTTCAGGCTCGATGCAACCCTCGGATTTTCTTCCAGCCACGGTTCCTACTTGTAGGTTTGAGCATTTCAGGTTTCTGGACACCCTGAAACTAGGGAAGACCATTTTGAAACCTGTGCTCGCAAGCCTTGCCTGTTAGCCTTGGCCCCCAGCCCTTCTGTGTACCCGACTGCAAGAATGGCATTGACCGTGTCACAAATAGAACCCAGAGTTCTGGCTACGGATTCTTCGCGTCAGCAAAGGATGAATCTAAACAAAAGAAACGAGTCATGGTATCCTGCTCACAGATCATCTTTCCTGAGAAGGACACACGAGCAGACGGTGCTGACCGCGCAGAAACAGTGGTATCATCAGGTGAAAGGCCTCGTCGCACCTATTTGTACACACTTTGTTATGTGTAACGCAATATTTTGTCGTGTCGGAACACCGCGGCTCTCCGAACGACTACATCAGCATCAAAGGAATTATTACAGACCATTTGCCACGCTGACAAGCAGGAGAATTGGTGCGGTACACCCTGTTCCTACAGAGAAGAGCTTCATGGGACTCGGATCCCTGGTCACATTCAAGTCCGAAGCTGCGAGTGTTTCGCCGTGGTAGTAGTTGCGGTCAGATGTGACCCGACATGGCCGACTACCTTTGTTCAGACTGTCGTGCATTTCGTGATGTGTCGTTTTGCCTACCGGAAATCGCAACAAGTGGATACTGGGAGTTGATTCAGGGCTTGGCTTCTTGGCTCGGTGACGATTGACGACTTTCAGGGATGCTCAGCTTGGGTGCCTCGGAGCAGTAGGCAAAGATCTGCCATGATCGCCACCTCATTATTCATTCCTGGTCTTCAGCATTGATTCGACGCCTACTTTAGGGGTGTCTCGGGAAAATCCCAAACAGCCTACTTGCACTTCCGAGTAGGTATATCCTCGGGTTGGTAGAACTTGACTTGTGCTTGTGATACGGATTCCACCGTTGAGGATGGCAGGATGGATAGATATCCACCTTTGTGAGCTCCGCAGTCCACGTGGTGAAGGGCGTACGAGGCACACAGGGCAGACCCCCAACACCCCCTTTCTCTGTCGTGACCCGCTTTGGAGACGTGGTGAAATGTCGAGATGGATGTTATACTGAGTACCGAGTACTTGGTTGTAGATGCCGTTCAAAAAGAGACTTTGCAAACACTTTTGACGAGCAGAAGTTTCGTAAGGTCATGGGATCATTTTTCTATGTAGTGATTTATCCGCCTGTCCCAGCATGGGCAATCGTGACAATACCTACATCAGCAGTAATATACCTTCCTACTACGAGCAGGTAGTACCTCGTACTCGTAGTCTACCCGTCTCACCGCGGTCAATTAGTAATCCCCATAACTGTGATTATGGGCTTGTGTGTACTTTGTCGGTCTTTGCATCTGGCTGGGGAAAACCCGTGCTTGTCAGCCTTGTTCTTATCCTAGTTCTTGTCCTTTGCCCAGGCCCATGCTTCAAGGCCATGTCTCTCGGCCATTTCACCAGAAACGTGCAAAAGCCGAACCCAAAAATTGGTATAAAGTAGAAAAGTACAAACCAAAGTAAAGGAGGGTTATTTAACGGAACAAAGCGGATGGATGAAATTAATGGAGTCGAGTTGGCCCGGAATTTATTCCACCACTACTACTTACTACTACTAACTCACCCGTGCTGGTACTGGTCCGTCCGGTGCGTCTGAACAGAGCAGAGCAATTGAGGCAGGCAGGTTAAAGCGAGAAGGTTTTTTGGGGGTTAGAGAGAAGAACAAAACGTCGTCAGTATGAGTAGTTCGTAGCTCGTAACTCGGTCGGTCGGCCATTGACCTCGCGTGCCTGTGATCAGTTTCGTCTGAGTCAGGCATGGTCAGGCCAAGGGCAGGGCTCAGGGCCAGGACAACCACAAAGAAGAAGAATATTACTTGGTCGTAAATCGTTCTTCCGGCTCGTTGTCCGTTTGGCACTGGGCTTGGGGGGGAAAGAGAGCGGCACCAGACCCTGCCAAGCTGACCAAGGATTCGAAAAGTCATGCCACTATTCCTCGAAAGTAGGTTTGTTGGGTGCAAGGTGCATGGAGGATGGATTGGAGCGATGAGAACGAGGACGAGGACGAGGTCGGAGGACGAAGAGGGGGGAAGAGTTGGAGGAGGGGGGTTGGCCTCATAAGTTTTGCATAATTCCTATCCACGCTGACAACTGAGTTGTACTCCGTAAACCTATTGTTATCCGTGCTTGTACCAAGTACATAAGGGATCAACTTTTGTTCTTGTATATCTCTGTGCTTTGTTCGGCATGGAGATGGAGCTGAGACTCCGAGGGGCACAGCCGTAGTGGGATGGATAATTATTCAACAGAGAAACGAGAAACGAGCAAGGGTGTGTGCGGGCTGGGTTGGTTGGGATGAGCAGGACGAGGTCAAGTAAGTCATCGATAGCGTGAACCATGGCGACATAGCTACCTAGTAGGTTCCTACCTAGGTACCTCCATTGTACCTCGTACATGCGCTTTCAAGGAGATAGACCGCACAACTTTGAAGTGATAATAAATGATGATAAAAAGTGTGGCCTGCTCTCGTCATTCTCATCCATATGCCCCCATTTGGGCTGTTTCACGATTACCCTACCAATAATACTATTCGTGAGCTGATTCCACGAGTAATTAGCATGCGAAATCAAAATTTGATTCAGAAAGGATGGAATAGGAATGGAACCGCGATGCACTGCCCTTTCCCCCCTCCCCTATATCGCCCGGCAACCCATGACTTTCTAAGAAGTTGACGAGTAAGTACTTGTGCAAGTAGTGCGGGTTCTTGTTTTCGCTTCACCTAACCGAACACGAACCAGCGAACCAGCTAATGCAGCCGCTGCAAAACCCACTTCGCAACGGAAAACAATGAAGATCGAAGCCCACTTTCTGGCCTGCTTGCCCACTCTTTTTAATGATCCATTCGTTCCAGAAGCTGGCCGCAAAGCCCACCCGGTACGAATACCAAGTAACTCGGTACTCCGTTAACGGCGTTTTCTCTTCCCCCGTTTCGCGTTAGAGGAGCCCAAACCCTTCCATTGGTATCCAAAGTCCAATGTCCTAATCGAGTAACAAGCCCCCTTCGCTAGGGGGAAAATGAGAATTGGGCCGGTCTGTTGTTGGTTTTATCGACATTTTGGGGCGCATGATAATCCGTGCGGTTCCTACCAGCGTTTTGGGTTTTCAGGTAGTCGGAAATAGCATCCAGGATGCCATTCGGTTTCTTTTGCCCTGGTGCATTTCATTGACTGTTATCATAAAAGAAAGTGGCGTTTTTCTGCTCGCAATGAATGTCAAGTATTGCAGTGGCTGATGGTGTAGGTGGTGACTTTTTCAACGTGCTGACGATTCAGTCTGCAGCCGATGTGAGATGGCAAAGAATCTCCTCGTTCAGGCACAGAGGGAAATGCCCTGCTCTGCTCACCCTACACCTGGATTCGAAGATTGAACTCTGTGATATCTGAGTGTTCTTTGACTGCAAGTACGAGGTACAGCAAGGTAGGTGAGATGTGAGGTAGGTCAGTCGGGACATTGACCAAAAAAACTTGCGAGAATCGCATGATGGGAATTTGCTACACCCAGCCACTACATCATCACCACCCAAATTTGAATAAAGATATTGCAATACATGCTTTGGTGACACCGTCTGATGTTCTCTCGACCTTTACGGAAACTTCAATTGTCCAGGCTGAGCCTTGGCAGCAGGTCGGCGTCTGGTGCTTGTCGTTACGTCACGACTTCAAGATGCGATTCCAATGTGGCTTGAGCAAACAAAGGCAGGTCGATGGATTTTCCTCTCTTGATATTTCGAGCCCCTTGAGCATCTCTTGTCATCTCGCCCAGCTTCTCGTTCGACTTGGGCATGCACGTCTTGAGGTTGTTTGCCCTAAGAAGAACTGCTCCGACTACTTGGCTCCCTCGCTGTGCCGCCAGAGCCAGCTATTCCAGACCACAACTCACCCCCAGTCCCAGTGTCCCTCTCTACCCTAATTTCACATCCCTCAGACGCTTCACAGCCTTCACAGCCTTCACAGCCAGACATTCCAGAGCATCGACAATGTCCAAAAGGAACGAGCCAGCTCATCCCGAGCAAAAGCACCCAAACACCAAACGGGCCAAGGAGATTGACGCGCACACTCCCTACGAGGAACTAAGGTCTCTCCTTGACGACCAGGAGTCTCCCGCTAGCACCAAGAGGATCCTGCATTGGTTTCGGAGTAAGGACCTGCGAATCCACGACAATCGAGCTCTGAATGCCGCCTCTCAGTTGGCCAAAGAGTCGCAGGTTCCTCTGCTCTGTGCGTACGTCAATTGTCCGGCCGAGTTCAGATGGCATGGCACTTCACCGGCCAGAACGGACTTCATCTTCGACAATCTCGCGCTGATGGAAGCAGAACTCGAGGAGTTGTACATTCCTCTGGTCTTTCTGGAAGCCAGTGAACGTGACGAGATCGTGCCGACCATTGTCAACTTCGTTCGCGAGAATGACATCACGCATGTGTTTGCCAATTACGAGTACGAAATCGATGAACTGCGCCGCGATATTCGGGTCTTTAAGGAGGCCACTGCCGGGAACTCCAAGTCCAAGGGGTTTCATCTCTCTCTGCATCATGACCAGACCGTCGTGGAACCAGGCACCATACTCACAGACAGTGGGAAGGCCATGAAGGTATTCACGCCGTACCACCGGGCCTGGCTCGCTGAAGTCAAGGCAAATCCCGGTCTGGTCGACACGGTTCCCGCGCCTTCAAAGAACTCGGCGGAATCAAAGAAAGACCTGAAGCAGTTTTTTGACGGTTCCGTGCCCAGCCCACCCAAGGAAAAGCAATTCGCTAGTGATGAGGAGAGGAAACGGATTCGTAAGCTCTGGCCTGCAGGTCACGACGCTGCTGTGAAGCGACTCAATCACTTCCTTGACGACAAGATGAGTGACTATGCCGCAACACGCTCCAATCCAGCCAAGGACTCCACGTCCCGCCTCTCTGCGTATTTCAGTGCAGGGGTGCTGTCCGTTCGTGAGACCCTCAGCGCAGTCAGCAAGCGGAATAAAAATTCGACAAATTTCTCCAAGGAAGGCTGCGATCCAGGAATGTCTGGCTGGGTCCGTGAACTAGTTTTCAGGGAGCTGTATCGACAGACGCTGCTCGAAACTCCTCACACGTCCATGAATCTCCCGCAGAATCTCAAGTTTGATTTTGTGCACTGGGAAGAAGATGAAGAAGGGTATAAACGCTGGGAAGAGGGCACCCTGGGTGTCCCCTTTGTGGACGCTGGTATGCGGCAGATCAAACACGAGGCTTACATGCATAATCGCCTACGCATGAACGTTTCGAGCTACTTGTACTGCAATCTGCTCATCGACTATCGACGGGGAGAGCGGTACTTTGCAGAGACATTGATCGATTGGGATCTGAGCAACAACACCCAAGGCTGGGAACCTAGCTACACCGTCTTCAATCCGGCTAGCCAGGCTGAGAGGAACGATCCCGAGGGGGAATATATCCGCAAGTGGATCCCGGAGTTGAAGGATGTCAAGGGGAAAGCGATCTTCGACCCATACCATCGGCTGGACCCGCAAGAGTTTGAAAAACTGGGGTATCCCAAGCCGTACGTCGACTGGCACGAGACCAAGCAGAGAGCGATCGAAAGATTCAAATCGGACATGAAGGATGCTGATCCTTGATCCGTACGGCGGTGGCAAAGTAAGCAACGTGCCTCGTCCAGGATTTGAACCCGGAAGTCTTCAGGAAACCATGTGAGATGCCAGTGGTTGTCTCTCATTTGGGGTGGCATTGTATCTAAGGCAGCCGCAACATCCACCTGTATCAAGTCCCGATACCCATGGTCAGTCTGTAGCATATCTTAAACAGGCGTTGCCATTGTAGTGATGAGGTACTGTCACCGTTACCATAGATATATTGCTATATAGTGAACAACGAGCCACTTGCCAGAGACTCATGCTTTCTTATATATGCCCGTCCACGGTTTCTTTTGCCGTCTTCCTTTCTTTACCTCCTTCAAGTAGTTTGGCGATGTCCTGGATCCCGTCACACACCGGACCTGGACAAAGGCAGCTCTAGGACGGGACTCAGGACTCCGCTGCACGCACCTGGCGCAGTCACAGTCACCGCCCGTTGTAAAGAACATTTTGCAAAGATCAAAGGGCGCCTCCCGCGTGAATACGTTTCCTTCCCTTTCTGAGGACACTTGGTGGGTGTGTGGTCACCGCCCGCCTCTTCATGCAGGTGAGAGATTCACGACGTGTAGACTTCGGCTGCCTAAAATGAAAAGGGAGGAGAGAGTGAGTGATTGAGTGAGAGTCCGCCGCGTAGAAAGTGAAAGAGAGAAAGAGAGAGCGAGAGAGGCAGCGCCAAGTAACCACCTGGGGATGGGGGGGGTGTTTGTTGTGAACAATCCACCGTTGTGACTATTATTTCTCGCGTTGTTCCCAAGATGCCTCCTCCAACACTGCCACTCCTCCGTCGACCGACTGCCAAAGACCTCCGCCAACAACTCCACCAGCTCAGCGACGTAGCGCAGGCCCTCCAAGCCGAACGGATCAGCCTCGAACACCAGCTCCGAAGCGTCCACGAGAGAACCACCTTCAACGACAACCAGATCCGTCGCATCATGAATGACCTTGACCAGAGGTTGTTCAAGGAACATCGTTCGCAAAGCCAGCCCGACTTTCAACGCGGTGTCATTGCGAATGACCTTGTCATCGACGGTATCTGCACTCAGATGCAGCTCAACTCGCAGTTGAAGGGTGCCGTCGAGGCCATCAGCAAGAACCAGGGCACAATATCCGAAAACAACCTCCTCCTCATGGCCGTCTTGAACGAGTTGAGCGGCGATCCCTATCACTTTGCGCACCATGTCGCCGTCCGTCTCGTCGAGTACAGCCAGGTCAAAGACCAAGAGCGTCAAAATATTCCTGTTCATCCCAGCCTCACCTCTGCCTTGCCTGGCCCGATCGATCCATACTTGGCTCCCCCTGCGCACGCAGGCGCTGAGAAGGCAAGCACTCGAGCCGTTAGAGATTCAACCGTCGTCTCATTGCGTTCACAATCACCCTCCATCAAGTCCGAGGATGGATCGTCCGAACAGGGTGAACGTGCTGCTCTACCGACCCGCTCTGCATCAGCCCTGAACGATCTCCCTGGCCCTATCCCCATATCAGCTGCAGTCACTGTGGTTCCCCTGGCAGATCAGGGAAACATCGTCGCACACGGCATGTCAGCTCTCCAAAAGAATTTCCCGGGACTTCTAGAGTCCTTGAGCAAAGCCCCGGTGGCCCGCATCAAGCCCGCTCCTGCGGCAGGTGCTATGGCAGCGCCGGGCATGAAGCGTGGCAGAGAGTCCACGGACAACAATGACAGCCCTCCGGGTCCAGTAAAGGCAGGCAAGAAGGCCAGAATCGGAAAGGAGCCAGGTAAGCCACCACATTGCATGTTTCCAGTTGGCAAGACTAACAAAACGAAAAAGCCATTGCCCACACCTTTGTCTTGTTCATGAAGCGTCTCGAACAACTGCATCAGAGCGGCCAAGACATAGGCGCAATCCTCAAATGCTCCCGTTGTCAGGCCATCAAGCGCGACGTCCGAGTCCTCAACTGCCTGCATCTGTACTGCCACCGCTGCATCCTGTGGCTCCGACACGAGGCGCAAAAGGGCGACGCGGTGCGTGGATTTCAATCATTCTGCGTGCAGCCCGAATGCAAGCAGGTCGTCAGCGGCAAAACCACCGTGATTGACTCCGAGATTATGGAATTCCTGCAGTGGTACGATAAACAGTCGCCCGCGGTCACTTCGCTCCCGGCGCAACTCAACGTGCTCGGCTCTGCCGTGGCCAAATACCCCGAGGACGACGAGATCAAGCACAAGCTAGACCAAATGCAGTTGCGGTACAAGACACTCCAGGCCAACGCCGTCATGGATGTCCCGTGCGATCTCATGCAGATTGCGAAGCTGGCGAGGAAGCCTTACTGAAAAACGCCGAAAACAATACCAGTTGATGTTAGAACGGGGGGTTGAGAGCGGGAGCCACCACCAGCCCTTCAGGGGCGCCGTCGACAAACCTTCACTTCAGCCTTGTCAACAAATTGCAGCCTGGATCCTGCAAATGGCAAGATTTCCGATGGATTTTCGATATCGTGATGCTGGGACCAACCAATGCGTGCAAAGGGCGTCAACCTCGTGGTTGATTAGCAAATTGTTTTCATCCTTTGAGTTACGGAGGGTGGAAGGCCCCTTTTGCAAGAAAAGTGCTTTTTGTCCTTTCTTTGTCTCTCTTATCGGCTTCATTTCGGCAATCGAAAACCAAAAAAAATTGGTGGAGACATACATACGCCCAGTGCGCAACGTGCTAGGGATATTGTGTTGTTGCGCCGGCACTTTTTGGGTTCCCTCACAGTAAGAGGGTTTACTCGAAAAGAAACATTGGAAAACCAGAGGCACGCAGGACGAATGAATCCTTAATAGGCATCGAAGTGGCTGGGGCTGGGGCTGCGCAGTCTCTTCGACTGGATCCAGCGATACATAGAAAACTCTTGTTATCCAGTTTCGTATTCAGTTGCTAAGATCTTGTTCTAGCTTTGCAACGTAAGGTAATTCGACTACTTTAGGTGCCTATGTTGGCAGGTATATTAGCGGGTAAGTCGTGGTGTGAATCACACACGATAAATGCTACAAGCGACAAGCACGTCGAGAGTGTGGTATATCGACAGTAGTACCCGTGAAGGGATGTTCTACAGGAGGAGGGAAGCGTGCAGGGAAGCCATCAAGCAGGTAGGTAGGTAGGTAGGTAGGAAGACAGTCGTTCAGCGATGGGACTTGGGGCACCAGAGAGTTGCAAGGGGATCAATATACAAGGTGAAGATGTAGAGATGTAGAGACAAGGATGTAAGACAAAGCTACAAGGGAGAGGCAAAGGGGGAATGTGTCGTGTTTTGTCGTTCCCTTTACATTGCTTCCGCTTGAGGCTCGAGTCGGTGGATGTATTCTATTACTACATGTAATGACACTGAACAGACACAGGTCACTGCGTGGAGTTACCTGTCTTATGCCAACACGAGAAAACATTCAGGTTTTTTCTCTCCCTTTTCGAAAACGGACCTCGCATGTCCCCCGGCAATAAGGAATCAGAGCAGCACGGAATCACCGACCTCATTCCTGATTCCGGATCTATATCTCTGTTCTGTTGTGGGTTTCCTCCTCTTTTTACCATCCCTGCTTTCTCATCTTTCGGATCGTGCCCAACTCGCTCCGGAACCCTTCCATGAACAGCTTGCGCCACCGCAGAATGCGAACGTTCTTCCTCCGCTGGCCCCTGCGGACGTGCTTCTCCTGGCTCCTCATGTCAGACTTGACGTTGTTCTCGTGGCATTTGCGCTCGAGCAGGCGAAAGCCGCGCGTCGGGTCGCCGTAGATGCCGTCCACGGTGCGGCCCAGCGTGGGGCGCAGGCGCAGCGTGATGGGTGGCAGAGACGACGAGTAGATGTCTTCGTGCAGGTCGGACAGGAGCGTCGAGGTCGAGGTCGTGGCGCTGTTTTCCGGTGATGACCGCTGCGCCGCGTTGTTCTGGGTTCGAGCATTCCCCAGCAATTGGTCCCAGCGTGAGGCGACGGTTTCTTTCCTCTTAGGCTCCGGTGCGCGGGTCTCCCGGATCAGGTCCATGAGCTGGTTTCTCATTGCATGGGGAGCGGGATTGTTGCTGTTCCTCGCCCTTGAAGGCTTCGGGTTCGACTTCGATGGTGGAGAAGGCGAGTCTTGAGATCTGGGAGCGGTAGAGCAGAGCTGTCTAGAGTGTCTCTGCAGAACAGGCTGGATGACATCGTGGATCGTTGACCTCGAGTAGCTCGAGGAGGTGAAGAGCCGTGGTGATAATCTCTGGGGGGTTAATGCACACCGTGCACAACTTTGCAGCGAAGGAGAGGCCTTCATCCTCACGGCGGCGCAGGCAAGAGAACACAAGAGAGTGACACCATCCACACTTCAATAGCTGCAATGAAACAAGAGCGGGAGGAGTAGAGTGTTCTGGTGATGAAATGTGCAGACAGACAAGTTCAATTGAAACAAGTGCTGCAATCTCAGAGCTTGGTGTGGCAGAATTCCCAGCCAATGATGTTCGAGTTTCTGCGGACCGAGATCTCGCTGGAGACTCCTAAGTGAGATCCTCCACATGCACTCCTCCACATACACGAGACACCTAGACACAGGATACATTGATGAACAGCCAGAGCATTTGCCTTTATGCTCTCCGTCTGCCACAAGTTCTCAAACGACGTTCTACTGCCCTTCCCTGGCCCCGCAGCATGTCTTCCAGCTCCAACCTGATCACGCTCTCCTCCCTCAAGTACATCCAGCCCGCGACCCTTGGCGACCTCCTGCTTGATCCTACAGAGAAGGCCAAGATCGCCATAATAGATGTCCGTGACTCGGACCACATCGGGGGCAACATCCACGGCAGCACTTGGGTGCCTCTGAACCAGCTGGATGTGCGGATGCCCGAGCTGCTGCGCACGCTGAAGGACAAGGAAAAGGTGATCTTCCATTGCATGTTGAGTCAACAGAGAGGGCCGAAGGCAGCCTTGGCCTACGCGAGAGCGAAGCAGAGGGCGGACGCAAAAGAAGCCCGCGAACAGGCACAATCAAATGACAAGGCGGGAGAAAACAAGACGGACGAGGGCGAGCAGCAGCAACAGCAGCAGCAGGAGTCGTCGTCTTCGCAGGAAGTTTGTGTGCTGGAGGGCGGCTTCGGCTCCTGGCAAGCACGTTTCGGCGAGGACTCGAGACTCACAGCAGATTATCAGCCCGACCTGTGGTTCTGACCTCAAGGCAGGTTTAATTCATGGGCTTTTGAGGTCGTTATGAGCGTTACTCGCGTTACTCACGGACAGCGTCCCCCACTTGACGAGATATTCCGAGTGGGATTGCTTTCGGCTTGAGTCGTTGGAAGAGGGCATCCGATACCATTAGGCTGCCCACCGCAACTCAGGGTGTAATTGGCACTCAGTAGACGAGGTTTAACCCGGGAAAGGCAAGTCTTGGAGTCGTGGGATCCATACTAGGTAACTAGATGATAATAACCCACAACAACACACGGCCTGTCCTTTGTGCTACTATTACTCTTAGAAGTATGTTTCATGAACTGGACTAGTATTGGCCTGGAGGTATGTCTCGCTGTGTCGAAAGGGAATATACATCTGCGGTATCATAAAAGCCGCCATGCCTCGTGCATTAAAGTGATCAAAAGACTCGCTGTATCGTACGCCGCCGTTTTTCCAACCCCAATAGTTACAGATCATGACACCCGAAACATCGCAGTAAGCTTGGAAACGCTGATTAGACCTCCGCCTGCATGGCGCGCTGGTTACACTCTTTTGCTTGCAGTTTCCTTCAGCTCCATTTCCGTGTTTTCGCGATGCTTGTGCTTCACGCGGCACATGGACCTCAAGCCCAAGACTGCAAGCCAGAAATTTCCCTGCGGCTCGTCGGGAGCGAGTTGGTATAGCAGATCGCTCTCCCAGCTGATGTTGTTGTAAACATTCATAATGCAGACGACTGTTTCGGAGATCCAGACGACCAAGAAGATAATCCAGTACGCTGAACTGGAGGCCTTGCCACGGAAACGATATGCGACCGCCCAGGTAACCATGCCAATCACCGCAGTAGGCTGAGAAGTCAGCAAATAGAAATCTGAGCACATTGATGCTTACTTACCGCACAGAGTCTTTGAAATCTACAAGCCAGATTGAGGTACGCCATTCGGTCGGCAATAGTGTTGCGCGGAGCCGTTGCCATCATCCAGCAGGTTTGGAGGAACGCCATCCTAAGTAGACGCCGTTCGATCAGTCAAAGATGCAAACAAAGCAAGGATAGAAATTCGGAGACAACTGACCAGTGCAGAGCAAGAAATGGTGTAACGGTGCCGATGAACGGATGGCTTTCGCCCCCATAGAGAGATCCTAAGCATGCTGCAACGATCTCCAGGCCCCATGAACAGATGGCCAAGAAGTAGAAGATGGTGTATTCTTCGATGCGAGCCAAGGAGCCTCCAGTCCTGAATGGCAAGGCCTGGGGCTCGTCTTCGCACGGGTTATCGATGGGATTCGTCATCTCGAGACGCTGGGGACTAGGTTTCGAAACGGCGTCCTCAAGTACGTTCGGTCCCCAGCGACAATGAGCGCAAACTGCGACAGACGGAGGGAGGTGCGGACAAGGCGCAGATGGACTGTCAGATGGGGACGGCGGCTGTCCACAGTCGATACCTGTACTTGTGCAGGGCGACAGGATCAGTGAACTGAAGACGTTGTTGCTGGTCGGAGGACGTGACTTGGACGATGACGATGATCCGTGGTGATCCGCCCAAAACAAGGCCAAGAGCGTCAATCAGTTGGACAACAGACAACGGTGGACCATCACATCCACGTGACAAAGATACGTAGAAGCATAGAAGCAGGGAGTAGTTTCCTGCTTAATCTTCGGATAAACTAATTAAATAACCTTCCGTGCCTCCGACGTGTCAGTTTCGTAGAGACTTGATTCACTTTGTAACTTGTGTCTCATCAACAACACACAAAGTCATCCACCACAACACACTTCCTTGTGTAATGGCTGCACCTATAAAGACCTTCCCTATATGCGGCGTGACATATGTCGGACAGATCGAGCATGAGTACATGCACGGCAAGAAACTGTCAGTTTGCGCAAACTGTCTGGCCTTGGGATTCCAGAAACCTTTGAGGCGATGCAACGGCTGTTTGTTGGTCGATTACTGCTCCAAAGAGTAAGTCTGCTTGTATTGTCAGCATGAATCCACTGACCCGCTGCCAGGTGTCAAAAAGCCCACTGGCGCAAGCACAAGTCATTTTGCAATATGGTCCAGGGCAAAGGAGACCCCAACGCCTACCTCTCATCCTATGGCCACGATGAAGTTCTTCGACTCATCATCGATGCCTACCGCTTAAGAGTCGAGACAGACCACTTATCCCGGGATGAAGACCACGGTATTTATTTTCCAGGCAAACCAATCGACGGCTTAGTCTGGGCCAAGGGCGACGGTGAGCACAACCTCCTCGGAAATCCCGCTGGTGGTTGTTACTGATTCTGTGAAACAAAGCATCTGATGACTTCCAACGATTTCTCGATTTGGCGGAAGAGGCAAAAATCCTACCCAAGTGGTGGACGTTTGAGGACCGAATGCAGTGCCTTGCTCTAGCAATCGACAAAAATGACCCCGAGTCAATATTCCGCCCAATCAACCAGACTGAGCTTCCCCAGAGGTATGAAGGTGATATGGCCATCCGATTGGCGCTCGCTATCCTGGCCGAGATGTGCGTCGGATATGATGGCAAGGGACCAGCCAAGGACGACACATGGTTCCAAGAGTTCCAAGAATTCCTCGACCTTCATCCAGAAGAACGAGCCCGATTGATCAGGGGCAGTATCGAAATGGTGGATTCGGTGTTGAAAGAACACGGAGAAGAGTTCGGACAAAAGCCGAACTAAATGTCGTAGGAGGATGCCCCGTTTGAGCTCCATGGCGAGCGACGAGCAACCCTGACATTGAATCATATATATATTTATCAGAGTCAAATCTGCAAGTGAGTTGCTTGTGCTCCATGTTGGAGCGATTCTTGCTAAAACACCCAGGGAAGGTGAAGCGAGCGACTTGATGTCCTCGCAAGGCTGGTTCTGGTCGGAAAGGTTACTTTTGATGCTTCAGGAAGGTCTAAATGGTACCTTTGGGTGTGGCAGCTGAACGGACAGCTGTCCCTGGTTCCTTCGTCTTCTCGGAAGGGACGTCTCTATCGGTACCACTTCCTTCCAAAGTTGAATCTTGGAAATTTCTTTGAACCGCCCCAGTCTCGACACTCTCCCACCCACATCACCCTTCATCACTGGCACTTGCGCGACCACGACATGGCGAGCCACAGACTTGATGAGATGGCAGAGTCCATCACAATACCAACCGCGGAGTACGCGTCATTGGTGAGCATCTACGCATTCCAGTTCTCCTGTCAGTCGAGGCCACGCGCAGTTCTAACAGAGGCAAAGCTCGACACAAGAAATAAGTTTCGTTCCTTGGTGCAGGGATTGCTTAATGCAGGAGTCTCCGGCGAGTTGCTGGACGCTTTGAGCCGCATCAATCGTCCACTGACACCTCCGAACGACTTCAACTCGACCAATGTCAACGCGATCGAACCAAGCCACAACGGTGCACCGGGCACCGGGCCCATGCACACAGCTCGTTCTTTCGTTCCTCCGGTCCCTGCCACCGAAATCCCACACCTTCGCCAGCACGCTGCTGGTTTGCAGGCACACCTTGGTCCAGGAATGGTGCAAGATGCACCTCAATACGCCGAGGGAAATGCCACGCAAGAGGTGGTGGGAGTATCGAGCAGGCAGAATCGTGACGGTATGACGACAGCAAGACGATCACTTGTCATTCTCGGACTATCACCTGCCACGACACTTCACAGCATCGCTCAGGTTCTCAGGGGTGGTGCCATTCTACAAATGTATTTGCGACGCCAGGACTGCTCTGCCCACGTGAGCTTCGTGGACCCGAAAGCAGCAGACAACTTTTATCACTATGCACGGACAAACGACATCTATGTCGCAGGAGATAGGGTGGGCAGAAACCAAATACAAATTGCCATTGCAAGCTGCTGACAGTGTTCAGGTGGACATAAGATGGGATCACCGACAAACTCAGGTGCAACCAAGCTTTGCCGACTTCGTCCAATTGCTCAGTCGTACTCGCAACCTCGTTATTCGCTCCGCCAGTCCAGAAATGACTGAAGATAGCATTCGAGCAGATCTCGAGCACATCCATCACTTGGATGTTGTTGACCTCTTCTTCAGAGATGGTCACGCCCACATATCTCTCAACAGCATTAAATCGGCTCACACGGCAAAGAACTGCATGCTTTCGCGGCAGAAATACATGAGATCGAGGATTGATTTCTATCCCGATGAATGTGCTCGACCACTGCCACGTGCAGATCTCAATCTCCGGCAGAACCCATCAGCCGTCAATCCGGCCGGCGTCTTCCACAACAATCGCTTCGCAGTGCTCTTTGATGAGTCCGAGGAGTCCTAGGAGTTCCCAGGCGAGGTCAAGAGTTGGTGTTCGAGGTTGCTGGCACAATAGGCTAGTTGATACCAGAGATAGGATAATGACACGTGTGGATGGTACCTGTTTTCACTGACACCGGCAGAGGTTCCACGGGGTGGCATTGGGTGCTTAGTGTCACTCGCACTATTGAGAGAGACATCGGAACCGCCGAGGTACAAGGAGCACGGATAACATATTGCCATCGTTGGCGGCACTGAATACGCTTCTCGATAGCGGAGCTTGAGTTGACTTGACCTGAATTGCAGGAATTCTAAGACATGACTTCAACTTCCCGACAGCTATCAATGCTGTCCGTATTTTCGTTTTATTTGTCGTGGCTATATCCATAGTGCCAGTCCTCCCTTTTCAGATCCTCCCTTATCTTGTAGTTCTCTTCGGCCACGTCGACCGTCCTCATATCACATTCCACAACTTTCATTCCTGGTTCTCCATCGTCAAACGATCCGGGGACTTTCCCAACAAGCGGCAACACCACTTGACTTAACCCGGCGTAGCCCTCCGACTTTGGGCCGCCCACATTGACAAAAATAATGGCGCAAGTATTCTCAAACGACCTCGTAATGAGGGCAGAACTCAAAAACTGAAGATCCACATCTGGTCCGTACGCCCTCGCTTCCGGGGTCAGATCATCTCTCGTCCAGAAGGTGGGGATGATGATTAGACGTGCACCCTGGCGGACCAAAGAACGACAGGCTTCGGGGAACGCTAGGTCCCAGCATATCACAATTCCCACAGGTCCCAGGGGAGTTTCTATCATTGAATGAGGATCTAGGTGAGGCGGTGGGCCCTCCTCTGTGGATAGATGATGTTGATTGACCTTGACGGAGGCCGGACCTGACGTGAGAACTGTGCGTTCTGGGATCCATAAGTTTGCCTTAGTGTAACTACCCAAAATCTCGCCTGTGTAGGAGATGAAAGGAGCGATGTTGAGGAGAACGGGCTGTTTGGTAGAGTCTGCGGATGTTCCGTTGCTGGCTGCGGGAGGCGGCGATTTCGGATCAATGGTGACGATCGTCCCCGGAACAATATTGATCTTCAACTCCCGGGCCAGGGCTTGATACTTGGGCACGTATTGATAAGCAGTTTGGGCCAGGACGGCGAACTGGGGATCTTCCGGGACCCACGATGTTAGATGGTACTCGGGCAGCACTGCTAGCGACGCCCCTTGTGCGGCAGCATCGCGGATGTAAGTCGACGCAGCGTTGAAGTTGTGTTCCAGGTCAAGAGGCTGGTCGTCAAAGTCAGCGCTTCACGCAAGCACATATCAAGAGTCATCACCGATAAGACAAGGACCATACTTTGGGGTGAAGCTGGATTAAAGCCACTTTGAATGTCTGTGAGAACGATTCATAGGATGTCGCCATTGTGTGTTAATCCTCATACCCAGTATTCGGTCAAAGATACTCGACGGAGCGTCTCCTTGTTACGATGACCGTACAGCTGGAAGTTGGTACCCTTGACGAGGCTTGCGACTGAGGTTTCTCCGTCAGACGTCATGGTGACGAGGCTGCGCTAAGCCTAAAGTAAATTTTGAATTGAGCCCACACACCTTTCTCAATTCTCCAAACCTCGAGGAGACTGCCAAATTTTACTTCCTTCGACCACAATAACCACGGGGCAGGTGTTGGCACGGGAAGTACTGTGCATGGGCTCCTCGCTCTCTGTGACTCCCTCATCTACAGTCCTCCTCTCCGCCTGAATCAAAACACCCTCTTCGAAGATTTCTTCCGTCGCCCACAATGTCCTACGCGAACGGTACCGCATTCCCAGACGAGGATGTCGAGGAGGAAACCCTCGTGGCAGACTATCAAGAGCAAGTGAACAACTATGATGAGGGCGCAGACTTGGAACGCGGAGACTCGATCATCAGTGGCGGACCAGCAGATTTGCGAGCGCAACTTGAAGCCGCCGCGGCTCCTCTGGAGTTCCAAGCGAGCTTGGAGACCAAGTGAGTTGTCCAGTCTGATTCTCTTCGTCCAGAAGATATTGTTTCTGTTGAGATATGTCTTTTGGGAGGAACGGGACTAATAATGCCCCCTCAGATTTCAAAGCTATGACAACTACTGCTCACTTTTCCACTACATCCTCAACTCCGATGGCCCTGTAGAAATTGAGACGCCTTCCTACTACTGGGCTTGGGATGTGATCGATGAATTCATCTACCAATTCGAATCATTCTGTCGCTATCGTAACCGGGTCGCCCGCACTGCACCTACGGAAGAAGAGGCGCAAATTCTGCGAGACAATCCAAACACATGGGGCTGCTACAGCGTTCTTAACGTCCTGTACTCATTGATCCAGCGTTCGCAGATCAACGAACAGCTTGCTGCCACGAAGAGAGGGGAAGATCCCATGGCAGTGGCGGGCGAGTACGGCTCACGTCCTCTTTACCGTATGCTCGGATACTTCTCCATCATCGGTCTTTTGCGAGTGCACTGTCTCCTTGGAGACTTTAGTCTTGCCCTTAAGACCCTGGACGACATCGAAATGAACAAGAAAGCCATGTTTGCCCGCGTCATGGCTGCGCATTTGAACACATACTATTATGTCGGCTTCTCTTACATGATGCTTCGTCGTTATGCGGACGCCGTGCGCATGTTCAGCCACATCCTGGTGTACGTATCTCGCACCAAGAATTTCCAAAAGGGACCCAATCAAGGGCAGTTCGATGCCATCGCAAAGAAGACCGAGCAAATGTATGCTCTCATCGCCATCTGTGTGTCCTTTGCGCCCACTCGCTTGGACGACTCCATCCACACGGCCCTCCGCGAAAAATACGGCGAGAAGTTTGCAAAACTGCAACGCGGGGGCACAGACAGCTTGCCAATCTTCAAAGAATTGTTCCAATCCGCATGCCCAAAATTCATCACCCCTACACCACCGGACTTTGATAACCCTTCGTTGAACATCGACCCTGTTGATCACCACACCGAGATCTTCATGGACGAAGTCCGCAACACTCTCTTCAACCCCCTGATCAAATCGTATCTGAAACTCTACACAACAATGAGCATTCAGAAGCTCGCCGGCTTTTTGGAAGTCGAGCCCGAAAAGCTTCGCAGTTGGCTACTCGTGAACAAGCAGCGAAGTTGTCGGCAAATACGCTGGACCGAGGGTGGTTTATTGGAAGGCGAGATTGTTGGTGTGTTGGGCAACGGAAGCTCAGAGGGGCTCGATTACGCTATCGAGGGTGACTTGATTCATATCAGTGAGGCGAAGCAGGGCCGACGCCTGGTGGACTGGTATCTGAGGAATCTGGCAAGATCCTACTAAGCAAGAAGATAAATTGGAAACAATGCAGGTGATGACCACGATCGGGGTATGGCTTGTTTGGGCAGAGACGATGCGAGAAGAAGAGGGGGGTGTTCTCAAGAACTCATGCTAAGACGGGCTCGTTCCAGAAGCACGAGAGCAAGCGCCACGCCAAAGATGTCATGAGTCATGTCGTGTCCGGAGAGAGTGAGAGGAACACGTCCCCGAGGTTTGCCTTACAACCCTCTCCAACCTGAAGTTATGGTCGACATGACACCTCCCCGAGCTTCAGCCTGCCGATACCCTCATTCTGAAGCAGAGTGCTTCCCCGCCGCCTCGTCAGAGGGAATCATCAGACACGAAGCGAGGTACCTATTGCACAAGGCAGCGCGTCCTCTTTTATCCGACCTGCTGCAACAGAAAAACCCAGCGGTATGTGTCATATACGGTTTACCGACCATTCCGCGCGGCCGGGCGAAACGAGATGAGGCAAAAGCGAGGCCAGGAAAAAAAGTAAATCGTACCTCTTCATGTCTAGAAAGGCGGGAAACCCGCCAGAAATGTGATTTCAGTTTTTGACTTTTTGTCTCTTGTCCTTTTTGTCCTGAGGCTCCCTCCCCTGAAACCGTGGTATTCATCATGGCTGGTTCGTTTGAGCTTTGTGACCCAGCCACCTGCCTAGCCAGCACCCAGACGAAGATAACATGGTTGGTATTTTTTAAAAGTCTTACAAGTCTTACAGAGTATGGTGGCAAGTAACATGCCGTCCGTCAATGTCAATCGTCCCGCATCTCTTCATCCTCGCCATATGCATCTTCGTCGGCGCTGGCGTCTCTGTCCCTTGCGACACCTGCATTCCCATTCACGGGTGGAGGTGTATTCCTGTCGTCGGCGCGGTCTTTGCGAGGAACCCCGTTGTTCATGCTCACCTCGGCGGCCTCCGCGTCCTCCACCTCCGCCATGCTGACATCCTGTGCGCCCTCGTGCAGCTCGCCCTGCTCCTGCAAAATCGTATCTGCCTGTTCGGCTTCTTCCTCGGCCTGCGCTTCCCGAGTCAATTCCTCGTATTCATCTCTGAATGCACTGTCGTATTCCCCTCTGAATTCGGCGCGCGAGCGTCGTTCTTTTGCGTTGGGCTCTTTGAAGAGCACCATGACTTGGTCGGGGATATCGTCGTCTGCATTGTTGTTGCCGTTGTTGCGCGATCCGGAGAGATTACCCCTATCGGCTCTCATTTTCACGCGCTCGAGGATCGGATAGTAATACGCCGCGTTGCCTTGCTTGCGGAAGCGGGAGCCGCGGGGAAGGTTATTGGCATCGACCAGTGACAATGCCATGATGCGATGTGGGTCGACTGTGTCTTGCGTGGCTTTGGGATATACACGAACCCGTTCAAAGGGTAGACGTAACGAGCCGTCGGCAGATTCTTCCAGAAGAGGTCCAATGAGGCTGGGATCGTCCTTTCGAGGATTTGAGTCGTCAAATAGCTGCCGTATGCGCGAGGTCGAGTCTGGCTGTTTAGGGACGGAGAGAGACCATGTATATGGCTCTGGCCCGGGATCTGCGAATTTTTCAGGATCTCTATCAAAAGCTTCTCTCGCGGCTCGCCAAGCTGGCATCAGAGCTGCGTTCTCCGAAGCCATTAATATACCAACATCAATCCGATCATCCCTTCTCCCTTTATAGGGCGGTAATGGCGGCTTGTCAAACTTGAGGGCTTGCCAATTCGAGGCCATATCTGTGCCGGTCTCCAGATCAGGGATGACGGGGTAGAAGTCCACAGGCTTGAGTCTGGGGTTATCGGGATGGACGGGATTCTTCCAGGCGTCTCGTTCCTGGGGAGTGATAGGGTTCGCTTTAGCCTCTGGAGGGTTGAAGGGGATGCTGTCCGGATAGGCCAGGTCGAAGCCTTTCTGAATCTGTCGCTTGATATTTTCTGGATCGTCTCGGGTGACAGGCACAGGAGCTGCTTTGGGCGTCTGGGGTTTTTGAGTCCGAGGATTTGCCCGCATGAAAGCATCATTTGCCCGGGCCATTTGTGAAGAGGTCATGTATTGTGTCTTGCGTAAGAATGAGACGTTGTTCTTTGCACCCTGGCTCTTCAGCTGATCCAGCGACATCAGCAACGCTTGGTCGGCAGCGTCGAGCACAGGTTGGACTTCGGGAGCCATGATTGCGCTTTCGTCGCCGAGAAAGTAGCCTGGGACACCGATCATATCTATAGGCATGCCACCTTCGGCGTCCACCTCAATGTTTGGTTCTTCTCTCTTCGCCAGACCCGACGCATAACTTGTTGTGAGGTATTGAGCCAAACCACCCGTGTCAATGTCTAGAACTGCGAACGTGTGTTAGCATCGAGACCCCAGTCTTTGTCGGAACATCTGCGACTTACACTTTGGAGGCATGGGAGGCGGAGGCAGGTCATTTCGATATCGTATCGAAACGACCATGTCCTGCTTGAAGCCCTTAGCCTCTGCCATCTTGACTGGTGTCGTTTGTAGAGCGCGGCGGTATGGGGACGAGTTGCGCGGCAGGGAGTGAGGCGACGGGAATAAGCGGTGCACAATGAGCCGCGCCCTTACGGACAGACTGGCATCCTTGTGTTTCCAAAGGCGTGCAAAGAACGGAGATTGTATGCTAAGTTGTTTGTTACCCAAGCGCAGTCTCTCCTCGCTCTATTTGGATGCTGGCGGGTTGGACGAAATCTCCAAACCGCGCTGCTGGGGAAAGTTGCGAAACTGGACAACGAATCAAAGTGGAGCAATTCAAGCGAACCGAAGTCTTCCTTGTCGCCGCAGTTTGGGTCCGGGTTCATGATTTCTCTTCCGGTTTTCACTTTTCTCTCCTCCAGATTCACGACCTGATTCCTTTGTATTCACGACTTCATCATCCTCGTATTCTGTCCAGGTTTCAGTTCTTCCAACAAGAAAATGGGCTGGTTCTGGGCCGACGCACCCAAAGTGAGCGCACTTCCGACAGCGCAACCATCCGCCGCCGCTCCTCCGGTATGCTACGCATCTTGATATACATACGATGGTTGAACGACTAACTCTCTAAAGCCAGGATGTCCGATGCATAAGGCAGACAACGGAAATCCTACGCCCTTTCCCCCGCAGCTCGATGCCTCGACGTCAACACCTTCATCATGCCCAGTCAAGTCTCCGAATCACCCACTGCGACATCAACCGGCAGAGTCACCGAGTCAGACTCGATCGCCTGAGCAAAGACCTCCGCCATCGACCTCTTCAACACTCTCCAAGCTCAATCCCTTGAATTACATGCCCTCTCTGTCCAATAGTCGCCCTGAAGACTCCCCTCAATCAATACATTTGCCTCTTGACCGGGAACTGTCCTCGATTCCGCGCAGTGATTCGCAGTCGAACTGGGAGTATCCCTCCCCACAGCAGATGTACAACGCAATGCTGCGCAAAGGCTACACCGACACCCCCGCAGAACATGTGGAGGCCATGGTCGCCGTGCACAATTTCTTAAACGAGGGAGCGTGGGCAGAGATCGAGGAGTGGGAGCGGATCTTCGGCAGAGGCTTATGGAAGGGGTGGGAGACTTGTTCGCGGGGTGAACAGGCCATTACTCTCGAGCGGGCGAGGCAGGAATACGCCGCTCAACGACGATTAGCCCTTGGGTTGAATCCGGACTCTCTGGAGGACGAGTCGAAACCAACACTCATCCGCTTCCAAGGCCGTCCCAAAGAACCTTCGCCCAAGGCTCGAATCCTGCAGATGCTGGGCAAAGTCTTCCCGGACCATTTCTCCCAGGAACCTCCCTTTGACCGACATGACTGGTACATCTCGCGGAAGCTCCCTAACGGATCGACGAAAGAGGTGCGCTACGTTATAGACTATTACGGAGGGGGTGTCGAACAGGAAACAGGCCAACCCGTCTTTTACCTGGATATTCGACCCGCGTTGGATACACCGACGGCGGCTGTGGAGAGGGCGATGAGATGGGGAGGGGACGTGTGGCATCGAGCATCAGGGGGAGCGGCAAGGGAGGCCACAGCACGAACAAAGGAGAATTGATCATGATTGACGCCCCGAGCGGATTGCCATGACTGACACGACGAGAACCGGGCGCAGATGTGATGATCTGGCCCAGTTTGGCTTCTCTTGGGTTCGTCTCTTATTACCTGATCCGGGGTTACAATTCCGCGGCAAGAGAGCGATCTCTAATGGGACACAGTTCAGTGGGGCGCCTTTTGAGCCTTTATGAACGTCTGGCTTTGTACAGCCCTTTGGTTTCTTGCAGCTTCCAGGTCTCATGTGTCGGGTCCCATCTTCCAGCAGGGCCTGGATCCCTCTCCTCTTCTATGACATAGCGATGTAATAATGTCCTGTAGAATAGCTTGTACACGAATCATGGCCAGTTTCCACGTCTGTCTGTACCTTCCCTGTAAAGATAACTCGGTCTGTTTCCGATCGCTGGCTTTCTACTCTTGCGGGGGGTATAATGAATTGAAATGAAATGGTGAGGTAAGATGCCGGATATTATATGGCTTGTGACGCACCACTTGAAATATTGAACCGCGCAATGAGGGTGGGTATGGATCCATCAAGGGAATCAGGAGCGTGAGGTGGGTTTGGTGGTCCATCAGTATTCGTCGTTTTCGCAAGACCGAACATGGCTTGATGGTGATGTGGCTCTGTGCGCACATCCAGACTGGACCAGTGTTATTGGATCCCGTGTTGATGTAGACGAGTCGAGTCGTTGACCCTACAAGCATCGGCCCAGATGCCTTGCCAGATCGACGACTGCAGCCATGGCATGTACAGCAGTCCGAACATGACCTGCTCGACCTCCTCCCAGGTCGACAGTCCCAGCTTCTGGGCGACCTGCGCCAGCGAGTCTGTGAAGAACATCTGTTCCGGCTGCTTCAGGGCGTTTTGGACAAAGACGAAGAGAGCCCAACAGATGACCATCGCCTCGTCCGCGTCCTGAGACCGTTTTTCGCGCATCCATTTTTCAAACACCTTTTTCTGATGGTGAGTCAGAGCCCTCCCGATCCCGCTGGCCGCGAGGATTGTGTGAGGAGCAACGGACAGCATTCCCAGGCCTGCGAGGCGGACGACACCTTCTAACGCTGGTATTTCTGGCTCGTTGTCGCTGTTGCGGGAGAAAATCTCTGTTTCATAGGGATACGCCAGCAGATCATATTCTAGCTCAGTTGCTCTCCGCCGCAAGCTCAGGGTTTCTGCAGGTGACGGGCGTCCACGAGGTGTGGTATGCATTTCGCAAAGACGGCATATGTCACTGGATACAGTGAAGAGTAGTTTCAAGGGCCGGCTAATATTTTGCAGCTCCCTGAAGTTCTGTCCCATGCGAGTCATCTCAGCGGGAAGATGCTGATCAGCACGGGATAGAATCTCTTCAGGTAAAGGTTCGCGCGTGAGCAGTAGCGGAAGGACAGGGCGCACAAGTAGTCCAACCGAGACCTTGACATTTGACAGCGGTAACCACATCATCGTCTCCTCAGGCAAGTTCATCTGTGAAGTTACACGCTCGAGAATGTTTAGATGTATTCGAGCCTCTGCAAAATTGCCCACGACTGTAGCGGCCGAAATCAGCCCAAAGCAGGCCTCGACCATCTGGTAATCTACATCCGCACGCTGCTCGAACGTCCGACGAACGGCCACCATTGCTTCATTTTTCACTCTGATGTAGTCTGGGTCGAGGATGCGGTCATCGTGGTTCGCATTGGCATTGGCATTAGCAGGTGCAAGGTCTTCATGTCTGCCATAGAAGACGGCCCGGTGGGCTGCGGTCGTGGCCATGAAGCCAAGGAATGTGGCAGGATTCGACATCTTGCTTTGCATAACCATTTGTTGCCGGGCAAGTCTGGCATGAGCTTGCCTCGTCTCAACACAGAACGACAGGGGGAGCATCACATCAAAGCCTGGACTAACTGTCAGGGTCTTGCAATCGATGCGGCTGACACGATAAACTCACAATACTGTAGTAAACTTTCTGAAGTCTGGCGTGGCAAACTGTTTGTCGGTAAGGTATCAAAGGGATCAAAGGATTGCGCAGCTGGGGTGATATTGAGGCGTGGGGACGGAAGGGGAGACTGCGTATGCCGAAGTATATCAGTCCCAAGACCAATCATTGGACTACTGGCGCTGCGGTCGATTAATTCGTTGCTCAAGGATGGTTCAGAGTGAGTAGATTCGCTTCGAGCGTTGGACTTGCCGCTGTCATTGGGACGGTGGCGCCCAATTGACCTCTTTTTCCCTTGAGCCAACTCCACCTGGCGAACGCGTTGCATGACATGGGAGCGGATAGCATGCCGCTGCTCTCTATTGCTGATCCTTCTGTGAGACACCGAAACCAAATCCTCAGCCTGATGCACAAAGGTGAAATTGGTAGGAGAACCGGCTTGAGGGTCTGGTGGGCGAGACCCGTCAGCCGAGTCTAGGGAGTGGTTAGTTGTGTTGTCGACAATTGCACCCGGTTGCGGATATATCCATACCTGTACCATGCGAGCCACGGCGCATCTTCTTAGGTCCATCAGCTCAGGGGGAGGGCTGACCCAACAAACTACCTCTCGGTTTTGGGGGAGGCGACAACGCAACCACAGAATGTCATATCAGTTTAATAGCTGAGCCCACCAAGAAGCTATTGCTTGCTGACGCGGACATGTAGGGTTCCAGAAGTGGGAGACCACCATCAAGGTGTCCCCAACAGGATCGCTTGTCAAGTTATAGATGCAGACGTAGCGTGTGCCTGCCATTCCGCAGCCACGTGCAATTCAACCCAAGATCCACGATCCGGCCCCCCCTCTTGGACACAATAGACCTCGGAACTTGCTTAAAGTCAAATAGGAGCATGAGGCTAATCGACTAACGAATTGCTGGGAACGGCCCGATAGGAGGTGGTGGAGCTCGCTCGAACTCAAGACCTAGCAGGATCAACATCGCCTTTGTCAGACCCTTTGCAGACCGCTGTTACGTGCTCTTTAGGATTCGGAGTCAATGACCTGAGCAGACCTCCTTGACGCCTCGCTTCTTCTGACGAGGAAGGTAAGAGCTTCTTCAGGCTAGTCGGCGGCAGGGGGTTTCATCAAGGAATATCGGATGGTAAGGTAGCTGTTGTAGTTGAAGAGTACTGTGATCAGGCTGGCGGACTAAACGTTCAACCAATGCTTGCGCGGACACCTTCTTACAAAGACAGACACCGACCTTGGGATCCATCGCTGCGACCTTGCAACGGGTGGACTGCGTTTGGCAAAGCATGGGTAGGCGAGGTTAAAACACCTGGCACAACAAAGGCCGGTGGCATCAGCAAAGTGGTCGGGAGAGCCCCGGGAGGCGTACGGCATCCCTTGGCTGCGTTGCAGGTTTCAATAGTGTTCTAGAAAATGGTAAGTAGGGCTTCTCTGTATCCAGCTCGGTCAGGGATCGGGTTGACTCCGTCCCTTTGCCTCCGTCGTTCGTATTCGCAGCATGCCCGGCGGACTCCGGCAGTTTAATTGGGGGTTCTAGGCTTGTGTAACAGTGGCTGGGTACCCTATCCGATTCTCAGGTAAGCGGTCATGTTGATATGAATGAATAGCCGGCAGTTGGCATGAGTGCTGCTCTGGCTCTCAAGTGTATCAAATGCAGAGATAGACGCCTCACACGCCCGGGAGGTGAGTGTCCTAGCTCCCTTTCCGGTCAGTATATGCCATCTCTTGTCATCTCTGGGGATTACCCGAACGATGCTAGAGGTTGCGTGACATTGGTCCGTTTCAGAACAGGCATGTGTGTGAGTTGAGTTGAGTTGCGGGTGGGAACTTCACTGACAGGATCCATTGTTGCGCAGTTCGCCAAAGCAGCTGAATTGTTCGATTGGGTTCAGCATTTGTTAGCCGAAGTATTGCCGAAGAGCTTGGCACGCCCGCGCGGACTCGAAATGACCTGACTCGAGAAAGTCTTAAGTAATCGCTCGCGTCTGTATGGACATGTCTTTTGCCGCTCCCCAGCGCCCAGAACAAATCCCTGCGTTGGATATCAAATAACAGGTGTGGTCTACGCCCGAGTACTCCATCTGTTGCATCACAGAACACCTTCCTCTTCTCCGAAAATCCTTGCTAGCATGAAATATACGACAATACCGCCCGCTATGATCCACATCTTGTTTCTCCAGACCCAACCTTGACCCGCATCCCTCGCAGCCTGGCCACCTTGGACCACGACTCCGACACCGGTGCTCCCTCCCAGGATCCGTCGCAAGGCTCTCGTCTCCGGCGAGCAATTGATCTCTTCGCCCTCTTCGTCGGGAAGCATCCGACCAGTAGCTGGATCAATGCGGTGCTCTTTTATCCAAACCCAATTTTCCTTGTCCTCGTCAGGGAATTCTAACCGGAATTTGATCCCGCCGTCCCCTGCTTTAATGTTGTTGATCCCCCTTGTAGTCGGCTGGACGCCGGGAACGGGTTTGGAGGCTGAGCCGCCCCCAGTAGAGTTCCACCATCTTGACCTTGCTGCATGCCATTTTCTCTCGGCAGGTGACCCGCTAATGCTCCCTGCTGTCATCTCCTCGCTGTTCATAAATGACATAAGCCCTATCAGTATGGTCGACACTGACCACGCAGGGTTAAATAGTTGAGGATGATAGTCGGAAATACTCAAACAGAGTCTCGTAGAAGGTTGAAACCGGCCTGAGGGAGTATGCATTCGACTAATGTACGTTAGTCGACCAAACGGTTTTGTCAGAGATAGAAATGTCGCAGCACCGGGATAAAGATCCGTCGCATGACTCTGGGAGAACTTACATCGCAGGCGGAGCGAAAGGATAGTCAGGCGGGAAAATTAAAGTACCCTGACTTCCCATTAATATCCACCCTGATTGTACACAGCGGAATCGCTGGCATGGCACCGGTCTGTAGGCCCGGGATTGCTTACATGGTATTGTCCTCCTTCTGTTGTTGGCAAAGAGAGCGTAAGTGACTCCATTCGGTTCAATTCTGGGAACTTTAGAACCTACCATATGGTGTATTTGGGGCCCCAGTCAGAATATAATGCCATTCTAGTATGTTATTTTCACTTGGGTGTGCTTGTATGTATGGTGGTGGAGAACGCTGAATTGCCTCATACTCCCGGATCAGTCGTTTATGGGCGGCTTTGGTGGCCATGTTCGTGAAAGAGTGGTCGTCGACTGGATGGATCCTGATGATAAAGGGTCGGCAAAAGACTGAATATCAGTATGATAACATGCCACAGCGCAGGACAAAAGGAGAATCAACTGTCTGGTGTGATAAAGCTGCAAGATTAAGGGAATGAGAGTGGACGACAAAGACACGCGAGCATTGCGCAGTCAGATGGCGGCTAGCTACCTCATACTTGTAGAGGGCTGAATTAGGGCAAGTCTGCCGAGAATCGATCACCATCCGCAGCATGTGGGTCAACAAAGGTACTTGTGCATTTTCGCAGCACAGCTCCCGCAGTAATAGTGCAGTTCTCCCCGGAGATCTTCATCACCAGTCGCAAGTGAAGCCTGCCCGCTGACCGGGCTCAATGGCAAACCCAGCTTCAAATGAGTCGGAGGAAAGCATCTTCCAGCTGTTGAAACAAGCCGACACAAAAGAGCTGGAAACTCGAGAAAAGGCCATCAATGAGCGGTTACATCGCACATTTCAGCTCGGTCAACAGCGTCTTGCAGACCTTATCGACCAGAATTCGACTCTGCCCACGACTGTGTCGTCAGTGACTGTTCTCGGAACTCAGAATACGAGACATGGCTTCCTCGGAGCAGTGGTAAACCCTCTATTGAGCGCCAACCGCGACCGACCGTATACTCAATCTGAGCTTATACATGAAGTCGCAAGAACAGCTGAGAAGCTGAGGAAATTTGGTACGGTAATACCCTGGCTCTTGTCGCAGCTTTGTCTTACTGTAATGTAGGCATCTACCACGACCCAATTTCAGTCTACCTCGACAAACCCTCCAAGACTGACCCGACAACTACACCGACCGATATTGCCATATACTACTCAGTGAAGGAGAAAAGCCGGATATTTGCAAAGACTGGAACAGATCTTGGTAACGCAGAAGGGTCAGCTTACGCAAATGTACAATGGAGGAATCTTTTGGGCGGTGCAGAAACCCTTGACGTAAATGCGTCCATCGGCACGCGCACACGCTCCTCCTACCAAGCTACTTTCGACACCCCTGTGCTGAGCAATCCCGATCTGCGATTTCAGGTTGGCGGATTGCAGAGCGCGACACAGAAAATCTTTGCCAGCCACGAAGAAGTGCTGAAGGGAGGCTGGACCAAGTTGCGATGGCAAAGTTCGGCCGCGTCGTTTCATGAAATAGGGTACAACGGTTACTGGCGACAGGTGACCGGGCTCGCACCCAATGCTTCACAGACTGTCAGATCCGAAGCAGGGGACTCTTTCAAGAGTAGCATCTCTCACATGTGGATGGCGGACCGAAGAGACAACGCCTTACTACCAACCAGAGGCTACTATGCCAAAACGTCGGCAGAACTGGCAGGATGGGGCCCCTTACAAGGTGATGCAGCGTTTTTGAAAAGTGAAGTTGAGACTCAGTCGGCACTGTCGATACCGGTTCCAGGCATCAAGGGCGACAGCGGTGTCAGCTTCACGACCGGATTCCGTGCCGGCCTGCTCTACCCTTTGACTCTGGGATCGAAGCAGAATCCAGAAATGTCACGGATAAACGACCGATTTCAGCTGGGTGGTCCCACGGATGTTCGAGGCTTCAGACTATCGGGCTTAGGGCCACACGATGGTCCGGATGCAGTAGGGGGCGACATTTATGCAGCTGGGAGCGCCAATCTTCTTTTGCCTCTCCCTAAAGTTGGAAAGGATAAGCCTCTACGGTTTCAGGCCTTCATCAACGGTGGGAGGTTACTGGCAATAAGGAATGCAGAAAAGGAGGGTGCAATGACGAGCCAGGAAGTTCAGCAAAGCGTTACAGACGCTTTTTCGGAGCTGGGGAATGGGCTTCCAACAATGTCAGCTGGAATAGGGCTGGTCTATGCGCATCCGGTGGCGCGATTTGAGCTCAACTTCTCATTGCCATTGGTCGTTCGGAGACAGGAAGAGGCCAGAAAGGGTGTGTCTTTCGGTATCGGCATCAACTTCCTGTAGTGTTGTAACAGCATTAGACAAAATTGTACATATGAGCAGCATGGCCAGTAATGACCGGTGGGGAAATGAAATGCTTCGCAGACGGAACGAGGCTGAGGAAAGGCCAACTGGCCCAAGAGGCGCCGGGTTGGGTACCAGCCAGTCAGAATGCCTCCACAGCGGAGTTTGGTTCTCGAGGCACTCCGAACACATTTACAAACGTGTACCTAAATAATTAATCTTATCCCTTCCAGCACTCTACAGACCCTCCATCTCGCCTCGCAAGACCTTGACGAGTCGCCTGCCGATTGGAGCCCTCTCTTCAAGCCGTTCCTCTCCCGGGCTCTAAGAGCAAAGACCTTCGAACATCTTACGGGGACCTGCACTACAACATACTCGACGGCCTGCGCGGCCCAAGTCAACCATGTCATATTACAACCAACCCTACGGCGCTGGTGCAGGCGCTGGTGGCGCTGCTTCGAACCTTCAGTTCTATCCCTCCTCCTACTCAAACGTTTCCGGCCACACCACGCCCTCTCAAGCCTCTTACGGTGGATATGGTGGCACAAGTAACACCGCAAGCGCATATCCAGGCTATGGTGCAGGCTCCTCAGGAGGCTTTGGAGGTGGACCTGGGATGCAGGGAGTCAGTGGTCGCATGGGAGATTCTGGCGGGTTGAGAACAGGTTGGCTCGCCGCGTTTGGAACCGAGGGGTATGAAGGAGAGCCGGGGTTGATGGAGGAGCTGGGAGTCAACTTTGGACATATCAAAACGAAGGTAAAGGGGTTTCCTCTCATACAAGCCATCGGGGAAAGAAGGATTGAACTGATTGTGGCATAAACAGACCCTCACAGTCCTGAACCCGTGGATGCGTCCGTCACCCCACATCATGGACGACAGTGATCTCTACGGGGGTCTTCTGTTCCTGATCCTTTACGGAACCTTTCTCGCCCTCTCGGGAAAATTCTTCTACGGCTACATCTACGGCATTGCGCTCTTTGGGTCTATAGCTCTGCACTGGATGTTCGCGCTCATGACACCGCCCATCGATCCCAACGATTCAGATCAAATGGCGCAAGCCCAGCGAGATCATGGGCAAGGACCCGGTGGCCGTGGTCACGGGGGCCATTTCTCTAGCACACTCACATACTCGCGAAGTGCAAGTGTTTTGGGGTACTGTTTTCTGCCACTCGTCTTCACCTCCTTATTTGGGGTGCTGCTGCCTATGGACACGGCCATGGGATACATCATGACGGCGATGGCGGTGGGATGGTCCACGTTCAGCAGTTCTGGGATGTTTGTCAGTGTGGGAAGAATGAAGGGCATGAGGGGGCTCGTGGCATATCCTCTAGCACTGTTTTATTCGGGGTTTGGCATCATGGGAATCTTTTCGAGCCGGGGAAGTGGCATGCTGGAAGGAAAAGTGCTTTGACGACATTTGGATTGATTTTGTGGGAAATGAACTTATGTCTGCTTCCAAAGAGCTGGACTCCCTCAAAACGAGGGCCGGGCCTTGATCGTCAGAGCACCTCGTCGGTTCATCACTATTCTGGGTGCGGACAGTGAGGCGACGCAGGATGGAGGAAGGTGTATGCCTCGATGTCCAACCAGGCTTCAGATGGGTATCACGAGCCACTATGACCTGACCAACCCTTCAGCGCTGTACGGTCCACACGCTACACGCTACATTGTAAGGTGGTTAGCGCGGTGGGCAGCTTGCCTGAGCCAACGAACTGCTCGCCAATGAGTAGAGGATGAGATCCAGAGCCTCATACGACGGTGTTTATAGATTCGGCGCACTTTCGGGGTCGAGGCCTGAGCCAGAAGAAAGGAGACTCGTATAATACTCTAGGCGGAGAGTGACGCGAACATTATGTAACGGACATCACCGCGACCATGAATATTTTGACCCTTTTCAATGCTTTCTCTTGCTCTTGACTGGGGAGAGAAAATCGACGGACCCCATCGACACTTTGCTGGCCCTCCCGCCACTCTTAGGTGGACGTGTGTAGACCTTTGGCGATCATGGAGATCTTCGGCATGCTAGGTGAGAGGCTGGGGACGATTGGCAAGGTCGAGAAGAAGGTGGAAGAGGCGGTGCTTCCTCGATGGAAGAAGGATTTCTTGCAGAAGCCCTCCATCTCGGTGCGGAAAGGGATTGCGTGGGTAAGTCTTCATTGACGCTGCGAGGGATGACGGTGGACGCGAGTTTCCTGGCTTGTGGTTATCACAAACACCTATGTCAAATGGACTAGGAAGGGAATCTAGTGTGTTGAGGGGATCCAGACCATCTCGAGAACTGTGTGAATTTACGACACAAATCGGCCATATTTCTGCTGACTTCATGGCGGCTATGGACAGGGCTACACTCCCCCCTACGAAGATACCGACACCCTGGTCCTGACATCGACCCAATCGTCCTTCATCGACATCAGATTCCCCGTCAAGCGACAATTGTCCAGGCCAATAACGTCGGACCCTTCCTTCTGGGCCTTCTCCGGAACGTCCCACACGACATTTTCTCCGTTCGAGGGCGAAACCGTCTCAATGCCATACTCGGCGCACAGTCTGTGGAAGCACGATGTCGACTCAAAGGGCCTGGGCATCGTCGATGAGGGGGATTTATTTCTCCTCCCAAACGGCGACTGCATGGAGGTGGGGATGATGCAGAACCCTCGCACAGGCAACGTCGAGATGTACAAGGAATACTGGACGGGGCCGCCCGCGGGTGTGAGTTCAGCGGGTGCGGAGCCTGGTTGCTGCGTTGTTGCGAAGACGCACGTTTCGTCAAATGATCAGAAAGGTCAAGACGCAGCCGGGATCGTCATTAGGGTAGGCAATTACTGTCAAGGCATCATGCGCCAGGGCACAGGTGAGCAAGGTCAGTCTGAAGAAGGAAATGCCGTTCTGGTGGAGAGATGGACGCGAAGTGGCGCTGAGACCGAAAGAGACGCTCATGATGCATCAAGCTGGGTCCAGGACTGGCGCAGCAACACGCCCTGCGACAGTGGATTCTTCATGCCATGCATGTGGGTGTGCGACAGGAGCAGGAAACTCGAAGATGAGATTGTGGTCAAGGGTATCACCTGGAGAATTGTGGAGTTGGATACGACAGGAACCTAACTCAAGGACCAGCCTGGAGAGAAACACGAGAGGCTCATGGTAATGAATGTAAATGCCGAGAAATGTTGCTTCGCGCGGGAGGGAGGTATATTGTCTGTGGCAACATGTACTAATTTCGCAGTGGATTGACGACCGGTAATGGATGTCTACTACGAGACACATACTTCCGTGAGGAAAAGCCGGAAACAAAGCCAGGCGTACATATGTGGACGCGGATACATGCTCACCTTCACAATCGATATACATGTACTCGTACTTGTAGACTCATCCGATGCCACAGGTGGCTGTGTCATTCAAGTCGCTTGTTCCCCATCCGTGGATTTCTACGGAGTAGGCTGGAGGCAATCCTCCCCATTTGATTCGTGGAAGATTTGCGATCCGAGCGAGCAACTGATGCCAAGACTGGAGCCGACAGTCACTAGCGTACCGAAGATGAGCCGGCAACCAATCATAGCAACGGTGATGATTCTGCCTAAATGCAGGTGCTATCTCATCTCGTCACTTCAATACCGAAAAAACTTTTCCATGTCTTCACCCTCTTCCGTCTCCCGTGTATGTGTCTTGTAACTAAATTTTGCCTGGGTCAGCCCGAAACTCCGCGACTTGACCTGGGCCGTGTCTCCCCGACGATCCTAGATACCCTTTTATGGAGCTGGTGGGCCGCATCCCGGGACCCAGACTTCACGATTCAGCTCTCCCAAGGTTATGGACACCATATATCTTGCTCGGGGGACACGGCAGCTACGAGTCTATGATGGCGCCGATCAACGCTCGGGATTCCACCGATGTGTCTGCCTGGTGTAGCGTCCAGGAAGGGATGGCCCGTATGGGAGCCGCGGGGACTCACTTCTAGCTAGACATACAAACATGGCCCTTTCCGTCTGCTGTCGACGAATCTCACGCCCGTGAAGTTTCCTTCCCTGACGAGCCGAAGTTCTGCCATTGATTTCTCCATTGACTATTTGACGAATCATCACTGGGCATTGTCACTATTGGCAATCCAAAGTTCCATATAATACCTTTCCCCCCGTCGCATCTGTACAGCTCTGTGAATTTTGATTAGTTACCCATCTATTAATTGTCATTTTCCATCTTTTGTGCTCTTCCATCATCTCCTAGGACACCATCAAAATGGGGTCCTTACCTGTCCAGACTAGTTTCGATGTCGAAGACGTGCTCTCGCAACTGAACACGCCAGAGAAAGTCGCCTTGTTGTCTGGCATTGACTTCTGGCACACCGCCCCTGTACACCGTCTGGGAGTTCCATCGATACGAGTATCCGACGGTCCCAATGGTGTTCGTGGCACTCGGTTCTTTAATGGGGTTCCTGCTGCCTGTCTTCCTTGTGGTAAGCTACGCTATATTACCGAGCGCCTTCGTGATGCTGATACTGTACAGGCACTGGACTCGCAGCAACGTGGGACACCAAGCTCGTCGGAAAGGGTGGAGCATTACAGGGTGCTGAGGCCATCGCCAAGGGAGCATCTGTCATTCTCGGCCCGACGACAAACATGCAAAGATCACCGTTGGGCGGTCGTGGGTTCGAGAGCTTCAGTGAAGACCCATATCTTGCTGGCGCCATGAGTACTGCAACTATAAACGGCATCCAATCGACCGGCGTTGCCGCTACGATCAAGCACTATGTCTGTAATGACCAAGAGGACCAGAGACAAGCCATCGATAGCATTCTGACAGAACGAGCCCTACGAGAGATCTACCTGATGCCGTTCATGCTTGCGCAGAAAGACTCCAAGCCAGATTGCTACATGACTGCTTACAACAGGGTCAATGGCACGCATGCGAGTGAGAACCCACGATTGATCAAGGATGTTCTTCGTGGCGAATGGGGCTTTGACGGGCTCGTGATGAGCGACTGGTAAGTCCCAGCTTTGTAATACTCGAGCCACAAATTTCTGACTGAGGCAGGTTCGGAACTTACTCAACCACCGAGGCGATCAAAGCAGGCCTCGACCTTGAGATGCCCGGTCCTACCTATATTCGTGGTCACTTAGTCAATCAAGCTCTGGGCTGTGGCAAGCTTACGCTGCCTGATATCGATGACAGAGTTCGCGAGGTCTTGAAGCTGGTCAAGAAAGTCCAGTCTCTTGGTATCCCAGAAAATGCGCCCGAAACCACGGTCGACACCCCCGAAACGGCCGCTCTTCTTCGTGCGCTGTCATCTGATGGAATCGTCCTAATGAAGAATGACAACAACATCCTGCCTTTCAAGAAGGACAAAACCACTGCCATCATTGGCCCCAATGCGGCTTATGCAGCCTATTGTGGTGGCGGGTCAGCTTCACTGTTGCCATACTATGCTATCAGCCCCCTCGATGGAATTCGAAAACAAGTGCCAGATGCGAAGTATGCTCTCGGTGCCCCGGGCTGGAAAGCGTTACCGCTCATGACGCGCTTGACCAAAACCAAGAAGAATGAAAATGGCTTGACGATGAGGGTCTTCCTGGAACCCACATCCGTGACGAACCGCAAGGCAATTGATGAGGTGCTGGTGAACAAGTCAGACATCCTTCTGGTTGATTACAAACACCCTCTTATCAAGTCATCCCTCTATTGGCTCGAATTAGATGGCACTTTCACCCCTGAAGAGACGACCGACTACGACTTCAGTCTGTGCTGCGCCGGCACGGGAAAAGTCTTTGTGAACGGAAAATGTGTTGTCGATAACGAGACTCACCAACGGCCGGGTAACTCGTTCTTCGGCGCCGGTACCGCAGAGGAGATTGGAAGAATGGCACTAGAAAAGGGACAGACATACGACATCAAAGTGACCTTCGGCACACTTCCAACCATGACTTTCAGTAGCCCCGGTACGACTGGCTTTGGCGCCGGCGGGCTGAGGGTGGGACTCGAGCGCAAAGCTGAAATCAAAACAGAAGTTGAAAAAGCCGTTGAGCTTGCCAAAGAGGTTGACCAAGTGATCCTGTGTGTTGGTCTGAATGGTGAATGGGAGTCCGAAGGCTACGACCGGACAGATATGGACCTGCCACCTGGCAGTGACGAGCTCGTCAAGGCAGTTCTCGCCGTCAATCCCAACACGGCTATTGTCATCCAATCTGGAACACCCGTTACAATGCCCTGGCTGAAGGATGCTCCTGCTGTTCTCCAAGCTTGGTACGGTGGCAACGAGACAGGCAATGCTATTGCAGATGTTGTCTTTGGCAACACTAATCCCAGCGGCAAATTGCCCCTGAGCTTCCCAATCAAGAACGAAGACAACCCGGCTTTCCTCAACTACAAATCCGAACGCAATCGAGCCATCTATGGGGAAGATGTCTATGTCGGGTACCGGTTCTATGAAAAGACCAAGAAGGAAGTCGCCTTTCCTTTCGGCCACGGTCTCAGTTACACCACCTTTAAGATCAAGGATGTATCTGTCAGTGACGACGATGTTGAGCTTGTGGTGTCCGCTACGGTTTCAAACACCGGCGAGTTGGACGGTGCGCAAGTAGTCCAAGTTTACGTTGCTCAGCAAAACCCGAGCATCAATAGACCTCCCAAGGAATTGAAGGGCTTCACCAAGGTCTTTGTGAAGGCTGGCGAGAGCGAGAAGGTTGAGATTGTGATTTCCAAGAAGTACGCCACCAGCTTCTGGGATGAGGCGAGGGATGCGTGGGTGATGGAGAAAGATGCCTTTGATGTGCTGGTGGGTGATTCCAGTGCCAATACGCCACTGAAGGCTCAGATTCGCGTCAAGCGGACAACTTGGTGGAGAGGTTTGTAGACGGTCGTCCGTCTTTGATGGCCTTTTACTTTGCAACCGAGGACGTTTCCGTCCAGAGTTGGTGATACACTCTCCTTGGGTGGGTGGTATTGACGAGGTGTCTGGGTGGCGGGTACGGCGCCTCCATGTGTTACAACATATTTATGACTCATGAGTACCTACCTCCATAGAAAATGAACACATGAATTGTATTAACGGGTTGTATACGCGTACGAGGTAAATGGTGTTGAATCCGCGGTATTACTGCATATCTAAGAAACGGCTTGACTGATGTAAACACACACACGCCAAGAGCCGTGCCATCATCGTCCTCGTCACCTCGAGACCCGACTCCCACTCAAGTGCTGCCTCCACATAAACATCGAGAAAAGGCACCTCTCGTCCAAAACCGTGGAACAAAGTTTCAGCCAACCTCAAACTCAGTCTCCATGACTTGACTTGACTCGATTACGATCTGATTATGCTTGCGATTGTGATCTGATTCTGAATCCACGCGTGAAGAAATCCCCATAATACATCCCAAGGGAGGGGGGGGGGAACCAGGGCGTCCGCTTCCTCACCGCTTTCTGGGCACAAAAGATTTTCTTTCTTCCTACAGAGGCGATGGCGAAAGCGAAGATGCCAGTCGTGTACGCGTTCGGTTCCAACGGCTCTGGACAGCTCGGGATCGGACATACCAGAGACGTCGTGCGGCCGGAGCGGTGTCTCTTTTCCTTCCAGCAGCAACGGCGGCGGCAGAGTCGAAGCGGCGATAGGACCAAGTTATCAGAATCAGATCCAGATTCGCGTCCAGATTCAGATGGGATCGGACATGGAGATGGGAGTTCGAACTCCGAGGCGCTGCCGGTGACAGCTCAGGCACCGATTGTCAAAAAGATTGTCGCGGGCGGAAACCACAGTCTCGTCCTCACGACGGATGGAAGGTTGTTTGTGGCCGGGAAATCAGGGTTGACTTCCGACGACCCGGGCGCCGGACGCGAGTCTACATCCAATGCAGTGTTTGAAGAGGTCACCAGGCATATCCTCTCCTCTTCAGCGGCATCGTCAGACACCGGTGGACGATGTAACGGGGTCATCACTGATGTTGCTGCCACCTGGGACGCTTCCTTCGCGGTCCTGGGTTCCAAGATCATCGTGGGTTGGGGGACCGGGACAAAAGGCGAGCTCGGGTTAGGTCCTAAGATGACTTCTACGGGTGGTCAGGTCAGGAAGATCTTCGACGTTGGCTCAGTTACCAGTCGTAGCGAAGCTGTCGACATCATTGACATTGTGGGCTCTCTAGCGCACGTTGTTGTCCTCCTAGCAAGCGGCGAGGTCTACGGATGGGGAAGTTGTCGAAAAGGCCAGCTCGGAGAACAGTTCAAGGCGGAGAAGATTCTCTGGTCTCCCCGAAACATTGGTTTGGGGATCCACGGAGAGAATCTCCTGCCTTGGGTTCCGGAGAAAGTGGTCCTCGGTAGGGAGTACACAGTCTTCATCAAGGCAGGCAAGGAGCCGGCGACCTGGGGAGATACCAGGGTTTTCGACGGCAGGGGTCCCGGCCTAATATCTCAAGCAGATGACGTGGTCACTTCCGGTTGGAGTTCGATTCACATCCTCTCGCGAGCACGGCCTGACCAGCTGCAGAGTGCAGGCAGAAATAACCACGGCCAACTTCCTCCCTCTACGCTTCCGGCTGTCAAAAACGTGGCAGCGGGAAGTGAGCACTGCGTCGCCCTTACCATGGACAACCAAGTCATCGCCTGGGGATGGGGTGAGCATGGCAATTGTGGCGAGACGCTGGATAACAGAGGAAATGTGATTGACCGGTACAATCTGATTCCGCTGCCGACGCCTGATGAGGACATTGTCGCGGAGAACGTGGCTGCAGGCTGTGCCACGAGTTTCGTGGTTTGCGGGATGAAAGACGGGTGAGTTTTAACAGTCGCTTCGGTCAGTCAAAAATCCCCTTTACTTGCGAAAGTCGCTGAGTTGGAGCAATCTCCGCTGGAAACCGTGACCTTGTCAAAGTCGTCCGCTCTTGCTGCTCTTGCTCCCTTGTCGAGATAAAAGAATGGAACTCGGAATCGCGAATGCGCCGCGACGAGTTTGATGCGGACGCAGCGTTGTCGGCATTTTCGTCCCACGTCACAATGTCCGGCTCCTCTTCAAAGTTAGGTTCGTCCCATTGGTGGTCGTCGTCATCCGCCGGGATGAAGAGACTGTGTGGGTCGATGCTTATGGAAGGTGCGGGCGCTGCAGCAAGCCCAGGAGCAGAGTCTCCTGAATCTGCCTTTTCAGATGTTGACTGTGTAGGCTGATCTCGATTGTGCAAAGAGCTGCGTGCTGGAGGCGGCATGCTGGTATCTGCACTTCTTGGAGGGCGAGAATTGAAAGACGAGGTTTGTGAGGCGAGAGTTGGTGCTTCAGGAGGGCGAGACGAAGGGCGCATGGATAGATCGCGAGCTGGTGTTGTCGCAACGGATGTGCTACTTGGGACATTTGCCGAGCGTCTTGTCATGATTGTGAATTCTGCTTGGAGGCCATTTTCGCCGTAACTGATCTGCAGTGGTCGGTTGCTTCGCGAATATCTTGCGGTCACTTGTGAATGCATCGTCTCGGCGTGCGTTACGATGGCGCGGAAGTCTCTGACCATAGTACCAATGTGTAACCCTTCTTGAACGTTGAAGTCGCTGAAATCTTTTCGCTCCAGTGCCACAGAGGTATGCATAGGCTGCTTGAGGATTTCTGCACAACAATTAATAAGAATCGACGGCAGCGAATTCGGGCCAATACCTCTTCCAGCTTGAATCTTCTCCGTGTAGCTCGTAAACGTGACTTTGCCATTCTGAAAATACCAATCGAGCTGATCGGTTTTCGGGCCAAAGTATTCCACTATGTCCCGCAGTGTCCGTGACGATATAGACCAGTAGTTGGTCGACCCGACCTTATCAAAGGCCGCCTGGAGAATTTCCCCGGGCTCGTAGAGCAGGCGATATGTCTTGACGACACCCTGCCGGCAATTCAGACGGAACACCAGTCGACATTCTGCCTGGTCTGGATTGGCCTGGAGCTCGCAGTCGCAAGTCTCCAGGGCAGTGTCCTTGTCTCGTTGGTCGCCCAGGCGACGCTTGAAGATGGACAGCAGCGCCTGAGTTGGTTCAGAGGTGTCATTTAACAGAACAGTATAACAGACGTACCCGTATTTGAAGCTTGCAGGACCATTTCTTTGGCAATGCAGACCCCGTGGTGGTCCGCGGGCCGGGAGAAAAGTGGTATTTGGCGAAGAAGGACGAACTGAGTGTGAACGCCGCATGAGCAGTGTTCGACACATTCAGACTTGCAAGTCGAAACTTCACCCAAGCACATTAGTCGACTGCCATGACTTTGTTTGCGGCCGAGGCGGGACTCACAAACTGAGGTGTCGCCTCGATGGAAACATCCTCGTCAAACTTTGCCAGGCAGGTGAGCAGATCATGGAAATATGTCGCCCCAGAAGGAGCCACAGTGAACACCAGAGTTGGCATGAGTGTGTCAACGCAGTTCCGGCTGGTGGATGAGGGACGAGGGTGAGGGACCGGGAGACGAAGACGCAGGTAGACGCGGGTCGACGCGTAAAGGAGACACAGAGGGTGAAAGGTGATGTCATTTCAAAACTCGACTTTTGTGACTGAGACTCGGACGAGCAACGAGTCTCCAATGTACACACAGCTTTTCACAAATCAAATGATCCTCGCCAGTGCAGTCTCTTTATCAAGGATAATTTCCTAGCATCATCTACTCCAGGGACTTTTCTCTCGACAAGCCTTGTCTACCACCTTCATCAAACTCCTCTCCTCTTGGATAACGCTATCGCGTGCCCTGGTTGTTGGATATGAGGGACAACACCATCACCATGCCTGCATATCGGGGCACCGTCCTCCCCGATGAAATCCTGTCCTTGATATGCGAGGAGCTGGGAAATGAGAGGGAATTCGGCTCGCTCTACACATGCGCACTGAGTTCAAAGTCATTCGCAGACCCAGCGCTTCGGACAATGTACCAGTGAGTTTTGCGGCACTAGTTTACACTTTTCTGTACATGTTCGTGGTAATTGACGTGTCCGCAGACTACACCAGCATTCTCCGGCGTTCGAGCAGAGAGACGACCTGGATGTCCGGCAAAGGCCGACCGACTTCGCTACCAAGGCCGCTGAACAGGCACAGTTCTATCGTAAATGGACCGTGTTATGGCGCTCCATCACTCTCTCGAGTCTCGACGACCACGCGACTTACAAACCCTACTGTCGATACATCAAAACCCTGGATTTCCGCAACCTGTCGCTGATGCTGGAAGACCCCAAGTTCACCGGTCCCGTTCGAAAGCAGTTCTTTGCTGGGAAACTCCAGCCTTTCCACTTCCCAAAGACGGAATACAAGAGGCAGGTAGTGGATGTCGTTGCCACGGTCAATGCAATCGGAGATGCGGTGACCACGAAGACGACGCTGTTGGAGGAGATTGACGGCCATATCAGCCCCGGGTTCCTGCCAAGGTGGATATCTCGCTCCCCAAAGCTTCAGACTATGGTGCTCTGGAAAGGTGATGCCCTGGTCAACGGCGCCGGAGCCGCAATCGCCGAGCACTGCGATAATTTCCACAGCTTGACGTTACGCGAGTGGGAGTCTCCAGACGCAGACGAGGCATTTGCAACTTTTCTGAACGAGCTCAAGCCGGACACGCTGAGTTACTTTGAAATGATCAGCAACAATAATCTTGGAAAGAGGTCTTTTCAAGCACTCGGACGGCACAAAACACTACAGCAACTGGATCTGGGAAGTCTGAATCAAGATGCTGTACGGAATCTGAATGCGCTCAGGGACTGCACCGAGATCCAGACGCTTAAGCTCGAAGACAAATATGGCAATGTCCAGCTGGAGCTCCGAAACAACGATGTATTTCTAGAAGTCGTTGATTGGCTAAGCTCTTGCAGAACTCTTAGCGACCTCTCTCTGAAGAAATTCTTTGATGGACCCGCGCTGCTCTCGAGAGTATTGTGTTCGCCTAATGTGAGGCTGACCAGGTTATCCCTCGAGGGATATACCGTGCGCCACACCAATTCTCAGTTATTCCACACTGCACTGGCTGAGCAGAGGTCCCTTGAGTCAGTATGGCTTAAGGGAATTGGTGAAGACACGATGCCCGACGATCTCTCATTTATGGTCGAAGGCTTGTGTAACTTGACAAATTTGAAAGAACTTGTCCTGAAAGATGTCTCGGATGAGTTTTCGGAGGAGCACATCATTTCTCTGGCTGTGAGTCTGCCACTTCTTGAAGACTTCTGGACAAGTGGTGGAGAAGTGTCGGCGGACATCCTCCAACCTCTTGCGAACCTCAAGTACCTGAAGAATCTCACACTGTACGCCATGACCCGGTTTACCTTGAGTGCGATCATGGAGTTCTTGATGAATCTGGATCCCGAGAGGCAGAAAGGGTTCAACCTGTCGCTGATGGCCGTGGATCCCGACTATGATTTGGCTGAAGAGAGCCAGGAGATGATCCGTGAGTATATGCGAGCAAACCTTGATGGCAGATTCGACTTTGTCTTGTGGCGTGAGGCGGAGCCAAGTGACAGTGAGGAAGATTGATTGGCATCGGGTGCTGTGAGTCAGCCAATCTGCATGAACTATGCACTTCTGAGAAAGCACGATCTTCCGCTATTTGGTTAGGTGGATGGCGTGCCACTTGTATACCTGACTGATGGGTCGTTGGGTATGGCATGGAACCAGGCTGATCCCTAAGGGGAGAGCTGCCGTAGAGTTCCAGCTACAAATTCTGTGGCCGACCATGACATTGGGGTGATTGAACGTCAGCAAGCGCTTCAGTTGGACTATGGCAAGGCTCCATATTTTAGAGTCCTGCTAGCCCTTCCGATACTGGAGCTGGCCTTTCCGTGGATAACCTGTCTTTGCCGAGAGCATCATCCAGCACCTGACAGAAGTGGAAAACATCGGTGAAGGAGTTGTACAAGGGTGCGGGAGCAACTCGAATGACATCCGGTTTTCTCTCGTCCACAATGACACCTTCACGTTCGAGATGATGGAGGACTCCATCGAGCAAGCCGGGTGCCAGTCGGATGCTTAGCTGGGCGCCTCGATCTTTCGCGTTTCTAACTGTGATGATGTCGAATTTCCCTGGCTTTCTGATCGCGATGTCGTCCAAGAGGTGCTCCAAGTAGTTGGTTAAGCGCACAGACTTCTCCCGCAGATCCTTCATGGATGTTTCGTTGAAGATTTGTAACGAGGCAACGACGGCTGCTAGGTCGAGCGCGCTTGGATTGGATACCTGGTAACCCGCGGCACCTGGTCTAGGGACGAATTCTTTATAGATCAGATCAGCTGATGACTGTGGACGATGATACTCCAACTTACTGTTTGTCATTTGGAATCTGCTGGTTTTATCATCTCCCCACCATCCGGTCAAGCGCGGCCAATACTTGTGAGTCGGACTTTCCATGTCGACTTTGCCAAACTTCTCGTTGATGAAGATGCCAGCCATTGCTCCCGGCCCTGAATTGAGATACTTGTAGCTACACCAAGCGGCAAAGTCGACGTTCCAATCATGCAGCTTGAGGTCAACATTGCCAGCGGCATGTGCGAGATCCCAGCCAATCATGATGCCGTGCGAGTGAGCATGGGCTGTGATACGAGGGATGTCGAAATATTGACCGGTGTAGAATTGGATGCCTGGTAGGAGGATCAAGGCAAGCTCTGAGCTGTGCTCGTCGATCGTTCGAAGGATCTGTTCGGTGGACAAAGTGGGAAATCTGGCGTCGGTGGGTTCCAACAAAACCATTGCTTCTGCCGGGTCAAGACCATGATGGATGATTTGCGACTCAACTGCATACTGACACTGTCATCAGCCGGGGTTGTGTAGGCATCCAGAACCTGGTCCTACTCACATGATCGCTTGGAAAGGCTTTACCCTCGAGCAGGATCTTCCACCTTCCCTCGCCCTTCTTGCTGGGGCGGTAGAAACTCGACATGAGGAGATGCAAGTTTGCCGTCAAGGAACCCATGACTGCCACTTCCGACTCAAGGGCGCCCACAATTGGGGCCATGAGTTTCGCGGCATGATCATCGATGTGCAAAAATGGTGCAAGGGGAGAGTCTGAATGCTCGACGAAATGCCCCAAGACGCCTTTTGTGCGCCACTGTGTCAGGAAGGAGTTGACCAGATTTGCGGTCCTGACGGGCTGAAGACCCAGAGAGTTGCCGCACAGATACGTGCAGGGCTGAGAGGGTCCTTCTCCAGGCGATTTAGACAGCGTTGGTCTATACAGGTCTCCCCGAGTCGGTATGTGAAACTCTGACCGAAAATGAGATAGCGGATCTGTAGCATCGAGCGAGAGGGCATAGTCTGGGGAAAATGGATCGAGGGAGTCCTTGGTAGAGTCGAGGCCACTACCCGCGTCTGCTCTAGACATGGTGACAGAGAATGCGACTCTCCTGTGCAGCTTGACTTGATTTCTCGCGGGGAGGACCCGTAGCCCTGTCTCCTGGATACCTCGCAGACGAGATGGTCACGACTCACAAGAGAAAAGTGGCTAGCTTAGAGGGATGTTTAATAGAGATGGGACTTTTCTTCCGCATAATAATTAATGGAGTTTGAACCAGTCGGAATGGAAAACGGCCGAATTGTCAGCAACTCGTTGTCGCCGAGGTTTTTCCTGGCCGCCGCGTTTTCCACCGTCGTCATTTTTCCCCAGTGACAAAGACACAAACCAACCCACCAACCTCTGTTCTGCGCTTGCACGCCTGCGACACACGGAGCAATAGCTCTCGCGAGAGTAAAAAAAGCCATGTCTCAGAACTCGATGAGGCTCGCCTTTCGAGCCGCACGGCCTCTTCACAGACCGCAAGACCCGACGACCTACCTCCGAGCATGTCGAGGCATTTCCAATGCTTCGCTGCAGCGGCAAACGACGACGCCCAGACAGGCACACTCTCACCCCATCATCCCACGGCTCGAAAAGAAGGATAATCACGTAACAAGACGACACATCTCCTCCTCGCCCGTCCGGCGGGCGACCGTGGTGGTTCAGAACCCGCGGGTCGACGACGACGGCAACGAGATGACCATCACCATCTCCGAGCGAGCGGCCAAACGCCTGAAACAGATCACGAGCGCTGCCCCCCCGAGCAAGAAGAACACGCTCGTCCCTTCATCCTCCTCCTCTTCCTCCTCGCAGCCAAACGATTCCCACCTCCGCGTCACCGTGACCTCGGGCGGCTGCCACGGTTTCCAATACTTAATGTCCCTCGAGGACTCGTCCAAGATCGACCGGGAAGAAGACACGATATTTGCCAGCGACGACGGGTCGGCGCCGTCGGGCCCGGGCAAGGCCGAGGTGGTCATGGACTCGGCGAGCCTGGAGTTGTTGAAGGGCAGCACCATTGACTTCACCCAGGAATTGATCGGGAGTCAGTTCAAAATCGTGGGGAATCCGCGCGCCACCAGTAGTTGTGGCTGTGGCACGAGTTTCGATATTGAGTGATTCATTCATACCTCTTTTGGGGAAGACGGACGAAGAGGTGATCGTAGGGACACAGATTGGGGATATGTTGTCGCCGAGCGAAATTGCCGCGTTGGTTCGGGTCTTTATATATTCTCTGCTCCAGACAGAGACTTTGGATGTGCGTGGCCTATCGGGGCAAGGATGCCGGATGTTTCAAGACGAGAGAGAACGAGAAAAGTCGCAGCTTGAGCGTCCTATCCATCCTATATCTCCACCACCGACCATGGCCTTTCTCCTCCAGATAGCTTTCTACGAGACCTTGACATGAGAAGCAGCAGAAGCAGCTACTTCTTCTCCATACAGGAATTCTCTACTCTATCCATTGCTCAAACGTTCACAAACCGCTAGACTACCGTGCTCGAACCCCCCCCAAGGCCATGAAGCGCGTGCAACTCGGACGGAATGTGAATTTCGATGGACTCAAAAGAGTGGACAAAGAGAAGACCAAGAGGTACCGAGAAGAGACCGGAAATCGCGGGACTGATTGACTGGAGGGGCATGGGATGACATTTCATAGAGTCCTACTCTCCTTGTCTCTCTTCCTTTCTCCCCTGGCTGGCGAGGGTGGGGAGGGGAAAGGAGAAAGGCTGAATGTCTCTGCAGATGTGGATAGATGAATAGAAGCAAAAGGGGTTCAAAAGCTCAAGTTTCATTTCCAGCATGTCAGCATTTTTGCCCCCTCGGTCTCGTTGCAGGAGCTAGTAATTATCCAGCTCGTTTGAGAAATCCGTTCCAAAATCAGAGAGCCACTCTGGTGATCCTGCGACTCCCTCACTCCACTGCCCAAGCTGAGTTTCGCATGACATAGAGGCCTTGAGCTGTCCGTCTGTCTTGTCCGTCTGTGAATGGACTCTTCTGATCCGATTGATCTTCGTCAACTCCTGAACCAGATCAGCAACGGTTCTGAGGTCGTCAACCGCCTTCTCTGCCTGCTCACGCTCGCGAGCCATCACCTCCTCCTCCACGACCAATACTTTCGAGTCATTGAGCGTCAGGTGAGGAATTTCCCAGGCCTTGGGTGATTCGTAGGACTTGAACATCTCCGCGACCTCCTCTGTCACACGCTCCAGCGCCTTCTGAAGCTTCTCGACGGTTTGGTATCGCTCGTCTCTCAAACGCTGGTATAGTCGCAGAGTTTGCGCGCCGTCGACAATCCTGCTGGCAGCCGCTTCGGTAAGCCCGAGGGTGTTGAGCGAAGATCTAATTCGATCGATGAGGGATGGCGTTGGCGGCCTGAAAAATTGGACCGTAGTATACGCAGTGGTGACTTCTGAGTCACCCATGGCCTTGTATGCGAGGAGCAACGCGGCTTTCATGACATCGGTATTGAGCTGGGTCTAGAATATCGTTAGGGAGTATCCAACCTCTGAACCAAGGCTGTCGAGCACAGCCAGGAGTGACTTACGATCGTTCGAGCTTCGTCCATCATTTGCCCACTTTTTGTTTTGACCACTTTGGCCGGCGGAGAGTCTGTCGTGCTCATCAAATCGACGAGGCCAAATCTGAGGACTTTGGGATCTTTTGGATCATGCCAAAATTGCGACAGCTGGGCAATGTCGGAAAAGGAGCCGAGAGGCAGAGCGCCTGGGACAGTCATGTTGGTGGGCATTGATTCTGAGTTGGCAGTCAACTCACCCTGTCAGGAGAGGGCATGATAAGGAAGACGTGTAAGGAAGGCGGCAAATAACAAGAGGGGAAATCTGTAGAGGGCGAAGATTCAAGTAAGAACGATACAAAAGGTGAAATGAAATGCTTGCCAGGGAAGAAGGAGCACGACGAGCTTGAAAGACGGCAAGAGCTAGTCTTTCCAAAGGAACAGAACCCGAAATGACAGTGTGAATATTCAGTCAGAGGTACATACCTTCCTCATGAAGTCCTCCCAGCCCGGCTCATCGGACCCCAGTTCTCCCTCGGATTCATCTGGTACCTCAATAACTTGCCACGAGGCTTCTCTTTACCCAACTTCTCGTCAAATGTGATTTTGAGCCTGTTCGGTGGTGGAACCGAAGGACTCGTGGATCTTGACCGATGACCGTTGGGAGGCTCCTCAGATTGAGGCGCTGCCTCTCCGCCACCATTCTTCGGCTCAGACGATTCACCCGTCTCTGCGGGGAGAGGCGATTTTTCGTTCTCTAATCGATACAGTATCCCTTGTAGCACAGTTTTCAGGTCGTCCTTGGTCTCACATCTCCCAAGCTGTTCCCGCGTCGTGTCCCTCAACTCTGACACAAGAGCCCGCTCCGTCCCTCGGACCCTCGACAGAATCTGATACCCTGCAGTGCCCTTCCTCACGGCTCCATCCTTGATAGGCGCTTTTGTCCGCATGAATTCTCGTATTACTTCCCACAGCACGGACCATGGGGCGTTCGTTTTGATACTGCCAGGCTTGCAGTGAGACCTGGAGACTTTGTAGCCCAGACCAAGCAGGGCACCTCTCATTGCGTCTTCAGAAGGTGTGGCGCAATGGATTATCTTTGCCAAATAAGTAGGCATGATGAAAAAAGGAGCAACGTCTGGTTTGTCAGTCGCAAGTCGCGGGATTAGCTTCGAGTCGTGCGTAGCTCCGTCCTCCGCTACGGTGTCCTCTGTACCGCCTGGGTTTGAGTTGGTAGGCGTGAGATCCTCCTCCAAGGCCAAAGTAAGCATCCCCTCGATTCGATCGACAGTGACATATGTGTCCTTATCCAGAGTTCGAGCCTTCTTGAGCATTTTCTCAACAAATTGCGGATTGTGTAGGGGACCTGACCACATCGGACCACAGAGGTGCATCGGTGAACCACAATGTTCACAATTCCGATTGGTGGACGGTGCCTGGGCGAATGAGAACTTGTAGAATGTGTCTCCAGATTTAGATGTTTGTGGCTTGTTCCGAAGCAAAGGCTGTGTGACCCAAGCTCCACACCCGTGGCCGCAGTTATACACTATCATGGATGTACCGGCCAGCAGCTTGACTTCTTGCTGCTTTCGGTGGATCCGAATGAAGAGTCGGGCATAGTAGTCGATGTAAAGCGACAAAAGAGGCTCGATCGCAAGGCCGTATTTCGCAGCAGATATGGCGATTCCATTGAGGATCAACCTCAAGCCACCTTCGTGCGAGTGTGGCCCTTTGACAGGAATTCCCCCATAGAGTGCAAAAGTCTTTTCGGGATACCCTGTGGATGCAAAGACACCAGCGTCTGTGCAGGTGATACACAGCATCCCGCCATCCTGGATTGCCTGTAGGCTGCAGTCAAAGAAAGGAGCCGCTGTTCCATAAGGGTCAATGTCAATCACATCGAAACGATGTACATATCCTTCTGCGGGTCTGGGGTGCTCGTTTCCAACCTTGGAATACATGAAAGCTCGAGCATCACCGAGGTTGGGCCGAACCTTGTCTCCGACGTCGTTGTGCTTGATGTTGAGTTTGATGGTTTCGACCGATGCCGAGGAGAGATCATTTGCGACAATATTGGTAGCAAATGATATTTCCTTGGCATAGCGTAACGCTCGGAGGCCCGTTGCAGACAAAGCGTCCAGAATGGCGAAAGGAAGCTGTTTCTTTGGGATTGCAGGTGGCTTTACCTCAGGATCGGTGGCGCCTGGATTTGCGACAGGTTCTGGTTGCAGTCCCTCTCCCACGGTGTCATTGACCGGAGCAGCAGCATCAGCAGTCAACTCAGCAAGAAGGGGTTCGCCGTTGTCTTCGTCATGTTCATTAGGTTTGAGTTTCTTTGTCGGCTCTTCCGTACTCTCATGGTCGACTACATCTTCTAGGTGGTCGGCTTTACGCTTCCGAGTGTTCGGTTGCTCTGCTTCATTGTTGGCGCTGTTTTCGAGTTGAGCTGCAGGCGGGGCGTTCGACCCTTTTCCGCCCTTCCTCCTTTTCGCGTTTCGATTCTTGTGAACAACCCGGCCTAGCTTCTCCAGCAGAGCAGCTTCGCCGTAGACGCTGATTGCCAGGACACTCAGGTCTCGATTGAATTGCTGAATAGGATTGTAGAAAACTGCCTGATCTCCTTCGTCGTTGTTTTTGGAGGATTTGGTCGACGTTGGAGGTTCCCCGGAATATGGAGCAAGTACTGAAGCTAGACCTTCGCGGACGTGTCTATATCTCTTGCCATCAACCACGATGGTCTCGGGGGCATTCGATGATGCCATATTTGAGCGTGATGAGGCCGCAAAGGTCCTCCGTTGCAGGTTTGTAAAGTATCCCTGGCTGTTATTCGCGAGCTTTGGCATACGATCACGGATAAGATCGATCCGGATGAAAGCGAAACAACGGCCGATCCTCATCACCAGCCCCTTCCATCCCTTTGACACTGCAGATTGAGAGGTCGACGTGCCCGCCGAACAAATGTCTTATGTTACCAAAAGTTGGGAGAAAGGCACAGACATGAAGTAAATGGTAGCAGCATCGAATACGATACTTTTTTCTCTAAGAATCGCCAAGACGGATGCTAGAAAGAGTTAGTCGCAGCCTTGCATATGATCAGGCTAGTCCATTTACGGCGAGCCTCTTAGTGCTCTCTCAGCCTTGTCGACCAACACGGAGCATCTCAATGAATGAATAAGCTCGTGCCCTTCCTGCTACACAGAGACATGGATGCGAGCTCGCTGCCCTAATAAGGGGCAGTGGAAAAAAATACTCCGCCAAACGGTATGCACATTGTACACCAGACAGGAAAAAAGCAGCCCTCCTCTCCTGACTCCTCAGCCTCAAGCGCGTCTGAGAGTTTTGAAACCGTTTTGGTCTCAGATCCTTTTCCTCAAACGCCTCTCCTGCCCATTCTCAAACCAGATCACCCGTCAAGATGGGCAACAGTGACCCCGGACTTGTCACATACGGGAGATTACTATCTCAATGATGCCGATTGTGCACGGTTTCACGGGCGTCAAGTGGCGCCACTACAAGCACATACACACACCTAGTTCAAACCAGATCCATCAGGAGAATATCGACGACCCTGTTTTGGATTTGAGGTGCCGGTAAGCATGCTATACACGGCCTAAGTACAAAACTGTCTGGCTTTCTCGACACTCTATTTTCCCTTCCTCACCACTTTTCAAAGCCCAACTAACGTACTCGTCTTTCTTTACATCGCTGATCTGCACAGCCAAAAAATATACCATTCCTGGACCACCCACAGCTGCTAAAATCATGTCGAGAACACATTTCTCTACCGTCACCTGCCTTCTCTTCTTCGCCCTCGTCAGCATTGTAACGGCGATCCCTTCGCAGCTCAGCCTGCTCAGCCCTCGACAGCAACAAAGTGACCAGCCCATTTGCAGCGAATACTCCACCATTGCAAACCTCTCCATTGTCGGTGCCAATGCTACATACCGGTCCGCATACCTTCAAGCGTCACCTCAAGGCCACGATCCAGCCAGCGCGCCCCTCGATTCCGCCATTCCCAAGCTGCCCAGCTTTCAATTCAACGCCACTATCAACACCGAATGTGGAAATTTGACGGAGGTGGCCATCAAGGGTGCTGCGACAAACTTTACGCAAGGACAAGTGTTGCAGTTCAACATCAATTCGGCCGTGCAGATGAGGGCAGGGTCATTGGGGATGGCTGTGATAATGGCTATAGTTGTCGCCACGGTCATCGATGTACTATAGAACGGTTATGGTGAACGACTTCTCTAATATTACGACTGCTTCAATGTTTCAAAAGTGTACGGCTGGTCAATATGATGCCGTGGTGGGAACCGACATCCAAATCGAGGCATTTTCGAGAACTCTGTTATACTCTCGCCACATTGCTTCGTCTATGCTCGGTAACGCGCCTATAGAGGGCACGACTTTTCGCAATGCAGCTTCCCCGAATGGGGTAACCGGCCACTGGCCACCGGCTACCGGCTTTGGCAGGAGGACTTGAAGCAACAAAATAGATCGCCTTGATTCCCAGTGTGAGATCTCGGTTGTGATGCAAAATATGTTGTCGGGACGAAGAGGAACGGGTCCAGGTCTGCACCGAAGTTGAGATTAACAAGCTGTGCAGTGCGGCATGCTCTTGAAAAGTTGATTCGTGCCCTGTTGGTCGTTATGCGACCTCTGAGGGCGAACCCGTCTGGTTGGTTGTTCTGCTTTGATAGCGAATGGCAACATTGGAAACACGGGCTGTCATATAGACCGGCGGATGAATAGAGAACTTCGTGTGTACATCGGATGTGTCACTCTGACAGCTCGATGTCGACGGTGTCCATGGCCGAGAACGAGACATGTGTATAAGATCAACCTTTTGCACACCAGGGCGGTTGTTAATACTGAATCTGCCTGCTCCTGTCGCCGCGCCAGGCTTGTGCCAGTACTCGAGATCCTCTCTGCGAAAATCGTGCTTTCATGACGTAGTTGAACGGGGTATCATGGGCGCATACACCCGCCTCGTAAAGCCATCGACTCTCCTGCCCGCCATACCCATGAGCCCATGTCAAACCGCGTTATTGTTGTGGATCATTCGATGAGCCTGTACGTCGTTGTAAAGTATGCCATGCACGTCATGCACGTATGGGGTCGGGGGAGGTCGAAAGAGATCGCGGAGCTTGCTCTTAGAGGTCGCGCCCGTGTGGTTTTATGCTTGGGCGGGCTTATGATCGTCAAAGTGTGTCTGTTTGAGGACAATGGTTGCCTCAAGAGCCAGCAGAACCATGACTTTTGCACCCAGGCATGCACCCTGTCGGCTTTCGAGGATCGTAGTAATCCTCATCTTCAGTCAGATCACTGTCATCCATATCGACATCACGCTTCTCAGCCACGGGAGGTTCCGTCTCGTGTCTTTTCTCGAGCTCTGGTTTTGGTTCCTCAACCGCAGGCGCAAACGCATTCTTGAATCCTCCTTTCTTGAACCCTCCACTCCCGGCTGCTGCGCTCTTTGTGGCCCCTCCAAGTTTTATCTGCATCAGTGGTCCTTTCTCTTCCTTCTTGGGTTGCACTTGGCGCTGCATTTCCTTCATCTCCTTCAACCTCTTCTTATGTTGGTGATCGTAGGAGGATTCATGGGCCTCGAATTCGTTCATGCGACTGTACCCTTTTTGACATAGCGAGCAGAAGAACGCACTCCGCGCTTGTTTCGCCGACTGTGTACTGGCGGGAGGGAGGGTGAATCCTCTCTAGAGGAGGAAGCGACTAGTCAATAACGCCAAAGAGACAATGGGAAGTTGGTTGACGAGACTTCACAGGCCCAGCAAGGCGCAACTTACCGGAGGCATGATGGCGGTGACGAACAGTCAGACGCAGAAGAAGATGCTAACGTGCAGTGACTGTTTGACGAAGCATTGATATTTACGCAGGAAGTGAAGAGAAGTCGGGAAAAAAAAAGTGGTGGTCGGCGGTTCTCGCATAATAATATCTGGCCGACGTGGCCGCCCACCGCCGCCTCTGGAGCCAAACCCCTCAATTGTCGACTGTCAGATCGCCAGCGAAGACATCCTTCAGCCGCACAACGAACAACCACGCATTACCCGAGAAGCTATCCATTCCTTGAACCTCGACCTGCTGTCTATACTTTTCTCTGGCTGACATCGAGTAGACCTCGTTGTCACCAATCAGGCTCAGCGATCAAGCGAGCTCTTCACAGACCCGGATGATGCAGCACTTGATACTGTCGAAGCCAATGCATGAACTGGAGCTGACGCTGGTCAATTCGTCTACAGGCCGTCAATAAGGCTGGAGGCTTTCTTCAACAGCAAGAAGTTCCAGCCCTACCAACTCCAAGCCCATGACTTCCACGGATCACCGCGATCGTCGCCATGCGCCTCATAAATGTCCGCACGATTCAATTGGAGGAAGTCTACAACAGCAGGACTCACCGGTATGCCATACTTTCGCATCGATGGGAAGAGGAAGAAGTCACCTTCCAAGACATGAGCTCCCCCAAGACCTTTGGCAAGAAAGGCTTCTCCAAAATCCAGTCGGCTTGTTGGGTTGCCCGTAACAAGGGACTTTCCTACCTTTGGGTCGATACCTGTAGCATTGACAAATCGAGTTCTGCCGAGCTAACGGAAAGTATCAACTCCATGTATCGGTGGTACCAAGATGCGGAAATTTGCTTTGCCTATCTAACGGACGTCGAGATTCATAAGACCGAGATGAAGGACAGTGTGTGGTTCACGCGGGGATGGACACTCCAGGAATTGATTGCCCCTAAACACGTCAGCTTCTACGATCGAAACTGGGTCTTTCTGGGCACCAAGGATAACCTGGCTGGGGAGCTATCAAGAATCACTGGCATTGACAGAGATGTCCTTCTTGGTCAGAGACCCCCCTCGAGCTGTTCGATAGCTCAGCGGATGTCGTGGGCCTCCAAACGCTCGACAACCCGGGTTGAGGATCGAGCGTACAGTCTCCTGGGTATTTTCGATGTGAGCATGCCCATGTTGTACGGCGAGGGCGAAAGATCGTTCACAAGGCTTCAAGAGGAGATCATCAGACACTCGGACGACCAATCCATCTTCGCATGGGATCGTGGCCTGGATGGCTATTTCGGCGGGCACAATGGTCTTTTGGCAACCTCCCCTTCGCACTTTGTCACTTGCCAGAACGTCGTCATCCCTGCCTCCTACGGCCTACCAGTCACCACTGGCTTCGCGCTGACCAATGTGGGAATCTCGATTTCCTTGATGACCCTTCCGTGGGCGATGGAGACGTACCTCTGTATCCTGAACTGCAGCCTCAAAGACTGTCCTCAATATCGCCTGGGTATCTTTCTCGAGCGACTCTCATCGTCTCAAAATGCAGAGCAATATGCACGGGTGCAGATCGACGGCGCCACCGTGCTGCCAATTCTGCTTCGCACGATCTTGGACGACTCCTACGGCCGTGTTCGCACCGTCCACGTCCGACCTCACATCTCCGATGAACCGCTCCGCCGCTGGTATGGCTTTCGTCTTCACAGCTTCACTCTGCCAGAATACACGATTGATGAGATCTATCAGGCGAGGTTCCATTTTCGCAACACTTTGCCGTCGATAAGTCGGTACAGCGCCGAGGAGATGCGGGCGGCGAAGCAATACCACCCGAATGGACTTCTCGGTCTGCCTCCCCGACCGCTCTTCTTTGCCATGCCACGAGCCAGAGGAGGCTTGCTGAGCATCAGGGGCACCGCGGCCGTCATCTACGTCCCGCCTTCGCGAAAGGACAAGAATGGCGAGCGCATCTGCTGGATGAAGTTTGGATTCGACGAAGATTTCCGCCCTGTGTGTATCTTTGGCCGCCGGAAGTCGCTCTGGGGCGGCAACGCCGCACACCTCGCTGTTGACGAGGACTCGTACTACGACGCCGAAGAGACTCCCGGGGCCCACGCCCTCCTGTTCCGTCACGACTGGATCAACAGATACCAGTGCTCGAGCGACCAGGAGATCGCGGCGCTGTGGCAGAAGCGCGACTTTTGCGTCCTCAAGGGCGTCAAGGACTGGGGCATCGACAAACAGATCCCCTTTCTCCGACTGCGCGTCCTGGTCCGCCTGGAGAACATCCCCGCCAACTTCCCGCCGGACGGACGGCCCGACTCGCCATCGCCGGGGATGAATGTGTGGACGATAAACGTGGATTCCTGGAAGTACTCGGGCGACAAGGAAGGGATGAAGACGGCCATGGGGACCGGGGAGTTTGTGCTGCGCTCGCTCGACGACATATTTGCCGCGGTTTAGAACCGAGGGCCATGCATGCTCTGGAACGAGGACCGACGATATGAATTGACCACGACCAAGTACGATGACGATATCGATCAACCTGCCAGCTCCTCTGACAACGCTGAATCCTCTCTCCCAACGCCTGCCGCTCACCAGCATTAGCCAGAGCCAGCTTAAATCCTACACGACACGACAAAACCTCTGAGCAACGCAACATAACGCGGACTCCCGCAGGGGAAAGTGTTTCTCGGCAAGAGAAAAGTACAACAACCTATTTTCTTCTCACCTCCCTACCTACTCACATCCCTCCCCATTTTCCACGAAAAGAAAAAGAAAAAAGTCTTCTTTTAATGAGATCCATGAATTAATTCCAAAGACAACCAACGGTAACGACGAGACGGACGAGATAATTTCATCTATTCCTCCCTTCCTTGGGATCATTTCCATTCACGACACGGGATGATAGGAGACTCCTGGATCTGAATCGGAATCTGATCAATCTTGGTCATTTGTTGCTGCTGGGTTCAATCTGACCAGAACTAGGTAAAAAAAAAAGATATATCATATCGCACACGTTCAGCCGAGGTGCTGTTATTCCCCCATTCCCTTCCTCACTCAATAAATCCATTCTCATCAACTCGGTCCCAACAAAACGTGTGCACCTTCAAACGCCTTTTCTATCAAAACAGGCTGTTCCCATTCCTGCTTGAATTCCTGCCCTTCTTTTTCTTCTTTTCCCCAAACAAGATCCGACTTGCGACTCCGAATTCAAATCCATCAAAGAACCCCAGTGGTAGCCCCCCTGCCCCAGTTCCGTCCCTGCCTTTGTCCTGGGTATTTGCTCGCTGTCATGATTGTTTCGTGGAATAACTGTGGTTGCCGTGTGATTGCTTGGGTCGTCTCCGTCATGTCAGATGCTGTTCAAAATCGAAGAAAGAAAGGAAGAACTCCCCCCAACAAACACCTCGCGCCCCTGGCAGACAAAGCAAGCAACGCCTTCAACACGCCTCAAAACACAAATTCCAGTCCCCATCAGAGCCTCTTTTGAACTTCCCTGCAAAAACACCACGTGTCATGACCGCCGATACATATCATACACATATATATACACGTAAATTTTCCATTAATAGTGTCCCCTCAATGTCTATTTAGAGTCAAAACAGGTGAGATGCCCCGGACTCCAGTTCGTACCTTAGTTGTACCTTAGTTGCCAAATCCATATTTGTTTCTGACCGTGGACCAAGCCGTTGTGTTGATGGTATACTCGGAACACAGATCTCCAAGTCGCTAGGGGTGGCAAACGAGGCGACTGACTTTGTCGAATTTGGGGTTCTTCTGCAGGAGAGGTTGAAATCTGTAGGGCAGCCATCTCTGGCTAAAGCTGCATTGTGCAATGATGAAGGCATCGAAGCCTATTCCTTGGTCCAATAGGGTATATTTGCCCCGCCTCTTTGCGTGCTGCTTCCAGCTGCTTTGCTGCTCGACGAGAGCATGGGCGCCTTGGCCAGCTTCTTCACAAGCTTTTGCTAGTTGATTTTGCTGTTCCAAAAGATCAGAAACACGTTGCTCAGTCTGCTGTCGGGTCGTTTCAGCGTTTGCTGTATCAAATTGGTCGCAAGCTAGTTCCGCCTCTGTCGCTTCGCTTGCGACACATCATTTTGTTCACTCACTGCCCTTCTCTTGATCCCCTGGTTCTGCTGTGCTATGGTCACTTGCACCTGTGTCTTTCGAGAATCTCTCTTCTTCATCGCTTTGCTCTGGCGGTCGACCTCTGCACGGAGCGAGCACAACTCGCTTATCAGGTACCGATGTGTGGCGTCCGAGCAGGTTTGTTTTTCTTGTGACAAAGTATGATGCCGTCGCGACTCGTCAAATCGCTCTTGGCTAGACTTGGTCTTTTCTGAAAGCTTCGCGTTTTGCTCTAGCAGTTGCTGTATACGATCGTCCTTCTCTGCCTCTGGGATCTTGATGCCTTCCTCTAATCGAGCAACTGTAACGTCTCTGGCTGTTTCCACCATTTTCAGTCGGTCCTCTTTATCAGAAAGGTCTTTTTGTAGAGTCTCGATTTTCTCCTTCAACTCGGCGTTTTCACTTAACAGTTCATCTTTGTCACGGTTTGTGATCCACAACCGAGTTGAAATAGTTTCCCTCGCATGCTGTTCTTCAACAAGACTTGCTCTGCCTCGGTCACAGTCTTCTCTCGACTTTGCCAAGTCAAGATTTAACCGCATGGCAATTTTGCGTTCCTTGACGAAGTACTCCCTCTCCGTGAACAAGTATGCTCTCTCCTTGTCAAGTTGCTTGTTGAGCACGGCGATCTCTTTATTGCTGTTTGACACTTTTTTGTCTTTGTCTTTTGCAATGCCCTTGATGGTGTCTCTCTCTGCCTCTACTTTTCTAAGAAGCTCAGTTCTGACACGATCATCCCGCTGCAGAGCGTCCACACTCAATCTGAGGTCTGCAATGGTCAGGCATAGGTGGTCATTGGTCCTCGCAAGACCATCCTTCACATTATCCACCTCAATTTTGCAACCGACATCCTGTTTTAGTGTTTCGATTTGGAGTGTGAGGCGCTCAATCTTCTGCGATTTCTTTTTGTTACACTCGGCAAGGATATCGCTCCTTTCGTTGGCTTTGACCTTATCGATATTACGAGGCTTGCCTTGGTTTCTGACCCCCGCGATCTCACGGCAATAGTCTGCATTCGCCATCGAGATTTCAAATATCCGCGCATTCAACTGGGCAATAACATCGTCATTCCGTCGAGCGGAAGCTTCTAGAGAGACGTTTGTCTGTGAGATGCTGTCTCTCTCGGCGGTGACACGCTGTATGTCGTGGGAAAAAGAACGGTTTTCTTCTTTGAGTCTGTCCTTCTCGGCGGTGACACGCTGTATCTCCTGGGAAAGAGAAAGGTTTTCTTCTTGCAGTCTGTCCTTCTCGGCGGTGACACGCTGTATGTCGTGGGAAAAAGAACGGTTTTCTTGTTGCAGTCTGTCCTTCTCGACGCGCATACCTTGGTATCGCTTCGCAATAAGGCGAGCAAAGTCTTCCGGGTTCCCCCCAATGACCACGTGTAGATCAAGACGGTCAAAAAAGCATTGCAGGTGGGTTATGAGCCCGGTTTTAATTCGATTGAAGTATCCCCATTGATCCTTGAACATCTGGCGACTGACCTCCTCTTTCTGAGCACAGTCCTGGTAGGCCGTCCACAGTTTTTGCAAGTGAGACGATATTTGGTCGAGGTATCCCTTATCAGGGTCCTTTCCTCCAGCTTGCTGCGCCTGACGCACGGAATCCAGCGCCGCAACCAGATGTACAAGCCGTAAGTCCTCGTAAAGACGCACGGTATGAGATTGAGTGGATCCACCGCCAGGCCTCGTGTCTCCAGGGTCGGGATCCTTGATGCTGGGTCGAGTGTCCTTGTCATCCTGACCTGATCTTTCTTCTGCCGGTTCCAAGGTCTGCATACTGAGCCCTACGAAGCCACACAGCCAGAACACAAGAGCTGCAGAGAAGTGTGTTCAAATAGAGTCAAGGACATGCCGCAAAGCTTGACCAGAACGGTCTTAGGCTGTGAGACGACGATGTCCGCCACTCGCAAAACACATGTTATTTGTACCTGGAATGACACCTATCGGAGCGAGTCAATAGAGTGCAAAGATCTGTAGAAGAGAAAGGGGCAGTGGTTTGAGAAAGATTATAGTGGCTGTACTGAGGGTGGCTGAATGATGGAAGTAGGAACAGTGGTAGACAGAGAGAAGCAACGTCCCAAGCAACAGTTTTTGACTTCTGTGCTGGAGCGGACAGTTGGGCGGGGAGGAGCGACCAAGTAGCGCCTAAAAGGCAACCACGCAAACCAAGAGGGGCTGCCCCCCAGTGGTCGGGCGCGGGGTGAAAACTGTTGACAGGTCGACGGCTGAAACAGCTCGAACGCCTCTGATTCGATACCCACTGAATCATTCACTGGTCAGGCTCCCCGACCAATTGAAGCCCTCTACAGATGCGCTAGTGGTTGTGGCAGAACCCGGTGACTAGCCTCGATGCCCACACCGCTTAATCATGTCTTCCGCTATTGGCTGATCCCAAATCTCTGAAGCGAAGTCCTTTGAGGCCCCCAGGTGGTTTCTCGGTCCTCCTTACCACAACGAGGTACTTGTGAGTCAAACCGTGTCCAGCTCCCAAAAAAAAACGAGCGCACATGACGGATTCCCTAGGGTTGAGAATACTGCAAGCTTTTCACCTGTAATTGAGTTCCAACAGCCCGCATCCGCGGGTCTTCCTAGCCTGCAAGGGCCCTTTCCCCTCTCCTTCAGAACAAAGAAACGCTCAACAACATCAAAGTCATGGCAGACCTACCTCCCCTCTCAACGCAAGACACGCGTGGCTCCATCTCCTCTATACCAATGCACGAAGTCGACCCCTCGCCCGTCGACGATGACGACCCAGAAGGCCCAAGCTATCCCACCAACCCTTCGGATCTTGATGCTTCGAGATTGCCCCCTTCATCTCACAGTACGACCAATTGGCTGGGCCTCACGCCAGCCCGGACGCTTCACATGTTGTCAGCCGTACAAAAGTACTCTGTCATTCCCTTCTCAGCCTATCTGACGATGCACTACACAAACACCGCACTGATCCCCCTCTTGACCGGTTCTGCGCGCGAGGCAGACAAATTCCTCCTCCTCACCCGCCCCTTTTATCAATCCTTCCCCTTCGAACCACTCCTGATCTTTGTCCCCGTCGTCACCCACGTCGCCTCCGGGATTGCCTTACGACTCTACCGTCGTCGCATCACAGCAAGACGGCATGGAGCCGAGACACTCTCGCAGCGCAGGAAGATGAAGAGTAAGATACCGTGGCCAAAGTTCTCGCTGACTAGCGCCGCGGGTTATGCACTGTATCCAATGTTCGTGGCCCACGTGTTGTCTATGCGTATTATCCCCAAGAAGATCGATGGGAGTTCCGCCTCTGTGGGATTACGCTACTTTGCCCATGGCATAGCACAAGATCCGTATGTCGGAATGGCAGGCTACACATTGTTCGTGTGCGTCGCCAGTTACCACGTGGTAAGCGGTGCGGCCAAATTCCTGAGACTGAGTGCAGAGTATGTCATCGGGGGCGGGGACGAGGGTCACCTGCGGAAGAAATGGAGAGGCAGGATTGTCAATGGGATTACCGCTGCCGTGGCAAGCGCCTGGATTGCGGGTGGGTTGGGCATTGTGGGAACAGCAGGGCGAGGTACGGGTTGGGAAGCAAGCCATTGGGATAAGATATATCGTGCCATGCCGGTTATTGGCAGGCTGTTCTAATATCAACAAACACGGATCTGCGTGTTGTTTGTCTTGTGTATTGTCTAGATGTGAGATAGGGTTACCCGCGAAGAGTTTAGAAAAGGGGCTCCATGCGAATATATGGCCACACGGCCCATTCTGTGAATATAGGTAAAGTCCACCATTACATGGCTCTTTTCGAGGAGTGTACCTCCCCAGATCGAGGCATCGCCCCCAAACCAACAGCGAAGTTTGCTTCACACGCGTTGCCATTGAAGACTGGTGCAAAAACGAGGCGCCGAGGGTGAGAGGGTGAACAGGGTATATATAAACTGTTCGGCTTTCGGGAGCCTGAACACCGGATACAGTACAAGCTCCTCCGCCTCTTTACCCTTCCTTCCATCCACAAGTGACGCCCCCACACGATGAGCCCGTGACGTTGAGCAAATCTATCTTGACACATGCAGATCATGGTCAAGGGATGAGAAAAAGGGCGAGGGAAAATAAAAGCAGGGGATCCCTCTCAGACCCGGTCGGTGCCTTCAGGGCGAAGTGAGCGGTCGCTGAGGCCGGTCAAGGGAAAATAGTTCCGCGGGCCACAGCGCAGACTTGTCTAGGGGGGTAGAGGCTGCCAGATGCCCCAGGAGATGGTGAACGGAGATTTAATGTTCCTAGTGTGTGGAAGAAGGGTCAGCATGTGGCTTTTTTTTTTAGCAATTGGAGACTCGGATAGACACTCACGCTGCCAGATTCTGGATCGGCATTGAAAAGCTGAGTTGACTCGACTTGCCCTCTCCCTCTCCCTCGACTGACGTCTCAATCACCTCGTTGATGACGTTGAACTTGACCAGCCGCAAGTATCGCAGGCGGTATCGCAGGAGCCCAAGTCGATCAGCAATAGCGTTAGCCTGCTCCGTCGAGGCTACAACAAACTCCAGCCTTTGTATTGAGCTTGAGACGAAGTCGACCAGCGTGATTTCCATGTTCGGCCACGTCAGGGCAAGATCCTGGAGTTTCGGTGTGTCCAGTAGGAATGCTGAGAGAAACTCGACGAAGGCCGACGCAGGAGTCGTGTTGGAGGATATCTTGAGCACTTCAAGGCTATCTCGGTGGAACTCATACAACGCTTTCATCGTCTTGGAGTTCAGGAAAATGCTCCCGTCTGTCTTCGGGTCGGTGATTTGGGTCAAAGTTAGACCCTTCAGCGGTCTGATCCTCTCGAACAATTGATGTGTGACGGATTGGGCGATCCTGGTCTGATAGCCATGTCTCTGGCGCATCAGGAGGCCATTAGGCGGACCGATGATTGAAAGATTCCGAAGACCCGTCAATCTGCTGAGCACTTCTGCAGTCCTCGTGGGGCTTGTCTCTGAGAACCCGCTAAATTGGAAAGTGTGTAGTTTTTGAATGGATCCAAGGCAGCTAATATGGCATTGCTCAATGTCGAGCTTCATCACATGTAGCTTGAGGTAGTGTTCTGCAACCCAGGTCAGGACTTGGGTCATGACGATGCTCGAGGGTGTATTCCTGCCAGAGTCTAAGGGCCGCAGAAGTGCCAAATGCGTCACACCAGGAATGTTCTCCAATGCAGATGTGATGCGATGGATTTCTTGGAGATATGGATGCTGAGAAGCTTGACCAGCGATCCAAGCTGTTACAGCCTGGGGTCCAATTTCCTCAAGCCTAAGCCTCAGATTGGTGATACTTCGCTGCACCCTTATCGGCCATTTGTTTGTGAATTTGACAAGATCATTTTGACATTCGCACACGAGTGGCCTGCGAAAGAAAGAAAGTCTGGCTTCACTATGCACTTGCTTGTTCACACATAGCAGGTTTAAGTGGTCCTGACACTTGAAGGCGAGCATTAGGTCGTAGATGTATTCGCGGACTTCGAGGGGGATCTGTAAAAGATAGCTCGGAGTGGCTGCGCCGGACGCGTCCGTTGATTTCTTCGCTACCTGTCGATGGTGAGCCCGTTTCTCGAAGAGTGAGACATGTTGCTTACCTCGTTTGTCTCTGGCAACAAATTGGCCTGCTGCATCTTCTGCAAGGGACCACTTGGTTGTATTTCAGCTGGTTACCACCGACCACCCGAGGAACTGCTGCCAATTTCTTGTAGCACCTCCGATGGAAGTAGCTTGTTGCACTAGCTTCTTTGTGTAGAGGAGGTCCTGTGATATAGGTCCGGTGGGATTTGCGAGGTGATACTTGGTGAAGATAAGAAGAGGCTTTGCATTTGCTAGGCTGACGATACTTGGTTCAAGCATTCTCGATCCATCATAGGATGATGTTGTCCACATGAAGATTTGGCCGGGGTGACGGCTTCAATATTCAGCAACATCTTGCTAGATTCGCTGCGTTCTGGCGCGCAAGGCAGTATAGCATCTCATAGAAACCGTGAAAGGGCCGAAAAAGTGTTGCCGGATCGTGTGTATTCGAACAGGAAGTGTTGTAGCTGTCTATTTTGGAGTATGGACACAAATCCCATGCACGCTGAGCATATCGCAGTGGTAAAGGTCGAGGTTTGGTGGTGATGCGAATAAACCTAAAGATCTGAGACAGTAGAGACTACAGCTGGTGGGAGAATGTCAACAAAGGGTGGCTGCCACATGGTCCTCTAGATGTTGGGCTCCCTGGTTGTTATTGCAAAATGACAGCGGGCACTAAACTGTGGAATGACAAGGAACGGTACCCAACGCCACGCCGAGCAGGGCGCAGATGTCGAAACCAGCTCAGAACAGACCAGGAGAACGAGGTAACAGAAAAGACCGGAAGAGGTGCTACTTCCCGAGCTCTTCAATCGAGGATATGAAGCGTGAGCATGGAGCAACTCACCGCAAGTACTCAATACTTTTGATAAAGGTAGTATCGACATCTGACACGGACCTTGGATCTCCACCTCTCGGAGATCATCGAGATTGTGCGATTTCTAACTCCATGCAGCCCTATTGATGCATTCCTGGGCCCCAGCCAGCTCTCTGGGATGACTTGTGTCAATGAATAGACCGTCTGAAAGCATGTACACAGTAGCAAGCTGATCCACGTGAACCATCGGAACAGCGTTAGATTCGGCGAAATCCTCCAGTCCTAAGCTTGCGCACAACATCTCAACATCGTATCCGAGTTGACGGAGGGGGTTCGCATCGAGGAGTTCGGTTGTTTTCTGGATGGTCATTGGATCAACCACCTGTGGAAACGAGAGCCGAACCAGCGAGCCAGGATGTCAACTAGTTTGTGTATGTCGTTAGTTTCTGCGGAGATCGTTTGGTACTGGTACAGCAGGGTAGAGCTGGCGTGATGGTGTAAGGACCTCTCGACAGGATTGCGAGGAATCCCCAACCACGCGCCGGGTCTGGCAGATGTGTGTGGATCCGGGACAGATGGCGCATGGATGAAGGACGCATGGTTGTATCTGATCGGAGATCGCAACGAGGTCGCTAATCTCGACAAAGGTCAAGAAGATGGAGGATGGGAGGAACAGATGCCCGTCGCTCCAACCGAGACTGGCAAAAGAGCCTCTGGTACTGGCTTCTGAGATCGGCTCGGGCCTCTTTGCTTATCCATGTCTCCCATAGTGTTTCAATATTTTCTCCCTCGTCCTGCTTTGTCCAATCAAAAGGCCGACCTTGGGAACCCACCGAAAAGGCGCAGCATGCAGCAAGCCCAAAGGAGTCGGACGTGAGGGCGGAGACGTATGTATCACCGATTGATTCAGCTTGCCAGGCATACTTGTGGTCAACAGGTCCGGGTCCGCTATCGAGTCAAATATGGTAATGTTGAACGCGTGAGATGCATGGAAAAGGAAACGTAGGCTCGACAAGCGAGCGTAGGTAGACGGTCTGACGGGAAGGGGGATGTGCAGACAAGATGGTCTGCTTTGGTGGCATGATGGAGCCCAAGTGAGAAACATGAGGAGGTGAATCGCTTGCGGTCCAGACTCCAACACTAACAAAAGCCCGTCCACTTATTCCGTCACAGAAACAGCCTTGTTGACATCTCAAAGGGATATCAGACCACCTCTTCAGGGCTCTTCTTTGCATCCAGACCGCATCGACATCTCAACATGCCATGTGGCCGCCACATCTCTTAAGCGACATGGTACATACAGGTGCCAGAGGACGACCCAAGCAGTTGGATCCCCTCGACCATTTTTGGATAGCCTGGACGACGGTGTCCTACCACCACCAACCACTGAAACATACGTCAAATACTCCACAATGGGCACATGGGACTTGACGATTGGATGGAAGATAGGCTGAGCTGGACTGGACTGGACTTTTGTCGCCTAGTCCCCGTCTCAACTGGTGGTAGACCGAATCTGAGAATTCCGCCTCAACACAAAAGGGGGAATCACAGACCAAAGCCGGCAGCAGGACAGCAGGTCTATGGTCATACCGCAGGTACTTGTCATTGCAAAATCTGGCAGATGGGCCTGGACCGGTTGCGCATCTGGTCCCAGGGCCATCAACAAAACTCTTCGATGACCACGAGGTACATTCAGTTTCCAAGACGCTACGTATGTAGATGGTGCTGTCTGTTCCCACCGACCGCCGACCAACGAGTCCAAAGCATGGCGGAACTGCTAAGGTGTCTGAACACCACTAGAAATCCAAACGCTGGAGGCTTCAGCTCGCGAAGCCAGGAGACGCCGTGTCAATACAATGGCCATTATTTTGCCCAACTCATAAACTATGTAAAACTGGACCTTCAAAATCCCCCTTGGCCCTGTCACGGCCGACCCGATGCACCATGGGACCCGGATTCCACCTGACACGAACAAGACGCTGGCGCTAATACATATATTCAGAAACGCTTTTGGGCTTGAAAACAGTCCCCGATTCCAGGTCCCATTACACCTTGAGTAGCTTCGCTGCGTAGTTTGTGATGGTGTCGACCTGAGGGAAGCTCATCTCTTCCAATTTCTGCGCATACGGTGTGGGCACTTCCGCTCCAGTAACACGAACCGGGGGCGCCTGGAGGTAGTCGAATCCGTATTCGACCGCTAAGGCAAGGATCTCTGCACCAACTCCAAAGGCAGGGAAGCCGGATTCAACCGCCATGAGAACACCCGTTTTCTTGACAGACTTGATGATGGCCTCCACATCCATGGGCTTGATTGAACGCAGGTTGATGACCTCAGCTTCGACACCATAGTTCTTTTTCAGCTGTTCTGCGGCGTCCAGCGACAGGCCCACGCATCGGGAAAGGGTCACGATGGTCAAGTCCTTGCCTGGCCGTTCGATCTTCGCCTTGCCGAAGGGAAGAACGAAGTCGCTCTTTTGAGCCTCTGCGCTCATTGGGAAAGCCTGACCGTATAGCAGTCTGCTCCTGTCAGCGTTTTCTTCTCTTCTTGCTTCACGCTGCCAAACTCACTCGTTCTCTAGAACAACCACAGGGTTCGGGTCTCGGATGGCGGCTTTCAACAGTCCCTTTGCGTCCTCGGCGCTCCATGGGGCGACAACTTTCAATCCAGGGATGCTTCCGTACCATGCTGAGTAGTCTTGCGAATGTTGAGCAGCAACTCCGGCGGCGAAACCATTAGGGCCTCGGAAAACAATTGGGCAGGGTTGGATGCCACCCGACATGTAATGGGTTTTTGCTGCAGAGTTGATGATCTGATCAATTGCCTGCATGGCGAAATTGAACGTCATGAACTCGCACACGGGGTGTAGACCAGCCAAAGCTGCACCCACAGCTAGACCGCAGAAGCCTGACTCTGTGATAGGCGTGTCGATGACTCGTTTAGGGCCGAAGCGATCGAGAAGTCCTTTGGTGACCTGGGACATGGTTAGCATCGAAGAGATACAGTGCGACAGAGACCCTCAAGCGCAAGCATCTCTGCTGCAGACCTCTGATGGCCCTTACTTTATATGCGCCTAAAAATCACCGGTCAGCATTGGAATCTGGTACCTAAATGACACAGATCTCACCATTATATTGAGCCACTTCCTCTCCTAATATGAACACCTTTTCATCTTGCTCAAGCTCCTCTGCTAGTGCTTCATTGAGCGCATCACGGACCGTGAACGTCTGCTGTGACCCTGATGCATATCCTCGGATGGCAGGAAGGGATCTAGGTGCGACTCTGCGAAAGGAAGGACGTATTGAGGAGGAAAGGGCAGATCGCTGTGAAAGCAGCCGCGAGGCGTTCGTGAAAAGTCTGGACACAGACATGGTGGGCCGTAGAGAGGCGAGGTCGACTTGAGCGACGTGCTTGTGTCCCGTTCAGAAAAGAGTGGCTTGAAGTGAACAAAGGCCAAAGAAAAAGTTGTTGGAAGTTGAGAACCGACTGACTGCAATACGGAGCTCGGGATTGATTGGGGTTCCCAACACGGAAGCTGCGATCACCGAAGGCAAGGGGGCAACTTGCCAGCCAGCTAGGTAAGGCTTAGCTCAGATCCATAATCCTTGGCATGTTTGGAGTGGTTGTGACCAAGGCTGTGGGAATTGTTGTCATGGCCATGCTGATAACCTCCTAGTCATCCTGCCATCCCACTGCCACCCCAAGACTCGTACTCGTAAAGCAATTGTCAGCGATTGAACCACCAGTCAATTTGTGCTACCTCATACCACATACCAGGAGCTCATTGAACCATCGTACCGTTACACCCTCGCGAGAGACCCAGTATCATCCAGACCAACCGCCGCAGTGACTTTTCATTGGAAGTTTTGGGTATTGAAAGGTTTAGTCCTTGTGGTCGATGTCTCCAGAATGTTTATCTACATCGCGGTGACTTTGGCATTTCTGGTAGAGTCCTCTCTCTCAAAGCAGCCTTCAGCCCCTGAGGCGTTTGCATCTCCTCTCAGGGATTTGCGGTTTGGGCAGCTCAACTTCCTGCACACAACGGACACCCATGGCTGGTAGGCTACCGTCTCTTAGCACCGAATTGTGTCCAAAAAGGGCCAAGGCTCCTACTGTGGTGTTGATAGCATAAGCTAACTGCTTCTCCTTAGGCATGCCGGCCACTTACTGGAACCATCTTTTAGCGCGGACTGGGGCGATTATGTCGATTTCGCGGCACGGTTGAGGGAGAAGCTGGATGCGGAAGGCCTTGACTTATTGATCGTCGATACGGGAGATCGCATCGAGGGCAATGGCCTCTATGACGCATCAGAGCCCAAAGGTCTCTTCACTTTCGACATCTTTCGCGCGCAGCACATGGATATCATCTGCTCCGGCAACCACGAACTCTACCAGAAGAATTCGTCCGAAAATGAATATCTCATCACTGCCCCGGCGTATTTTGACAGCTATCTTGCTTCTAACCTGGACATCATTGATCCAAATACGGAGCAACTAGTCCCCCTTGCGCAAAGGTACAAGAAGTTCACTACCAAGAATCAAGGCATTCGTATCGTGAGCTTCGGCTTTCTCTACAATTTCGACCGAAACTACAATAACACGGTCGTCCAGCGAGTCGAGCAGACCGTTCAAGAGCCCTGGTTCCAAGAGGCCATTCGTGATCGGGACGTTGACTTGTTTGTTGTTATTGGTCACGCTGCCATACGGTCCGAGGAATTTGAGATCATCTACAAGGCTATCCGTTCAGTCCAGTGGGATACCCCTATCCAGTTTTTTGGCGGCCACTACCATATCCGGGACTATCGCAAGTTTGACAGCAAGTCTTACGGCCTTGCGAGTGGCCGCTTCATGGAGACTATTGGCTTCCAGTCGATCGACGGCCTCTCCACGAACAGCAGCCGCTCTACCACTGAGAATCCCACCTTCTTCAGGAGATACATCGACAACAATCTTTACTCATTATACCACCATTCAGGCCACAATGAATCAACATTTCATTCCGAGAGGGGGCGAAACATTACAGAAGCAATCGGCGAAGCTCGTCAAGCGCTTGATCTAGATCAAACATTTGGCTGTGCTCCCAAAGATCTGTGGATGAGCCGCGCGCCTTATCCAAGCGATGATAGCATCTTCTCGTGGCTGGAGCATGAAGTCTTTCCTGGCGTTGTCAGCGATGTCAGGCGAGACGATCGGCCGCGCCTCGTCATATCTAACACAGGAGCAATTCGATTTGACATCTTCAAGGGAGCTTTTACAAAGGATTCAACCTATATTATCTGTCCGTTCACCAGCGGATTCCACTATATCAAAGACGTGCCATACAGCAAAGCCAAACATCTCATCAACATGCTGAACCGCGGAGGTCCAATCTTTGAGAGTGTCGACCCATCCTTCGCCATGTGGAAACTGGCTCCACCCGAACAAATAAGTGTCAAAGAAGACATCGTCCTCTCTTCCGGAAACAGGTACCATCATTCGCAGATGTTGCTCTCGGACGATGATGGCGACAGTCTAACTCCAGGCTACACCACGCATGACGACTTGGGCGACGATGGTGACGACACAATTCACACCCCGATATCCTTCTACCAAGTCCCTAACTGCATCCAATCAACCATCAACCCGCAGCCAGACACCATCAACCTCGACACGGACGAGGACGTCGTCGTAGATGTTGTCTTCAACGAATTCATCGAGCCGTGGATCATCTTGGCCTTCCGGTTCTTGGGGCTCGAGTACTCGGACGATGATGTGGACCAGTACATGCCTGGAGAGAATCTGACGACCTTGATCGCCAAGTGGGTCGCCGAGAACTGGAAGGTCCATTGTAAATAAACCACTGGTGTCGAAGCGTGAGCGCCTGCGTTTCTTTATACGAGGCGAAGGTCAGAACCGCGCGAGCCAGAAGACCAAAAAGGGCTCTCTTCCAAGGTCCCATGCGCCAGACTACATTCACATGGATATCTCATACCGTCCTCACGCCCACCTTGGACCTGGGGTATCATGGTCGACACATCGGAACATGCGACATTGTATTCTTCATTGTCTTCGAATCATTCCGACAGAGGAACAGACGAAAAGACATGCCGCCCATATACGTTTCCATTCGCCAGCATTGCTCAAGCCTCGCATGTCGCCCCTCCAAGTCAACACACGGAAAATGTGACCACATGTCTTGCCTAGAGGTCTAGCTAGGAAACAGGAGTCAAAATTTCCTAGCAGACTCTATTTCGCGCCATCGACGCAAATACAAGCCATGCACGAACAGCACATTTCCATATGCGATGGATGCAACATGTGCCAGTATATATAATATAGATCCATTTCATGTCCAGCTTCGTCATGAACCAGGCTAGCTACACAAACGCTGAGTGAGCAGCCAGGCAGTGATGTCGTGGTCCGATTTTCAACTCAAGTGTTCATCCCAGATCATGGCCCAAGTCATCACGCCTTTGCCACCCTCTGTCGGCCAGCCTTTCTCGTTGACCCTCCCCTTCCCAATGACCACCTCCTCGCACACCCTGAACCCCAGACTCTCATATTCCTTCATGGCGCTCTCGCTGGCCGTCTCCAACCAGACCGGCACCCCCTCGTCCCTTGCCCTTTTCAGAAAATAGTCCATGCAGGCCTTGAAGGCCTTGTTGCTCTTGTCGGGTGGGGCGTCGGGATCCCTCGCAATCATAGCCAGGTGATAGAATGGGCGGGTCTCAAAGTCCGTGTCCTTGTTGAAGTCGGCCGGGTATGGGTCCTCGGAGGGAGCTCCCGAGGACTGCGAGGGCGCTGCGGGTTGGTCGTAGCTGTGCTCCCCCTGGTCAGGGATGGAGAGATATTTGGCCTTCAACCTGCGAGCCGTGCTCCGCCACTCTTGCAGTATGGGACCTGGATTCCGCCGGGCCTGCGAAGGGGGGATGCCGCAGAAATCGGGGGGTTCGAAGAGGGCGGCGGCCGTGAAATCGCCCGACTCGATCAGGACAACATTAGATTTGGCCGCAGCCGTGATACCCAGCGTGAAGTGCTTGGTGAGACGTTCCGGGGTCATCACCTGAGAGACGTCTGCCGAGGGGCTGGTGTTGTCAATCTCGGTGATGAAGGCGGTGGTGAGGGGAGTGGTCAGGTAGGAGCGGGAGAGCAGAGAGATGAAGCTGTCGAGCCATTTCTGGTCCGGAGACGCCGTGGTCTTCACTTCTGCGGACATGATCGGTCTGTGGTGGGAGGATTGGGTTGTGGTGCTTCTAAGAGGTACGAGTACTAGAGAAGTCGCTCAGGCTGAGGCAGATCAATGAGTGTTACAAGACCGCCAGAGTGGACTGGTAGGCAGAATCTAGACGACAGTCAGTCGAACGAGTGAGTGAATCGCTTCTTCTGTTTCTCAGAGTGTCTTTGAGCAATATTCAGAAGCAGAGGGGCTGAAGGAGAATGGAAGAAGGGTGGCCGTGCTTATGGCTTGCCGTCGAACTGCGGACAAGCAGGTGATGGAGGGGTGGACGTTCAACAAGGCCCCGAATGCCGCCAGACCAGATATTGTCACTAAGTAATAATAACTTGGTGCTTGTCCCTGTAGATCTCTATCTTTGGGGCCTTACTCTCCGTACGCTACCACTGGCTACTTGCCTACTGCAGGTAGCTACCTAATAGCAAGATGCTCAGAAGCTTGGTGAGAAGCGAAGGGCTGGCCACCATGCCGCCGCCATACAAAGCAGCGCAGTCACTAGCCCCTGGGTGGCCCCCACTGATGCGGGGCAATGACGAAGGGAAGAGACGAGGATGATGGTTCGAGGACTACAATCAATCAATCACCTCTCAGTGGACAACTGGACTGCCGCCGCCGAGCTTCCACTTCCTCCCACAGCACCAGTAGCTTCTCGTCAATACAATACAATACATTCCTCTCCGTCTGCCAATCCAAACCCGGGTCGCGGTCATGGCCATCACCACCGACCACCGCAAGTCAGTCCTCATCACTGGCTGCAGTCCTGGCGGCATCGGCCACGCTCTTGCTCTGGCCTTCCACGCTCGAGGACTCCGAGTCTTCGCCACGGCTCGAACCACTGGCCAAATCGTCGACCTGTCGGAGAAGGGTATTGAGACTTTACCGTTGGTGGTCGACGACGACTCCTCCATACTCTCCTGCTTCCAAAGCGTCGAAGAATTGACCGATGGCCGTGGTCTTGACTACCTCGGTGAGACGCCCTGACCTGGAGACCTTGTTTGGCTTAAAAACAAAACCAAAAAAAGGACTCTCGAAACTGACCAAAATATCGTTTGTACGTACAGTCAACAATGCCGGGATCTCGTACGTGATGCCCGCGCTGGACGTCAAGATCGACGAGGCCAGAAGAATCTTCGACGTCAATGTCTTCGCCATCATGCGCATGTGCCAGGTCTTCTCGCCGCTGCTCATCAAGTCCCACGGGACGATCGTCATGGTCGGCAGCTTGGCCGGGGTCATCCCCTACGTCTTTGGCGGTGTGTACAACGCCTCGAAAGCGGCGCTGCACGCCTACGCCAACACGTTGCGCGTCGAGCTCGCCCCGTTCGACGTCAAGGTCATCACCGTCGTCACGGGAGGTGTCAAGTCTCGCATCAACTCTCACGTCAAGCGCGTCTTGCCCGAGGACAGCCTGTACGCCCCTCTCGAGGACAACTACATCAGACGCCAAGGCCATTCGCAGGAGGGCGCCATGCCCGCGGCAGCATATGCCGATAGTGTCGTCAAGCAGGTCCTCCCCGGCGCCGGGCCGTGGCCCTGGACTTGGCTGTTGGGGGACGCCAGGAGGAACTGGATCTGGGAGGGCAACAAAAGCTGGCTGGTGTACTTTGTCTCCGGCGGCTACACCTGGACTACCGTCTTTGATCGGTACATGACCTGGCTGTTCCAACTGCACAAGCTGAAACGGAAGGAGGTTTGAATGCCCAAAGCTCGATTTGAGCCCGTGTCCTCGGGGCGTGAACTCGACTCAATGCGTCCCGACGAGACAGTAAAGGTGCGTCGACACCAAAGGCCCTCTCCATACACCTGGAAACCCGGAACCGGTTGCGGATCTGTGTACCCTCGCACTTCTCAAGCCCGCGGGGGAACACAACTCAGACCTGCCATGCTCTTTTCGCCGCCCGTTCCGAGGCGCCACAGTGGTGACGTGATCCCGTTTATCTACAGACGAAGGAGGCCGCTCGTGGCAGTACAAACCTGTCGAAGCAGGTCACCACAGCACATGTGTATGTTGCTCCACTTGGAAGGGGATGTAACGTGCTATTATATCTCGTAGAATTGCCACTGCTATGAGAGAGCAACGAGTCGCCAATCGATGCTGATGCTATACTCTCGCTGTACAGACGAGGAAGAATACTCTTTCGCGATCCTCGTTGGACGATCTATCTGTATATTTATGTACACATGTATGTACAGTAGCCCTCTATTTTGTTGTACACTATTTTTTCGCGTTTCCTCTTTTTACAAATAGCCATAGCCATACCATAGCCATAGCCATGGTCCAGTTCACTTTTTGTACAATGTGCTCGAATATACACTTCCAGGACAATCCTCTCTGAAAACGCGGAACTTATATACCTCGCCGGATCAGGGGTCATGCCGATGCCCTTTCGTATCCTGGGACACCAGCAGTGTACTTGGAGCGGCCCTCGGCGTCAGGCTTGAGCTTTTCCTCTTGCTCTTCCTCAGATCCCCAGTCCATCTCCTGCGTCTCAGTCGCTTCTGCATCTGCCTCTTCTTGCTCCCTCTGGCGCTGTTCGACATCCAAAGCAATGTCCACTCGACGCCGTTCACGCCACTCCTTCCAATACGCCTCATCGGCATCAAGCATTTTCACGACTGCTTCGACCATAACATTTCTCAGCTCGAGACCCAAGCCACTAGACGTGGTAGCCTGCCCTTGACTCTCAGAGTCGCGTTGCCTTCGAGGCCGATCCAGCTTTTCAAGCTCTAGCCATGCGAGATTGATGAATCGATCAACCGTTTTCCTCAATTCCACCAAAATAGCCGCCGCTTGCTCCGAAATCTCTGGCGGAACATCGTCAGGTGTCAAGATACGGAGCCGAAGCCACTCATTGAGTTCCAGTACCTGATCCTTTTGCAGCTTGAGACTCCGACAGAACAAGATGGCCATGAGCGGTGTCACCATGGAACCCTGTTCGAGCCACACGACATCGTCGGGTCCATCGAGCCCTGCTTGTTTCCATGTATATGCCATCAGGCGACCGTGGCTACGGTAATGTTTCTTCTTGCGTCGGTCCCGCCGATTGGTTGCCTCATTCACCCCGTGTTTCGATATCATGCCTTTGAGATCGCGACTGTCAGTCGACCAACCATATTGTCGGCCTTTGAAACTAGTCGCACCTCGCCAGGCGGCTAGTTCAGCACTGACAGTATTGATTAGCAGAGCCTTGACAAGAACCATATTGTTGCTGTTGACATTTAAAGAGTGAGGAAGCGATTCGAAAAGGGTTCTGCCTGGCTGTGGAGGTGAGACAAATCCAACTTCCGCCAGAGCTTCGTGAATCCCTTTGCTTGTCATCATCATATCCTGGTAAGAGCGGTGGCGGATATACTTCGTGTCGCGTAACTCCTGCATGAGGTTTTCATCGCCGGCCAGGCTGGCTTCATGGTACTCTTTGAAGGCCTCGATGATCCAAGCAAAGTCAGTCTCGAACTCTGGGAGATATTTTTGTTTCTCGGCTCTGAGTTTGTCGATACTCAGTTCTAGATTGGATACCAGCGGAGCTTCAGGATCGTGACAGGCAATAATCAGCATAGGCTCCAGACATCCGAACAGTGATCCCAAGAGAACGCCTTTTCCAAGTGCTGGATGGACCCCCAAGCGCCACAATAATCTGCCTAGGTCTGTGATATCCCCTTTATCAGTCAACGCGCCTAGACTCTGCAACTGTCTGACGGCGCTCGCAACTGATTCCGGTGCGGGTGGATCTATGGTGTCGAGGAGGAGACTCTCGGCATCGACGGTTTGGGGGAAAGCTTTAAACTGTAACGCCAATTCCGCAAGATCGGACTGCTCGATCTTGGGACGTTGCATTGGTCGAAGCGAGTCATGGCGTTCCTTGGAGAACAGAGCATAATAATGACCGTTTCGAACCCGTCCAGCACGACCGCGTCTTTGAATTGAGCTGGTCTTGCTGATCCAAGCATACGGCAGGCTCCGAGCCAGGGTCGAAGGGTCAAAGAGACTGTTCCGCTCCTTACCAGTGTCGATAACATAGACGACGTCTGGTAGTGTGATCGAGGTCTCTGCAATATTCGTCGTCAAGATGATTCTCCGACAGCCTTCTGGAACAGGTTCAAAGACCTGATCATTCGTTTCCCGGCGCCGAGAGTGAAGTTTGAATAAGCGGAACTTATTCGGATCTTGGAAGTCAAGTCCCAGGCAGGCAAAGCGGCCACTAGTCAGAAGAAGCTCGACTTTTTCCATGTCTGTTGAACCCGGAAAGAACACCAATACATCGCCATCAGGCTTGGTCTTCGCGATATGGACTATAACGGAGACAGCTAGGCCCACGCGCATTGGACCGGTGAATCCAGGAGAGTCAATCTCATAAGGAGCACCTGGCAGCGGCAATACCTCGTCAGAACTAAGTGCACCTGAATGCGATGATGCCAGCTTCGTTTGCCTGGCAGAAAAATGCAGCTCATGTTCAATGTGTTGTGCGCTGGATTGCTTGTGACCACCCTGGATCAATTGGCGTATAGAGGGATGTAGGTCCCCCTCTTGAGACAATTCTGAGAGGATTTCAGGCAGATAGTGGGCTTCGACATACGCACGCCTGCCTTCTACGTCAAGGCTATCGACTTTGAGCGTAGTACCGTCCTCGGCAGGTTGCTTGAAATAGTCGACAAAGGTCGTCGGGTCGATAGTAGCACTCATTAGGATGACCTTGGGGAAGCTCTCCTGTGCCACCTTTCTAGCCCGGATAGTCTTTCGCAGGAGTGAGAGGACAAGATCGATCTGGATATCGCGTTCGTGGACCTCGTCAACAATGATGTGTGAATGGGATGACAAGGTTGCTTGTGGATTGGCTATGAGGCGATTGAGTAGGATCCCTGTCGTACAATATGTTATGCTACCAAATGGACTCGGAGACCAGTTATCGTTGCGAATGTGGTAGCCAACGCTATTTCTCATGGTATCATGGCGCTCATGAGCCACTCTGTGAGCCACAGAGGTCGCCGCCATCCGCCGGGGTTGGGTGCAAACAATGTTTGTACAAGGGCCTTTTCTAGACATTATTCTGTCATCGAGAATGATCTGAGGGACCTGCGTGGTCTTCCCAGACCCTGTTTTGGCCAAGACAATCACCACATCATTGTCTTCAACCGCTTTCAGCAGCGCTTGCGGCGTCCCCTCAGCCATCAGAGGTAATGCCTGCCTCGATCGAAGAGTCTCCTTCATCTTGCCTTGCTGTCTTGCTAGCTCAAGATTATTCTTCATCTTGGAACCGAGTCTTTCATCACTTTTCAATGGAACTGCAGGAACCGTAGAGTTGGTCTGTTGTGGGGACGGTTTGAGAACGACTTCATCGAGCGTGAGCCCGTGCGTGTGAGCGAGCCTCATCGTCTCTAAAGCGGATTCGAGATTCACTTTCGGAATACTGATGCGAAATGGTTTGCGTGCCTTGACAATTTTCGCTCCCTGCGCTGTGGAAAGCGGGTCAGGATCATCTTCAGTACTGTCGTCGCCATCCCTGCCAGAAGCCACCGACGAGACATGGCTGGCGTCCTCCGGTCCGCTGTGCAGGAGTCGTGCTGAAGAGCATTTGGAAGGCCGAATGCATATGGCTTTTGTAAGCTGTTTGGAGGTTCGAAAGGCTAGCCCATGTGTGGGAATCGAACACGGGGAGGAAATATCATGAATGGGGTGGACAATGCATTGCAAACCGCGCGGGTGCAGGTTCTGCTTGGGAGGGACATTAGAACATTTCCATTGGGAAAGGAGAGAGCAGCGAGTTCATACCAGTGCACACCGAGCCCACATAACGGGAGATTGATCCCTTCATCTTTGCAACATGTGTCTGACGAGAACAATCTCAATGATGATCGTGGAAAAGCTACCAAGAGGGATACAAGCACATTTCATGGGATTGAGATGGACATTTCTGGAGAGAGAAAATCACTCCGCATTGGAAATTCCTCCTAACAGTTTGATGGATTTCAGTGGCCAGATCTCAGCCAATAGGATCTCGTCATGAACCACGATATCACGTGCTATTTCCCCACCTGCCAATACGAGATACGCGGATTTGATATCGCAGACTCAACAGTTCCTGCTTCGATACTCCATGATACTCACACCATGTTCCAGTTGCGGTGAGGTTGATTTCTCAGCTCATGGCTGCCTGTGTCTTAGCATGGATCCTACAAGCGGGCCATTTCGTCCTCAGCCGACGAATAACCTGCTCATATTGTCAATGAGTCACAGTCATGGACGACGCTTCAATACCAACCTTTGTCCGCCTTCTCTTTCAAGGAAAACCATCTATGTGGGATACGCGGGATGCTAAACAGCGAGAAAAGAGCGGCGTGGAAGTTCCAATCCTCAAGGATAGTGCACCTACAACGAGAAATGCAGATAGTGGTTGCACTGTATCGGGAACAGCGCAAGCACCTTCGGGAAACTCGACAGTGATTGGTTCATGGCTGCGTCGTATACAGACTTTCAACTCCCCCACAATACCGGATTGGCCGACCAAAAAGTCTTACCAGCACTTTGTTTGCTTACGCGCGTTGGCTTATTGTCGCTGCTATTCGCGAGGGGCATGGCCGTTCTAACTGATGTCTTAAAACCTCGGCGCGGCGCTGACTCGTGCTATATAAGTCAAGAGCCTCGTCCCTCTTTCAATGGGTGAATAAGAACTACCGCCCTCCGACCCCTCACTGAACCTCCCTTTTGTATCACCATCAGAAGGATACCAACTTTGTCCCCCTCATAATGGACCTGCTGGAGAAGAAAACGCTCAAGGTCACACGGGGCTTCACCTATACCTACTACACCAGCCCCGCAAAGGATGGTCGCCCTACATTGCTCTTGATCCATGGTTTCCCAGACGCCCCTGATACCTATGAGGACGCGATCCGAGACTATTTGCTCCCCAATGGGTACGGTGTGATTGCTGTAGACTGCTTGGGCTACAATGGCACCTCCAAGCCCACGGACAAGGAGTCGTACAATATGCAGCTGATGACCCAAGACCTCAAGGAGATCGTGGACAAGGAGGGTCTCGACAAGGTCATTTCCGTCGGTCATGACTGGGTAAGTATTCCCTGCAATGCCCTGATCTGCCAACCGAACATTTCTCGTCATTCACTTTCCTCGATTCTGACGCTCATGAATCGTGTTCAACAGGGCGCCGCCGTCGCACAACGCTTCTACAATTTCCACCCTGACCGTGTGTGCGGCCTCATTCTTCTGAACGTGGCCTATATGCCTCCGTCACCGGAACCATTCAATCTCGACAACGTCCTCGAACTGACCAAGAGTATCTTCGGCTACGGCACCCACTGGTACTGGAAGCTCTTCACGGCCGACGACGGTGCACAGGTCCTGGACGGGCACCTGGACGCCATGTGGGACGTCGCACACGGCGAGCCCGAGACCTGGCTCGAGACGCTGTGTTACCCCGATGGGTTGAGAAACTTTGTTCTGGCCGACAAGAGACAGCCCACGATGGCCTACGCGACCGAGGAGCGCAAGCAGAAGTGGATCGCCTCCATGAAGGAAGGAGGCTTCGACGCCCCGCTCAATTACTACCGAGCCATGGTGTTTGGCGTGCAGCACAAAGCTGAGGCCAACATCCCCAAGGAGAACATCCCCGTCAAGTGCCCGTTTTTGTTCTGGGGTGGCAAGAGGGACATGGTCTGCAGGCCTGAGTTGCTCCAGGGGAGTCTGGATGCCGGTTTGATCCCAGACAGCACGCAGGTCGTGGTTGATTCGGGCCATTGGGCTCATTTGGACAAGCCCAAGGAGTTTGGCGAGGCGCTGGTGGGCTGGCTGAAGGCGAAGTTCTGAAGGAATTCAGTATCTTTTCGAAGCGGTTGAGAGCTGGGAGATCGCGATTGATTCGGCTAGTCGGATGCTCAACGACGGCTCTATTTTGGGCCCCGAGAAGAGAGATCTTGTGCTCGTCTTGATGAGGCGGATATGCATGGCTTGCGATAGTCTCGGATTGATAATATAGTCAGGAGGATGGCCGCGACAAATCGTCAGGGCTCTAAAGCATTTGCTCTTGGAAGCAAAGCATCCATTAAAAACAACGGTTAAATGATCAGATACACGTCCCCCAAGCATACCGCCCTCTTGGTCATCGGATAAATCCACCAACATGTCGCTATAAATGACACCACCTCCACCACGAAAGAGGTAATATGAGTGTCACTCACTGCAGGTTACCATGCCCACATTAGCTTATGCGCCAATATGCGTTCACCCAGCCTCTCATACAAAAAGGCATTGATCCACGAATCATTGGTACGACTCATCCTGCCAAAAACCGCGCCGCCTTTCCACGCAACGACCTGGGGATCTAGTTCCCTGGGCGGACGTCCGATTAGAATGTCTTTGCTGTAGCCGGGTAGGATCCCCTTCAAACTCTCTTCGAGATGCGACCCGAGCCCGGGTATGATGGACGTGCCGCCGGTAAGCATAATGCCGGAGAGGAGATCGGACGTCTTTTGGGAAGAGCCTCTAGCTGCATGGGTAATGGACGTGACGATGGCATTGGGCAGAGGGTAGATAGGCAGGATGTCGTCGCGGCGTTCGATAGAAAGAGGTTCTTCTTCTTCCACCTCAGGAATTGGAGGCTTCTCCTCGCGTGGAGCGCCGCCCTCGTTTTCCTCCCCAGGCTGTGGTGTGCCGTCTGGCAGGTTGCGGGCGGGAGAGCTTGCAGCTGACGGTTGTGGTGTTGCATCCATTTCCTTTATGTTGCTAAAGGATGGACGACGGGAGTCGTTGAAAGCTTCCTCTTTCGTCGCTGTTCCGTTAGTGAGAACGCCATTTGTATGTCCATTAGCCTTTGTGGCGGGCTTGTTTGTCGAGGTAAGAAGTTCTTCTGGAGCGATGGCTGTAAGGATCTCGGCTTGCGCCGTGGAGCTCGGGTCATTTGGCTTGTTGTCGTAGATGTCGTAGGATTTGTCGACAAGTTTACGACGACCCTTAAGTTTCCCACTGTTGTCAAAGATTTGAGGTTTGAAAAGCCCCATCGGGGCAAGAATGACTTCGTCGTAGATCTTAAATGTGTACTTCCTGGTGTCCTGACCCGGCGCGCGTAGGTGAAAGTCATACAATTGCACCGAGACATCTGCCTCCGTCATGGTGCAGAACTTTTGCTTCAGCTCTTCTGCCAGTTGAAAGTCATAGCGTCGGTTCAAATTGATTTCAGAGTAAGGAAAGTGGTTGTAGATGATCATCTTGACAAAAGTTTCAGTGATATCTCTCCCGCCGAATTTCAGGTTGACCCGGGAGTTATCAAGGACCATTCCGTCTTCGACGCAAGATATTGTTGTCTTTTGTGCGCCGATGTCAACAATGCAACAGGTAGTAAAACCGGCACCGAAGGAAGCCGCCAAACTCTCTTGAATGAAGCAAACACGTCCAAATCCGAACTCGGTGATGGCCATCTCGAGCAGACTTGTCACGTATGTCCTTTCGTAGTAGTCAGGAATGACTATGACACAGCTGTACTGGTTCCAGTCTTCCCGAGTGCGCAATTTTAGTTCGAGTTGGGATTTGATGGCGTCTTCGATGATGATGCGGATATCATCATACAGGAAATGTTTCGAGTCATAGTCTTGCTCGTTGATCCAACCATATCGAATTGGCCAGAACAGTTTGTAGCGCGGCGTTGATTGATCAGGGATGCGCAGAGCCGCTTTCCCTGTAATGTATGCGGGAGGATCACCGTGCCCGTTGTTTGTATCCGTCCACTCGATACGCATGGTATCATTGTGCTCGGTGATGGTCTCGTAAGTATTTCGTCGGTTGTAGCTGGTGACCATGTCTCTCGACTGCGGCAGCACCTTTCTCTTGTTCATCCTCATTCGTACCTTGAGATCCTGAGACATGCCCGAGAACTTCTTTGCAAAGTCCTCGCCAAAACGCTTCTCTGGTTCTGGAGGGGGCAGACCGTTATCTAACTTGGCTCGTTTGGGTGCTGGTTCTCCATCCCCCTCTTCGCTCTCAGATTTGGCCGAACGGCGAGCAATGACCATGGGAACAGTCTTCGGGAGAGCGTCGTTGGCAAGACCGACTCTTAGATTCTGCGATCCAATGTGGATGACGATTGTCTTCGCTCCGCTTGCAGCCTCGTCTTCGGCCTCCTCTTCACCATCGTCCATTTCGATATCGCCATCAGGCCCAACTGTTTTCCCTTGCGCAAGTGCCCTGTCCCTGTCTTTGGCTTGCTTCACCATTTTATTGCGGGCTTCTTCCTGCTGCGATCGGTAGGCGAGTATTTGTTCATCTCGTTTGAGATAGTCTGTGTAATAGTTCTTTTGATTGATGGCTTGGATTATGGGCCAGGATGTAAGCTCCATATTGCTATAGGCCGTTAATTAGTGATTTGTTGGTTTCTCAATGGCTTGACCGGGAGCGACAACTGTCGCAGACACGAGGAACGATGTTCGAGGTACGGGTAACATACTTGTCAGTTCTTTCCAGGCCTTCCTCCCGCAGGAGAGCCTTTCCACTTTTCTTGCCCACCATTTTGTCCGAGTTCTCTCTCTTCCTGGAGAGTCGCTTCGTATTCAATTGGAGGAATTGAGGCAGGAATGAAGGAGGATTTGCGAGTTAAGGCGGTCTATGGGGCCATGTCGGCGTGAGGTTGTGTGGAAAGAGTGTTCAGATCGTGAGTCCTGATGGTACAACATGTGGCATGAAAAGTCGCAAGGGCTCAAAGTCAAGTTGCGCTGATTTGAAAGAGGCTTGTACTCCGCAATTTACGAAGTTGGTGGCACGCGTCGAAGAAGAAGCGAGGAAAGTCCCACCCCGGATCATCGGGCGGTCAGTGGCTCGACTCTCAAGGCTTCCGTCCACTACAACATCGTTGACCATCAATATTTATCTCGATTTGTTTTTTTCTTCACAATTTATTAAAGTGAGATCAAGTCTCCATCGAGGGAACATCCTAGTTATCGAGACTAGCGATACATGACCTGTGCCCAAGCCTGACCAGTTTCATTCGAAGAAACCCCAGTTCCACCTCGACGCCAGCGACATGGTTTTGTCGTGACCAATTGTTCTCCCAATTCTCCTAAAATATACTGCATTCCGTTGCTAGACATGGGGGGCTCGTTTTCAAAATACTTCACCAACCTCATCTGGGGGAAGAAAGATATCAGGATACTGATACTTGGTCTTGTGCGTTGTTTGGCTGATTGATCACCGAGGATGAAGTAGGCTGACAGGTGTCGACAAAGGATAATGCTGGCAAGACCACTCTCCTGTATAGACTCAAGGTAGGTCATGAAGGATGAACTTGGATCTTGGTCTAAGTGAGACAGATTGGTGAAGTGGTGACCACGATACCAACAATCGGATTCAATGTGGAGTTAGTCGTCCCCAATATTATAAACGACTGGCATAAAAGACTGACTCTGCTATACCCTAGGTCCGTGCAATATGGCAACCTGAACTTTGATGTCTGGGACTTGGGCGGACAAACATCAATAAGACCTTACTGGAGATCATACTACGCCAACACCGCAGCCGTCATATTTGTCATTGATTCGACCGATATTGAACGATTAGAGATTGCCGCGGATGAACTAAGGTCGATGTTGAACGAGGACGAACTGAAGGATGCAGCTTTACTGGTGTTTGCGAACAAGCAAGATCAGGTATGGAACATCTCAGGATCTTTGGATTGTGGCTCACGATTAGCAGCCCGGTGCACAAGGGGCGGGCGAGATCTCCGAAGCTTTGAAGCTGGGTGAGCTGAGAGACCGGAATTGGAGTATCGTGGCCTGCTCGGTGATCGATGGCAAAGGGATCAACGAGGGAATGGATTGGCTTTCGTGAGTTTGTCGCTTCCAAGTTGCACGTCGACTTGTTCTAACATCTCGCAGTCAAACTGTGCAATCAGAGTCCTGATGCGTCTGTTAAAATATACCCATGCATCAATACGGCGCGTTTGAATCATCAATGTCACTTTGCTTGCGGCCGTACAAAGCATTCAGCTGCGCATCTCCATCGTGTACGCGCCCAGGTTGGGTCGGCCCGGCCTCATGAAATGTTTACCATCCTTTTCGGTTGCATAAGGCAAAAATGAAGCGATTGGATTTCCTGAGGACCTGTACGACCTCAAGTCGAGCTGGGTTGGAACATCTAGGTCACTTGCTTCGTACCCGGGTATGTAGATCAGTTCGAGGCTTGATCGCGGTGAAGATCGGGGCCAGAGGTCGCTGCAACAGGACCGGCTTGGTGTTTCGGATTGGAAAAGGCTTAGACACAGCTCTCAGAAAGTGAAGATGGATGATATTGGTTATGGACAGAGTATAATCGCGATTATGTACTCGGTAGTATAAAGTGCTTGGTGGATGAGAAACACGCATGGACTTGGTGACCGTGCGGAGAAGAACAGAAGAACAGGGAGTCCGTGTCCGCGTCCGCAGTCTAGCGTTGTTCTGTGTCACTGAAACGAAACAACCTTCGAAGTATTAACTGAGTTTCCCTCCTGATCTTATTGCCCGAAGAAGCCAGACACTGTTCTTTGGCGGTGTCCAGATCGCATTCCCTTCCTATCCATGTTCTAGCTGTAAACTGTCGACCCCATCCATCTGTCACGCTGGCTCGAATTAAGGGCTTACTCGTTCTCCTCGCCTCCATCGCCTTCTTCTCCCTCGTGAGCATCATCAGCCTGGCTCCCTTTCGTGCGACTTCCCGGCTAGGTTCGATCCTGAACCAAGTCAGACCCTTCAAGCCGGCGTCTTCGTCCACGTCCTCTCTCAGACCGGTGACAACCTCCAGCATGGCCTCCGCAAAGTTTCGCAAGCCTCCGCAGGCGCCTCCCAGTTTCACGGCAACGCCTGAATCACTCGTGACAGACACGAAGGACATGTTGGCTAGCTCAAAGAAAATCACGGACGAGATTGTTGCTCAAATCTCGCACAAGGATGCCACGTTTAAGAATGTGCTTCTGCCCATGGCGCATGACGAAAACCAGCAAACATTGAAAGCCCACATTCTGGGTTTTTATCAGTCCGTCTCGACCGACCAGGCACTACGGGATGCTTCAACTGAAGCAGAGAAACTCATGGATGACTTCAGCATTGAAGCGGCTATGCGGGAGGACGTCTTCAATCTGGTCGACGCCGTACTCCAAAAGGGCGACAAGCTGGATCCCGAGTCCCAGAGGTTGCTAGAGAAGGAGCATAAGGCCTTTGTCCGAAATGGGTTGAATATTCCCGCAGGACCCAAGCGGGATCGGTTCAAGGAGATCAAGAAGAGACTCAGCCAGCTGGGCATTGCATTTTCCAAGAACCTGAATGAAGAGAAGGGTGGTCTGTGGTTCACCGCTGAAGAGCTCAATGGTGTCCCGGAAGACGTCTTGTCTTTATTGAAGAAAGAGGGAGATTAATACTGGTTGACCTTCAAATACCCCGATCTGTTTCCTACTCTCAAATACGCGACCAACAGCGCCACGAGACGCACAGTCTTTATTGCCAACGAGAACAAATGCAACCAAAATGTTCCGTTGTTTCGAGAAGCCATCCTGCTCAGAGATGAAGCCGCTCGCCTGCTTGGATACCCCAACCACGCTGCTTTCAGGATCGAGGACAAGATGGCAAAGACCACCAAGACTGTGGACGACTTCCTGGCTGATTTGCGCAACCGATTGAGCCAAGGGGGTTTGGACGAGATTGCAACTTTGAAGAAAATGAAAGAGGAAGACCTGAAATCTCGTGGCGAGGACTTTGATGGCCGCTACTATCTGTGGGACCACCGCTTTTACGACCGGATGATGGAGGAGAAGGACTATCAGCTGGACCAACAGTTGATCTCGGAGTGGTTCCCACTGCAAACCACGATCAAAAGCATGCTTGAGATCTTTGAACAAATCTTCGGCCTGGTCTTTGTGGAGATTGTAGGCAATGATCGAGACACTGTCTCTCCATCCGGCAAGGGCGAGGACATTGTGTGGCACGAGGAGGTGCAGGTCTTTAGCGTGTGGGACGACGAAGGTGAAGGTGGAGGGTTTGTGGGATACCTCTACCTGGACCTGTTCCCTCGCACTGGCAAATATGGACATGCTGCCAACTTCAATCTCCAACCAGGCTTCATCCAAGAAAACGGAACGAGGAGATACCCAGCCACAGCTCTCGTGTGCAACTTCTCCAAACCCACGGCAAAGAAACCGAGTCTGCTAAAACACGATGAAGTCACCACCCTCTTCCACGAACTCGGTCACGGCATTCATGATCTTGTATCACGTACAACCTACTCGCGATTCCATGGTACCAACACCGTTAGAGATTTTGTCGAGGCACCAAGCCAGATGTTGGAGAATTGGTGCTGGACGCCATCCCAGCTCAAGTCCTTGAGTAGACACTATTCGACGCTGTCGTCCGAATATTATGAGGCATGGAAAGAGGCAGCAGGTGGCGCGGCCACCCAAAAGCCCGAGGAGCGCATCCCAGATGATCTGATACAGAAACTGATCAAAACGAAGAACCTCAATGGCGCCTTGTTCAATCTCCGCCAACTCCACTTTGGCATCTTCGACATGACGATACACGAACCTAAAGACCATGCCAGCCTCGAAGCGATGAACATATCCGAGACGTACAATGCCTTGAGAAAGGACATTAGCAAGATTGATGGGCCGGAAGTGTTTGGCGAAGGTAACGCTTGGGGTAATGGGCAAGCCACCTTTGGCCATCTGATGGGTGGTTATGATGCCGGTAAGTTTCACGTTCTCTGCCATGCCACTAGTCTGTTGCCACGAAGCTGGACTCCCTTCCTATTCTTCCAGGAACGTCACTCACATACTCTCTCCTACAGGATATTACGGCTACCTCTCCTCCCAGGTCTACTCGACGGACATGTTCTATACGGTCTTCAAGAAGAATCCCATGGACCCCAAAGAGGGTCGCCGCTACCGCCACACCGTCCTCGAAAAGGGCGGCAGTCAAGACGAAATGAAGACACTGATCGAATTCCTTGGCCGGGAGCCCAAGACCGACGCCTTTTACGAGGAGCTGGGGCTCACCAGATCAACGTAGTCAGGCGCCGGGACGACATGATGCTCAGGGGATGGTCCCGCCTCTGGGTTTGGTCGTGTTGTTCTTCTCCGGTTGTACATATTTCTCGTCACACCAAGCAGCCGGCTCCATTCAGGGGCAGCTTGGTATTCCAATGCACTGGCCGGGAAACATTCGTGGCCTCTTCTGAGGTTGCCATACACTAGAGTAGCTGTGATAGCTATTCCACCTCCTAAAAACATGAGGCTCGCGAAGGCGGCACGAGGCTGGCCCACTAGCGCGTCAAGGGGCCAACGCCTGATCACGTGAAACCTATCTTGTCTATTCCCACACTTTCTGGTTCCCTGGCTCTCGGATCTTCATCAATGTGCAAACCTGAATGTGAGCATCTTATTCCCCTTGTCCGTCGTTGTCGCGAGGTAATGGCGCTGCTCATCCGCTGTCATGGAGTTCCACTTCCGATCCCGCACTCTGGAGGGACGGTTCCTTCCAGTCAGCAAGCAATGCAGGGCGGAAATAATCGCGATGGTAGATAGGTAGATAGGTGGGTGTGGGTATGTAACCTGCAAAACCACAACAGAAAGCAGGTGGGAATTACGTACTGGTTTCTCCAGATATAGAACCATTTGGCAAGTATGAACAGGGCGAAATTGTACGCGCAGATGGCGATGAGGACCTTGTATCCACGCCTGTACTGGGGTGCGTCGTCCGTTCTGAAAATCTATGTGTGTAGCGAGCGATGGTCAGCACCGAAATCAAAGGGAAGAAGCAAAACACAAAAGAAGAATACAGTCAGTCACGGAGAGAAGAAGTGTTTTGACATACATTGGACCCGATGATGTTGCTTGCTTGCACAAACATGTTGTACAGCGCCGAAGCCACGGTTCTCGTACGGACAGAACCGGCGTTGCGGCTGGTGATGGCCACGTGGATGGCGTGCACGTAGGGCGCGCCCACGAGCAGCGTGGCCAGCGTGTATTTCACCCATCTGGACGCTTCCGCGGGGAGGAGCTCCGATGCGATGAGTAACGGCATACACCTGTGCGCGCATGTATAAGTCCAGCGTCTTTCTTTCTCTCGAGAAGGGATCGAGACTCACCAGACCTGGCTGAGTAGCGCGACAAGGAATCGCTGGTTTGTCTTCTCCGACAACCAGGTGAAAGCGAGGAGGTTGATGATGAAGAGCACGTATGACGGGATGGTGAGCATGTTGACCTCGAACCGGCCAAAGGATTGCTTCAAGATCAACGACAGATACTGCGTGACGGGGTAGTTGGGGATCAAGAACGACAGCCCGATGGCGTAGATGGGCCACATTTCCCAGTCGCAGAGGGCGTAAAAGAGCAGTTTCGGCGTCACGGCTTGTCGGTTGTGCATGTCGGCTTTGCTGGGGTCATCACGTAGGATGCGGTTCGCGATAATCTTTTCCTCTCGCTCGTTGAACCAGCCCTTTCTTCCGCGGAACCATGAGGCTGTCTGATATGGCGAAGGGGGCAGGTAGAAGTAGGTGGCGATGCCGATAAGCCCTGTGAGGGTTCCCTCGAGAGCGAATAGCCACGCCCACCTGTACATATCCAAGTCAACAACTCGTCTCTAATAGTCAGGCGTCACGAACATACCCTGCGAGGCCATTTATGCCGCGCATGTTGAGGATGGCAGCAGCCAGAAACGCACCAACGATCGATGTAGCTTGATATGACGTCCAGAACCAGGCCAGCCGTGCAGGCAGCTCTCTCCCCTTGTAGTAATAGGACAGATAAAGAATGGTATCTGGAATGAAGTGCATTGCATGTCAGTTGGGATCTAGTCCGACGGAGACGTGGTGACTTATCCCTCCTTCAATCAGCCCCAACAATGCCCGACAGGTGTAGAACGACGACTTTCCCTTCATAAAGGCTTGAAAGCTCGCAATAAGGCTCCAACAGATCATTTGGATCGGGATCCAACGGTCCGGCCCCAGCTTCTTGGATATTAGCTGGGAAGGCAGCTCCGCCGATAGAAAGCACAGGTAGAAAATAGTCTGTCCATAGTTGTAGTCGTTGGTCGTCAGGTGGAGATCATCCAGCATGTTGTCTGTCAAGGCCTGGACGATGTTTGCTCTATCGAGCTGCACTGGTATGGTCTCAATACTCCAAATCGCATTGTACTAGTGTACAAGCATCTCAAGGCACTTACACGCGAAGAACGCTAAGCAGACCCATGAGCAGATCTTGAGATCGATCTTGCGCACGATCCTCTTCTCCTCGGCAGGTTCCCATTGGAACGAGGGATCGAAGCGATGCCGACCCTCCCACTTGTCGATAGGCACGTAGTTTTCCTCGCCATGGACACGAAGGAAGGTCTTGTCCTCGGTAATGGAACTGCTGCCAGAACTAAGACCCTCGTCGACTGCGAGAGTAACCGGAACAGTCTCGCCCTTCAAGTCATGAGATGGGTCGAATGAGCTCTCATTTGACTTGGAAGACGCCATATTGGAGCCAAAAGACGAGGATGAGACAAGAAAACTCCAAGAAGCTTGTGGCGGCGGTCCAAGATCTGGGCCTGACGGGGATTTCAACGGTAACCTTTCTGTCTTATACCTACCTAGAAACCCCCGGGACTTCAGTTTCCCAACAGTCCCTCCTTGTCGTGCTCGATTCTACTGCCTCGGAAAGATCAGCGTGCATATCGCACATTTTGCGTCCTTGCGACCTTCCTTCCCAGGCGTAATCACCCACGGCAGACGCTGTCATTCGGTAGACAGAACCGGTGGGAGAGGACCTCGAGACCTCACCGCACAGGGCCCGATCACTCAGTGTGGATCCAATCAAAACGCCTCTGAGTGTAGGATACGTTGCCGATCTCGGTTTGCCGCCTCAATCCCCAGCGGCGGGCGTCGTCCGAGACGAGGCCGACAGCGACAACGAGGCACGGTGTACCCTTTTCCGTAGTATTTGTAGCACTTCACACGCTCCATGTTGGATCGCAATTGGTCCAGATTGCTTATCTGCTCGCTCACGGCGGCGGTGGCTTCGGACTTGCATAGAGAATTGCGCTGCGTAGAGTGTATACCTTTCCACTTGAGGAGATCACGCAATACCAACCGAGAAGGCGTGCTCACCACTGAGAAGGGCGCAATCAGGTCTCAATTGGACCGCAATCATGCCATGAACGAAGAAACCCACGGCCGAGCTTTTTCGTCAGTCCAGATAGATATATCCAGGCTCCAACCAGCGGAGAACCGCACATGGCGGCTATTGCCCTGCGGGGTTGATGTTTCAATTTGAGCGTCGATGAGCGAATCCTCTGGTTGGAGTTCTGGTCAGAGATTTCTCGTGCCGAATATCCTTGGTGTAGTATAAAGAGGGGTGTTCTCACAGCCTGGCATCTGGCCCAACTAGATTAGGATCCAATATAGTCGTTTTCCTGTAAAGAAGACAGTTTATCTCTCAAAATGGCGACCGCGTCTGCACCTACCACCCTCAAGGGGGCCGTGGGATCGTACAAGGACATCCAGACTGTGAGTTTCTCCAAGGAAAACGAATTGAAAGGCAACGAGAGGTTTGCGGCGGCAAGCTTCCCACACTATCTCCCCGTCTGGGATAATGAGAAAGGTGAACTGTAAGTGCTTGCCTGAGCCTGAAACGATATGCGCCTGTCGCAGTGGCTTGGCCTCGATTAAGTCTAACCCATTCACTTTCCCTCGGGATTCAAACAGATATCCGCCTTTGGAACCTTTTGAGCATTACGAGCATGGAAAGGATGCCGACCCTTCGTTCAAGAACCTTTTGAAGGCCGGCAGCCACCTTGAGAACGTCACGGCGTCGATTGGTGCCGAAGTGACTGGTGTTCAGCTCTCCCAGCTCGACGACAAAGGCAAAGATGAACTGGCTCTGTTGGTCGCTCAGAGGAAAGTCGTCGCTTTCCGAGACCAGGACTTTGCTTCTCTCCCTATCGAAAAGGCCTTGGAATTTGGACGGTACTTTGGAAGACTGCACATCCATCCTACCAGGCAAGCCATCTCACCCGTTCCCTGTCCCCTTGCTGAACCAACGGTCTTGCTGACCTCCTGACAGTGGTGCTCCAGAGGGCTATCCTGAAGTCCACCTTGTCCACCGTGGTGCTGATGACAAGTCCTTCCTCGACTTCCTCACGAGCCGGACCAACTCGATCGCATGGCACAGCGATGTGACCTATGAACACCAGCCGCCTGGGACCACATTCTTGTATGCCCTGGACGTCCCCGACGCGGGTGGCGACACTCTGTTCTGCAACATGGTCAAGGCATATGAACGACTCTCTCCAGCTTTCCAGGAACGCCTGGCGGGTCTGCAGGCTGTCCATTCTGGCTATGAACAGGCCACTGCGGCCAAAAACCGGGGCAGCATCTACCGCCGTGCACCAGTCTCGTAAGTTAACCCTCGTGCTGGCTTGAGGAAATAGGGGATTGACAAGCAATAGTTCCATCCACCCCCTCGTGCGAACCCATCCGGCGACTGGCGAGAAGGCTCTGTATGTGAACCCTCAATTCACCAGATACATTGTCGGATTCAAGCAGGAAGAGAGCGATTACCTCCTAAAGTTCTTGTATGACCATATCGCCCTGAGCCAGGATATTCAGTGCCGTGTCAGATGGAGGCCAGGCACCGTGGTTGTTTGGGACAATCGTGTCACGACGCACTCTGCTCTGATCGACTGGCAGGATGGTCAACGACGACACATTGCACGCATCACGCCGCAAGCAGAGCGCCCATATGAATAGAGACCCAGTCGGGGTTGCAAACTGGTATGGATCTTTCTAGCCACACAATTAGAAACGTGACAAATCCTACTAGTCTTTAGCATAGCAATAGACACAGTCGTTTGCGATAATAAAAATCGAATTCACAAGGGAGTAGAAGATGTCTGTGATTGGCAACGCCATGGCGACTAGAATCACCTCCAGTTGTGACGGGTCGCTCGAGGTTCAGTCTGGTCACCAAAAGACCATGTTCACTATCCACCCCGTGCAGGACATTTTTGATGTTCTCATCCACTCCAGACGCCGAACAATGCCATCACACATGCATGAACCTATGAGAGTCTAATCTCCCTCGAGTCTGGCGACCACGGCGCTCATTTCGTCGTCACTGTAGATCCGAAATCCGTTCTCACGGGTGACACTGGCCAGTTGTACGTTCTTCGAATCCAGCTTCTCCTCCATAACCTGTTTCAGTGTCTTCAAAACCAGTGTCTCGGCCTCCTCCAAAGTCAGAGATCGGTGGTATTCTGATTGTAGCTCTGCTTGGGCTCCCTCGCTACCGGATCCGATGGCCTTTGCGTCGTAGCGGTAGAACGTGCCCGAGGGTTCTGCGTGATACCTGGACCAGTGAGCAACGAATATCCCAAATTGCGGAACGTCACTTACAGCTGCGGCCCTTGATCCTCATCCCACCCCGCTATCAAGAGGGCAACACCAAATGGACGACTCATTATTGATTCTTCTCCCTGTGCTCCTTCACCGAACCTCAACGCTAGATCGCAGATGGCTTGCGTACAGCTCTCGACTCCGAGTTTTTCGTTGAAGTTGAAGGCATGGTTTTGTGACTCCACGCGAGCATGTTCAATCATACTCCGTGCATCAGCCTGGAGACCCGACATAGCGCAGCCAACGTGTCTATCGATCTCCACAATCTTTTCTATGCTGGACGAGACGAGCAAGGGTGATGTAACGCGTTTTTCGACACCGAGAAGGACGCCATGTGATGTCGCAACCTGAAAGTCATAAGCAAGTGGTGAAGCGGTCAGGGGATTACGTCCATACGCCAATTGCCGTTGACCCGAGCTTGATAGCCTCTAACGAATATTCAACCTGAAATAGACGACCTTCTGGCGAGAAGGTGCTGCTTCTTGTTAGCCACGGGCTTCGTTGCAATAGCAAATAGGCTCACTTGATCCCTCGGTCGTATTCTGATCGTGCTATAAACATGGCGAGAATGGGTCCAGACGATGGTTAATAAAGGGTCAGAATGTTCTCATGGGAGAAATCTGTACGTATGGTAGGTGAAAACCACAAGTTAGGATCGAAACAAGAAGCAAGAGTTTATGGTATTGTGGTGTGAACACTGAACAGGCAAGCTCTGGATGCGCAATCCTATCTTCAGCCTTCTCCAAAAAGTCCCTCCGCAGCCAAGCCCTAACGCAGCCTCGACGCGCCAGCGCATTGAACCATAGTGACCATCTAGGCACGCCTCGCACCCTAGAACCTCGTCCTCCAACAACCCCCTCTCGGCTGCTGCTTGCGACTAGTTGCCATACAACGATGACGGGCTGTAGAGATGACGTCCCTACATTACAGAAGCGCATCTGCAACTGACCGCCGAAGCGCCAGTCTATTGAACGGCCCCTCGCGCGTTAATCCCTCCAGAGCCAGAGACGACCGACCATTTACCCGCGATAATGGCTCCCCGGTGCTTCCAGATGGCTTCAGTGGACATGCTGAAGGAGTGCACAAGCCTTCAAAAAGTGAGAGTCGAGTGACCGGTCTCGAACAGAGACGGCGGGAGAAGACGACAGTCACAACAACCGAGACCTTTTATACGAGAAGGAGTCCGAAGAAAGACACGTCGAATACCGAAAGCCGGAAGGACAAACGGACAGTAGCAAGCCCTGTGCTCAAGCAGCAACCGCCGCATGAGGAGAATTGTAGGTATCCTTGGTGCTTTCAGCCTCTCGCTCTCTGACAATCCTGCAGTACCATGGGCACCGTCGGTTTCTTTAGTTGCCTACTCTTCTGCTCCCTTGGCTACAAGGGTTACAGCACCACCTTTGTCCCGCAACGCTCCCTCAGATCTGGACCCCGTTCCTCTCGAGGCTATGTCGATGCAGGAGCAAGAGCGTGCATTACTGGACGATTTGCTCTATGTGTTTATGGGATTTGAGGGGCAATATGTCCGTTTCCACCACAACTACGATCCTGCGGAGGAGAAAGACCGCTTGAACGGGCCATCGTTTCATCCACTTCCCGGTCTCGATCCCAGCCTGCGAGACTTGACAAGCTCCATGCTCTCGATGGCCACTCATCACTGTGCGATCGAGGCCTTTATCGAAGTCCAGAGTAGGGAAGAATTTGGCTCCGTCAACCACGCACTTTGTGCGGCCATTCGAAAGCTGCTGAAAGACTATCTCATCTTGATTGCACAGCTAGAAATGAAGGTCCTTACTGACCCGAAGTTCACATTACACCAAATGCACATCGCAGTAATCCCAACCGCACAATGTTTAGCCCAGCTGTACTCTCTGGCCCAAGAATTGTTGAAAAAGAACTCTTTGTTGGAAGAGGACATCGACGACTCGCTTCACGATTTCGACGCCGACAACATCATCGAGCGCCTGAAGGAAGGTGGTGATCTGCTTCCGGGAAGCTTTGGCAAGAAACGATGTATAGGCGGTAATGTTCTGGGTCTCTTGACAACTCGGCTTTCTACGTTCTCTGGAGACCCGGCTGCTCGATCCATTTTGGAGATGCTGTTACGTGAAGCAAGCAGACCTTACATGGGGATGCTCAATGAGTGGCTGCATCACGGCGGCATTCACGATCCACACTCGGAATTCTTGATCGGCGAAAGGGCTAGCATCAAACGAGAACGCCTCGACGAAGACTACACAGATGAATACTGGGAAAAGCGTTATTACATTCGCGAAAAGGAAATTCCGCCGCAGCTAGAATCCGTTCGAGACAAGGTCCTTCTCGCCGGAAAGTATCTCAATGTGGTCCGGGAGTGTGGCGGTGTCAACATCAGCAGCAAGATCGACGACATCCCGGCAACATTCGACGACCCGCGATTTCTCGACAATGTTAACAACGCCTATTCGTTTGCGAACAAGGAGCTGCTTCAATTGCTTCTCACAAAGAACTCACTCCGCAGTCGGTTACGGTCGATGAAGCACTATTTTTTCCTTGACCGTGCGGAATTCTTTCTCTATTTTCTCGAACTTAGCGATTCAGAGCTTCGGAAGAAGAATCGAGATGTCAACGTTGGAAAACTCCAGTCTTTGCTAGACCTGGTCCTCCACCAGCCAGGCAGCATCGCGGTAGCGGATCCATTCAAGGAGGACGTGAAGGTGAAAATGAACTCGGTTGGGTTGACGCAGTGGTTGATCAAGGTCGTCAATGTGCAAGGCATGGATCAGGATAATCCAGATTCCATGATGGACCCATACAAGACGCCGGCCACTGCCCAGGCTTCTGCAAGTGAAAAGTTCAAGGATGAGAAGAAAAAGGAGGAAGAGAAGGATATCATCGGATTTGATGCACTAGAGCTTGACTACACCGTACCGTTCCCCCTTTCTCTCATCATTAGTCGAAAAACTGTCTCACGATATCAACTCATCTTTCGGTACACATTGGCACTGCGTCACCTGGAAACCCAGCTGGTGGGTTGCTGGTCGACTCATACGAAGGAGAAAGCATGGATCCACAAGTCCTCTGACAAGAGATTTGAGTTGTGGAAGCGGCGGGTATGGACGTTACGTTCTCGAATGCTTGTGTTTGTCCAGCAAATGCTCTTCTTTGCGACTGCGGAAGTGATCGAACCGAACTGGCAGAAGCTCATGGTGAAGGTTGATGATGCTGAGCGTGATGATTTCGAAGAGACCAGATCCGGACTCAATCCGAAAACGAAGCCTACGGTGGATGAATTGATGCAAGATCATGTCGACATGCTGGACTCGTGCATGAAGGACCTTGGATTGACGCAGGCGAGGCTGCTTCGTCTGCACGCAAAGCTCATGACCGGCTGTGGGATGTTCGCCTCATACGTTGAGCATGTCACCAAGTCAATTTATGAAGCGGACACGAGCATTCAATCCAAACCCCTCAAGCCTGGAGCCGTTCCACCTCCGGCTGCGCCCACAGATCCAGCACGAATGAAGAGGATAGAAGAATCTATCAGGAAGTACGAGGAGCACTTCAACAGACACTTGAAGATCTTGATTGATGCCCTCAATTGGTTTGCAACCACCGAGACTGTCTCTTTGCTCAGTCTCTGTGGAAGGTTGACGAACGCTGAGGTACAGAAGCGTGATGATTTGTTTCTTTGAGATGGGCCAGGAGAGAAAGGACTCTATATCGACCTGCCTCCATGTCCAGCAATGGGGATCTTCTGTATGAGACTTTGGCATTTGGGAGGCTTACGAGATTGATGAGAGTGCATGTATGCACAACGGTAAAGACCTTGAATGATACCCGCGGGACAACTGGCTGTTTTATCTGAAATTGCTTCGCTGTGTTTCTGCCTCACCATCAGCATCAACATCCGTGACTGGAATCTCGCCAAGCTGGTGCGCATCTCATCCAGAACAAGCATCACCTCGTTCACATCGGATGTTTGTTTCTTCCTAATTTCCCTGACTTCCCTCAACCCCTTCCATTGGTCTGTGACGGTACTATGGCTTCGTTGACCCTGTCAATTGGGCCGCTGAAGCCCGACGCCTCAACCTTACAGGCGTGGTATTCTCTAGGGCGGTCGCACAACAAGCAAAAGGTAGGATATATGGCTCTGCTGCCCACGGGTGCCCTTTTGACAGGAAGACAGGAGAGCAGCAGCAAGGCGCAGGTGGTCCAACCGCTCCAACTTGGCATGTCCAGCCTCTCACGAAAGTTCTCCATGTCTGCGTATCTGTCGCCACGGCCGATCGAGACCCGAGACGGCCCTCCGATTGTGACCTTCAATCAGAAACCCCTGGATGCCACATACCTCGTGCTGCTCGCCCTCAATGAGGAATGTCGGCGCATGCGGCGAGGCTGTTTCTACCATCTGGCCCTGCGGCAGGATGTCTCCAGGTGCCATCCGTGTGACATGGTCTTCATCGATGAGCCCTGGGGCGAAAAGAGCGTGAAGGCATGGGTCGCTTCGAGATGGGACAAACGGCTGAAGATATGTGCTGCGGGTACGTACCTCTTTTGGTTTCACTCTGTTCATTCAAACCAAGCTCCATTCACTGACCATTGTGCTGTTGACACAAAGCGAGAAAAATTCACCCTCACGAACAAGTGATGCCAGTATGTTCGCGTGTACTTAAGTGTGACCTCTCCGAGGCAGCCAAGAGTATGACCACACAACCTCATTCCCTATATCTCTATATAAACGAGTCTAACATATCTGGGTGTCTAGCGTCGGGATGTGCCCATATCCACGCCAGCAACTCTGACCCAGCTATCGCCAACCACCCAGCGATCCGGACCTGGAGTCGTCCGTTGATGGACACGTCGCGGCATTCTCATCCTCTACGCGCACCAGCACTCGACAGCCACGATTGCCCACCTCAATGCCGTGGAGCATGCCTCGCAATATACCACGTTCCCGACGCCCAACGACCTCTCCCTGACCGCCCTCCCGAACTGGCAGCAAACCACGACGGCCGTGATCGGTCGATGGTCCAACTGCGACGCACCCACATCGAATGCCCAGCCGGGGATGGCGGTTCAAGTGACCAACGCCGAGGTGGTGCTCGCGCTGCTGTACATCTGGAACCATGGCCGCGTGGCCGTCCACCATAGTAATCATCCCAATACCAAGAATAACAACAACAAGAACAACGACGGCGACGGCGACCTCCTCGAGCTCGAGGTCCTGGACAACGGGGAAACGGACTTTGGCTCCACCAAGGTCCTGTGGCAGGAGGTCGAGGACCGGATCCAGAACCACTCGCTGGACACGCAAAAGGCCATGTTGGAATTCTGGCCCAAGGGTTGAACTGCGCAACAGTCATTGAATGGCCACTTTCATGCGTGAATTGTCCAGAAACAACCTCAAAGTGGGTGCGGTGGATGGGTAACAACCCTGTCCTGCTCAGATGGAGCCTGTTCAGATGGAGCCTGCTCAGAGGGAGAAGATAGGCGTGGGCGCCGCAAAAAGGATCCCTCCCACGCGAAGGTCCGAGGGTGCACTCATACAGTGGGTGGGAGAGGCTCCTGGCTGTAAAGGGCCTGGAGACAACGATGTTCTTCACTCGTCGATATCGTTCTAGCTTTTCGAGAACATGGAAACGACAAACGAGTCTCTGCGTCCGCACTAGTGCATTGAACTGAATCAAGACTTTTTCACGCGCCTCGTTCCTCGGCTTTCCATCTGGTGAATGTTCAATTGTTTGGATCCGATCACATCTCCATCACCTTGTCTTGTAGACACAGGGCTTCAGAACTTTGGCCTCTTCCTCGACCGTCATGTCACTGTCACCCACTCCGTGATCTCCCCCTGCTACACTGCCAGCACCAGGCCGTCCTCGTCCCTTTAGCTTGGCGTCCTCGATCTTCTGATACTCTCTACCATTCCATTTGAGCCCTTTGTATTTCCCGGCGGTCGGCACACCGGATTTGACGAACACCATGCTGACGAACATCTTGTTCGATTTGTCCACACTTCCCTCGCGCAAAAGGAATCCACGGCGGGTCATGACACTGACAAAGGCAGATATATCCGTTTCCTCTCCAGTAGCCTCAGTAGCCGTAGAGTCCTCCACGAAAAGTTCCCCCTGGACCTCATCATCGCTACCTTCCACGCCCGTACCGCCGGTTTTCTTCTTGGCGTTCTGTTTCCTTCGCTTCTTTCCGACACTATTCTCCACGCTCTGCCCGGGTTGTCTTTTCGGCCTTCCAAAACGGGATTTGACTTCGCTCACCCAACACTCTCCCCTTCCATCTCCCCGAAGGATTCGCCATGCCTCTTCCACAAAGTTGATCCAATTCGTGCCCATGAGGCTGAGACAGAATACCGCAATATCCGCCTCACCATCTCTCAACGGCAAAGAGGAGATATCTGCTTTGGTGACCAAGGTGTTAGGAGTGTGGAGATCGAAGTTATGAAATTTGAGTTTAAGAGCTTTAATAACGGATTGGCAACCGCGAGCCAGAGGAGCATCACCACAGCCCAGGTCGGCGATTGTGCAGGACCCTGTTTTGCGACGAGGAAGTGGGGAGCTCTGTAGAGAGGTCTTGGGGCTCTTGCCAGGCTGCTGCCTATTGGGTTCATGTGCTGTCGTGGATATTTGTCCTCTGGTTTTGATCGCGGAGATATACCTCTCTACTGGGTTGACAGGCCACGAGTCTTTCACTTGCTGCGAAAATCCGGCGTGGTACTCGGCGAAGAGGTCGGGAGAATTCGTGAAGAGAGTCATTGCGGCTGAGGAGGTGGTGGTATACAAGGTCTCGTTCAGGTGTCGGAAGCGGGCTGATGTGAGTTTGTTGCGCATTTTGGCTTGCAGAGGAGTCAGTCTCGCAGGTATTGGCGGTACAGGCGGAAGAGCTTTGGGTATGCTATCGCGTGGGGTGGACCTCGAAGACGACACTTCCGCCTCGCCATCATCGTCCCTTCTGCCGTCATCCTCTGCTTTTTGCACACGACCCGCCTGCACAGGCTGCTGTTGGCCATTGACTGTCGGGCGTGTATTGTCCTTATTCTTCTTCCCGCGCCGCTTCCTATCTGGGACGGAGATGGTCTCTGCGCCAGCCTTGTGTCGTTCACCTGTTTGGTGACCATGTCTCTGAAGTTCCCCCTGCGTTATGCCGCTTGCAGGTTTGGCCCCTGCACGCTGGTTCCATAGTTTCTCGAGCTCAGTCCCCGAGACTTTGGAGGCCTCATGATGGTCGGGGAATGCGTTCTTTCTCTTTTTCGAGGCTGAAGTGGAAACCGAGGGAGATAGATGGGCGTCACTGGTTGAAGCGAGTTTTTCCTGGACGAGGGAAGTCGAGTCAACTGCCCAACCCGGAACCGCGAACATGATGCGTAGGAGAACGGCGAGGCAGGGATTATGAGGAGGGGATTATGTCGAGGCGATGGTTAGGCATGCTGCAGGTCTCAGATGGATTTCAAGCCAGTGTCACGGTAATTTTGGCGCAGTGCAATTGACGGGGTGTTTGCCAAATAATGTGCTGAACTCTGCATGCCACCACAAAAATTTATTAGGGTTCTTGGTTGTAGTCTGGTGTGCGTGTGGTACGTTCCCGCAGCCCCGGTAGCCACTCTGCCTGTACCCACCGGCAAGTGCCTGGTCAGAGCCGCAGTTGCAGATTTGGGGGCGGGGCCGCAGGCCCCCATTGGAGATGTTGTTATTGGCTTGGTCATTAGTTGATCCTCCAGCCCAACGGCCACTTACGAGGAGCACTTCATCGACTCTTTTGAGCATTACGATACCTTACAAGCCATCTTCTGCACAAATTGAAGGCATGCTCCTGCATAGCCAATAGTCAGGAGTATGGAGCCGGATTAGGCTCCTACCCCTCACGGCATAGAGCATACATTAGGGAAGCTCAAAGACATGCTCAGTTGAGCATTGGAAAACGACCACTTGGTGGGGTCCACAGTGTCAAGAAATCCCAGGAGAATACCGAGTAGGCTACACATAATCACAGTAGCTACTATACAGGACGATATAAAGACCCTGCAGTCCAACGTGCCAGCGCTTGGCAAGCACGTGTGTATACGAATATCATGAAAACTCGCCCAACAACTGAGCTGCGGCTATTATCAGCTGGGAGGCATCATATGTGCGACTATTCACCGAACCTGATGCCGCAGCGTGAGAAGCAAGTGTAGCCGATCCCCGAGGAGCCATGATTGGGGTGGCCGCAGGGGTGCATTGCTTGTAGGTGCTCGGTAAGGCTCAGTAAAGGGGTCTTCACAAGGTTGAACCATATTACCTACCTAACTAGGTACCTACTATAGGTATAGAGGTTCCTTGTGTGGGTGTGCCTACTAGGTTCTCACTTAGGTACACCCAGGACACCAGGACACCACCTGCAGAGGCCCCATCACCCCCGCGCTGCAGGTCTCATGAGACTCTTGCATCACGCCAAGAGCATATCTCGATGATGGCCACTGAAGCCTAATGCTGAGAAGGGCGACAATTCCCTTCTTCCTTTGCCCGTTCCTCGTGCCTTTCCTCTCCATCGATGAAAAATTGTTTTCTTCTTCGTCCACTTAACGTTCGCTTTACCTGCTCGCTACACCTGCAATCGGATTGCGTCTTCGGCAGGACTTTCCAGGCTCACAAAATAAGGGTCTAGGCAGAAGTCCCGGAACCTTCCCCCCCCCCCCCCCCCCTCTTTTTTCTGACCGCATGGCGCTATACCTCCTCACAGCAAGCCCTGTCGGCGTACGAACGATCCTCTACTGCCCCGACAACAGCCAAAGACATAGCAGCCATACGGATTGTGCATAGATGGGTTAACCCCTTTCAGACTATAGCTCTCGAGCCCCGCCAATGGTTCCAACTCCCTCACCCGGATCACCCCATCGGGCGCCCTCTGGATACGAGTGGCTGATATCCAGTAGTAGTTGTGCCATTCTGCCTACCAAAGAAACCCCTCTTGATACACCCTGCCCGCAGCTCCACCACCAACCGTCGAACTCAAGTTTGGCGCCGGTCTTGAACCTGGCCCTTTCACTGCAGGGCGGCGACTTGACCTGGCACCTTTGGACGGTCGAAAAACGCCATCAATCCTGCATCAGGCAGCAGATCGGCCGGAAGCGGCCCTTGTCTCAACTCCGATTTAATAATTCCTGGCTTAGCGATGTTTTTGTGCGCACCACGTGTGAGCATGTGGTTGAAGATCGACAGGTGAAGATATGCAATAGGCTGTCTGTGGCAGGCTCATCAACTTTCCATCCTTGAAATGAGTCTCCCTAACCGCCATCCTGCGAGGAACTATGGAGTGCCCTCTAGTGGGGCAGAAGAGCAACGCACGTTGAGGGAGCCTCGAAGGTCGCGTGGCTAGCGTGGGCTTGTCTACCCTACTACCCTTCAGAGAACTGCGCGGAACGAACATGGTCTTTTCCCCTTGATGCCGCGTCTAGGCGGAAACCACTTGGGGTGAACCACCAACTCGTCGATCCATCGATCCATCGATCCATCTCCCAGTCGATTCTCCACGACCGACAATTCATCAATGTGACCTGACTCGCAAGATTGTAACACTCGAGGGTAACCATCGACGGGTTTGGCCACTGAGCAAGTACCAAGACGCGCATCAGAGCTAGAAGATCAACTTCCATCCACGACGGGGGCCAGACGAAAAATACAGGTACTTTCACCGATACAAGGTGGTTCAAGGGTGGTTGGCTATCATCATATCTCGGTGGGGAGCTTATACAAGTAGCAGCAAAGAGACATTTTGGTGGTGCCAGCCGGTTTAGCTGCTGGTGGCTGCAGCTTGGGTCCTTGAAGAAAGCTCACCCCGAACTAGGAATGGAGGGAGACTCTACCCGGCCGTGTCGATCCAACAATGTCCTCCAATTCTCCGCCACAACTTTTTCCTTTACGGAAACGAAAGGGCTGCTAAGGACTTTTCCCATCGAGTACAAAGCTTCATTAGCACGGCTTTTTCGTCACAAATCAGCCCTATGCTTCTCCATCCTGACTCTTTTTCTCTCCTGTAAAACGCTTACTGGTCAGTACCGACCCTATGACTTTGCTTCTGCAAGCCGCCACCTTGTCTTGCCCTCCCTGGTACCCTGCATTCTTGTCCTGGCCTCCTGTGAGGTACCAGAAGACCCTCTCGCCGGTTGTTCACAACATGCCCGGCTGATTTGGACCACCACACCTCTCTTGGGACTGTTACTATTTGTACGTACTGCAAGGGTGCCTTTCCCCTATTGTCTGCTGTACCACATGGCGGACCTTCTGTCGTTCTTCACGAACCCGCCAATCATCTGAGACGCTCGTCGTCACTCTGCATATGCGCTTGCACCGACTGTCAGTATCACAACCTCCTCATGTTGTGGGTGCCCGGAAAGTCGACCACCGTGCCTCAGTGGAGACATCGGTCCTCGGCAGGTTCCCAGTGCGTCTAGGAATGATATTCCACGTCCCCGGCGTGTCCTCTTTCCTTCCCTCACCGCAATCGGGTCTAGCAGAATGCAATGAAACCAGCTTCCTTCTTTCAAGGGAAAAGTGTGCGCTATCGCAAAGGGTATGGAACAGCAGACTGGTTGCCCACATCTGATGCCAGTACCAATAGCTCAGCGGCGAGCAGTTCTCCGCAGTGCATATCCTGGCTTCTCGGAACTTCCCTCCCACTCTAAACTGTTTTGTTCCCAATGTGCGGTCCAGCCTTTGTTTTGTTATCAGCCCGTTGCTGGCCACTTTGCAATTCGCAAGCTCCAAATTGTCCTCAATACCTGACATATCAACAGAATCGTCCTGATGCCTGACGATTAGAACTTCAATGTCTCCTACGCCGGAAGAAGAGGAAGTCTTGAATGTCAAGAGATCTGGCAGTGGGCCAGAAGAGGAGGAGGATGCAGCAATAGTCGACGCCACGCCGAAGCAGCCAACTAAGAAACGGACCAAGACTGGGTGTCTCAGTGAGTTTGACCTCGTCTTCGGACACCACCTGCGAAGCACTCATACTGATATCCGTCTCTTCAACAAGCATGCCGCAAAAGACGGTAAGCTCGGTCTCTGATAACTCTATCCTCGGGACTGTGGTCATTGTCCTTTAATGGTCGATACAAGCTAACATACATTTTCAGAATAAAATGTGGAGAAGAGAAGCCAGTAAGCCTCGTCCTCGTTTTCCATGCACTCATCGACGTATCCTGACTACGGATTTAGGTATGCAAGAACTGTATCAAATCGAAGCGCGAATGTGCAGGATATCAACCTGTGGCGAACAAAGAGCAGATCCTAGGACAGACCGATATATCCCAAGAAGCTGGCGCTCATCTGTCGTTTCAAGATCACGATGTCTCAACTGCGTTCAACCAACGTTGGCAACCAGGACAGGAATACCTGGAAATGCCACATGACTTTGGTCAAACGAATCCCTCGCCCTATAATCAACTGCCATTCAGCGCCAGCTACCATGCGATTCCATTCCCTCCAACCAACCTCTCTAGTCACACGGGCGTTCCGGTCATGGACCCGGAATATGGATGGCAGGGTACGCAGCATCCACCAAACCTGCCTTATCATGGAATGGCGGAGACCTCAAGAGAAACTGCACCAGGGTTTACCTTCCCGGACAACCAGGCTGGAAGGACTTCGACGACCGTCTTCCCTCTCGACCCCCGATTGATGGATCAGCCGGCGACATGGGGTTTCAACCCTGCTTTGGCTCAACTTCAGCCACCGCAGTCAACATTCCCCAGCAACCATATTATGGCCTCACAGCAGCCGATGCTGTCTCAATTCCAACAGCGGCGTGCTCCACTGTCTTACCAGTACGACGTATCACCCCTACCTATAGAGGGTATGTAGGCCAATACAATTGTCATCCATCAAGCTCTTTTATACTCAGTGCTAAGCTCTTCGCAGAACATGTGGCTAGGCAATACAGTGCGCATGGTAGTACACATCAGCCGGGATTCATAAATGCCTCATCCCATGGTCCTTCTGTGCTTCCGCGTCCAACATCTCAGATGAACGACAACGAAGACGACGACGACGACGACGATCCATTCGACGTTGAAATGGAAGATTCAAACCTCTCATATCAAGAAGCGGCCAACAATCTCGCAGAGATGCTCGGTCGTGCTGGGCAGGTCGATGTACAGGCTTCGAAATTGTACATTCCCAGGAGGACTGAGTATCGAACCGTCGCGACGTACCGGCCGGTTATAACGCAATCCCCTCTTCACGATGAGAGAAACGAGCATATATTTTGCCATTTTGTTGAAATTACGAGCAATACTATATCAATCTTCGAGAGACATCACTACAGCCCTATTACGGCCCCTGCGAGAACTCTCTGGAATTTCACAATGCCGGCTCTGGCCTTGTCGCATACCGCACTTGCGCATGCGATTCTGGCATTGGGGGCCCTCCATCTTGCGAAGCTGAATAACTCGTCAGAAAACCTTGCGATCAAGCATTTCACCTGTGCAGTGCGAAGGGTTGGGAGACTGCTGGGGTTACCGAAACGGCGGCACGAAATAGCAACTCTGGCTACAGTCCTGCTCCTTGGATACTACGAGGTCGTCTCTGGCGACCATTCACGGTGGAACCTTCATTTGTCAGGAGCTACGAGGCTCCTACAGGAGCATGACTTTGCCGGCTTGACCCGAACGACGAGACGCATGCGAACTGGTGCAAAGGCACGGATCAACCAGTGGACTGTTCAATTTGCGTTAACCGACGAAAACTATGCGCGTGTAGCTGGTATTCCTCTTACCCTGCTTGACGACGGTGACTGGGAGGTCGATCAGACACTCGTCTCCCGATTGACAGGCCTCCGCGTGAACTATGACCAACAATTCCAGCCAAGCTTCGGCTCGCGGCCTGCAATGCCGGACCTGAGCGAGAAAGATGTTGAAGATTTCAAGGCCAAAATGGACTTGAGGTGGTGGTACTGCAAGCAAGACGTTTTCCAGAGCATGGTATCCGGCGACCGGCCACTTATGGCCTACCAGGAATGGATCTACTGTCCCCCTAGAGGTCAAATTGGACGGGCGGACAATCCATATGCCACCCTGGATCACTTGCTACTGGTCATGGCACGCCTAACTGATTTCGGAGGCAAAGATCGTGTGCGCAAGCAACGGGTGGTGGCTATGCAGGGAGGGCAATGGAGGCCCCCGAAATGGCTGTTTGGACCTCAAGGACAACCTGGTCCATCAGGACGGAAGGACGGTCCTGCTCATCCAAAGCAGGCTTCGGAATCACCTCCTGAGAAGACTTCTGCAGCTACCAAGCTGGCCGCTGCTGCGGCCCAGGCGGGAGCAAGACCTTCCCCTGCCCCCAGCGCCAACGAAGGGAGAGTGAGGCAGAGTAAGCCCGGCTTACCGGGTGGTTCTGGTCCTGGACCGGGGGCTGGTCCTCCTATGCTTGGGATGCTCCCGCCTGCGACCGAGCCACTGCAGCTGGATTCTGCTTTTCGGTCAATGGACGCCAACATCAGAGACTCGGCGTTTGCGTTCAAGAGAGAGCGCAAGGAGAGCACGCCGCCCAGCAATCTCGAGGACGATACAGCCAAGGCATTTGCAGAGTATAACGAGATAGGCAAAGCCTTTGATACCTTCGCAGAAAACCTGGGCACAGACTTTGAGCCTCTCAAACAAACCGGGCCCCCGGTCGGCACGCCTTTTGGACCAGCACTCATCTACAAAAATGGCGCAGTGGCGTGTATATGGGCATGCTACTACGTTGGGCGCATCTTATTGCAGCGTCTTCACCCCGAGATGCCGCCTGCAGCAGTGGTTGCTGCTGGCGTCACGGCGCACCTCACTCGGGAGTATACGCAGATGGTCGGCCAGATCTGCGCAGGGCTGTACTCAAGACAGCTCTATGGCCAGAGCGGAGCCCTGGACCCCAGTTTCGCAGGCTACCTCATGGAAAGTACCTTCTTCCTGTTGTTTGCAGCCATCCAGTATACAGACGCTGTGCAGCGAGGGTGGACAATAAGCAAACTCAAAGATGTCGAACGCAGATGTGGATGGCGTACATCAGGCGCCATCGCCGGCGCTTGCGAGACTGCCTGGGAACGAATGGCGCAAGCAGGACGAGGCCCTCCCTACGAGCGAACTCTGGCTGCTCACGACGAGGACATCCGCATGAGCAAGACATCGGCAAAGTCATCTCCAGCAAGTGGAGGACCATCAGATGCCGCCACCGAACAGCATGAGTCGGAATTCGTGAACCACGATCGCAGCCTCATTGATCGGTCCAGCTCGACCCGTGTGCATTGGGCGCTGGGCTTGCTTTCGGTCGAAGAAGACATCCAGAAAATGGCCCTGGAGGACAACTAGGTGATGACATATCACATTGCTAGAGACCGGGGGCCGCTCTTGCCTCTCTGTCGAGACGTGCATGTGTGTGGTGGTCCGTGGTGGCTCTTGCTTCAATGCCACCTCCGTCTCCCACATCATGCGAGTCCGTCTCAATCCGACATTTACCTCTCTTTAATTTCTCTATCTTTACCCTATTTTGCTGCATATCCTAGAACCTATTTTGCTGCATGTCCTAGGACCTATCTTGCTGCATATCCTAGAATCAGTATCGCTCCTAATCGCAGAGACCTCATCATTGCCCTATGTCTCCCCTCTATCGACTCCTTGATCATGGCCAATCCAACTCACACCCCAGCGAGGGCCAATTCTACCATCGAGTCTCAGGCACAAGCAAAAGATCAAGACGCAGCAGCTCCCTTCAGGAAAGACCTCACCTCCTATTTCGACATCTCCGGCTCGTCTCATAGCAACTCCACCGCCGACATCCGTTTTGGGACGCAGCTTCGACGACATTCGCCCACCACTGCGACACGGCGTCCGTATTTCAGGTTCTATTCAGACTTTGATGCTCTGCACAAGTCGCTACACAACCACACCGCCAAAAGAGACCCGCCCACCGTCGACGCGTGGGCGTCAGGGTTGCACTCTCCTCGGTCGGAAGTGACACTGTCTCCAAAACCAGGAGCTGACCAATCTCTAGACGCTTCTTCTCCCTTTTCCTCACGATGTTCGTCTGCACCGTCCGCGGAGACTTCGCGTCCCTGGGGTCCACGCCCGTCAAAAGAGAAGCATTCATATCGCCGACATCGCCCAAAGCTGAGGCGTTTTCGGGCGACGTCTCCTTCTTGGGACGTTGGCCTTGAGGGAAGAGAAGCCTCGGCTGGATCTATGCGACGACTTTCTTCGACTGCATCAGAGGCGCAGACGAGTGTTGGCGATATCATTGTTGTCCGAACAGACCAAACCCCTTTAACGCCGCCATCAAGGAGTTTTCCCGCTACCGAGATACCCACGCCGAGTTCTATAAAGGTGGAGACAGAGTTCACGGAGCGCCGCAGCTCAAGTCACAGTCCACAACGGAAAACGCCCTCTCACTCTTCTGAACAGCAAAGTCAGACTTCGTCTCGGAGGAGTTCTATGACCCCCAAGGTAGTTCTAGCGACCCCGCTCAAATACATCCGCCAGGCGAGTCCACTCAAACATTCAAGGACCACAGCGGAAACTAAAGCCCCTCAGTCTACTCCGGTAGGTCTGGATCGACGGATGGCAGACCACACCAGCCAGATCAAGAGAAATTATACGTTGGAAGCACTCGAACTTGTGACGGGGATCTTGCAGGAGTTAAAGCTCGCACCATCGAACTCGCTGTGGCCGCCTCAGGTAATAAACCCCCTGAGACGGAGAACATTCTCGAATAAGTCGCCCTCGCATCAAAGGAAAAAGGAACCACGAACCACGCAGGGAATTATATCGGAGATCGACGACAATCACAAAGGCAGTGGTGAATTGCTCTCTGGGCTTCAATCATATACCTCTAGCCAGATAAATTTGCGTATGGGTAACATGCCTATGAACACCCCAGATGAGACGGCCACATACAAGATTAAAAGGAGCCCCAGTGCAGAAACCGAGGAATACTTCAGGGTCGATATCAGCATTAGAGGAGGTACGAGCTATCTCCCAAGTGAAGCTCGTCGAATACACACGCCACCACTTCCAGAGGCAGGATTAGATGGCCGACTGAAGGGGTTTTTCTTCGACTACAATGCGCCGGGGCGGTCTGTGTGTCTACGAGGGACAGACACCCCCGAAGGTGCAGTAGACAGCGGAAGCACCAGTCAGGACACCAGTGGAACCTCGGGTCACAGTCGAACCACACCGGCCGGTAAGAAGCCAGGGAGGATCAAGAGCAAGAACAAGCGGATCCTGGCCGGGGATTGGTACGACGTGAAGCTGGCAGAAGTTGACATGAACATCCAGGCCGACAAAGGCGAGATGAACCAGGCTAAACAAGGCGCAAGGAGAGTCAACTCGCCTCAGTGCCTTTACAAGATCCGCAAGAACCAGCGCGACGCCGCCGAGTTCGACCTGACCATCCCCGAGCATCTGCCCAGCAGTCCGCTGTGTCCGCGGCACACCAAGTATTGGCGCATGGTCAGGGAGCGTGGCAGCCAATTCAGGGGCTGTTTCATGCACGGTCTGGGTGTTTTTCAAGCAGAGCCTCCACAAAGCAATTAGCAATCTCAGCGTCTGTTCCTCTACCGCCTACGAGCAAGCATGTGCCGGTAGTCCTAGAATATTTGGAGCAAAAACAACAAAGAAAGGATACTTTACTTGCTCTTTTTTCACCTTTGCTAGCCAGCCCTGCTCGTCCCCTTTGCTGTCGTAAGTCGACTTTACCCTCCCATCGCCCCTGTCCGATTGTTCATCCATCATTCTCCCCTGAAGGCGAAGGGGACTCGCCGTGCCCTTGCCCACGCAACATAGTGTCGTCGGTCAACACAGCTAAGACTAACACAACTGGATAATATGGGCGGCGTGGCATCGCTCCAAGTCTGATCGAACCGTAGCCAAGTTATCTATCTGTCCCGCGCAACTGAATCTCTGCTTTGGAGCTCACGGAACAAAAATTCGTTCTAGGCTGCATCACCTTGTACTTGTTGTATATTGAGGGCAGCCGTTACTCCCAAGACGCCTGGAGCAGCATGGGGGCGGATTTTGCAGTCGACGTACTATCCTGGTCATCTACAACCATCTGCCTAAGCCGTCCATGCGCTTGCTGGCCATCATGCATATGTATCAAGTTAATCCCGTATCCTCAGGCCTTTGCTCGATTTCCGAAAACTAAATACTCCATTCCATGTTTGCTTGCTCTTACTCCTCAGCCAGAGTCTGGCCCTCCCTCAACCCTTCCACTTTCAATTCCTCTCCCATTGCCCTCTGATAGATGTCTCTGACATTCTCCGTGACTGTCTCAAAGTGGCTCGATGCGTCAAAGCTGTTGCTGATGAAGATCTGGTCGTTCACGCCACTTTCCAATGGTTGGTATAGAGGGATCGGCGGCCCCATGAATTTCTCTTCAATGCGGCCAAGTCTCTCGAGTCCCGGCTGCAGCTCAAGGTGGTGGTTCGCAGAGGTTTCGGCGATGGTGGAGACGATGGCAATGTAGTATCCTTTGGGACACACGTTGTGGGCCGAGGATACCATGGCAATGTAGATGTCATGTTTTCGACCCACCTGTGATTGGGGAATGATGAGTTGCAAGGAATCGGCATCCCCGGTCTTCTCCAGCGGGTGGTTCAAAATACAGATGGCCTTGAGGAGGTGACCGACCACTTGAACTTTGCCGGGGAAATAGGAGGGGTCACCAAGGATCATCTTGGTCTTTGTGGTGAATTTCATGCCTTCTTCGTTCTCTTCGCCTCGTTCTCGCATAGTCGCTTTGATACCGGCGACTTTGTTACCGTCGTAGAGAAACTCGTCCACCGAGGTGTTGAGCATGTACGTACCCCCGTAGATAGCGGAGAGACGGGCAAAGCCTTGTGGGAGCTCCCCTAAGCCGTATAGCGGGTAAATGTAGGGTGATTTGCCGTAACGAGCCATCGAGTTGGCGTACAGGCGGATTCTCTCAACGGTCTCCTTAGCCATGCCAGGTGCGTTGATGTACTCGTCAGTCGAGTAAAGTGCCATAGAGTGACCAATAAAGTCTCGCGTAGAGGGTTCCAGTCCGAACTTGTCATAAACCTCTTTCATGGTGCATTGATTCATATTCATTCCTGCGGCAAATGATCAGCTCCCGTCCGATATGATTCCATGATACTTTTATGCCCACCATTGTGTGTTGCCGGGTTGTTCTCCTCAAATGCACCCACCCACTCCAGAAATTTCTTTGCCCTTCTCTTCTCGAATAGGCCCATCAGAGGTGAACTTAATGCCTCTGCAGCGGTGGATGGGACTTTCGCCACTGTTGCGCGCGGACCTGAGCCTTGCTGTACGAAGCTGCCTGCGATCTGTTTGAATTCGAGGTATCGGGTGACATCGGTAGAGACGAGGATGTTTGTGAGTTCGCCATTTGCCATCAAGAGCTTGGGAACTAGGTCAATGTTCCAGTCGTTGGTGCGGCCGTATTTCTTCCACGGCTCTTCGCCCGGTTTATGGGTTCCGTATCTCTTGAAGAGCTAGATAGATGGAACGTCAGACCAGGTTTTTCTCTCTCATGGGTGTTTTGTTCTTGCTCACAGCTTCAATGTTGATAGACGCAGCCTCACTGTGTATTCCTCGTCAGTTGGGATTCCCCTAGCATTCTATTCAGGGCTGCGATTCGCGTACCCGCCGTAATGGTCGTTACGATCGATGTGGAGGACTTTCTTGCCCTTGACGGAAAGGACGCTGTGATCGAATTAGCGGAGAATGCTTCCCACGTATGGCTGCGGTGATTCTCACCCAGAGAGCACGCATTCTGTCAAGCCTAAAACAGGACGAGTCAACAAAAAGGCGGGGTCGGAGGGACGGGCGAAGGTCATTACCTGTGCCTAGGACGATAACATCGTATTCCGGGGCGATCTCTTCCATTGTCGAAGGGCGTCAAATGAATGTCGAGCGTGAGAAATGATTGTGAGAAAGCAGGTTTATATTGGGAGAATTGGCAGAAGCTTAAGGGTCGGTGAACAATGTTGTCGCGCTATCCCACCGCAGGATGTCAGGTCGCTCTTGTCGAAGCGCAGCGAATGAGGTCATGGCTGCCAAGACCTGCTACAGTTTAGACTCGCCGTTGCTTCCCCATGAAGCTTCAGCCTTGCAAGGGGGAGCTCAGCCTCGTGGCAGGATGCTCATGAACTATGTATGCATACTAGAACAGTCGTGCACAGTTCTGCACAACCTAGTTAGGAGCTCATTGCGCCACTTTCACTTGCTAGGCTGTTACAATAGCCAACTGGCCCCTTTTCGCGTGGAGTATCAGGATGCCGCACTCAGCTTCTCTGCCTCCCGCTTCATCCGCGCTCTAGAAATGGCAATTTGCTCTGTCAACCTCCACGGATAATCAAATGTGTCCATAAATATCTCACACAGCTAGATAGTCATTAGTCCGAAAACATGCCAGCAACGTCCAGGGGGAAGACATACCTGAATGCTGTTCCCACTTGCGAAATCATCGTCGTTCAAGACTGCCTCAAGCTCTTCGACTGTCTTTGTGGCGCGACTCTTTGCCTTGACACCATTATCCTCTCTTGCTCCGAAAAAATCAAGCATCTTCTGGTGGTCCCACATCATGCTCACGTCGTTGTAACCCTGCTTTGGTCCGTGGATCGCTCTCTCAATGGCATATCCGTTGTTGTTGATGACAAAGATGATGGGTTTGAAGCCGTAACGGATGTAGGAGCCAATCTCTTGCACCGTCATCTGGAGACTTCCCTCGCCAACGATCAAGACAATACGTCCGGGAGCATTGAGCTCCTTTGCCGCGACCATGGCGCCAAGGCAGGCACCGACCGTGAATCCGATCGATGACCAGAAAGTCTGCGTGATATACTTGATATTGGGTGGGAAAGTGGCATCTGGCATCCCGAACTGAGCTGTCCCAGACTCTACCAAAAGAATATCGTCGCTCCTCAAGAACCGACCGAGTCGTTGCCAGACGTACGATTGTTCTATCTCTCCGGACTTCAAGTCATTCAGTATGGGTGTCTCGGTCTTCGGAGCTCTGGTGGGGCGTGGAAGGTTATATTTCTGAGGGTTTGCCTTCAGCTCTGAGACGATCTTTTTCAGGATCGGCAGAAAATGAACGCCATCAAAGTTCTGGGTTTTGACCTGGCAAGAGTCGTGTCCAAGGAGCACAAGATGCTCGTCCTTGATTTCCCGTGTGAAACCCCCGGTGTTGGAATCCGAGAGAAGTGGCCCAAGATTTAGGACGAGATTGGAGGCCTCGATACCCTCAGCCACCCCGGGAAAGGACACTAACCATAGGTCAGTAGATATGAAGGAGCGGCCTACAGGCTACTAACCTTTGCCATTGTACAGTCCACGGTAATAAGGGAGAGTTTCGTCGATGACTCCTTTGGACAATGGTGTAGAGTAACAGGGAAACTGGGTGAGCTCGGCAAGCTCTCTGGTCAACTCCCGACCGCCGTGGCGGATCGTGAGCACATCGGCCAAGATCACTGGGTTTGAAGCTTCCTTGATCAGAGAGAGAACATCGTTGACAATCTGATCTTCAATTTTGTCGTCCTTGTTTTGTACACTCAGGTCCAGCGGCGTGTCCAGTCGCTTTGCGTCCAGTTGCACCGCCACGGCATCGACAGGGACGTAGATATAGACCGGTAGTCGACTCCGTACGCAGGCGACAATGGTTCGGTCAATCTCCTCAGCCATCGTCTTGTCATCCATCAGATAGGCATGTGTCTCCCTGATAGGTGCTGCCATATGAATGTAGGTTGCGTGATCCATGTTGGCTTTCATGGTGTGATGCAGCATTGCTCGGGCCTTTTGCAGCGACCGTGCCGGCATTCCCACGATGTGAATCATGCCTGCATGCTCTGCGTAGCTATTTGCCCCATCACAGCATGTGTCAGTATTTGTCAAGATGTAGTAACTGGCAGACGACACAGCCCCATCATGGTCAAGAACCGACTTACGCTCCAGCCACCCCATTCATCGCAGACAGCTCCCCTACGGCGTAGGTCGTGACCAGCACAGCCGGCGAACCTTTGATCCTAGTGTAGCCATCAGCAGCATACGCGCCATTGAGCTCGTTGCAGCAGCCAATCCATTTCAACCCCGAGACGTTGTAGATTTCATCGAGAAGAGTGACTGTGGCGACACCGAATCAGAGTGACATTCTTGCACAAATGTTAGCCAGGGTAGAATTGGCACTGACGGTTAAAATCCCCTGGGACGCCTAGGATATGTTCTGTGCCGAGTTGCTTGATTCTCTGAAAGAGGTACTGGCCCATGCATATAGTAGGCGCAGACATGGTGGTGGTGGTGAAGTCAGTTGCAGGCTGATGTGAGAAGAACCAGAGCAGTCAACAACATATATGGAATGGACTTTGTGACCTTTCTTGGGAGTATCTTTGGGGGAATTTATATTCTCGCTAATTGATGACGATCACAATAGTTGAACTGTGAGGGAGTCTACGGCAAGGGCAAGGGCAAGGGCGTGCACGGGAGTGTCCATGTCAAGAGGCTGAGAGAAGATGATGTTACGGCCGAGGCTGTGGGGGAAAGTGGGAATTCTGCGATCCATGCGCTTATTCACGGATGGTTGTGTGTATAGACGGAGTTGTTGCGCGGAGTTTTCTCTGTCCTACTTGGTGTGGTACATAAGCGACGTTTGTGTCTTACAGACACCTCGTTTGGTGTCACTGTCAGATCCATGCTTCTACTTCACACGATGTTTTGTTGGCGCTCCGTTCGGTCCGAAGGTAAGAGTCAAAGGTTTCTAGACTATCCAGTGCTTTTCCATTTGCCTCCGCTATCAAGCAGTGTCCGAGGATTCGGCGAAAGACTCATAATTCGGGAGTCCAAGGGCCGAAGCCATTCAATTGTTGTCTTTATGGGAATGCAATCCCTCCATCCACATGGATAACCTGGCCGGTGATATACGAGGTCGCTGGGCTCGCCATGAACAGGACCGTTTCCGCGATCTCTTTGGGTGTGCCCTCTCTCTTGATGTGCTGATTGTTCCTCAGTCTCGCACCAATCGGAGTGCCTTCCATGGACAGATCCGTGGCGGTCGGCCCGGGAGACACCACATTGGCCGTGATACCCTTGGGCCCTAGCTCTTCTGAAATAGCCACGGTCATCGAGGTCAGAGCGCCTTTGGACGCACAGTAGACGGGCAGCATCCATGAACCAAGTCGTGAGATGATGCTTCCAATGTTGATGATGCGTCCGCCAGTTGTCATGTACGGCAGCGCTGCCTGGATGAGGACGAATGGGCCTCGCACGTTGATACGGAACACGGGATCCCACTCGTCGAATCCCACAGATGCGATGCCCTGGATGTTCGGCGTGGCGAAGCCGGCATTGTTGACGATGATGTCGATGGTTTTGGTGTTGAACTCCTTCAGGGCAGCGTTGACCAGAGTGCTGCCAAAGTCGGCGCTCGACGCATCGGCTTTGACTGCCGCAGACTGAACTCCCAGACTCTTGATTTTGGCCACGACTTCCTCTGCTGGCCCGGCCGAGCTGTTGTAATGGATCAAGACCTGAGTTTGCAGTGTCAGCGCCGGCTGTGTTCAGAACGATATCGACAAGCATACATTGGCACCGTGTTCAGCGAGCGCAATTGCAGACGCCGCCCCAATTCCATTCGGCTTGCCTGCACCTGTGACGATGGCAGTCTTGCCCTTGAGGTATTGTTGTTCCATAGCGTGTCCGTTGGGTCTAACGAGATAGAATCTGTCACAAGGAATTTCTGAAAGTAGAGGGCTGGTGCGTTAATAGTGAATGCAAACAAGACGAACTCAGAGCGTGTGAAATGTCCGTTTTAATATCTGAATCCCAGTGTGTGAGTCTTGTCTTGGAATCGAATACGAACCCCGCTTCTTCTCAGCTCTCAGCAGAACTTTAGTTGTGTATGCGGTCATTGTCAATGCATCGCGTCCCCTTGCATTACAGAGCATCTACACCCAGACCGGAGCCTCGCAGTTTGCTCTTATTCCCACGCTCCGTCGCCCTGATAGACCGCTGACTGATGACTGATGGTGGAGGCAGTCAAGGTTTCGTCTGGAGGATCCCGACGGGGCAGGACGAACAGCGAAAGCCAATCCGATCCCTCGAGCATTTACTCAAAACGACCTCGTCTACGACGCCACCAGATGCTCTCCAGAACGATTACCTGATCACGGCCCGCAGCCCCAGCCTCCATTGGGTCGCTCGCTCGGTTAGAAGAAACCTCATGAGCCTCGTCGGAGCACGCATCTCCTCGAAAAAACCTCAAGCATAGGGACAAGCCTTCTATGACGGGCTGCGGATTATTCAGAGTGACAGTGGATGAATTACCAACCCTTCGTCGCTGTCGACTCGATGAGCGCCAACTCGACCATGGCAGTTCTGTTGTCTTCTAGAGGGTATATTATGGGGTTCTGCACGCACAAGACGGTGTCAAGTAGGCTTTGTCAAAGCAATCACTTGCAAAAGGAAAGATTTCACCCGGACAAGACTACCTAGAACTGCTCAATTCACAACATGCCCTCTGTACTTCTTTTTGGGGCTACCGGCCTCATCGGATGTGAGTCAAGGCCACCGGGCTCCAAAGACCAATGCTAACCGAAATCCAGCTCGTTTGGCCATTGATCTCAAAAAGACACTCCCTGGATGGCCGCTGACAGTATTCGTGCGCAACTCCAATGTCGACGAGTGGTTCAAAACCACCGCCAATGTTGATCGAATCGTCCATGGGACAATCTCCGACGCCGAGCTGGTGCGGTCTCTGAGCAAAGAACATGACATCGTCATCAACGCCATTACTTCCTTCGACGGTGACTTTGTCAAGAACATTATCGCAGGCATGGAAGAGAGACCCGAACAATCCAAGGGCACCTTGGTCCATATCTCCGGCACGGGCAATTTTATCGATCATGGCACGACCGGAAGTTTCAATCCCGACGGCAAAGTTTGGAATGTGCGTCTCGGTCTCCAGTGACCACCTGGGAATGAACCTGAATCTGACATGACACGTAGGACGACAACGAAGACGACATCCGAAAGATTGTGCCGAGCATGTTCAACGGTCCCACAGACGTCCCGTAAGCCGTTTTCGGAGCCCTATCTATTGGTCTCTCCAAGTACTGATCTGGACCAGGGTGCTCGAGGCAGGAGAACGCGGAAAGATCATCACCTACATTGTGTGCTTTGCCATGACCTACGGCCCCAACATTGGGCCGGCGCCAAACCTAGGGGTTGCCTACAATCTGTTGACTTCGAACGCAAAGAAGCAAGGATACGTCCCATATGTCGGTGATGGTTCGGCCGTGGCTAGTTTGATCCATGTCGGGGATGGCGTTCCTTTCCTCACGAAGATCGTCGGGATCGCTGGCACGCAGAAGCCCACGGGTAGCGCCTACTCCAGGTACTATATCCTCCATGGCGAGAGGGTCGCCTGGAAGGACTTGAGTTCTGAATTGGCCAAGGTCCTGCATGCCAAGGGTGTCGTGGCTTCGCCAGAGCCCAAAGCCGTGCCCTCCGCTGATGCCGGGGCAGGGGAGATTGGCGCGCTGATAGCGTCGAATATGCTGGTGAAGGGAGATCGTGCCGCCAGGCTGGGTTTCAAGGCCACGCATCCGTCGGTCTTGGTGCAACTGCACGAGGATCTCGGAGCCCAGAACTTCTAGATGTCAGCCCGTCGATCAAATAGGTATTGTATCTCTGAAGAATTCGGTTCCGTGGTCTTTGTAGACCCTCGCTCTGCACAAGTGTGATCTGCCAATATCTTTTCAGTGGGATGGTGGGTCTAGTGGCTTGAGATAGATTGATTCGGCGTTGTAGGGATTTGATCCGTTCACGTAAATAATGGAGCCTCTGGAAAGACGAAGAATGCGAGACTTATAGCAAAGCTTTGAGATATCCAAGGTTTTAGGTATACACGCTGTCACAGAGGATCGAAAAATCCTTGCTCTTCAGCCACCAGTCGTTGGGTCTCGCAGACCCAGAGCTGTTTGTCCGGTAGAGCTACTTTATACAGAAAGGAGTTTGGTCGGTAAGGCTCGTCCTGACTTGATATCACCGTCGTTGTGGCATCGATTCCATCTGATCCAATGAGTTGTCATCCTCCAGAACAGACTGTGGTTCTCCAAGAATGTCGGCCACTTCTCTCTGTCCAACCAACGTTCGAGCTTGGTTGTATGACAGCTGGCGGTCGACCAGGACTTCTCTGATAAGGCTCATCGTTTCCCGTACCTGTTAAGATCATGTTGTCAGCATTTTCCACTCGCAAAAGAGTTGGCGAGTCGAATTGAGCGTGACATATTCTGGTATCAGATAACTTTCCAGTAATATTCGAATCATGACCAACAGGATTAAGCAGTCCTAGAGGCCAGAGTTTCATATCGGCGAGTGAAAGGATGAGGTTCATCATTATGACTTAATCAGGAAGGGTGAACCACTTACAACAGCCACTCTCTCCTCACTTTCCACTTCACCATAACCTGCCCTCAGACGTTGTCTTTCTTTTTCTCGGGTCAGAGTTCGATTCTGTTCCTTCACACACACCCAGTAGAGTTTATGGAGATCCTCGAAAGATTTGACGGATAGCTCCTTGTACGTCCAAGCCCGTCCTGTTTTCGTACAGCAATAGTCAGCCCACGTTGTTTTTACTCACGCCGTAGCGGCCAAAGAGGAACCTGCATACCATGGCTCGATTCATCATCTGGTGCAAGCAGTGCCTGCTTGGACTTGTCGAAAAATCCCCAGAGCCCATGATCGGCAGATTCTGCATATTCTGCCGCTGTTCCTCTGTGATCTCGTGCTACAGGCACTGGAAGAGGGTATTTCCAGAGCCCTCGCATACTCCTGGGTCCAGTCCGTCGAATAGCGGAGACACCTCTTTTCTTGTTCCGATCAATTTTAGGACGTGCATGTAGTGCCCAGTTTGTGTGGCTTTTCTTCTCCTCCTTTTGTGTTGCATATGATCGAATGATAGGTGTTGATGAGGTTGCGGTGATGGTGGATGGTCTCGCGAAGGCTGGCGCCAGGAACAGTGGGATCCTTGTCACTGATGGAGGCCCAGCAATTGTCCTAGGGATTGATGCCATCTTTGGCTCACAGGAGTCTTTAGGAATCGCAAGGGAACGCAAAATCCGGAGATTATAGCTCTGCTTGAGGCATGGATGTAGTGAAGCTCCTTGAGTTTCGCAATTGGAAAACTGCGCCAAGACCGGCTCGCTAGACCTTCCTCAAACCGCCTGCTCAACTAACCAGTTCGAGACATGTCAACAAACCGTTTGTGTCAATCGGTAGGCAAAGATTGTTCATGCGCCTGAACGTGTTCTAAGAGGATTCACCGCATTGACTGCGTGATTCGGCATCATGAAGATCATAGAACTTGTCATTGACGGGTAAGGGCTTTTCAAATGTCCGCTTGGGTATTGTTGATAACTAACGTGCGCAGCTTCAAATCCTACAGCCAGAGAACTGTCATCTCTGGATGGGATCAAAGCTTCAACGCGGTGACAGGACTCAATGGATCTGGGAAGTCCAATATCCTTGACTCAATATGTTTTGTACTGGGCATCACCAACATGTCCACCGTACGAGCGCAAAACCTCCAAGACCTCATCTACAAGCGCGGCCAAGCGGGAGTGACCAAGGCGAGCGTCACAATCGTGTTTGATAACAGCGACAAGAGCACTAGTCCGATCGGGTTCGAAGAGTATGCGCAGATCAGCGTAACGCGACAGATTGTTATGGGTGGGACAAGCAAATATCTGATCAACGGTCACCGAGCGCAACAAACCACGGTCCAGAATCTATTCCAGAGCGTTGGATTGAATATCAATAACCCAAATTTCATCATCATGCAGGGACGGATCACAAAAGTCCTCAATATGAAAGCTGCCGAAATTCTGGCCATGATCGAAGAAGCTGCAGGAACCCGCATGTTTGAGGATCGGAAGGAAAAAGCCGTCAAGACCATGGCAAAGAAGGAGATGAAGGTTGTCGAAATAGAAGGATTGTTGCGCGAAGAGATAGAGCCCAAACTCGACAAACTACGTGGCGAAAAACGGGCGTGGCTAGACTACCAAAAGACACAAAGCGAGCTCGAGAGGCTGACACGAGTGGTTGTTGCAGCGGACTACGTTCGATCTGGTGAAAGGATGAAGAGTGCAACTCAAGAACATGAGGTCAAGAGAGCGAAGGTGCAACACTTGGAGGAGAACGCCCTGAAACTCAAACGCGAGATTGAGAACTTGGACGAAGACGCTCAACGCGTTCGTGCTGTTCGAGAAAAGGAGATGCGCAAAGGCGGGCGATTTCAAGCAGTCGAAGCTCAGGTAAAGGAGCTGAGCCATGAGCTTGTCCGCCTAGCAACTGTGCTTGATCTGAAGCAGTCTAGTCTGTCTGAAGAAGAGCAGAAAAAGAAAGACATCGCAAAATCTGTCAAGAGTTTGGAAAAGCAAGTGAGTGACAAAAAGTCAGGACTCGCGAAACTGCAGTCGCAGTGGGACAGCGCAAAAGCAGAGCATGATTCTCAAGTCTCTGAAGTCGAGAGGAAAGAGGAGCTTCTGTCAACGCTGCAGACCGGAGTGGCTTCGCGCGAAGGCCAGGAAAGTGGATATCAAGGCCAGCTGCAGGAAGCTAGAAATCGATTGACCGCCGCAACCACCGAACAAGAACAGGCCAAGATGAAGATCTCGCACCTGGAGAAACGGATAAAGGAAGACGAACCACGGGCCAAAAAAGCTCGTGAACAGAATGCTGATCTCCTCAAGGGTCTGGAAGTACTTCGCAAAGAAGCACAGAAGCTGGAGAGAGACCTCCAGAACCTGGGATTCGAGCCAGGCCGCGAAGAGAGCATGCGGGAGCAGGAAGTTGCACTTCAAAAGAGCATCCGCTCTCTTACCCAACAAGCCGACGAGCTAAAGCGAAAGGTCGCAAACGTCGACTTTCATTTTAGCGACCCTTCTCCAAACTTTGACCGCTCGAGGGTGAAGGGCCTGGTTGCACAACTCTTTACCTTGGACAAAGACAAAGCTGTCGCCGGCACCGCGCTTGAGATTTGTGCCGGTGGTAGACTGTACAATGTCGTTGTGGACACAGCAGAGACTGGAACACAGTTGCTCCAGCACGGAAAGCTCAAAAAGCGAGTGACCATCATTCCTCTCAACAAGATTTCGGCTTTCAGAGCATCAGCAGAGAAGGTTGGAGCAGCACAGCGAATAGCGCCGGGCAAGGTTGATCTTGCTCTGTCCCTGATCGGGTACGACCACGAAGTATCCGCAGCTATGGATTACGTTTTTGGAACTACTTTGATCTGTCAGGATGCGGAAACGGCAAAACGAGTGACATTTGATCCTGCAGTCCGGCTGAAGAGCGTGACGCTTGAAGGAGACGTCTATGATCCCTCGGGTACGCTTTCTGGAGGAAGTGCTCCTAATTCCAGCGGTGTTCTTGTGATTCTCCAAAAACTAAATGAGGTCACGAAGGAACTACAGAAGCATCAATCAGAACTTCAACAGCTCCAACAGACCATGAGAAATGAGCAAACAAAGCTTGCCAACATCAAGTCGGTCAAGCAAGTTCTGGATCTCAAAAGTCATGAAATCAAGCTTGCAGAGGAGCAGATATCGGGCAATTCTTCCTCATCAATCATCCAAGCAGTCGAAGAGATGAGAGCGTCAATCGTGCAACTGAAGCAAGATATGGCAGGTGCCAAAGCCAAGGAAAGCGAGGCGGCACGGGATGTGAAGCGGATTGAAAAGGACATGGAAGATTTCAGTAAGAACAAGGATAGCAAACTCAAAGAACTGGAGAAGTCGTTGGTGGACCTGAAAAAGTCGCTGTGCAAGACATCGGCAGCGATCAAAGCGCTTCAGAAGGAGTTGCAAGACGCAAAGATCGACTGTGAACAAGCCGAAAGCGATTTGAACGCGGCTCTGGAGCAACTTTCCGAGGCTGATACCACGATTGAGAACCAGAAAGAAGAACTCCAAAATCTCCGGCAAGAAGAAGCGACTGTGAAAAGCAACCATGACATTGCACAGGCCGAATTGGACGACGAACGAGCAAAACTGACGGGATTCGACGACGAGCTGCGCGAACTGGAACAAGCTAAATCGAAGAAATCCAAACAAATCGCAGAAGAAACACTCGAGGCGCAAAAGCTGGGCCACGCGGTGGAGAAGGCTCAGAAGGACGCCCAAGCAGCCGCGCAACTGGTGGCCGCACTTGAAAAGGAGCATGACTGGATTGAAGACAACAAAGATCAATTCGGACGTGCTGGCACGCCATACGACTTCCACGGCAAGAATTTGGCGGAAAGTCGAGCAACTCTGAAAAACGTCACCGAGAGATTCCAAGGGATGAAGAAAAAGATCAACCCCAAGGTGATGCCCATGATCGATAGTGTCGAGAAGAAAGAGGCATCACTCAAAACAATGCTCCGGACGGTGATCCGAGACAAGAAGAAGATTGAGGAGACTATCAGCACGCTGGACGAATACAAGAAAGAGGCGCTGGTCAAGACATGGCGCAAGGTCACCGAGGACTTTGGGAACATCTTCTCGGACCTATTGCCAGGAAACAATACGGCGAAATTGGTGCCATTAGATGACAACATTGATCGAATTCAGGAAGGGTTGGAGGTGAAGGTGTGTTTGGGAAAAGTCTGGAAGCAGAGTCTCACAGAGCTTTCTGGTGGTCAAAGGTATGCCATGCTTGCATTCTGTCGTTCTGTCACCGCAGTACTAACGCATTGCCATAGGTCACTCATTGCCCTATCACTCATCCTTGCGCTGTTACAGTTCAAGCCCGCTCCCATGTATATCCTGGACGAGGTGGACGCGGCACTGGATCTTTCACACACTCAAAATATTGGTCGGATCATCAAGACAAGGTTCCAAGGATCGCAATTTATCGTCGTCAGTTTGAAAGACGGCATGTTTCAGAACGCCAATCGTGTGTTCCGGACGAGGTTCAGCGAGGGGACAAGTGTAGTGTCTGTCATGACACCTGGGGAGTTGAAGGGATGAGAGTTGCGTCGATCAAATGTTCTTTGTTTGGTGAACTCATTCAGAGGAGTTTTGGACTTGATGTGGTATGTTTGGAAGTGGCTATCTGCGCCCATTTGTGTTGATATTTGTTTGGGTTGATGAGTTCATGACTTGATGAGGGCATTTTTTGCAGTGGTGACATTGGTGATCTGCTTGGGGACTGGCGATCAGATGCCGGATAGGCACCTTGGACATATTTTCCGGCGTGAATTCATCTTGTTCGACAAGCTCAGTCTTTCACCTCGTTTCCAGACTGTCGACGACTTCTTCCACGACTCCTCGGACACCCGAGATGTCATGGGCAAACCTCCCCAGAAACAAGCCGTCGACCCATTTGCCCAGCCCGTCCCCTCCATTGGTCTTCCCACTCCAAAGCCCTGGGCCCGCGCTGCCCCCATAAACGACCTTGACCTCGGCCGTTCGCTGCGGCACGATCTGCCTCGCGAGCTCCCGGATCGCCTGGACCACCGGACCGACGTACTCGACGCCGGCGGGCTCGGCGGCGCCAATGGCCCAGACGGGCTCGTAGGCGAAAATGACGGGGGCGTGGTGCGGGACGGCGGTCAAGACGGACTGGATCTGCGGGCGCAGCTGGGCCATGGCGACGCCGACGGACTGGCTCAGCGGGCCGCGGAGGTCGGGCTTGTCCAGCTCGCCGATACAGACCAGGGGCACCATGTGGGCGGCGCTGACGGCGGCAGCCTTTGCCGCCGCGGTGGCGTCGTCCTCGCCCAGGTACCGCCGGCGCTCGGCGTGGTTGAGCTCGACGACGGAGCAGCCCAGCTGCTTGATACCTGGGACGACGATCTCGCCCGTGAAGGCGCCGTAGGTGGTGGACGGGTAGACGTTTTGCGCGCCGAGGGCGATGGGCCACGACGACGTGTCTAGGTCTTTGTCCTCTGGTAGGAAAGGAGGTCTGGAGGCAACATCTCTCCCGCCAGGATCAGCAGCGGAGGAGAACTGTGCGCTCAGAGTCTGTGCGCACGGGTAGATGGTGAGAAAGTCCGGGATGAGAACGAAGAGCACGTCGGCGCTGTGCCGCTCGAGGAGCGGGAGGATGTTGTTGGCTGGGTCGAGCAGGGAGGCCAGGTACGCGACGGTGCGGGAGGGGGAGAAGTAGGCCTTTGTGGATGTGAGGATCAATTTGGAGGGGAGGCGAGGGTATGTCGGTGATGTAGACATTGTTTGCAGTTACCCAGAAAGCCAGAGAGCAGGAAGCCGGAGTGGTAGAGAGTAGTCGAGTCAGAATTGTGTTGTGGTTTGGTCAAGAGTTTGACGGGAGTCAAAGTCAATGATGCTACTCGTAGGTGTCGATATACATCCCATTACGGAAGACGCCCATCCACATACCTAAGTATTCACTCTCAGCACTACCACCCACTACAGTAGTTTGAGTGGGTAAGTAAGACGATTGACCACCACTACCTTTTGCCTTCTCATAGCTCCCCACTATTCATCTACATAACTTTTACAGTACGCTACGAGTACCGAGCAATAGTCCATACATACAACCCCGTTGCCCCCCTCCCACGTGTCGGGTGCGTGGTTAGGAAATGAAATGAAATTAGCCGGTCCCGGAAGTCTCAATACGGCAATCCCGTGCACCCATGCCACCCCGACCAAAATTTTTTTTGAGATTGGAGAAAAAGAGAGACAATGACGCCATGTTTACGAGGGACTTGGGAACATGTTCGAAATCGGGCAAATCGGACACGGCAATAGACGCCGTCGCACCGCCGCCGCCGTCAGGTCGAGTGTGAGCCCCCAGCAAGCAGAGACAATGCGACGATGGGCGATTCTTCTCCATCTCCAGGATCTTGTCGTTTGATATTATCATTGATTGACACTGTACATTGTATGCTTCCATACATACATACATACATACATACACACACGTATCACCTATCGCCTACCACTAATACCGAGTACAACTCTTGTCTCCATAGACACCCCGCCTACACCTACTGTACCACACAGCACTCTCCAAATCATCCCTTCTTGTCGTGACGAACATATCCACCCACCTGCACATACACAGCCGAAACCTCGAGTCAAATTTATCTCCCCAGCGCATAGAATGGCGACCAACGGCACGTCAACCCAAACCCCCCTCCGGGTCGTCGTGGGCAGCGACAACGCCGGGCACGCCTACAAGACGGCGCTCAAGGAGGTGCTCAAGAAACACGCGGGGGTGACGCACGTCCTGGACGTTGGCGTGGTCGACGCCGACGACGCGACAGCGTACCCGCACCTGGCGGTGGATGCGTGCAAGAAGATCAAGTCGGGAGAGGTATGTTTCATTCACCTTTACACACACACACACACACACACACACACACACACACACACACACCCACACACCCACAGACAGAGAGAGGGATTCCCCCCTCAGAATCTAGCTATTAACCCCCATGGCTAAAACCAGGCCGACCGCGCCCTCCTGATCTGCGGCACGGGTCTCGGCGTCGCCATCTCGGCCAACAAGGTCGAGGGCATCCGGGCTGTGACGGCGCACGACCCCTACAGCGTCGAGCGCAGCGTGCTCTCCAACAACGCCCAGGTGCTGTGCTTCGGCCAGCGCGTCATCGGGCTCGAGCTGGCCAAGAAGCTGGTCGACGAGTGGGTCGAGCTGCGCTTCGACGAGTCCAGCGCCAGCGCCGAAAAGGTCGCTCACATTTCAAAGTACGAGGAGCAGTTTGGCGAGTTGTGAGTGGCAGTTTTTGCCAGAGGAGGAGGTTCTTTGAAAGAGAAAAAAAAGTGATTTTTGGAGGGCGGGGGGGAGGAGAGTCTATTATGATCATAGAGGACGAGGGACGAGAAGCGTGATGGCCTCCTCCTTCGTCTTTCTGCTGGTGACGGGTGGTGGGAATCAAAATACATGACTGTGCCGTCGGTGTCCCTTTCTTACAGCATTCGAAGGGGTTTTCGGGTCTTATTCATTTGGGGCCACCAAGGGGAAAATCAATTTGACCATTGTGCATATCGAAAGGAAGTCCATGTATCTGACTGACCGACATCTCGTGTCGTCCAACACATTCAATATAAATAAAACACCACGGCCACGCCACAAGACTCAACCTGAAACCCCAAAGATGGAGACTGTTCGAGTCCCTGTGTACTTACAGTACCTTAGAGAGTCTTGGCCTTTTCCAACCCGCCACTTTGCAGGATCTGTCTCTTTACGCGCACAAAGGCATCGACGCCCATGAGGCACGCTGAAATACAGGAAGACCAGGTCGTTAGCCTGAACACAGATCCGGTGACAAGTTCTGCGAGAATGGTAACATGGAAACGGAACAGAGGAATAAAAAGACCCCGGAAGACAAAATAGAGATAGAGCTGAGGAGAACACGTACCGAGTACCAAGTAAGGAACGTAGAGGCCGTACAGGTCCGACTTCTGAGCCGACGAGTAGCCTTTCCAGGAGGAGATGTCGACGATGCAGGTGAGTGTGGTGACGGCGACTTCGAGGGAGAAGATGAGGAGATGGAGCGGAACCAGAGGATGGTCTGTTGACAGGAGGGTTGGTGATAGTTATTAGCTCATCTGACTGAACGCCGACCAATATCAACTAACCGTTGAACAGCCCCCAAACCATCCACAGGCTAATCGGCACGTGGTACACGGCCTCGATCCACATGTACGCCGTGAACCACGCCGGCGGGCTGACGAAGAACTGGTCCTGGAACCGCTCGAGCTGGTACGCGCGCAGGGTGTGGGAGAGCGGCGAGACGAGGAAGGACGGGAGGATCGAGGCCAGGTCCACCACTGACAAAAGGCTGGTTAGTGTCGAGTCATTCCCCCATGAGACGGGAATAGGGGAGGAATATCTTTTGCATGGCGCAAGGCTGCGCGTCGTTGTCGTCGTTGTCGTTGTCGTCGTTGTCGTTGTCGTCGTTGTCGTTGTCGTCGTTGTCGTTGTTGTCGTTGTCGTGGGACAGACATAGAAGTGTAGAAATGAACATCCCTGTCCAATTGGATCTTGGTGTGCCCACACCCCAGGAAAACCTGTGACTTACAAAACATAATAGGAACATGCACGATGAAGAAGGCCAGATACACCATGTCGAGTTTCCTCGTAGACAGGGGCCGGGGAGTGGCGCGTCGCGTCACCGTGGTTGGAGTGGTGGTCGCCATCTATTTGGGTGGCCGAGGGAGGCAGAGAGCGAGATGGAGATAGAGATGGTGGTAAGCAGGACAAATATCACACAGCGAGGCGGATCCAGAGTGAAGTGGTCATACAAGGCACAGCATGTAGAGAGAGAGAGAGAGAGTGTGTGTGTGTGTGTGTGTGTGTGTGTGTGTAGAAGAAAAGTGATTGAGTTGTAGAAGAACCACGACAGGGATTTCCCAATCGGGAATCGAATCTCGCTTCAGATTCGCATTTGCGTTTACATTCACCTTCATCTTCACCTTCACCTTCATCTTCACCTTCACCTTCGTCTTCACTCTAACATCCACCGTCTCGTGGAGATTCGAACTTCAATTCGGTTTCCAAATCGAATCTCGTCTTTCTACAACCCGGCAAACTGGCAAACTAACTGGTGAGCTGCTGATCCTCATAGCAGCCTGCCAACCTCGCCAACCAGACTCCAAAATGCCCCATGCACTCACTCACTACCTGGTCATGAATTTCCGAGCATATGGATTACAAGATACACGCGGCATCGACATCGACACCGACATCGACACCGCCACGGCCTCTCATCCTAGAAGGCGCCCAACTCTCTCAACCACCTCCCTGGCCACCCTCGTGGTCTCCTCGTCCAGCCCTGCCGCTCTCCCTTGCTGCAACAAGGCATGCATTGTCTCCTGCACCTTTGTCGCCGCAACCTCACTGCCAAATATGACAGACCCTGCTCTTGTCGAGTCGTGGAACCATCGCCCGACCACATAAACCAATTCCGAGGCGATGTACTTGCGATTGGACCCCACAAACGGCGGATCCCCCGAGAAGAACATCATCTCCAAGATCTCAAAAAGCCGCTCACAAGGAATCTCCAGAGACAAAAAGATGTCCACAACCCAATGCGGAGGCGCCACGGTGCGTTGATGTTCGAATGAGTACTTCTCCAGGATAGGGAGCAACGTTTGGACCGGGAACGTCGTCTCGGCCACCCGCATTTTGCTGCCCAGGCTTCTGACTTCGTCGGCAATGGCTTCAAAGGGTTGGATCTGCCCTTCTTCCTGGACTTTGTCATGTACTGACTGGAGGAGCTGTTGCCAGGTCTGCTTGATCTGGGCTGGATCCCGGTGATCGGCAACTTGGTAGATCAACAGACAGAGGTCATAGTATCCGGCATTGTCCGCGTAGTTGTTGAACAGCGTGTTAATGTCCAAAATCGGTCCATTGACCTGATCAAGAACTTCTTGTCGCCTATCGGGCCCGAGTCGATAATCGTCCCGTAACCGCTGGAGAACTTCATCTTGAATGGTTGCAATGTCCAGGAGTTCGGTGATCTCTTGGAGGAGCTGCTGTTTCATCTTCCGGCTGCCTCCTGGTGTGTAGGTCGAGGCATTCGCCCGCGCCCTGCTCAAGTATTCGATTCTCTTCTCCAGGGAGAGTGGGAACGAGCTTCGGGCAAGTTGCAGCTGGATCTTGGCCGCCTCGGAAAATTGGTTGGTCTGACTGTAGTACTTCCAGAGTAGATCCGCGTAGAGAATGTCCTCGGTCGACCTGCGTTGAAGATAGGTCACTATGAATGGTGACTCGGTCGCCAGCAGCCGATCGTACCATCCCTGCTGGAGGTACCAATCATAGAGATTGGTCAAGAACGCCTCATCCTTTGACCGGCTAATGACATCGTATGCTTCATTCCGTCTCGTGGCAGCGAGCGTTGGGTGGCCGTCCACAAAACTCGGCCCTTGTTCCGTCGTCTTATCAACGGCGACAATAACCGCGTGGATCAGATCATAGCACTGACTCCGCAGATCAAACTTTGCTCTTCGCGGATCCGGCTCTGGTCGACCTTCCGCCATCCAGGATAGTGCTTCATTCGCCTTGTCCTTTTCGTGAGCAACCCGAAGGACAAGTTGGATGGCTCCAGCAAAGAACTGCAGATCCGTATATTGTTTCACGGCAGATTCCAGGTAGTCGTGGGGCAGGCTGTGGGCCACTCTTTCAAAAAGTTTCAAGCTTTCATTCAGAAGATTCCGTGAAGAGTCGTTGTTCGTTCCCGCTTCGGCCGCTCGTCTCAATTGTTCTTGGGCTTTGAAGATCACCACGTCGTCTGCACTGCAGAAGCTGCCGCATTTTCTGCGCAGGGCTTCAGCAACCGTCTCCACATTCGATCCTTTGGCAATGTTGCGATTGACAATGGCCTTGACGAGCTCTTTGGCAAGCTCATACCCTTTCTTCGTCGTGAAGAGCTCCTCAAAGGTGAGCTTCAGCATTTCCGGTCTTGAGGCCTCCGGCAGCAGGGGTACTATCTCCGCCACCTTCTCTTCGAACAAGACCAGGATGAACGAGAGTCCTTCAATGGTGTCGGATGTAAACTTGACCAATGAATGCAAGGCACGGTGTTCGCCTTGTAGAGCGATCTCGTCGTCCTTGGTGCTTGTCGCCGAAAGATCATCAGGTCCGCTGAGGCCTTTGATGAAACTCTTGTTCGTTTGGAAGAAGCGTTGGAGCGCAGACAACGACTCTTGGACATCTCGTAATTTTTTCAGAGGTACCGCAGGGTTGATCTGGTAACCAGCCGGTGTGGTTGATTCCAGAGCAATCACGTTCTTCCACGTCGACCTCAATAAGCGCGAAAGGTACAGAGTAATGGCCGCATGGCGCGGCGACGGTCGCACGGCGTCGATCAACGGCACGGATCTGTCGGTGATGGAATTCTGATTGATGCTTGGCTTTCCGCCGTACTCGATGAAGGTCTTGCGGGCAAGCTCGAGAACTTCAGGGTCATTAACCCGTACCGCCTGAGCACTCCCTGTATCCTCCACCCCTTGACCACATGCGACCGCCAGTGCCGTAGCTAGAGTCTCTGTCCTGCCATAAGCCCGGATCAAGTTGCTCACCTCGTGCTGGAATCCTTCAGGCCCTCCCCCTTGACTGCTTAGAGCTGCAAAAATGTCCACCAGGCGGCGCCTTCTGATAATGTGGATGCCCGTATTTGTCAAAATGGCAATTTCGGGGATGGCCTTGTCGAACTGTACAGCCAAGTCGTTCCCATAGCCCACTGGATTCAGAATCGGAGCAGAGTAGGGAATCACCAACCCTATGTCTTCTGCCCGACTGCCCAGTGACAGCCATATTGCAGATTCCGAAGTTCGACTTGTCTGGCCTGGTTCGGAGCTCCTCAGCAGTCTACCGGCATCAGGGGCTGAGATAAATAGTTGGTCAGTTGGCGAATTGGCGTCCCTGGCTGTGAAGCAAAAGAAGTACCCAGGTGGATACCGTGCAGCGAGTCGAGTTGTTGTCAACGTCCTGATGGGATGTTGGACGTCGGTGGATGAGTCTGTCCCCCATGTGCTTGAATGACCTGGGTTGGGGGATACGGGCGGTACTTTGACATGCTGGGCCTGCACACTGATGGGAGCACTGGACCGGGTTGAAGATCCATAGCTGTAGCTGGTAGCGCTTTTGGCACTGAGGTATATTCGATAACCGGTTGCTGTGACCGCAACCAGGTGATACCTTGATGCTTCGGAGGCTGGAAGAGGCGATATCGACACAATCTTGACTCGGTTGTTGAGGGCTTCGCTCTGATTAATGATATGGCCAATGTTGTCATAGATCTCGGATGCAGGTTTTGTGACCAAGAGAGGTAGCCCGCCTTCCGGCTTGATGTGGAACACGCGAATATTCGAAGTGGAAGAAAGCGTGTACAGCAGATCTCTACTGTCGTCCACCACAATCTGTTCCACATACTCCTTCTGTCCGTGGGCAAAGCTGCTGAATGTCCATGTTAAAGACTTGGCAGCACCACTAGTGTGACAAATCTTCGCACATCGACTTGCAAACCACCGATCCTCTTGCTGATATGTGAGCTCATATATGTCATTGTCCGTCCTGCCACCGAAAAATATCCTCCCAGTCTTTGCAGAGGATGCAATGACGCTGACATCGAGACCTCTTACTGACACTGACATTCCGGTCTGAAAGAGAGAGAGAGCAGAAGAGCCGCCCGGACCTGAGTCGGTCCCTAGCCCCAGCAGAAATATCTCCGCAGTTGTTCCAATGACAATGACGTTCTTAATGTTCGGTAGAAAGACCCCCGCGCGAGGGACGGCGAGTTTGACGGCAAGGATGCTGTGCGACTGTCCCTCGAACCCCAGTAGTTCGGGTCTTGGTGCCGAGTAATCCCACATGTACAAAGCATTGTCGATTGTTGTCCAAGCATATCTCAGCTCCGCAAACAGGCCCATACTCGTGGTCAACTGCGCGTTGTTATACTGCTCGAAGATTTCATCGGGAATCCTGTAAAAGCCAGCTCGCTGAAAGGGTGCCCATGTCGTCGAAGACTGGATGTCGTAGTCGGCAGAGTAGCCCTGGGACAAGTAACTGTCGACATCTGGAAATCGCGATTCACTTGCAAGGGACTCGTTGATTGTGCGCGCAGCTCTTTCCACGGGTTCCAGAGCCTCAGGTGGGCGCATCGATGCTTGTATGGGCGCATCGGAAGGATTTGTGGTGATGAGACCTGCTGAAGGCTGAGAAGGTATGAGGGAAGGGCGGGACATGGGAGTCGTGGGAGACTGAAAGGAGGGCGCAGGTATCGGTGGTGGACGGGCGGCGGGAGTCTGAGGCCAGATGCCCGGCACAGGCCGGACAGGCGTCTGCGTAACTACAGAGCCCATCGTTGGCGGGGATTAGTGTCGTTGTCGCAAGGGAGGGTGAATGGTTCAATCGTGAACAGACATGAATCGACGCAGTCGCTGTGCAAGGACAGCACGGAAGGGCGATGCTGTTTATCGATTCAGAGGCGACGGAAATTAACACAGTTCCGAGAGGACAAAGGGCAATATGTGACGTAGAGACAGCCGCACTCCAGGCCTCTGTGAAATGTCAAGTTGTGGTTTACTGAGACAGTGATAGAAATATAGACGCGACTGGAGATGGAAAGTAATGCGGTCATACCAGAAGAGGTTTAGCGTCAGGTACCATGACTCGCGCAACACAATTTGTACCAAGTTCACCAGTCTCTCCCACGGACCTGTAAACTTACCACTTGTGGCTTGATCCTTTACCTTGGTCCATCTCAGCCTATACCTGGTCTTTGACAAGTGGTAGACATGGCGCCAATCCGCAGTTCGAAGCTTTTGTTCCTCCTCGACCAGCCGATTTGCTCTCGATGTACCCGCAGAATTGCAACTTCGGGCCTGCGCTGGTCGTCCACATCGACCGAAGCTCCAGCTTCACCTCTGATGGCTAAAATCAAGAGTGACTTGAAAAGCGCCATGCGTGCAAAGGACACATCAAGGTAAGGGCGGCACAGTCCCTTACACACTGCAACGCCTGCTGTACACCCCGTTCGAATACTTCAAGATGCTGAGACAGACCCCGAGGTAAGATTAACGGTCCTCCGGGGAACCATTTCCGAGATCAACCAAGCCGCCTCGTCTTCCACGCCCATAAAGTCAGACCTTCAGATCCTTGCCTTGCTGCGTAAACGGAAAGCTGCCACGCAGGCAGCGATAAAGGAGGCCGAAGCCGCGAAACGAGCCGACCTGGTAGAGAAGCAGGCGAAAGAGATGGAGGTCATTGATGAATTGGTGGGAAGTGTCAAGTTGATGGATCCTGCCGCCGTCAGATTGGTGGTCCGAGGGAAGATAGAGACGTTGAGAAGCACGGCGCAGGGGGAATTAAAGCAGGGTGCCGTCATGAAAGAGCTATTGAAACCTGGAGGTGAGCTGGACGGCAAGCCATTGGACAACAAAATACTGGCAGAATTGGTGAGGGAGGAGTTACTTAGCAACCACAACCCCTCGTGATTGAGGGGCGGTTGAAGGACACTACCGAGTCCTGAATTGGTTTACATGACTGTATTAATATCCTGGGAGAGCGGGATGAGATGCGCTACAGAGCACCAACTCTCACGCTATCCATTCCATGAGAGGAGTGTCGTTCCTCTACTTCCAAAATCTCCGCCTCCAACATATCCAAAGATGGTCCCACGTTATTCACTGCTCGAGACGCGACGTCCCGTAACTCCGACCCCAGGTCCTCCTACTTTCCCGCCTGCAAAACCCCGAGCCATCCCTGCCTTGGCGATCGACAATCTGGGGCAATCCCACAAACTTGTTGATCCAGTTGATCACGACGAGATGCCAGACGAGGCTGTTCTCAGGCTTCAACACCCAATGATTCTCGTCCGGGAAGCTCAGGAACCGACTCTCGACCCCCTTCATCTGGAGCACGTTGAATGCCGACAGACCCTCAGCGACAGTCAGACGATAGTCGAGCTCGTTGTGGATCACGAGCATGGGGGTCTCCCAGAACTTGGTGAAGCGGCTGGGATCCCATTTGTCGTAGATCTCTTGTCGCTCCCAAATCGGCCCTCCGAGGTCGTGAACGGGGAAGTACTGCTCCTCGGACGCCAACTGGCCCGTCATGCTGAACACCCCATCGTGGCAGACCAGCGCCTTGAATTTGCGGCCCAGGTCGTGCCCCTGAATCCAGTTCATCATATACCCGCCGTAGCTAGCACCCAAGGCGACTGCTCGCGCGCTATCAACGAAGCTTAGTTCCGACTCGATGTATTCGAACCCTTTGACAAGGTCCTCGTAAGGGAGACCACCCCACTGATTTCGGATTGCGTCCGTGAAGGCCTGGCCATACCCTGTCGAGCCGGTCGGATTCGGACAGACGACCACATAACCCTGCTCAGCGAAGACGGCAGGGTTCCAACGGGTCGACCACTGATCGTTCCAAGCACCTTGGGGGCCGCCATGAATCAAATATGCGAGGGGGTACTTCTGGTCGGCCCGAAAGAATGAGGGTCTCATCATCCAGGCGTGCACCGGGTGATCATTCGCACCTTTCCACCATATCGAGGATACTTGTTTTGGAGAGAGGCCGAACATGCTTCCGTTTCTGCTCAGTGACGAAACGACCGCCGGTGGAGCCTCGGCCAGAGGGTCGGGATTCACGAGGGTGTATGTGCTGTTGTCGACCAGACTATTGCTGGAGACGAGTAAGAGATTAGTCTTGGTCGACATGGGAGCAAAGTCGATAATATAACCACTATGGGTCAACTGGCGAGGTCGCCAATCTGGGCCTGGAGCATCTGTTAGGTCGAGCGCGAAGAGACATCCGCGTCCGGTGTCTTCGGCTTCCATCAGCAGCATCTTGCCGTCCACGGACCATTTTAACGCGGTGGGAGACCTGGACCAACCCCCTTTGCCATCTTCGGTGTGCATGAGCTCAACTGCGGATACAGACCCGCCCTCCTCAAGTGCACTCAGGCCATGGACGAAGACGATTCTATTCTTGTCACTTTCGTAGCCGTCGGTGGCCATCTGAAGGAACGCCAGGGACTCCCCGTCGGGCGAAAAGACAGGCGATGAAGCTGCTCCATTCAACCCGTGGGCGTGAATCTTGTGGAAGCTTGCGGGCTTCAGATCCAAAATATCCCGTTTTGGGATAAACCAGCAATCGCACTTGGTATGCGTGGCAGGGTTGAGGTGCGGATCCTTGGCCACAATGGTCAGACCTGTTGGGCCAATGTCGAAGTGGTCGACTCCACCAAATGGTGGAATGGGACATTCCAGATCTGAACCCTGCAATGCGTTCTTGAAGCCTAGCAAGCCATATCGGCCCTGGCGTGAAGTCACCACAGGTTGTGACTTTTGCAACAAGGCTACGAAGACGGCGTTTCGCTGCTCGGTGATCCAAGCGTCCCAATGTCGCACGAACAGCGAGTCATAGACCCGCGCCGAAGTGTGGGATTTGGGGACATCCTTGGGGTTGTGCAAGCTGCCATCTTGATTTGCTTGACCGGCAACTGCAACGGCGACTTTACCGGGTTCAATGACATATAGCTTGAGATTGGAGACAGGGCCCGAAATGGTGCCAGCCGTGTAGCATTTGCCGGGAAGAGTGGCGTCGGTGACGATCAAGCAGGTGTTGCCGTTCTCGCACTCCTTCAACCAGACGACCTCGTAGTTAGTACCCAGCCATCTGGGCTCGCTAGCCTTGGGGTCTTTGCTGATGGTGACGGTTGTGCCCTGAGTGAGGTCCAGACAACAGATCTCGCTGGTTCTCGAGTGGGTGTCAAACGAATAGGTAGACTGTGTGAAGAGCGCGAGCTTTCCATCAGGACTCGGAACTGCCGCCGACCGTCTTGGAGCGCTCAGAAGGATCCTAGAACTGTGAATGGGGGCCCATTTGAATGAGCTGGTCAAGAGGTGGCTTACTCTGGGGTGTAGTGTTTCCGGAGTGTCATGGCTTCAGGGGTCGCAGACGTAAACAGGCCACAACGAGGTAGAAGGCAGTCGTGAGCGACGCGTGGTCTCGAGGAGAAGACAAGAGGTGAAGAGGAATCGGCCAGGGCGATCCTCAGTGTCGTCGTGACGCGGTGAGTCCAAGATCGTCTTGTGCTGCTGGCCCAACAAAAAAGAAAAGACGCGGGGAGAGCTAATCACCCCCTGTGGCTATTTTCTGCGTCTCACGGGTGTAGCGCAGTCCCGCAGGTCTAGACCGCCACGTGGTGCTGTTGCTGAGCAGAGCGACATGGTGAGCTCTCCGTTCCACCGCCATGGGCAATATAATTATGGCTCAATATGTGGCAAAGAGAATGTGATGATGCTGGCGTCGACCAACGCCTGACGTAGGAATACCATCGATTTAGACGCGTAAATCATCCCGATCCTCCTATGGGTGGAAATCGCACGGAAGCCGTCCGAGTATCGGGAGAAGTAGGGAGCTCGTTCAGACCACCACAGCCACAGCCACAGCCTCAGCCTCAGCCACAGCCTCTACTGACTTTCCGCTATGTACCGACTCCAACCGAATTCCCTTGCTAAGAAAGGCAGTACCTCGTACCAGTACGAGGTATAGTTGTATACACAACCGACAAGGGAAACCAAATCAACATTCAAACATCAAATATACATACACAGCCGGACATCTATCACATAGTATACATAACATCGTCTATCCCGGCCAAATCTGCAGGTATCTCGTCTTATGCACATCGTTCCGGGTCAACACTGCCGTTGCATCAAAGAATAAAAAAAAACCTTCTATAGATCATGGCATGGCCAGCCAGAGCTTCTCAAGTCGTCTCCCATCATATCCTGTAACCATAATCCATGAACGCCGAGCTCAACCAAACTTTTGACAAGACGACTTAGAACCACACAATGAACAACGTCACAGAACTCTAGACGACCTGGACGCCAAACTTCCAAACCTGCTGCACAGTGAGATCTCCCTCGAGACCCTCCTCGAGAACCACAAGATCCGCATCCATGCCCACCTCAAGTCTCCCCTTGGTGGCCTCCACGTCCTTGCCCAACATCTTGGCCGGTGTGCTAGTCACGCATTCCAGCGCTTTCGCCGTTCCGCAGCCTGTCCATCGCTTGAAGTTGTTGACACAGTCGATCAAATCAACCACACTGCCAGCGATACGTCCGTTGCTCTCCAGCTTGAGCAGCTTGCCTTCCTTCACGAAGCGATCTTCTCCTCGCCACTCGTAGGCGCCATCAGGGCATCCGGAAAACTTCTGCGCATCGGTAACCAGGATTGCGCCTTCCGGGTGAGCGGAGTAGGCAATCTTGAGCGTTTGTGCAGACAGGTGGATGCCATCGGCGATGAGGCCAAAGTACGGCTGCTTGTACCGTGCCGCCTCATCATCTAGGTCCGCCATCGAGGTGCTGATGCTCAGGCTGGATCGAGGTGTTGACCTCCTTGAAGACCGAGGCGAGCCTTGAGGAGAGGTCGATGGGCTTGCCGGGCGGCTGGTCTTTGGTGTGGCCACAGGGGTCGATGGTGCTGATTGTCCCAGAAGCCCAAAAATACCGGGATCCCGATGTCCAAAGGGGCGCATGGCATTGAAAAGATGTGTGACCATCGAGGCACCAGCGGCCATGGCAGCCTGTGCCTGTTCAAAAGTGGCGTCCGAGTGACCCACGGAAAAGACGATGCCTCGTTTGGCGAATTCAGGAATCAGGTTGATCATGGCCCCCTTTTCAGGCGCAGCGGTGATGTATCTCACATTGTGAAGATTTTCGACACCGTAACATTCCTCAATGTCGGCCCAAGAATTTGCTTCTCGGAGGACCTCCTTCTTGTGGATTCCATTCCTCACTGGAGAAAGAAAGGGTCCTTCGATGTGTGCCCCGAGACTCTCTGAGCCGTTGGTGGCATCACGCCCCTTTCCGGACGGACCAAGATGAGGGAGGACTGCATGATAGCTCTCGGGCGTGGTGCTGATGACGGTCGGGACAAACGAAGTGAGACCGGACTTGATCATCTGCTGGGTGGTGTGTGTCAACTTTGAGGCGAAGTCTGGGTCAGGGGTTGAGAAGTCAAAGTTGTGAGAGCCGTTGATCTGAACATCGATAAAGCCTGGAGATAGAATCCCGCCCCGAAGGTCCACGGTTCTATCGGGTCTCAGATGCGAAGAATAGAAGGCTGACTGAGGACTCATGATCCGTCCCGTCTCGGATGAGACCCAGAGGTCTCCGGGCACCAATTCACCATTCTTGAGGAGATAGCCGTTGGTGAATCTCACAACACGCGGGGATGATGTCGACATGGCGGAAGGAAGGTCGGGGTTAGTCAGCGTAAAAGCAAGGATCGGTGCAACACAAAGGCTTTGGGAACAAGAACAAAGGAAGGGACGATTGCTCGTAGGGAAGCCCTACAAGAATGAAGAAGCGAAAACGCCAAATCCAGGAAGCAGGCAGTATACAAATTGAAATATCATGGTGGATGAGGGTGGTAGCCGGATAACAGGTATTCACCCCGAGGGTCACGTCATAAGGTTTGTCTGCGAACTCTTTTTTCTCTCGCAGTGAGCCTGTGACAGATGAGTCGAACATTCTACTGGCTCCTACAACATCCTGACATCCGGGGCACGGCAGGCTGCGGAAATGAGCGCAACAAAGCATTGTTTCGTAGGTAAGGGAAATTCGAGGTTGAGGAGGAGAGGACCAGGCGACAAGGGGACAGGCCGAGCAGCTCTCCTGTCATGTTGCAGTCTCCAAGCACGTTGTAGCCACGACGGCAACACAATTCGGTGGCATCTCTCTAGGCATTTTGGATGGAGTGAGTTCTATCAGATCTGCAATCTGCACACAGCTCAGACAATGGAGGAATCGAGGTGAGATTCAGGGGCGTACGGAGGAAGACAGATGGGATGCTGGATGCAACGATGGCCACATGGACGAGGTTTGTGTTTGATGATGAAAATGAGACGTCGAGGCACTGAGAAGGCAGGGTAGCAATGGGAGAGATTTGGTGTATGTAACGCTGAGGCGGAGAGAATGCAACTCTGTTATCGACATCACGTGGACTCTTGGCATCCCTCAGCGACGAGATCCTGCCCAGGCATTGTAAACAAACCCTCTTCCTCAAGGGGAAAACACGCCAGGCCTGCGCTGGTGAGAACTAGAACTGCGACTACGAGTTACTCGTTGCTACCACCGCAATCAATACCACGACTCCATCCTCCATCCTCCCCTACTATCTCCCCCATCTTTCGCCGCGATCATTCCACATCCCTCCCACCTCCTCCTCCTCCATCCCTCCCTTCCTCCCTCCAGATGCTCCCTGTCGCTGCAGTCTGTGAGGATACAATGCTACGACTCTATCTCTCTATCACTCTATCTTCTTCGCGAACCTGTTCCTGAGACCTCCAAAGTAACCATTCTGCCTTAGTGCGACAGGTGACATTGTTGGACGGCACTCTACCATTGATCTCAAGACCTTGTTGATACTGTTCTATATTACTTGTTCTTTCCCTCCCCCCGTTCCTCCAACTCGTTTCCACACGGTGCACGCGACTCATCTCCTCGCTCGAGTACCTCCTCGTACAACACGAGCCAGACTCCACTAGGAATCTGCCCCGAGACTCCGCAATTGATCTCCGCTCGCCACCTAAAATCGTCCCAACTTTAAATCTTTTGAGCCTCGCCCTGATCCTCCGTCCTTTCTCCTTCTCTTCCTCTCAGCATTGCTTTGTTACTGGGCAATGTCTGACATCTCCAACGAAAAGATGGCTACCACGACCGAGAAGTCTGGCGGTACCGACACGCCGCCCGAGATCATCCATGGCGGCGAAGAGGCCCAGCCCGTCGGGAAGCCCTGGATGTACAAGAAACTTAAACTGGGTCCTATCACCATTCCTGCCTATGCGACACCACAGTTCCAGATTGTTTTTGTTGCACTTGTGTGCTTCTTGTGCCCGGGTATGTTCAATGCGGTCAACGGTCTAGGTGCCGCTGGTCAGGTCAATGCGCACGATATCAACAACGCCAGCACTGCCCTCTATGCCACCTTCTCCGTGGTGGGGTTCTTTGCTGGTAGCATTGCCAACAAGATCGGACTCCGGTTGACACTGGGATTTGGTGGCTTCGGATACACCCTTTACATTGCCTCGATCTTGTCCTACAACCACAATCAGAATGCAGGCTTCCTTATCTTCGCTGGGGCCCTCTTGGGTGTGTGCGCGGGTCTGCTGTGGACTGCTCAAGGTGCCGTCATGATGGCCTATCCCCCGGAAAAGGCCAAGGGCCGATACATTGCCGTCTTCTGGATGATTTTCAACTTGGGTGCCGTGATAGGTGCTCTGATTCCTCTCGGCCAAAACCTGCATTCCACCGCCAACAAGGTCCAGGATGGCACCTACATTGCCTTCATAGTCCTGATGGCTGTGGGGTTTGTCCTGGCCGGATTCCTCTGCAACCCCTTCCTCGTTCAACGCAATGACGGCTCGCGAGTCATCTTGATGAAGAACCCAACCTGGAAATCCGAGATCAAGGGTCTTTTCGAGGTCCTGATCAGTGACTGGTACATTGTCTTCCTCTTCCCCATGTTTTTCGCCTCCAACTGGTTCTACACCTACCACTTCCAGGACGTGAACTTGCCCTACTTCAACATCCGCACTCGCGCCTTGAACAATGTCTTGTACTACCTGTCACAAATCATTGGTGCCTGGATCTTCGGCTTCTTGCTCGACACCACATATTTCCGCCGCACCACCCGCGCTAAGATCGCCATTGGCGCGCTCTTCGTGCTCACCTTTGTCATTTGGGGCGGTGGCTATGACTTCCAGAAACGATACACCCGGTCCGAGACCAGTGCCGACGACTACCACAAGCTTGACTTTACCGACCCTGGCTATGTCGGACCCATGTTTCTGTACATGTTTTACGGAGCTTACGACTCGGTCTGGCAGACCACTTCATACTGGTAAGTGAGACGCTTTTGAATCAAGCAATTTGTCGCTAACTCAATTTCACTCAGGCTCATGGGTGCATTGACCAACAACGGTCGCAAACTCGCCAACTTTACCGGCTTCTACAAGGGCATCCAGTCTGCCGGATCGGCCATCTCCCCTCAACTCGACGCCAACAATGTGGCCTTTATGACTCAGTTCGCCGTCAACTGGGGTATGCTAGCGGGGTCGCTTGTCGTGGCATCTCCCGTCATCTGGCTCAAAGTCAAGGACACGACTGATATCGACGAGGATCTGAAATTCACTGATGAGACCCGGGCAGACATCCTGCCCCCGAGCCCTGTCGGGCCCGTTGTGGGTGCCGAGGGCATGATGGCCGAGAAGGAGGAGAAGATGTGAGATTGCTGGAGAAATCCTTCTCATATGAAGGTGTGACGTCCAGGTGGAGATAAAAGAAGCTTTCTTACTTACTTCCTGCGCCATCCCTCAAGTACAGAAATGTCTCGAGGATGGCGTGAAGAAGAAACGAAAGGGGATGAAGACTATCCACACTTTTAATCGGGGCTAGCTGCTGGCATACGAGGACTTTACGAGGTATTTGATACGTGGTGGTGGTGATGGTTGTGGTGGGCAGTGGCTGGTTCACTGGGGGCGAGACTGTGTGTTGCATACACAACAACGCAGAGATCTCTCCACGGTCACCAGTGCCGTCCATCAATCCGGAATGAACATATAATGGAACAGAACCCCCTGGTGTTTTATGATCCCAGAACAGAGACCAGAAAGGGGGGGCAGGGAAGAGAGAGAGATGGGGAGAGAGACACATACCCGTTAACAAACAGCTGTTGATCAATATATCATACCATACCCTAGCGTGTCATACCATACTTTATATATGTACCTCTTACCTCTTACCTCTTTTAACTCTTTAATCCTTACGAATCACAATCACAATCACAATCATAATTACATATCACACGTACCTTGGAATTACTAGAAGAAGAGAAGATCATATCCTGTCCTGTCCTGTCCTGTCCTGTAATGTAACGCTCTTTCTGTACGCAATGCTCACTCACTCACTCACCGACTGGAAGCCTTTAGAAAAACTGCTAGGTCTAGGTCCAAGTCTAGGTACCGACAGTAGGCCAGGAACTGTTGAACACTGGTCATGCTATATGGTGATCAGACTAAGAGGACTAGAAACATATTTCTTGGAAACATAGTAAACAAGGTTGTGTACAGTTGGTCCGCTTGCAGTGGTGGCCGTTACCACAGTCTGAAGCATATCACGCGGCATGGCTCAGGAGTCTGGCTTCTGTGCCTGTTCCTCCTCCTCTTTGCTTCTTGTAGTGGCTAATGCGACCTGTTCGGCCACTCCACCGGCTTCTCCCACGCTTGCAGGCCTCGTCTCCCGTCTCCATCTCTCGTCGATGTTCTCGCCTAGAGATAGGCCCAATGCAGCGCTGGTACTCAATGATGGGATGGTTTCAGGCACCAGCTGCGCAGTCGCCTCTGCCTTGGCTTCCTCTCCACTGGCATGCCGGGTAGGCGTGCTTGTACCCGCAGAAGAATGTGAGAGTGGCTCCAGCTCGCCCGGTTCCGCCGAGAAAGGCCCTTGAGGATCAGTGATGATATGCCCGTACTTGCTCGCAGATGTTGACGATCCACCATCCTCCCTTTCCTTTCCTTTCTTAGGCGTGCCCAGCTTCGTGCCTTGCGGGCTCTCTGTCAGCGGGCCATCAACGACCTTCGCCGTCGCCGCATCCTCGTCAGCCGAGTCGACATCGAAATCAATGTTGAACATCCGATCGAGCTCGCCTCGATACTTTGCTTTCCTCAATTCCTCGCCCAACGCGCCATCTCCCTCCTCTTCGTCTTCCTCTTCGCCATCCTCGCTTCCGTCGAAGAATCGGTCGCTCCACCTTGCGCTATCCTGTCTGACAAGCCGCGACAGGGCTGCCTTGCTGGAGTTCATGCCGCTGTAGCTGCTCTCACCCGTGGCACTAATCCGGGAGACTAGCTCCGCTACATCGTCCCGAGACTCGCGGATCTCGGACTCGGTACGTCTCGATGCATGCCTGGTGGGAGTGACCTGCTTGTCGCGATCACGCACTTTCCATGCCGTGTGCAACCTCTGAAGATCCGCATGCATATCCGCAACTTCGGTTGGACTCGCCTCTGTGATTCTGATATTATCAGTCGTTTTCGCCTTCTTTTCGTTGTCACCGCCAACCTCCTGAATCTCTTTGTCCTCGGGCAAGTCTCGTTGACCCCGAACACTCTCCCCCTCCCTTTGCTCTCCGGGAACAAGTTCGTCTCTTCCCACTGCTCTTTCCACGTTTTCTTCGTCTTCGTCCCTGGTCTTCGCCGCCGCCGTGTACCCGAAATGCGTATCACACATGTGTCGCACCACTGGCCATCCGTACGCATTGGCAAACATCCGCCGAACCACCATGTTGTTGTGCGCATCAGGTTCTAGTCGCACCAGAACTTTACGCCACGACAGATCTTTATGGTACGCACGAGCAATCTTCTCCTCAATCTTCATACCACCTACTTCAACATGAGATTGGTGCGGGGTCGAATTTGCAGTCATTGTGGTGTCTGTAGAGTGTCCTGAGGCAGGACGGCGGGGATCCGAGGGCGAACCCGGGGCAGATGAGAGCTGAGTTGACGAGGATTGAGATGTCAGATTTGAGGCAGAGCGCCTGATCCCAAAAGTTCGCTGGCGTTTTGCTGGCGGCGGCGGAATATCTTGTGGATGATACACACGGTCATGAAAGATTGTCCTTGGTCTGGCAGCAGGGTCTAGGATGAAGTCCTTGGGAGGTAGCGGTGGGTTGAGGAGATCTCCTGCCGATTCAAAAAAGGTCGTTTTGGGAGGCGTTTCGACTTCCCCTGTGCCACCCTCTTGGGAACTGTTGGTGTACAGTGATGCGCCTCGGACGGGAGCCTTGACGGGGGTACCATTGCTTTCCGCTTCCGGAATTTCTTGTGATGCTTGTCCAGAGTCTGGTTGTTCTTCCTGGTGGTACATCGTCTGCCCTCGCCGATAGATTTTCTGCGTCTTCCTCGGACTCTTGGGCGGACTACCTGGGGGTGACTTTCGCTGGCCTGCTTGCGGCTTGAAAAAGTTCAATAGTTCTGTCCACAAATTCGGCGCAGCTGTCGGCCTGACATCTGTTGGGCTTGTCGGTTGTTCTGAAGATATCCTCCCTTTCCTCTCCAGGAATTGACTCTCTTCGGGTTCTGTTGCTCGCTGGTCGTGGTCAAAGCCTTCGCTAGTCTCTGCTTGCGGAACTTTCGATTCAGGATCCGGGGTCGATTTGCCAGACTTGGGGCTGCTCACGTCCTCGCCACTGTCGCTAAACAAGTTGTTCCAGGTGAGCGCCTTTCTAGGGTCGCTGGCATTTTGGCCTGTCATTTCAGCCCAACCCCATCCCACCATCGTCCCTACCAAGCCGCTTTCTCGCCTGGCTTTCTCTACGCGACCCAGACCTCGCCAGTCCAGGAACAGCAGGCAGGACGTTCTCAACGGCACGATCCCGTCATTGACCACGTTGGAGTAGACGGTGCGATTTCGGAACTTCTTCAATGCCACGTGCGCTGGTCCTGTCGGCAGGATCCTTAGCAAAGGCTTTGCTCCAGGATCAGACTCCTTGTCCGGACCTCCTTTGTTAGAGTCATTCGTAAATCCGGCCACCACGGCTCCCCAGCCGCTCTTCGCCAACGTCGGCGGCCTCCACGTCAAACCCAGGTCCTGGCCCGTCCTTCCCACCAAGCCAAAATCCAGCGCAAACTTTACATATACGGGGTTCTCATTGCTCAAACCCAGAAATGGTGTGGCCATTGCGACAAAATTGATGGGTTTAATCAGGTTGAAGAATTCGGGAGAGTGCTTTTGGATGTACGCGATGGCGTAAGTTTGTATTAATCCGCCCAGACTGTGACTGATGAAACTTATGGAGGTGATTCGGTACGGGAGATTATGAGCTCTGTGATTCTCGTCTTTGATAATGCTGCTGTTTTTATGCGCCGGCTGCGTGCTATTTGCATCTTGCGGCTTGGGTTTGTTCGACAATGACGAGGCCAGAGATTGTGAGAGGGACTTTCCCATGGACGACTTTATCGGCAGATATGGTTGGTCCGGATAGGTAATAGAGAGGACGTATTTGGCGAAACGTTTGCCGAGATACTGGATCCCTCTTTCGGTCTTCGTGGTGTTACCGGTGAACCCTCGCACGTAGATTTCTTCTTCGTCTTCCTCGTCTTCCTCCTGCCCGCCCTCGTTGACGACATTAGAGGTGGTGGCTTCAGGGGGGCCATCACCGGCACTCGTGATGTCCGGCATTGATTTTGATCGCTGTCCCAGAACATCTCTTCCAAACTCGTTCTCCCTTGTCGCATGTCGTGCCCTGATCTCAGCCCGCCTTCTTTTCGCGTCTTCCTTTGCCTGCCTCGCAGCTGTATCAATGCTTTCCTTCATGAACAGCATATCTGCACCCACGTTACTGTGGATACCGTGCGTGAGGAGTACGAGATGGATCTTCTTCTGCTTCTTTTGTGTTTTGTCCGGTTTCGCGCCGGCATCTCTCTTGTCGCCATGTTGAGGTCCCTGTTCCACCCTGACTTTGGCTTGCCCATCGGCTTCTTGCTCCCATTCAGGAAATGGAGGTGTGTTCCAGAGGCTGTGGGTGTCATCTACCACCAGTCTGACCGCCTTAGAGAAGACGCCCTTCGGATGCTGCGGGGTGTTGGCTTTTTGCGAACGAGCACGTTGATGATCTTCGAGTCGACCAGGTGCGCCTTGGCCCGATCCAATGACACCGTGGAACCCCAGTTCTACCGACTTCTCATCACGTCCAACAAGGACCTCATACTCAACACTGGCCGTCTTGGAGAAGATGACCTGCGAAGCAATCTCGATGATCCAGGTGAAGCTCTTCCTCTCGTTCGTCCCTCTGTCCCCGCGCCTCACGTCTAGGCTTTGTCTCTGAGCGTCTTCCCGGACATATTCGGGGACAGTGAGTTTCGCATTCCATTGTCCGCCCGCCTTCAATTGCGGCTCAAAATCTGGTGTGCCTTCGGTGCTTGCAGCCTCATGTTTTTTGTACGGGTCGAACGTGGACGGATAGCACGCCACATATAGAGTGTATGGTCCATGCAAGTAGGCGGCGCGAAGAGGCGCGGCGACCGTGTTCTTGATCTTCACATGCAAATGTGTGGGGGGCGGAAGGATGCGGTCGAGGCTGGGAGTGTAGGTTATGGTATATCTGCAACAGCGATATGTTAGCAGACAGCCATTCAGACACAGGATGGTCGGCCCCGTACCTTACAACCTCACCAACCCGAACAGCGCCAGTCTGATGGAGCAGGAGCATGGTTCTGGAGGTAGCCCTACATGCCGCAGCTTTCACCCACACACGGTTAAGGCTCGAGATATGTTCTCATGTCTTTTGAACTATTCTGAACGGGTGGGAGGGGACGGATTATTGGTGTAAAACCCGGAGACAGCTCTCAGCTGCATGATCTTTGACGACTGAGGCTCCGTATCGCGTTCCCTGGACTCGCCATCATGTCCATGACATGAGAAAACAATGGACCGGGTGCAGGGTGTAGGCCTAAGTAGGGAATGGTAGGGCTCCCTACAGTCGGGATGCAATGGGTATGACACAACTTTATGGAGCATGGCACAACACGGCTTGACGGGCTTGCGGGCATACCGAGTACGGAGACAGAGGCTGCAGCCCTCAACGGCCAGTAGTGAATAAGTTTAGTCACGCGCCCACCCGCGCTCGCGTGCACGTTGGACGGGGCGAAATTATACCGCCTGACCACCTAATTAATGAACCGAGCATTATGCATACTTCGTACCTCAATTTTACCAAGAGACTCTTAGATGCTTGTCAACATTGCCATCTACATACATGATAACGACGAACCAATGGCTCTCCTCCACGGTACATTCAAGCCTCAGCCCATGCGCCTTCTTAGCCTGTCAGGACCGTTCGTTCCGATGGTTCAATCTTTTGATAGCTTTGTCGCGGCTCATGTACTCCTCTCGGCTGTGGGCCAAAATATTCGTGGAAAGAAAACCCGGCTTGCAGACTCAAGGCATCTTCGGTGAACAAACCTCGATGCTATGGTCGATGGAACAGCGGTGCTTCGATCGCAGGAAGCTAACCTGAATCACCAGCAGCATCTCCCGCTCACCCATGCAATAGATAGTGTGTAGTTGCATGTTGCGAGCACTCTTCAGTGGTAACAGGTGTACTTCGGGCAAGACACCTCCCAAATGCTCCAAGCTTTATTCACAAGCATATTTATAGACCTGGTCGCCCGTATATCGTGTATCCCAAAACATATGCAAGTGCGCCCGGCGACCTCGAGCGCAGACCTCACTTCGTATAACTCATAGTCTTGCCTTTAGCATCTCATTGGGTGTAATTAGAGGATCGTAGGCCCGAATTCCCAGCGTGTCCTGTGGGACAGTCGCAGTATGGTACCGCAAGCCAGCGGTGTCGACCATATCGGGGGTCAGCTCTTCCACCTTGGAGGCACCAATAAGCCTCATGTTCATCACCATTTCGTCTTTTAGTAGTTGCATGGCACGATCAACACCGGGCAATCCATAGGCGGACATGGCGAAGAGGAATGGTCGGCCAATGCCAACACCTTTGGCACCCAGGCACAAAGCCTTGATGATGTCGGTTGCTCGGCGAACACCGCCGTCGATGAAGATCTCAATCTTGTCCTGCAGACCTCTCTCTCGTAGAACAGGCATGACCTCGGCGAGAACCTCAACGCCCGAGCGGGCGAAATCCAACTGGCGACCGCCGTGGTTGGATAGGACAACACCGTGGACGCCAACCTCGATGGCCTTGAGCACATCCTCTACACGCTGGACACCCTTGAGGATGATGGGCATCTTCGTGATACTCAAGAACCACGGAATGTCTTTCCAACTTAGGCTGGGATCAATAAAGCTCGAAATGGCTCTGGCGGCACCTTGGGATCGATCAACGTTCTCGCCGCTCGTTTTTTGGACATTGGATCCGGTATCGTCAAACTTGCTGCGCATGTCCTTCTCTCGTCTGCCCAGTTGGGGAGCATCGACCGTGATGAAGAGACCTTTGCAGCCTCGTGCTTCGGCGTGCTGGACGATCTTCTTTGTGATCGACCTGTCTTTGTTGACGTACAGCTGAAGCCATTGACATTGGTCACCTTCCCGAGCATCACAGATTTCGTCGAAACTGCAGGAAGCCAGGGTAGGAATCATTTGGATGACGTTGTGTTTCTTTGCTCCTCTTGTCAGAACAACCTCTCCCTCGGGATTGCCCAACTTCCCCAGTGCAGTTGCAGTGACATAAAAGGGAATATCGCATTTTGTCCCGAGCATGGTCGTACTGATATCCACGTTCTCCACGTCAATCAGAATCCTTGGTCTGAACCAGATCTTGTGGAAGGCGGAATGGTTTTCTCTCATGGTGATCTCGTCGTCGGCACCGGAGCTGTAGTATGCCCAGGCTGGTCTCTTCATCACCTGTCTCGCGACGCTCTCAAAATCCATGAGATTGTAACATGCTTCAAGAGGTGGCATGTTCTTGATGCGCTCTTGTCTTGCCTTCTCCTCTGGGCTCTCCTCCTTTTCTTCTTGCTGGACAGTCTCCATGTTCACAGGTCCGAGATGTTTCTCTTGAGGTAGGTACTTGTCCAACGTATCGGGAGGATGGATGGGGTCGAATTCCTCGGTGGCATCTTTGCCAGCGTACTTGAGAATGATCTTGGAACCGCCGGGGTGCTCTGGATACAAATTAGCCAGACTGTTGGTTGGGATCCGGATGTGTTGACTGCACACCTGGTAGGAACTCTGTCACATCATAGGCTTTTCCATGGACAATTACCCAACATGAATCTTTGGAGTTGTGTCTGGCCACTTCCTCTCCAGTGAGGGTACCCACGTCGGGTCTTTCGCCTTCATCACGATTCATCTTGGGCTTGATCCGGGAGTAGAGGTTGTCTCTCGAGGTCGGGTTCAGAGGCAGGAGATTCCGGAGGACGAGGCGAAGGTGAAGAGAAGAAGACAATGGCGAAAGCAATCACGACAAGGAGGCCAAAGAGGAGTATAAATGCTGGAGCCAAACTGTGGAATTGAAGAGTCTGTCCACGCACGCCACGGACAAATTTCCTGGGGAAAGTGTAATGGTCAGCCATTTGGCCGATTTGGCCGGCGATTGGTGCGAGATGCTATCAAAGAAGCTCTACTGGTAGAAGTCCATTCTGGGGCATGGCCGGGTATGCATGGCCGAGGCGGGGACAAGATCGATCTGTGTGATGACGGTGTTCCCGCCGCCTCGACCGCCGACCCTCTCTTTTCAACTTGGCCTTGACTCGCCTGTTCACTTGTCATATTTTGTACAGAGTGGCCGGGGATGAAGAAGTGCCGGTGTCCACAAGACGACCAACATCATCCTCATTATTCGCCCACATTCGCCACCGTCGCCCCATGTCGTTGTCTGCGACCTGCCTCCCAGCATTCCGCTAACTGACCAAGTGGGGAGTCTGCTTGTGAAGCCATGATTGGTCTTCGTTCCCTCGGAATCTCCTCTCTCCCTGTTTGCTAAAGAGACAACAGTCATTGGACCATGAACAACAGGCGCAAGTCTGTACTACCCCGCAAAACCCAAACCACCAAGTCGTCCTCTAGCATCGGCCAGTTCTTCCATCCACTACCACCAGGACAGCATGGACTTCTACGTCCTTGGCGCGTCCTCTTCTCGCTTCGATGCTTCAGGGCGGTTGTCATCGGTGCAAGGGTCTGCTGTCTGTTGCAACCAGACATCATGCTGTACCTCGTGTTCCTCCCAAAATGCTGTCACTGTTTTGCATCGGTGCGACGATCACTCGACTGGCCAACCCCGTCCAAAAGCTTTGCACCGGGTAGGGATGAGGTTGTTGACGAGTTCAAACAATGCAACCCTCCTTGAATGGAGTGGTCCAACATAAGCTGCGCGCTCCCCGCCGATTGTTCGCTGTGTTCTCACTGTCACTTTTCTCGGCTCGTCTGCGTGCCTGCGATTAAAAGATGGCGGAACCCTCTGAAAAGGAAATCGTTTCACACGATGAGTCTTCGGCTTCGCGCTACGATGCCTCTGGCACGAAACGTGACATTGACCCCGAGAAGCTCAATGACCCCAAAATGCAGAAATTGGCCGGCGAAATCACTTACGACGATGAGACAGATCCAGTGAACAGACAGCACAATCCGCTCGCCCAAAAGCTGCGGTCGCGGCACATGCAGATGATCGCAATTGGTAACATACTCCTTCTGCACACCATGCAAAGCTTGTCCATGCTAAGACATTGTCAAGGCGGCTCGATCGGCGCGGGTCTATTCGTGGGTTCCGGAAGTGCGTTACACAAGGGTGGTCCGGGGAGTGTGCTCCTGGGGTTCATAATCATCGGCTTCATGTTGCTCTGTACAATGCAGGCGCTTGGCGAATTGGCCAGTATGGCCTGGAAGCTCATCTTACTTCTTAAACATTGGTCCTGACGATTGTGCACAGTTCTGTACCCTGTGAATGGCGCTTTTTACACCTACATTGTTCGATTCGTCGACCCGTCCCTCGGGTTTGCAGTGGGTTGGGTAAGTGCTCGTATGTCGATAGGACGATCTGAATGCTGACCACTGGCCAGGACTACGCCATCGGCTGGCTTACTGTCTTGCCCTTTGAACTTACCGCGGCGTCAATCACGATCGAGTACTGGAGGGATGACATCCACGTCAGCGTTTGGATCACCGTTTTCTTGGTATTCCTGTGTCTGGTCCAGATATTCGGCGTTCTCGGCTACGGTGAGGTGGAATTTGTGCTGGCCATGATCAAAATCACTGCTTGCATAGGTTTTATCATCTTCGGCATTGTGGTTGACTGTGGCGGCGTCTCTTCCGATGATCGTGGCTACATTGGTGCTCGGTATTGGCATAATCCTGGCGCTTTTCAGAATGGATTCAAAGGCTTTTGCACGTATGTGTTGCTGAACACCACGACTGAATTAGGCTGACCTCGTCAGTGTATTTGTCACAGCAGCTTTTGCATTCGGTGGCACCGAGCTCGTTGGGTTGGCTGCCGCAGAAGCAGCTGATCCTCGTCGCTCCCTCCCCAAAGCGACTCGACAAGTCTTTTGGCGAATTGCGACCTTCTACGTCCTTTCTCTTTTCATTGTCGGTCTGATCGTGCCATCGGACAGCCCAGACCTTCTGGGAGCCAGCGGTGCCAATACCAAGGCCTCTCCCTTTGTCTTGGCCATCAAGTACGCAGGTGTCAAAGGGTTGCCATCTGTGATGAACGCGGTCATCACCATCTCAGTCATTAGTGTGGCCAACAGCTGCACTTACGGCTCCTCGCGCACCATGCAGGCTCTCGCGGCCAGAGGAATGGGACCGAAGTTTTTGATGTATGTCGACCGGCAGGGAAGACCACTCTGGTGTGTCGTGATCCAGCTGTTGTTCGGGTGCCTCGCGTACATTGGTGAGGCCAATGCTTCCGACACCATCTTCACCTGGTTGTTGTCCCTGTCCGGTCTGAGCTTTTTCTTCCTGTGGATGAGCATCAATCTCTCGCATATTCGTAAGTGCAGTTCCGTTTGCCCTTTGAGTGCCCCGCGCTAACAAGTTGCAGGGTTTCGACACGGATGGTAATCTTTCAGGGTTCAACTCTGGTCTGTGGGAGAGATGCTAACTTCGTGACAGGTATGCCCACGGCTTTACGAAACACCAACTGCCCTATCAGGCGGCCTTTGGCATCTGGGGATCTTACATTGGATTCTCGCTCAACGCCCTGGCTATCATTGCAACATTCTACACTTCGCTGTTCCCGCTCGGATCCGACCCCGACGCAGAGGTGTTCTTTGAGAATTTCCTCGCCGCCCCAATCGTCATCGCTCTGTTCATCGGGTGGAAGCTTTACTCCCGCGACTGGAAGCTCTTCATCCGTGCCGACGAGATGGACGTCACGATGGGTATAAGGCGAGGGAGTCTCGAGATCGCGGCCGAGAAGGGACGAAGCGGGTGGAGAAAGGCACTCCGGGTGTTTATTTGACGCTCAGGCGGGCTTGGGAGTGAGATGGGCGTCTGATGGAGAAAGGAGAAGAAGAAGAAGCAGACAGCACGGGATTGCAACCCACCCGACGTCTTGTACCATACATATCATTCATTACCTTTCTGTCTTGTAGGGAACGTACCTAGTACTCGCGATCAAGGTCGTGCTCAACATCGCCGGAATGCTCGGACCGGGCCAGGCTCTGAGACCAACCGAAGTGGGATTTGCTTTTTATTTTCCATATTAGGGGCCAGGATGTCAGTCGACATCATTTGTGCCATTGCGTGTGTCGTCCTTCACATCCAATGTGTTTGCCAGTGGCCTTAGGTAGGTAGGCTATTGGCTTTCACTCTGCCGGTCCCGGATAAATGATACCCGAGTTCTGGACCAGTCTGCTGCAGCCACTGCACCCACAAATACCATCCTCAGGTTTCGGCGGGTTCTCCGTCTTCCGCTTTCCAGGGACGCCCTGCCTAGTGTCTAGACTGACCCCTTGGCCACTTGAGGTTGCTGCAAGTCCAGATCTGCAAGCGTCCTCTGGCAGGACGATACCCACAATAAGGCATCTCGCAGATAACACCGGCTGGATTTGGCCTCGAGAGCTTGGCCTCCTCTTCCCATGAAGGTAGGTGTACTTCCAGCAGTTGTCACAGATGTAAGAGGTGTACTGCAGCCCCTTTCCACCGTTGTACCTGTACTAGAGTCTGGGGTTCCGCCGGCGACAGTTCTTGTTGGAGCTCTCCGTGGCCCTAGGTGCGCCCACCATCTACAGCAACTAAGAGGCTCGGTTGAGCCGCATGAACTTCTTTGCCGGTAGGTCGCCGGGGGTCGCTACGTGCATCAAGTCGATACATCACTGCGTTAGGTTCACTACGTGAGGTGGCTACCCCATCGATTCTCCTAGGTCCGCAGGAGGATGGTATGGACGGCCTCCCCGACTATGACATCCGGCTTTAGCGTTGCCTCTCCGTTAAAGATAGCCACAATATGAAGGTTGGGTTTAGCAGCCTCCTTACTGATCGTTATCTTATAGGCCCTATTATCTGTCGTCAACTTACGAGCCGCAACCTTTAGGTAGCGCTCTAATTGACCCTGAAGACCTAATGTACCTATTAACCACCCCACCCTGTATAGGCCTCATCTCGTCGTCGTTGCCGATAGTAATCCTTCCGTCGGCTCTTCTCCTCAGCTGACAAGGCTACTAGCTTAGGGGTAACACGACAACCGTCCAGCTACGGACTGAGCTCCTTCTATTCTAGCCTCTACCTCATTGTCGGCCTCCTCACCTTAATTATCGTCATCTTCATCGTCGATGACAACGGTATCCGGCTTAGAGGCCTTCAGAGGATCAAACTCCTCTTCATCACTATTATCATCATCTTCTTCTTCTTACTCGCTCTCTTCCTTCTCCTCATTGTCAGGCATGGGCTTGTCTGCCTAAGACTTGCCTTTGCCCTTGCCGTCTCTGACTCGTCATCCTCTGGGGAGTCCACCAGTCCACTACATATCTTGTTCTCTTGCGAGATCCAGTAACGGTGGCCTCCTCGGCAGCAGGTCGCTTCGTGACAGGCAGGCTGGAGGACGATGGGAGGATGGAGGAAAGGTTGGCGTCCTGATCACCGAGGAGATTCCGCCACGAGGATGGGAGAGTCGATCGAGAAGACATGATTGACAAGGTGGGCTTTGAAAGTTGATTGTTACGAAGAGAGAAAGAGAGAGAGGAGAGAATTTCCACCACAGGTCCCCTCTCCAGCGAGCCAGCTTCTCGTGCATTAGACGTAAAGCGTCCCCTTGAATCCTCACGATCTATCTGAAATACGACTCATTACGGCTACACATCTTACCCGGTAGACTTCAGGGCAATCTCAAGTTCTCCCAGAAAATTTGGCCTTTCAAGAGAATATAACACTGCCAATTGCACCTACTCCTAGAGTGAGCACCTGATCCATTATGAAGTAGGAAATGAATCGTGTTGAATGGTGAGGTGGAGGTGAAGGTGAACCGAACTTGAGGGTGGGTTCTAGAGTTGTCTGTCAGTGGCCACATCCACCCTTGACCGTTTACCAAGCTAGTCCTAAAAGGGACTTGCGGTAAAAATCCTTTTGCACCACAACTGCCATGTATCCAGGAAATTAATATGAACCAGTACGCTCTGATGCTCGGATAGCCAGATGAGTTCAACCACTACTCTGCGTACACAAGCAACAACTCATGTAGAGAGTGCAGAGTCTACATCTGGCCGCAGCCTCCTGCAGGAAAATGGATTCGTTGAGCAAGGGACTTCCTCGGACGACGAAGTTGAGCCACATCCTTTGGGAGTGAGACCGTCCGGAAATGCACTCACGTCTGATCAGAATGCTCAGGCGTCGATGGGCAGCTTCGGATTCCTACCAGACGGCCTCCTTGTGATGCTGCTCGAGTTTCTTGACGCGCGGGCGCTCCTCAACCTGGGCGCAACGTGTCGCGGCTTCTACGCATACTGCACTTACGACCAGCTGTGGCGAGATGTGGCGGTCAACGAGACGAACGAGCGCTTTGAGTGGCGGGGGAGTTGGCGGGCATCGCTCCTGCGGCTGCCACCGACAACACGGCTTGCAAAGGTGGACTGCCGATACGTGTTTTCCGACGCACTCTATCGGCCCTTCCAATGCTCCCGCACACCGTTGGGCCCCTACGTCTCCAACATTCCGCTCCAAAACGAGATTCCGCGACTGAAGGACGTGTCGCCCGAAGAGTTCAACGATTCATGGGTCGGCAGGCCATTCATCCTGACGGCACCGGTGAAGAAATGGAGGGCCTTTGAGGCGTGGGACCTGCAGCATCTACTCGCAAAGTATGGGCATGTGTCATTTCGTTGCGAGGCAGTGGATTGGCCGCTGACGACCTACGTCAAGTACATGGAGAGTTCCCAAGATGAATCACCACTGTACCTTTTTGATCGGGCATTTGTGGAAAAGATGGAGTTGCAGGATGCGTACGAACCCCCGGCGGCGTTCCAAGAAGACTTTTTCACCCTCCTCAAGGACCAGAGACCTGATCGACGCTGGTTGATTATTGGACCTGAACGAAGCGGAAGCACATTCCACAAAGACCCGAATGCCACAAGCGCCTGGAACGCCATCATCCGAGGCTCGAAATATTGGATCATGTTTCCGAGCTCTATCCTTCCTCCAGGCGTCTATATGTCCCAAGATCAAAGCGAGGTGACTTCGCCGCTGAGCATAGCCGAGTGGCTTCTATCATACCACGCCGAAGCTCGGGCGATGAGTGGCTGTTTAGAGGGTATCTGTCGGGAAGGCGAGGTCCTACATGTACCATCGGGTTGGTGGCATTTGGTAGTCAACCTTGAGCCAGCCATTGCCATCACTCAGAACTTCGTCCCCAGAGCTCACGTCCCATCAACCATTCGCTTCCTCAGAGACAGAGCAGATCAAGTTTCTGGATTTAGTGACAAAGTCGGAGACCCTTATGCCCTCTTTATGGAACGGTTAAAGGAGACGGACCCTGATCTGGCGGGTTCTCTCGACGACTCCCGTAAGCGCAAATGGGAGGAGGTCGTCGCAGGTAATGAGGAGGCTGATGGAGAGCGGCAAGGGTTCAGCTTTGGGTTCAGCGATGACCTAGATGAGGCTGAAGACTGAAGAATTTTCTAGCCTGTGACCTCAATGACATGCTGCCGATCTGGTGGGCGAGGTCCTGTAACTGAAAGCCAGGAATCCGATAAACGCCCCCAGTGCTACCGCCAGCATCACGAATCCGTTGTAGGTCATGAACAGAAGCCTCAAGTTGATTAGTGGGAGTCGACATGCATGGAGAGGGGGTCAGTCATACATGATAAAGAAGCTGTAGAACACCTGCACGGCATACAGACCAGCTCTGGTTATCGTTCCCTGCCTCTTTGTGCCCTCGTGCGATCCCGACCCTGCAAGCAGTGAGCTTGATTCCGCAGGTGTACCTTGGATGTCTCAGTGACGGCGTAGGATAATGTCCAGAAGGGCCACGTACTTGTGCTAAAAGTATTCATTCTGGCATTGAAGCTCTCGTCATATCTCCTGCTGATTTCCCGGACACACTCGTAGCCAGCTGTAAGAAGGGCGATGGTCACCAGGGAGAGGATGAGCGACAAGGGCCCTGTAACTCTCCACGACTCGAAGACGATACAAAGGCCTTTGACCTGCCAATTGAAGAGCATCTGACTTGTCAGAGCGATGCTCCTAGCATAATCATTTGGTGACTCACATTCATGGAGCATTGCCCGTCGTGCATACCGCCATGGTCCATCCCGCCGTGACCCATACCACTATGGTCCATTTCGCCGATTTAGTTGTTCAAACGTGACGAGAAAAGGGCGGGAGTTGGGAGATGTTGAGGGTGATGTTCGGTGTGATGCTCAGAGTGATGCAAGGAGTGGAAGTTACTCTGCGGAAAGACGCGGTGTTTCCCCCAGCGTGCCCAGTTAGCGCGTTAGCCTCTCTGGAATTTCCTGCGCCCCTCTCACCACTTTCGAGCAACTCACAACACCACTAACCAAAACCTCGCTCACAATGGCTGAGAATATCCCTCCTGGATCAGGCTCTGCGCCAAAGCCTACAGCAGGCAACGACCGGCCAGGATTACCTTGTAAGTGTCAAAGAACGAAGCAGATCCCCGTCCTCCTTCCCTGTGCCGCCTTGATTCTGACAGGACAGACTACGAGAAATTGAGGCGCGATCTACGGGACACCCTACAGAAGAAGCGACTCCTGGATCGGAACCTGGTGAGTTTTGAATTCACGCACAGAGGTTTGGAGCCATGCTAACAGCTCAGGCTGTCATAGAGGACCAGATCTACCGGCAAGAGACGGCATACCTCGAAGAAACCGCAATCGCAGGGAACATTGTCAAAGGTTTCGACAACTACATCAAGGCATCTGCAGTGTCGGCAGCAGCCAGTTCAGCGGGCGGGACAGTCTCAGGCAGCGCAGTTGGCGGCGGCTTAGGGGCAGGGCGCCGAAAAGCGGTTGTGAACGACACAGACCGGATATTTTCCAAGAGCTCAGTATCCTACATGAGAGATTCGGATTCCCCGAGTAGCGCTACGAGTACGCCCAACCATGCAGCCACGCCGACCGGTAGCTTTACCGCAGAAAAGACAGGAGACAAGAAGAAGAAAAAGAGCGCAGCCGCCAACGAAGAAGACACCGATGGACGAACCACCAAACGCCAGAAGATATCCTTTGGAGGTGGACGCAAGAACCATGATGATTGAGAGGGCCTGGACGGTGCCGTCGCTGTCAACCAGACTCCAGACACTTCGAAGCACACCCACGGGCCTTGTTGGAGACTGGTTATTGGGGATGACACAGGCCGGGAAAGTTCCAACTGCGGGTGCCTCGGCTATCCGTCTCGGACTCTTGCAACCTTGGAACTTTTCATCATCTTCCTGACCGCATATCAGCATCATCTTTGGAATTGTTCAATGCTTCCTCGACGAGTATTCGGCATCAGCAGGCCTTCGTATCTTGTACTGTGCAACCGGGCTCTCTCGCAAAATCATTCGGTCAACATGCCACGTCTTTCGCCCGCCTCAGCGGTATGTTCTAGGCACTGGGCAGTTTTCTGAGACTGATTGTCGATCTAGAAAGCCATTGATCGCTTGAGATCCTACAAATCTCCAGACACAGTATGGCCCGTAATGCCGCTCTCGCGCAAGGCAGCCGTCCTGCTCCTGCTCTTTGCGGATCCCAATGGGGAGCTGAGAGTAGTCATCACCATGCGTGCAAGTACCCTGAGCTCATATTCCGGTCAGGCCGCCTTACCTGGCGGCAAAGCTGAAGAGGGCGAGACTGCCTTTGAATGTGCAAGGCGTGAGGCTTCGGAAGAGATAGGTCTTCCTAGGCGTGCGTCAGCTCTGCCACGCCCCTTCAGAGTCGAGCATTTGTGTGAAATGGCAACAAATTTGAGCAAGAATGCACTTGTGGTTCGCCCATGCATCGCATTTCTCCATTCTTATGACCCCGAGACGGGAGAAGATGCCAACGTGGCAGAGAAACTACTACCAAGATTGGACGCGAGAGAGGTGGCGGCGGTATTTTCGGCGCCTTTCAGAAACTTCTTGTATATGGAAGATCTGCCCAACCAACCCAACCTTCCCGGCAAACCTAGTGACTGGTACAAGGGAAGCTGGACAGACTGGCACGAGAGTCGATGGCGCATGCACAATTTCTTTGTTCCCGTCACCAACCAGATCGTCTCCAAGCCGAAAAGAAACGAAGACCAAAAGGCCGTGGCAAGCCACCTGGACAAATATTCCAGGTACCGGGTGTTTGGCATGACCGCCAGGATTCTTGTCGACGCTGCGCGTAATGCATATGACCAAGAGCCTACCTTTGAGCACAACTCTCACTTTGGAGACGAGGAAATGATTGTTCGACTAAAGGCAGCCGGCTTCTTGGGTGAGATTAGAAAGCCGGGTGCTGAGTTGACAAAGCAGGACTTGATCAAAGCTGCAAATCTCTGAGTGCGCAGCGCTCCAGATTCCAGTGAAACTTCACCCTCACGGTGGTGCTGATCTCCAAAGAATGTGGGCACCAGCTCAAAACTTTCGTGACGGCTGCATGTATATGTCAGCGTTAGCGGGAGCATCGCGCACAATGGACTCTATTGAGCACGGACCAATTTATTCGACGCTGCTGAAAACGGATCTTCTTTGTTCGGCGTTGTGGGGTATCGATTGCGTCGCCGCTGGCGAATCTTCAGTCATGGTGTCGAACGAAAGTCGATGGTTCTGTTACAGGATCCTCGCTTGCACTAGAACGAGGGTCTCACCAGCATTCTGATATCTGGTCATAATGAACCCGCGCCCCAGATCGTCCCATCCATTGCGGCTGACCTCTCCACCTCCGTCGAAGGCTCTTCTAGGACTACAAAAGCAGGGCTTAGAGTTGTCGGTCTCCCCTCCACCCAACAGTCTCCTACCAACCTCGAATCATGCATCTGGGAGATCGACACCCTCGGATCGGGACAAACCATTGCCACTTGAACCGTTTGAGGGAAGGAGAAGGTCATCCAGTGTGTATAGCACTGATACTACAATCACCAACATCATTCACATGTACGGCGGAGGGTATCGTGAGTTGGATGACCTTCCACCTTTGCCTATACTTCATCACCCACAAGCCTACCGAGACACCGTTGCGCCTCTTCTGATCAGGCGGCTGAGCTTGGGCCACAGCCCCTCACCACCGGTTAAAGATGTGCCACGGGAGGCAGTCTCGATCTCGTCACTTAGATCTGCTGCTAGCCATACCCACGTCGTCTCAAGCAACAAGGCAGCCCCCTCCTTTACTGAGTTTTCCCGTCAGCTCCAACAACGCAGGAACGAATTGGTTTCCCCGCTTTCGGTCTCTTCGGCTGAGATACATCGTCAAGCGGCATATGATCAATTGGCTCCACCCTCTCCACACGTCTCGCTCGTTGAACAATCCGTATCCCTCTCCCAAACCCCGCCCTTACCCGATGCGATGTCTGGGACGATATCTGATACCGACGGCTCTGACCTTCTCCCACCTCCCTTGGGCCTGAGTAGCTCGAGTCTTCCAAGTCCACCATACGATGATTGGGAAAAGCCCGCCGAATTTGACCCTGCTCGGCACCATGATCCTCTTGGAGACCAGTCTCAGCTGCACTCTGGAAAGAGCTGGTCACAAAACTGGTTAGAGGATGGCTTCGTCGACCAGAGTCGCGAAGCATCGCCACTTGAACTACAGCCCAGGAAGAGCTTCCGACTCGGAAAGAGCTTGAGTGAGAAGGAACGTGAGAGAGTGATATCGTACGCCGAAACCAAGCACCCGGCGATGAAAAGAGATGGTGCTGAGCGGAAGACGCTACGTACTAGCAGTGCGAGATCCAGCCTTCAACATAACGTGACTCACTTACTCAGGTCTCTGTCGCGGAAGGGGCCTCTGGAAGGCAAAGAGAGCCATGGGCGGGAGAGTCCACCACGAGAAAGGCAGTTGGCTATTCCTGCAACCCCATACCAAGTATACGGTGCAGAGGTCTTCTCGAACAAACTGCAGAAGAGGCAACAAAAAGAAGCGCGAGAAGCTCAGCGGACGCGCCAAAGGGGGAAATCTATCAGCCTCGTTACAGCGTACCAGAACAGTCAAAGTCAGATTGTCGGAGTTCTTGAAGGGGCAAAACGCAAACTGAGGCGGAAGTCGTCACAGAAGAGACAGCGCAAGTTGAAGGACAGTATCATCATCCTTGGGCCAAGTGCAGTCATTGGAGCTGTCACTGCCACGGAACAACCTGCAGTGGACGGCGAAGAGTTATGGATTTGAAGGTGACAATATCCTCTGCCGCAGAGATGAAACCTAATTGCCAGATACAATAACAGAAGTGTGGTCTAATAGAGGTGTATAGAAAGACGATAGAAGGTGGAAAGGCCAGACTCAGCCTCGTCATTGTCCACATGGTGACATAGTGATACATTTCTCCAATTCTGCAGTCAGCAATTGACCAGAGCCGCAGCTACCCCGCATAGTGGTTGCATGCACGCAGGGCTGGTAGGGTCACCGTAGTGCGCAGTCTACGAGGTACTGCGTCGAAGCTGTCACCAACCTCCCCTGCTGCTCGATCCCTTGTGCCCTAAGCCGTCGTCTCTCGTTTGACCTGTTTACCAAATTCCTATGATAGCTACACCTCCTTGACATCCTACTCTCCGCTCCAGTTACATTTCTTACCCCAACCTACAACAATGGGGGGCGAGACATCTACTCGCGCTACCTCGTCGTACCCAAGACTCAGCGCTCATCCTGTTGGACAAAAGATCCAGAGCATCTATACTGACCGCTTACGACAATTCACATCCGGTGGCCAATACGAAAAGGAGAATCTTCTCTCCAAGCTCTATCACAATGCCTGCGATGACGAAGACCATGTCAAGCTCTCGGTCTACTCTCCTCCAAATCTCACCAGACCGACTTTTCACGATGCCACTTCTCACACCTTTCGCCCAACACATCGCGGCGAATCCTTCGGACCAGCTTGGTCTACCCATTGGTTCAAGATTCAACTCACCGTGCCTAAACACATGCGAGATGGAGAACATCTAGAGTTCCATTGGGACGCAGGCAATGAAGGCATGGTATGGACAGAGGATGGGAATCCTCTACAAGGCCTTACTGGTGGAGACCGGGTTGAATGGATTCTGCCCACGAGCTGGCGGGATGGCAAAGAGCACATCTTCTACATAGAGATGGCGTGCAACGGAATGTTTGGCAACGCCCCAGGGGGTGACAGTATTCAACCCCCAGATCCAAACAAACACTACACACTTTGGAAGGCGCAGATTGTGGATGTCAACCTTGCCGCTCGTCAGCTGTACATCGACTTTTGGATCATCGGCGACGCTGCTCGGGAATTTCCTGGAGACAGCTGGGAAAAGCATGAAGCCCTGCAGATCTGTAATCAGATCATGGACACCTTCATAGCCGGTAATGGATCGGCTGCCTCGATCAAAGAGGCTCGCAAAATCGCCCAAAACTATATCGGCAAGAATGTCGATTCAGCCAAGGTCTATGACTCGGACGGGAAGAGCATCGTCTACGGAATTGGACACTGTCACATTGATACGTGTTGGCTATGGCCGTGGGCCGAGACAAAGCGCAAAGTTGCCCGAAGCTGGTCCAACCAGTGTGACTTGATGGACCGATACCCGGAACACCGGTTTGCCTGCAGTCAAGCACAGCAGTACAAGTGGCTGAAGATGTATTACCCATACGTCTTCGACAGAGTCAAAGCCAAAGTCAAAGAAGGGAGATTTCATCCAATAGGTGGGAGCTGGGTCGAGCATGACACCAACATGCCCAGTGGTGAGTCCTTGGTCAGGCAATTCCTGTATGGCCAACGGTTCTTCGAGAGCAACTTTGGCGAAAGATGTCAAACCTTCTGGCTTCCCGACACTTTCGGCTATTCTGGCCAGCTCCCACAGATATGCCGTCTCGCGGGAATGACGCGGTTCTTCACCCAGAAACTCAGTTGGAACAATATCAACAACTTCCCGCACACCACTTTCAACTGGGTGAGTTTAGACGGTAGTCAAGTCATCTGCCACATGGCTCCCAGTGAGACGTACACGGCAGATGCTCACTTTGGAGACGTCAGACGGAGCGTCACTCAACACAAAAGCATGGACCAGGACAACACCTCTCTGCTCGTCTTTGGCAAGGGGGATGGAGGAGGCGGACCCACCTGGTCGATGCTGGAGAAGCTGAGGAGATGCCGTGGTCTGAGCGACACGGTCGGACTACTCCCCCGAGTGCACATGGGAAACACCGTGGACGATTTTTATGCAAACATCGAGAAGAAAGTGGCAGAAGGCACCGAGCTCGTTACATGGTATGGCGAGCTCTACTTTGAACTGCACCGCGGCACGTACACGACACAAGCCAACAACAAGCTCAATAACCGGAAGCAGGAAATCATGTTACACGACGTCGAATATCTGGCAACTTTGGCGAGCCTGAAGAGCAAGAGCTACAAATACCCCAAGAAGGAGATTGATGAGATGTGGGAGAACGTGCTCCTTTGCCAGTTCCACGACTGCTTGCCTGGCAGTTCCATTGAGATGTGCTATGATGACTCGGACAAACTTTACGCCCACAATGCGAAAGTGGGAGAAAAGGTAAAGGAAGAGGCACTCACGGTCCTGGGCTTGTCTCAGCACCTTAAAGCTAACGCCGAGCTTGCGGCCTTCAACACCACCCCCTGGAAACGTTCGGAGCTGGTCAGGATCCCACATGCCAATGCAAAGTCGCAAGAGCAGATGTATACTTATGTATCCGGCGGGCCGGGTGTTTGTAAGACGCATGCCGCTTCGGCGATCCAATCGACAGCGTCCATTGAAGAAGTGCGGAAGGGTGTCTTTGTCTTGAAGAACAGCATATTCCAGGCAGAGGTGGAAGCGGGGTGCATCACGTCATTGATTGACCTGAGAGCCAACCGAGAGGTGATTGCTAAGGGAGGCAAGGGCAATCAGCTGGTGATATTCGACGACAAGCCTTTGTACTGGCAAGCTTGGGATGTGGAGGTTTTCCATCTCGACTCCAGGAAAGAGCTAAAATCGGACGCATCAGAGATTGTCGAGCATGGACCGTACAGGGTGAGCGTGGCCACCAAGACTCAGGTGAGTAAAGACAGCTGGGTCAAGACCACCATCAGCCTCGACGCATGCGACAGCCAGACCCAGGCCGGGTATCTATCGGTTGAAGCTGAAGTGGAATGGCATGAGAACATGAAATTCCTCAAGGTAGAATTTCCAGTGGATGTGGTCAACACGGAAGCAAACTACGAGACGCAATACGGAATCATTCGCCGCCCGACACACTACAACACAAGGTAAGTATCCCTATTGGTCCACGGACAATCCGAATGCTGACGATGCTAGTTGGGATATGGCCAAGTTCGAAGTGTGCTGCCATAAATTTGCTGATCTTTCAGAGGCCAATTATGGTGTGTCGATCCTGAACGACTCCAAATACGGCTTTGCGACCTGTGGCAACCTTATGCGTCTATCACTGTTGCGGGCCCCCAAAGCACCTGATGCACACGCCGATATGGGCCGTCACCACATCAAGTGGGCAATCATGCCTCACCAAGGCGCGCTGAGCAGCGACACTGTCCGAGCGGCCTACAACTTTAACCATCCAATGACATTAGTGTCGGTCGTGGACGATAGGCCTCCTAAGGAGTTGTTCAACGCCGTGGGCCTCACCGGCGCGCCATCACTGATCCTGGACTGTGTCAAGCGTGGAGAAGACGACGAAGACGTCTCCCGAGGGGAACTCACCCAGCGAAAGGGACAGAGCGTGATACTAAGGATTTACGAGAGCATGGGGGGCAAGAGTCGCGGAGTGATTGAGACGACCCTGCCAGTGAAGAAGGTGTATGAAACCAACGTGCTGGAGGACGACGGCAAGCAACTGGACATGTCCGGGAAGAACAAGATCAGTATCCCGATTGAATTGCGCGCGTTTGAGGTCAAGACCTTCAGGTTGCAGCTGTAGTTGTTTTGACCAGGCACGTTAACGGGGGGAAGCAGGCGTCTTTGGGACTCGACAAAAGTATCAATATATTGCTCTCGTTTCTCGCGTCTTTCGGAGTACCATGCATTGTAATAGTAAAGGGGCCACCGTCTACCCTTCCCCACAGTGTAGACAATCGGGATGGAGGGAGGTGTGGAAGGTGGAAATTGGCTTTCCGTGGCGCTAGATCGGCTGTGTTGTGCGTGGCAAGGCTGAAGCAGTCCTTTGTGTTTAGCGAACGTGAGTTTCCTGGACGCCTTCCTGCAATTTCGGTGCCGGTAGATATGGGGACGGACGGAAGCCGGGGGGGAAGAGGTGGTGGTGGTGGTGGTGGT